GCCCCACATGTCCATACATCCTGTCTCAGCACTAATCCTACTCTAATCACATACTTATCCCTCCTCCCTTCTCTCCTGTCTCTCACTCGAGAGCCTCTAGCCTTCCTCCTCACTTTCCTTCAGTTTCTCCGTGAACGAGGACTGGGCGGGTCCGTCGGTCAAGTCGCGTCAACTCCTGGACCAGAAGCTGTGAGAAAGATAAGGCCGGACGCGATAGGGGGAAGGTACAGAACTCTCACCCTCCTCCTCCTCCCTCCTCCTCCTCCTCCTCCTCCGCCCTCCTCCTCTACCTCCCCTCCTCCTCCTCCGCCCTCCTCTCTACCTCCCTCATGCTCTCCTCCCTCTTCAATCTCCTCCTCCTGGTCGTGATCTGCTTCCTTTCTCCTCCTCTTCTCTTCCCTCATCTCTTGACAGGGGAGGAGTCAACGGCAGCTTCGGCAAGTCATCCTCCCCGGGCAGGTTGACACTGTCCGAGTCCAGCAGCAGTCGAGCTGACCTTGCCTGTAGGGGGAACGTTATCCGGACGCCGTTGGGGCAGCGGGAGGACAAGGAGAAGATGCAGGTGGAGGCGATGAAGATTCATCTAGAGCGAATCGTGAAGGTGAGGAGAGAGGAGAGGAGAGGAGAGGAGAGGGAGGGAGGGAGGGAGGAGAGCAGAGCAGAGCAGAGGGAGAGAGGAGAGGAGAGCAGAGGGAGAGAGAAGGACGGGGATAACATGGTGACGTCAGCATCTTGACTCTGTGGCGGCACGACGACGGCCATCGAAGATGGAGGAGGAGGAGGAGGAGGAGGACCAAGAGATGCGGCAAGAGGAAGTGAAAGTTGAGTAGAGCGAGAGGAGCATGCAAACTGAAACTTGACGATGATTATGACGACGAGTATGATGGACTTCGGAATTTTTCTCCTCTTTGCTAGCGAAAGCTGAAGGGTAAGAATGGAATAGAGTAAGTTTGTGGATGTGTACGAGAAATTTGAAAATGAATTCAGAGATTTCTGTCCTGTCGATGAAACGAGAAGGCGAATGCGGAAGATGGTGGAAGTTGAGGAGAAAGGGGAGGTTGAGAAGTGAGAACGTCTGAGAGCTTTCACATGGCAAATGTACAATCTCAGCTTCTTCTGCTGTCGACAAGAATCAGACAACCTGAGATATTTCTCGAAAAGAGATTGATCTCTGAGATTGATCTTTCAGACGCAAAGTTGTAATCAATGCGGAGTAATTTGCATCATCGTTGCATGTTATGAGCTTTCACAAGGTCTCGGATAAAATTTCTCTCCGCCTTTCTCGCCTGTTATGATGAATGACAACTTGCCATAAGAGAGTTTTGTTGATACCTCAACAACTTCTGGCGGGTCCAGGGGGTTGGAAAACATGAAGTCAAGGTGATGCGCACCGGACTCGAGAACAATCTGTTTGTATCATCATCATCACCGCCATCATCTCCATCGTCATCATCATCGTCATCATTATCATCTCCATCATTGCCATCATCATCATCATCATCATCATCATTGCCATCATCATCATCTCCATCATCGTCATCATCATCTCCATCATTGCCATCATCTCCATCATCATCATCGTCGTCGTCATCATCATCATCATGTGATTTTCATGATCGTGTATTGTCTGGTTCTAAGTACAGACCGCTCTAACGTTGCTTGAGACGTTTTTAAGAACACCTCCAACATACCTGCAAGGAAAGTAAGAAGCGACGAAATAAGAACAAGTCAGTTCACCATGGATCGAGAAGGCCGTTGGAGAACAAGATGTTTGAGGCAGCGGAAAGGTCTCTGTCACCGAACCTACAGGTCGAGACTACATGTCAAACAACTTTGGTCACCAACTTCACGAGCTGACATATCATGTGCGACACCATGTTCGATCCTCCTGTCCACTTTACCTCACAACTGCCCAGTGCGACCGTGGTTTCACTCCCCAGGCCTCCTTGCAACCCTGGGAAAATTCTCAAACGTTCCACACGAGCGTTATCATCGCTCACCGCGATCGCACTTTCAGCATTCCAGAGGTGAGGAGGCCAAAACCTGTTTCACTGTTGAGAAGGAGAAGGTAGGCGACGGGAGGGGAGATGGTATGGCAACGATGAGCAAGGAGGAGGAGGAGGAGGAGGAGGAGAGAACAGCGAGGAGGAGGAACGAGAGGGGAGGAGGAGGAGGAGGGGAACACAGAAGTGCAGAACGAGGAGCCGAAAGGAGGAGGAGGAAAGGAGTGCAACAAGAAGAAGGAAAGCAAGAGAAGTATAGCTCGAGAAGTATAGCTCTACATATCATCGATGCCATTGTTTGAGAAGGGTTGAAACATTTCCGTGCACCATTGATATCCCCAGTCACCAACACAACTCAGGTCAGCTCCCTCCGCTTTCTTCCTGCCTTCCTTTGAATGAAATCGTTTTATGGACCCCATCTTTCTTGGAATCTGCATTTGTTTGCTGTTCCCATTGAAGAAGCATTGAACGTCCTGCAGTTCTTCATCACAGGGGAAAAGAAGTTTGAGCTGTGAGTATGTTGCTGCGATTACGGGCCGTCGAGCAATCAGGGAAGCAGATTCATCATCTACCTGACTGCAATTGTAGAAAACTCCAAGAGCATATCTTGCTATTGTCAAACCCAACATGTCAACAAACACCATCAATCGGTTGGCTTCACTCACTCGCGTTCAACAATTCGGGCAAATCGATCGATTTTGCCTGTCTGTTGCAACAAACATCACTGTATGTTATCCCATCATCACTGTACATCTCAAGATATTGGCAGGCAAAGCTCAGCGGCTTGGGTGGTAAATTGCATTTTCCTGATGAAACAAACGTCAACGCGGAGGAAGGAGACAGAGCGCAAAGACGAATTAAGAACAACAGATGGAACAAGTGGAAGAGAGAGGCGAAGTAGTCCTTGACAGTATGAGGGATGGGACGAGTAAAGATGGAAGGAAGGAGGCGGGAAGGGAGCAACCGTGCGTGAGGTAGGAGGAGCTGTACGGGTACTCGCCCATGGCCAGGAAGGACCAGGGGTCTTGCATCCAGGAGATAAGATTCTGCAGAGCATAAGACGAAGGGAGCATGGGAGGAGCGAGAACCAAAATCTCTTCCCTCGCAAAGTCTTCACACCTGACAGCACCCGTCAGGACTGCTTGTCGCCATGCGGCAGGAGGCACGCACAGGAGCAGCGCCTCCTTCAGAAACTCCCTCCCCTCCTCCGACTGTGATACTGAGTAGACAGCCTTCTGAGCCCGCAGGAAGTTTCTAGCGCACAACGGGGATGCATCTTGGGTGACAACCCGCATGTATCCTCCGTTGTCGTAGGCTGGGCGAAGACCTTCGAAGGAGAGGATGGGCGCGGATCCAGCAATAACTCCATCGATCAGCTTGAGGGGAGGACGTCACACGCTTTCTAAATGTCCCCTGCTCGGACTCACATGAGGAAAGCGCATCCGGAACCAAGACGCGATCATTCCCCCGTAGCTTCCTCCGAAGCCGATGATGGGTCCTACTGGCTTCTTGCTTATCTTCTTGGGGAGGATTTCCTTCGGGTTTGCTTTCAGAGTGCTCAGGAACTGAGACGCATCGAGGAGCGCTTGATCGGTGGTAAGAAACTCCATACAACCTGCCTTCCTTGGTCACACTTGCTCGCGGCCAGCAAGAGAACGCGAATGTCTTGCAGACTACCTTCTCGTCCTGGTTCGAACAAGACGGACTGCATCAGAAGGAGATTCGCAGCATGTCAGGCACAGCCGAGATGAGATGCGAAAGTTGGACCTTGCCGTAATACCGATGCTCTAAGAAGACCATGACGGCATCGAACTCACTAGCTGACTCCCACATCAGCCCTGTGTTGTTGACGTAGCTGGGCAACATGACAAGTCAAGGAGATTCTAGCCAGCCAACTCTCACAGCTCCACTGAGTCCTCGTTCCCAAAGTAGAAAAAAATTGTCTGAAGCTTCTTCGTCGCATCCTATGGGCAGAGCAGTCAATGAGCTTTAGAGCTCTGACCTACCGTGATTCTCACAGACGCCTGATCGCACTTGCAAACGAAATATCTTTGCCGATAGGTTGCCTGTACAGAGTTACTAACATCGTCACTGGCACAATATGATCACCATATCACTCCAACTTGAATGGTCGACCAGTTGTGTAAACCACATCTCATCACATGAGTGGATATTGGCTGGATCGTTCTCAATGCGCAAACATCTTGCTTTCCCACGTACCTGAGCAACCCGAGCCTCCATGTGCCCACACAACCCGAACAAAGATCATGGCATGAAGTAGATTCTTTAACATCTGCATTCTCCTCTTCCTCTAGATTCCTTCACCCATCAAACAACGATCTACTTCCCTTCCTCTCTCCTCTCTCCTCGTCCTTGTCTCCCACTCCCTTCTCTTCACTTTCCCCTGTCCGCCATTTTTCACCCGACAATTGACTAGTCGCATTCCTACAGTCCGGACGCTGTGAGGCCCCCGGGCCTGCCCGGGCCTCTGAGTACGGTACTCCCCTTTTACTCAAAGTTAAGTTAAAAAATCAAAATCTGGTAGTCTTAACTTTAACTTAACTTTCAGTAAGGTGCTCGGGTCAGCCCGTTTCGCCGGACGATGAGGGGTCATATGACCCTACCATAGGATAAGGCACAAAGATCGGGGAAGAGGAGGGGTAGCATCGAAGTTACAGTTTATCATGGGTATGGTGGGGTACAAACTCAATTTGGAGGAGAAAGGTAGGGGTGGTTCCAAATATTCATGAGGACGGGTGGGTGAAGAGATGGAGGGATGGCAGGAACAGTAGGGGTGATTCGAAATGTTCTATGGGGTGGGGTGGGTGAAAAGGTGGGGTCCTCAATACTTGGGGAATGGTGGGATAGTACATGTAAAAAAACAGGGGTACTGCCTTTTGTTTTAGTCAATTATGGTTGAGTTTTTGGCCATATAGTCAATATTGTGGAAGTTTATTTTAAGATGGGTAGGGTACTCTAGCATGACCAAGAAGGGGGTACATCAATGGGAATGAGGGGGTATAATTGACAGGTATCTAACAAATGGTACGTAAGGGGTGGGGTGATCTTGGGGGAAAGTTTCGGCACAGTGCCATGTCGTTGAAGCTTGTGCAATGGGGTGGAAGAGGAGGATGAGCCGCGAGAGGAGAGGAGGAAGAGGAGAGGAGGAAGAGGAGAGCAAAGGTGTCTTGTAGTAGAGGTGGATATGGTGTAAGCATGGTCCTGTGTGTATTATGTCGTCAATGAGGAAGCGCGCGGGGGGAAAGGGGTGTTCGGGTCAGTTCAATCACAGAGTGAAGCAGTTTTGTTACCAGATGATTTTGCTGAAACATGTATGTTATCTTGTTGATTCAAACCTGATGATAGCCAAGGTTCAGAAGCTTTCAGACTAGGCTAGTTGCGCTGCTGATGGTCGCTTACTTGTGCTCATTGTTGTCTGTGGCAGGATTCTGCATGAAGGGCTTGTTCACATCAGGAGAATGAAGAGCATCGCTTGCAAGAGCCTATGATCTGAAAGCTTTCAGCAGAACCACTTATCCTAGCTGGGCCCTTGGCAGTTGCTGGTATTGGAAACTGTTCCTGGTGTTAAAAACAAGGCGGTAGGTCAGTCATGCCGACCAACTCCAACATGGACGTCGAGATGTCATCGGCTCATCTCACGAGCAGAGACATGGAAGTTACGCTCAATCACATCAGCATTGAATCGTTGGGGCATTCACACCTCTCCTCCACCGAGGCACCTGCAAGGCCCGAGGCACCTGCAAAATCCAGGGGAGACTACACGCAGCATTCGGACGATAAGGACGAGCGCGAGGGAGGAGCGGCGAAAGGCGACGCCGAGCATCCTCATGCCGATTCACGTCCTCGTCGGTCTCGCCTATGTTGGGCCCTCTTCTTCCTTGGTGCGGACGCTGTGCTGATATTTCTCATCGGTTGCATTTTCCTTGGAATGGGTTCGATATCCATGAGGAAAGGTCAGCACATGAGCAGCAAGCTGAAGCTGGCCCTCAAGCACTACTGCTATCAGGAATGCTCAGACCCATCGTGTCTGGGGATGCCGTTCTGCAGTAGCGTCTCTCCGGTGTGCGATTGTGCGACAGGCAGGTCGAACATTCCTTCCTACTTCTTCGCTCCTTCCTCGGTCTTGATCGTCCTGGGAGTTCTGTCCATTGTGACATCGGGGCTGGGGTTCATGGGAGCCATCAGTCGGAGACCCTCCTGGTTGTGCGGATACGTACTTGCAGTCTGCTTTGTCGTGATCATGCAGATCTTGGCGTTCGCCACAGCTATCATGCTGCTCAAGAGATTGGACAAGGTCCCGAAAGATCTTCTGGTTGTCTTGGATCAAGAATATCAAGATTTCAACTGGGTGCGATCATGCTCCGTGCTTGCATCTGCTCCTCTCTGACGGCTCTGTTGCAGATGTACCTCCAAGACTTCATACCTCACGCCTGCATTGCTGCCAACACAACGTCGTCCAACAACACCGTCGTCTACCATCCTGCCTGCTCCTGGAACAACACTTGCATCCCCACCCTGAGTGAGACGATCGGGCTGGACTGCTGCCTTCCATCGGGGATGTGCGATGCGAAGAAGAGCAGCCAGTGCATAACCACGTCCAAGTGCCTCAAAGCATTTGTGGGGGATGCCAGCTCGCCGGTCTTCATCGCGACTGTCGTGATCTTGTTTCTTGAAACGCTATCGATCGTGTGCGCCTGGGTGATAAGACGAGAGACGGTCATACTCAAACAGCATGCTCTCTCCGTCCTGCCAAAGACTGATGAGGTCTAGTTCTTCCCACCATCCCGACTAAATTGTTTTCTTGTTGCTTACTGCACTTTGGGGGATTTGATGCGAGTGAGGACGAGAGACGAGTAGACATGTAGCTTACAATTTTATATTTCCTTGTGCATACGAACAAACCAAGAAGCGAAATCAAATTCCTTTAACCCCTCTCATCTTCTATTTCACAACCAGCAAGACTATTTCACTTCACTCACATTTCCCCCCCAACGCGCTGAAAATGACACGCAGATCTAACAATGCCATACGTTGACGTATCCCGAGCCGTTGCCAGAGGCGATCAAGTCAAGGGAGCAATGGATGGCATTGACCGCAGGAATCGCCGTACAGTTGTCATCCGAGATCGAGGCGACGTAGGAGCCGTCAGCCGCGATGATGTCAAGATTCTTGTTCATGCTTCCGACTACGATCGTGTCGGACGACTTTGGGTCCCACAAGGCTCGGAAGTTGGTGATGTAGCGACCCGTCTCGTTGTTGTGCTTCACCTTCACTACCTTGTCTTCTTTCTTGGAGTCCCAGATCCTGATGTAGTTGTCGTTGCAGGTCGTGACAACCTTGCCCGAGCCGCAGGGAGCGAAGAAGGCGGAGGTAACTCCGAGGCCATGGCTGAGCGAGCCCAGCGGCTTCGAGCGTACCACCTTGCGCTGGTCCCAGAGCCGGACTGACTGGTCGTTGCTGGCGGTCACGAACAGGTTGGGGTCGGTAGGATGGAAGTGGACGGATGAAACCTTCCTCTCATGCACGTCAAGGACAGAGAGCGGCTCCCTGCTCCTGCTGCCTGTAGGGTCTAGGAGGAAGAGGTCCCCATCGTTGGTGGCGGCGAGCAGAGTCCTGCCATCGCAGCTCATGCCGAGGTCAGTGAACATCACTTCGTCCGAGTCGAAGATGCACGAGAAGCATCCCTTGCTGTAGTCCAGGCATCGCACAGACCCGTCGTAGCTGCACGACCACATCCTGCTGCCCTCCTTGTCGTGTAGTAGGCTGGTGACTGGGCGGATGTGCGGGCGGAACACGAACACTCGCTCGCTCCAGGAGGAGGCAGCAGCATCCGACCCGATGTCGAGGAACCCGACCTGTCCCCACTTGTCACCAGCAGCAACCAGCGCCTTGCGCCCTGGGTGGAAGGCCATTGAGAAAATTCGCTCCTTGACGACCTTGACCCGGGAGGGAGGGTGGCGGGAGGTGACGGAATCCTGGCTGCTCAGTGCCATAGCCTTGAGCTTGGCATGGTAAGCTCGTCCATCCGAGTGCGAGACGCGCTTGACCTCTCCTCGGTCCCTCACGCTCTCGTGGAAGACGGTCAGCTCCTCGCCGGTCACATCAGCGACACAGCTGGCCGGTGATCTCATATCGATGTCTTCCAGCGTCTTCACATCCTTCGTCTCTGCCGGCTGCTCTACCACCTTATGCTCTCCGTCCTTGGAGCCTTCCTCCTGCACCTTGCCACGGGTTGATCGCCTGAGGGGATGGGGCTCGGACGGGGCGCTCTTCTCCTTCTTCTGGAACCTCTTGGGGGCCTCCTTGGTCTTGAGCTCTTCCATCGCCAGCTTCTCCTGCTGGATCATGAGGGAGGACAGGATCTCCTGGTTCCTTGCGATGTTCAGCTTCCTCCTCTCCTCGTAGTCGTTCTCGCCTGCTGCCTCCTCCACCTCCTCCTTCACCTCCTTCCCCTTCTTCCCCTTCTTCCCCTTCTTCCCCTTCTCCTTCACCTCCACCATCTCTTTCTCCTGCACCTCCTCCACAGCAAGAGCTCGTGAACGCTTCCTGGCGACGCCCATGGTCTCCCGCTCTCCCTGTCTGCGATGATAACAAGGGCCGGGAGCGCGAGAGTCTCCGCCTTTATAAGGGTAGCGGAGAGTGGCGGGGAGGCGGGCGACGGATACAGGAAGGGAGGGAACGGGGGAACGGGGGGGACAGTGAGGAACGTTTGATGGACGGGGAAGGGGAGGGGAGGGGAGAGCGATGAAGCGAGGAGAAAGAGAGGGGAGGTGAGGGGAGGGGAGGGGAGGGGAGGGGAGGGGAGGGGAGACGAGGAGGATAGATGCTGATGTCTTGTCCCTGATGAAAGGGGGAAGCATCCAAGGATATTGCATGGAATTCGTGTCTATCGATGATGCGAGGATAGAGGGAGATTCGTGTCTATCGATGATGCGAGGATAGAGGGAGTCGCAATGGCGGGGGTGAGAGGTGTTTACATTCATTCAGCCGACGTCCGCCTTCTCTTCCCGACACGTAAGTCAAGCAGCGCAGGGTCGACCCGGGCATAGTTGCGGTGAAGGATCTTCTTCAAGCCCGCTCCTCGCTGAGACAAGTCGCGTCAGAGGAGGAGTCGAGGAGGAGACGAATGTACCTCGCGCTCTAGCACGTAAAGGATGTCCAGCAGATCGATCGATCTTCTCCCAGACCTTTCCTCCCCCCCTGCAGCCTCACCTCCTGCGCCCTCCATGGCAGAACCGTCGTGCTGCGCAGCAGCCTTGACGCCCCTCCTCTCCTTCACCTGCTCCTCCCAGTTCGCATGGCAACCAGGTTCTATATCGCCTTCTGGCTCCTGGTGGAAGTGGAGGGTGGGAGTGTGTCTGCCCTTGCGATGTTGGTAGAGGTCGAAGAGCCGGTGGCACATCGTTCTGATATGCTGTAAACCGCAACACATGAGATGAGCAAACACCGGACAAGTCCACTCACCATCTCACACGCTACCGACAAGAGATCGATGGCGGAGTTCTCAACTTGTTGGATCGCCTGCATGCTCATCATCCCCTCGCCTCTTCCTTCCTCACTCTCCCCACCTGCTCGTGACCACCAACGATCTGCTTCATGCGGTTGATCAGCGGTCCGCTCCTATCGCCGTCGACCTTTTCATAGTTGAGAAACGGTACGTCATTGCACCTGCAGCAGGCCATCACTCGGGCCACTTTCACGCCCGACAACATGATCGTCACTTACAAGAACTTAGTAGATGGTTTGTACTGATATACGGATTCGAGAACGGCCTGTTCCCTCTCCAAATCCATGTTGTTCAAGATATCAGTGTTGAACTCCTCCTTGGTAGCTTCCTGTGAGCAAATTCTGCTGGTCAGGAACTTTCTACGCCAGTGCACATCATAATCAACCTTCGCCTTCTTTGCAGCGTTTTCAGCTTCATTCTCCTTGTCCTTCTTGCCAGCATTGGCGTCATCTGCCTTCCCCGCCTCCTGATTTGCCGGTATCGAAGTGTCGGTATGCCCTTGATGGGTAAGGCCGGTGGTATGAGGGAGGCCGGCAGCCGGCAGGGTGCTGGAGGCAGCGGATGTGACGCTCTGCTGCTGGTAAGGTTGCAGCCCATGATGCATCTGTTGACCGAGGTTGGTAGGTGGTTGATACCCTCCTCCTTGCATCGCTCCCTGCGATTGTTGAAACCCCAGTGCATGCCCTGAGGCCATGGGCTGGACAGGAGCTGCTCCAGGCGTCTGCCGGTACTGCTGAGCGGGCATGATCGAGCTTCGCTGAGGTTGAGGAGCAGCCTGACCGTACAGCTGAGGAGTCGCGAAGCTTTTCACTGCAGGAAAGGCGTTGGCAATGGAGGTGGCGATATCTGTCCTTCCTTTGGCGAGCGCAAGTTGATGAATCTTGCGAGGGATCTGCGGCACAACCGAGGAAGGAGGAGTGAGACAGCAGGACAGAGAAACTTGTCAGCAAGACGTTCAGGCACCTCAGAGTCATCGGTCAAGGTCCGATTGGAGTTTTTCTCGAACATCTGCACGAGCGATTGTCTCTCGTCCATTGAGAGTATAGGAAACAAATCCTGAAAGATGGCGAGGGATCACATCGATCAGCTAACATCAGACGCTCAAGATCAGAAGACCTGAAAGGATTGCCGAGCTAACTTCTCTCGATTGCTCATCTTGAACAAGGCAGATCCAGATCAAGTAGCGATTGGCACAAGGGATCCCACACCTGGGTATGCTGTCAACAGCGTCCGCAAGCCATCGCAATTGTTCATTGCTCCCACACACGACGAATGATCTTGCTTAAGACTCGTCTCTAGCCGTCTGCACCTACTCAAAACCTATCCCATCTAGGCTGATTGCGGCCCTATCCCGTCGCACCCACCACAACCCAACTTCAAGACATCCTTTTATTCTTCCTTCAATACCCCGTGCAGTTGGCCTCACTAATGTCATCTTTCCTTCTTCTTGTTTATGCTATCTTTCTCTCTCCACTCATTCAACCCATCTAGCATTCGATCGATATTTCCTCTCCTCACCGGTAAGTCCTTGCATTGCCCATTTTCCACCTCTCCCCACCTCAACCTCATCCTATCACCATTCTTCTCCTCCTTCCATCCTCCCCCACCTTCATCTTCATCATCATCTTCTTCTTCCTTCAGTCTTTCTCTCTCTCCCCCTCTCTCCTCCTCTCGCATCCTACAGTATGACCCCCTCCCCATGCATTGACGCCCATTCACCGTTATTGAATCTTATGGGTATGTAACCGTTGCATGACGGGGCCCGCCGCCGGCAGCGGCAGGCCCCCGGCCGGGCCGGGCGGGGGCTGCCGGGCGGCCCCCCCCGGCCGGGCCGGGCAGTACCCGGTGACTCGGAGCCTCGGAGGGATTTAACGAAATTCAATCTTCCTTATACAATGACTACCCCAATCAGCAACAAAGACATCCCCACATGAATCGACCGCAACATCCTGATCAAGAGTCAACATGCGCACGGTTCCTCACGGTAAAAGACTCAGAATCAAACTTCACCTGGGGAGAGTTGAAAGAAGCGGTCGGCCCAGATCCGTCTTGGCATCCCAGAGACGAGGAGACCTACTCTTCGGTATGAGTATTGAAGCTCCAAAACGACAGGACGAATCTCACGTATCTTCCGTAGTCATCATCCACCAACACATTTCCAGCGACTCCAAGAGTGATCATCTCTCCGGTAGTGTTGATCCGCCTGACATCGTGACTCTCTCTCCTAGTATTGACAACCCAAGATCACCTGACACAGTGATTGCCAAAGTCTGCCACATACACAATCCCCTTGGTATCTACCGACATTCCTGTCGTGCAATGCACATGAGATGGAGATCGCATTTCACGTTAGATTGACCTGCTGGATGGAAAAGACTTCCATTGATCCCCTTTCCGTCAAGCTTGCCCTTCTGAGATGTGCCAACCCAAATGACCTGAAAAACGAATTCCACAGTTGAGTCGGTTGGAAGTTCAGCAGGCAGTGGAAACTTACGCTGCTTCCATCGGGTTGAACCCGCCGAATCCGATGCCCACCCCATTCGCTCACATAAACACAATTCTGCTCATCCACACAGATTCCAACCTACGAACATAGAACGGAGGCATTCTAGATAAGGGACCATGGGAGCAGGAGCAGGGAGTTACCGGAGAGATCAGAGGCTGGTCTTTGATTCTCGAGTCTCTTCGACTCAGCAACGTCGATACATTTCCGCTGAGATCGATTTTCCGGACAGAATGATTTCCAGTGTCAGCCACGAACAACTCGCCGCTGTTTCGAGACCAGATTGTCAAAAGTCCAACAATCAATTTCATGCAAGTTTACGTGCTAGATGCAGCGATTCCAAAGGGGCGATTGAAAAGAGCTTTGCTGGTAGCAGCGTCCATCCATCCTGATTCAGAGCTCCTAGAGCCATACGCATGGATCACATGGTTGTCAGTGATGGCACGAATGCAATGATTCTCCCGGTCCACAACTAGAATTTTCCCACTCTGCAAACGAGTAAGCAAACCAGATGCCAGCCTATGAAAGCAGGCGACAGGAAATGAACCCACCTTCAAGCAACATATCCCTCCAGGTTCATTGAAAAGCGCCCGCCGGTTGTGGCCATCTTCCATGCCAGATTTCCTGGGAACACCAGCGAACGTCGATACATCATCCTCCTTCCCTGGGGCAGTCTGCTCCTCGATTCCTGGCAGTCGTCGTATGCAGTGATTCTGACGGTCCGACACATAGATACAGTCACCCTGTCCCATGGCGATCCCCGATGGACAATTCATCTTGCACGTCATCCTGTTGCCCTCGTAATATCCGGGAACCCCAGTTCCGGCTATACTGCACACTACATAATCCAGCATTGCCCTGTTCGCCTGTGACATGGTATGTCAGAACGATTGCTCTCGGCAAGCGATGGTCAAGAAACGGATGCAGACAACGAAATGCTGGTTCAACTAGAATCTGTAAGGGTATCTAGAAATATGCACATGAAGGAGAGATGGATGGATTGAGAAAACTGAAGCAGCGGTGAAAGGAAGGAAAGAAGACAAAACCAAGGAAGGCGACAAGATGATTCATGGGAAGTGGGGTAGGGAGGTAAGAGAGCAGGTGAACGAGAAGAATTCATCAGGGGGGAGGGAAATGCTCTTTTGCATGCAAGGCGGGGAGGAAACAGATTGTGGGCATGGCTGCGAGGGCAGGATCAGGCGGGAGCTTAAAAATATTTCATATATAACTAAATAATATGTACTGAGCAACTATGCAGCTTTATAATAATTTGACTGATTCTGACGGATATGTTATAAACAACGCGGAATAAGGTACACATGTCTTGTATATACAGTACTATTCCACATGTACTGCCACTACCATTCTCCATTACTGGTACCATCGAACGAGTATCTACTAATCACCTAGTACCGCGCAGTAAGATATGCTTCCGTAGCTCAGTCGGTCAGAGCGAACGGCTGTTAACCGTTAGGTCGCAGGTTCGAGCCCTGCCGGGAGCGGTTAACTTTTTCCTTTTGCTGCCCGACTGCATCGACTCTGAATCGATCCGGTCGGAGGCTGGAGGATCATCGGCGACCGGCCGGGCCGCTTCAGCGCGTCCGTGGCCGGCGGACTGTGATTTTTTTGCCTGTACGGTCGCCACGAGATGCCCGGACCGTTGAAACCGCCGGCGGTCGAACGGAAGTTGCACGGACTCCGGGAGTCCGAGTCGAACCTCGGAACTTGCCAAGTTGCGTGCCGAGCCAGGTAGTTCTGCGTGCGATGCCAGGCCTTGACAGCTAGTGAAATCATGCCGAGCCGGCCAGGAGTCGGCACCCCACCCCTGTGATTCTCCATCACCCATCTCATGTACTTGTGTACCCACTCAAGTCCCAAGTTCTCATCGTAAATGTACCCGTACTTTTTCACCCCTACCCACCAAAATATTTACAGGACAAACCCATCAGATCACACTACCCTCACCCCCATAGCCTCCAAATGACCCCACCATTCCCTCTTTACCACCCCACCTTTTCCAGTGTGTTGGCTTTGTAAAGAACAAATGACCCTACCCCATGAATCTTCTACACAGTACCCCACCCTATCATGCTTCTACCCCATCTTCCCCATTTACCACCCTCCTGCTTTCAATACCCCTAGCCTGACCCCTACCACCCTATTTGTATTACCCCACCCTCTTGTAACTCCCACCTCCCCGCTCTGCCCCCCCCAACTTTCCCCAGACACTGGCCACACTGGCAGACATGCGCCATGATGGCGAAATGAGGGGTGAAGAGCTCAAGAATGCGCAGCGTGAAGTTCATGTGAGAAGATAGCACTGACATGCAGAAGAAGAGAAACATGATGCATTGTCGTTCACAACACAGTTGATCGCTCCTTGTTTGATTCTGCTCAGCATTGTACCTGAGAGTCGATCCATACTTCGAAAGCATGTCCTGGAAAGGTGGCAGCACCAGGGCAGTCATCCAGGATCTCTTTGGGATCCATACGCACACGGTCATGCTTGCAGCAACGGGGATGCACGTCGGCAAGACCACTCTGAGTCTTGGCGTCTTCAAGGGCCTTGAAAAGCGGTATGGCAAGGGTCGTGTTGCCTACTGCAAGCCTTTGGGGCAGCGGTTCAAGAACATCAGCTTGGATGATGGTCGGGTTGTGAAGGTGGATCCTGATGTCGAAGTGCTGAGAAATTACTTCAAGCTGAACCTGTCATGGGAGCACATGTCGCCTGTTGTCTTTCCTTCAGGCTTCACAAGAAAGGTGATAGACGGGGAGATCCACACGGCAGAGCTTCTCCACAAGATCAAGGACGCGTTCACGTCCTTGGCCACCTCTTCAGACTTCACGCTCGTCGAGGGATCAGGACACATGGGCGTCGGGTCCATCGTTAACCTCAACAACGCGCAAGTGGCTGGAGCCTTGGGGCTGGATGTGGTGATCATAGCTCCGGGCGGTCTCGGCTCGAGCTTCGATCAACTTGCCTTGAACAAGTCGCTCCTAGAGAAGCATGGCGCGAGGCTCCGAGGAGTGATCGTGAACAAGGTTCGTGCTCGTTGCATCCTGTCTTGTGTCTCTTAGTCTTCTGTTGTCTCCCCTCTCACGCCCTGCCGCAGGTAGAGCCTGAGAAATTCGACATGGTGAAAGATTACTATGGGCGAGTTCTGTCCAGCTTGTGGGACACGGTATGTTGAGATCAAGAGATGTGAGATGCTGGCGCTCATCTTTGTTGCTTCTTGCTCAGCCGCTTCTGGGATGCATCCCGTACTACGAAGCCATCTCGAAACCATCCATGATCGGTTTCGCTCAGCTGTTGAACAGCAACTTGGTTGCCGGGGAAGAGAGCAAGCATCGAACATTCGAGGTACTGTGAAGTCGCACGAGCTTGACCCGATGATCTTGGTGACGTGGACGTTGGTCAGTCGACAAGAGTGGTTTTGTCTGAAACGGACGAGACGATCCATGACCCCGTGGAGTCACAGCTGATAGTGACGCATGCGTCAAGGAGCGATGTTATCGAGTCCATCATCAAAAACCACAAGAACATGTTCATATCGTCAAAGGGGTCGAGGGTGCGTCTCCTCCTTCTCGTTTGCCCCCTCCCTCCCTCCCTCATGTTTGAGTCCCTAGGATCTGCGAGGGGGTTTAGTGCTGGTCGGAGCTGATCCACCCAAGTCCCATCAGCTGAGGGAGCTGGACGAGTGCAAAGTTCCGACTCTGTGGGTAGAGAAGGGGCATGCAGGTCTGGGCATGACGATCTTGGTTGAGGGAGGGGCTGACGTGATGTGAAGGGCTCGGGCAAGGGAGAACGTTCGACATCCTAAAGGCGATGAATCAGTTCACGCAGAAACACGACAAAGATGATACGGCTGTATGGTGACTGAGAGCATGTCTTCGAATCTTTATGCTGTTTCCAGAGGCTCGAGGCAACGATGGAGCATATACAGCGTCACATCGATCTTGACGGTCTGTTATTGGCCGCCGGAACTCGATTGGATTCTGACTCCATCGTTCGCCTCAGGGCTTTGCGCAGCCACGCCTGTCATGGATGCGCTGCAGAGAAAGACGATCAACAACTGGGCGCTGGGTGGATTCTTTAAGAAGCAAAAGTGATACAAGTGATGGTATGCCAATAGGAGAAGAGAGTCTTTAACATGTGATCACAAAACGAAGCACGTGTACTCTACCGATAACAACATCATACGATCCCACCACATCATATTTGTGCTGACGTCAGCCGCATTCGTATGTCTCTCAGCTGACGTCCTAAATCATTCTTCTGCCACATGGTGAATTTCTCGTTGGCTGTAGTAGGCGACTTCTCCCTTTCCCTTGCAACCTCTTGTTTCTGAAAGGCCCAGCCTTGAACATCTTTGCTGGATAGATTCTCCGAAGGTTGAACCCGCCATCCCGAGTTCAACTCTACATGCTGCGTTCGTTGTCAGGGCAAATCATAGGAATGAAAGGCCATCGCCAAACACCTTGTTGCAACAATCAGAGTTGGGACTCGCTGGCTGCCACGTCTTCGACTTGTCATCTACTGGATGCTTCACACACTGTGAAAAAATATCGTAAGGCCGTGGAGAGAGAGATCGAGCGAAGTCCGTCTCTGCGTATGAGAGCTCACTCAAAAGCACCTGCAAAATGACACATCAGATTAGGGCAGCCCGCATATCTCGGGAGACGACGAAGCCTCACATGGTGCTTGCGCAAAACGTCCTCTTTCTCCGATCTTTCCTTGAGCAATTCTTCACGTGCTTCCTTGAGCTTGCTTGACAGGTCTCTGATCAGACTCTGAGTTCGCACCTCGTTCTCAAGCTTCTCTTGCCCGATCTCGCTCTGTACTCGGAGTTCGCCTTGGAACTCCGCCAGGGATTCCTTGGCCATGTTGAGCTCATGCTGCAGAACATCCTTGAGCGTGCGGGAATGTTCGAGGAGGCCTTCGAGTTGCCTCTCCCGGTCTTGCGAGGACCTCATCTCCACCATTATCATTTCGCACAATTCGACGTCCGAAAGAGAAGACAAATCTTTCACCTCACCCTTCCTAGACAGAACCACTAGGTTCTCAAGTTTCCTTCTCAAGACCTTCACTTCCGTCCATGAGCACTCGCAGGCCTCTGTCATGCTTTCAAGCTCTAGGTTTGCCTTCACCAGCTCCTCAGTCCTTGTCTTGTAATCTCGCAATGACGAGCCGATCTTTTTCTTCAGCGTAGTGTTTTCTGCTTGCAATGTGTTGACCACTTCCGCTAGCCTCCTCGCCTCTCCTCGAGCGTCTTCGATCTCACAGTCCAGCTTGTCTATGTACTTGTTCTTCTTCTCCAGTATCTCTCGCAGCTCATGCGCCTCTTGGTTCAGCTTCGAGTTGGCGCTTTTCTGCCCCTCCAACTCCGAGAGGAGGGTGGATGACTTGTGCTCGGCAAGCTTCAGGTTTGTCTGCAGCTCTGCCATCTTCCTGGTGAGGGAGGAGGCGAAGGAAGCAAGGGCCTCGTTGGTTGACTTCTCCCTCTGCATTTCCCCCTTGTGCCGCCATTCCATCCTCTCGATCCTCTCGGCCAGTCGATTCACCTCTACCTCCTCCCTCTCCTCTCCTCTTCCTCGTGTGTATTCTTCATCATCCCCCCTGCTTCTCCACCTCGAAGGTGGCGACGGATCCCTCCATCCCCTTTGCCGATAGTTGCCCTCCCGCCTATCCTCTTCTACTCTCCACTCCTCCTCCCTCCTCTTCCCTCCTCGGCTCCCATCGTCCAGGTCTTCGTTCATCCTCTCCAGTGAGATCCCCGACCATCCCCTCCTACCAGCGCCCATATGACCAACATGCCCGTCTCCCCCTCCCCCTCCCCTTCCTTGAAGGATGTACATGGCAGGAGACCCCTCTGCCATTTTGACGCTGTAACTGCCAATCAAACAATTTTTGTACCAGGGAGATTTTTGTTACTTGCCCGCAGTTACGGGCCCACCCACTGGCCCACCCAGCCGCCCCCCGGGATGCTCTGAGTCTTCTGTACTCACAGCGTACTTAGGTATACTCACGCTCTCTGCGCTCAACAAAGCCACTAAATCGTGACGGTTTATTCTCGTCTTGCTACAGGGGAGAACAAGAACACGACCACCTAGCCTGACTTCCAAGGAGAGTACTACTTCAGTGCAGAGTCGACAACTTTGTATGAGGGCGATGAGAATGCCCCTACCCCTACCTTATTTGGTCCAGTAAGTGGGACGGGTGGTCGCTCCTGTCTCGAAGTGAAGATGGTGCGCACGTGAAGATTGCGGAGCGAGCGAAGGAGAGGAGGTGCGAACGATAGCGAGAAGCGAGAGAGGAAGAGCACGAGGAAGAGGAAGAAGACGAAAGTTACAGAACGACAGGAAGATGGTGGTGATAGGAGGGTACGACGATTCCATGAAGAGGCTCGGCGTGCAGAGTTGGCAGGTAGGAGAAGGATTTGCGCCGACCTATCACTTCGACATGCTTCAAGACCGAAGGAGGAATGAGGCCTACCGGAGGGGGATCGAGCAGACAGTAGAAGAAGACGATCTGGTCGTTGACATCGGCACCGGCAGCGGACTCCTTGCGATGATGGCGGCCGGTGCTGGGGCGCAGCATGTATTTGCGATTGAGGGAGACCCCAAACTGGAGAAAGCAGCGCGGCTTGTGATCGAGGACAATCGCTATGAGGAGAAGGTGACGGTGATAGGAAAACACAGCACTGAAGTGAAGGTTGGCTATGGGCTGGACGTTCCCTTCGGAGCCAACGTGATTGTGACTGAGATCTTCGATAGCTTCATGCTCGGAGAGGGTATGGTGCCTACGATGCACGATGCTGTGAAAAGAGGCTTGCTCGCGGAGGGAGGAAGAGTTATTCCTGCAGGGGGCAGGATGCACTGCGTCCTCATCGAGTCGGACTGGATCCGCCGACACGAGACTCTCCGGGGTCAGGACTTGCTGGGATCGGTGGAGGAAGTGAAGAGAGCCTCTGTTGAACATGCGAGGGAAGCAGGTGAAATATGCGAGGGTTGCGAATGGATTCTGATAGATTGTCCTCTTGCTCTTGCTTCTGTCCTCTTCCTCTTCACATCGCTCGCTCCTCCTCGGCCCCTCCTCTCTTCACCTAACCCCTGCTCCGACTCCTTTGTTGCACTGGCAGCTAGGAAGTGGACTTTTGAAGAACCCATCCAAGTGCACGCAAACATGATGCTGGCAAGAAAACTTGCAAGGCAGTTGTCAAGACCTTTCATCGGCCAGGTAGTCTACGATGCTGTCACTATCCTAGCCTCCTCACTTGCACTCAAAGATCTTTGACTTCGCACACCCCAAGCTCCAAGACCAGCGTTCCGTTTCTGTTGAGGTGTAAACTCAAGACTCTCTCTGAGATCCGACTGAAGTCAGGCCGTTGAAGGTCATGGAAGATGGAACCGTCGACGCCATCCTGATCTGGTGGACGCTGGACATGGAGGGGACGGGGGCGGTTCAGTTGTCAACGGAACCGGAGGGGTACGGGAGAGGAGGATTCGAAGACGAGCGAGGTAGCTGCTGAGCGCAAGAGGTACTCTAGCCCTTGACTTGTGTCTGAATGTAGACGGATATCCTCCTCCTGAGCGAGAGCATTGGAGACAAGTGAGACGAGGAGTTGATGAGGTGGAGACTCTGCAGTGACTTTCCCCCGCAGGCCGCATGTGTTCTGCCTGCCGCAGTTGAAGTTGTCAAGGGTGACCTGTTGCAAGTTGTTTGTGGGCACAAAGAGTGTTATCCGAGGTTCATGGTCCGTAAGAGTTACGATGATGCAACGAAAGATCTTGAGGTGTTTTCTTGTTGTGTTCGTGTAGTTCTGTTTTTTTCACGGCATGATGTGTGTAGGGAGAATTTTTACCGTTCGAGGCACCTTCGAAAGATTGCGTGCAGTATCCCTTTCTGAGACGATGCCACATCTTGCAACTGAGTTGTCAAGAGCGCGAGAACTCTTACATCTCAGTTGTTTGCGATCTGATCAACAAATCTCTCGACAAGGGTGATCCCAGCCAAGACACGTTGAAAGGTCCAGTCGCACCGAGTCCTCCGGATCTGACTTGTTGTTCAAGTCCTCCTCCTTGGCGATGGCCCACTCCTGCCCATCGCTGCTGGTGGGTTGAGAGATCAACTTGATTCTGTTTGATCGATCCGCAGCAAAGGCCATCACCGACCTTCGACAGGAGGAATCAGAGGTAGACTAACTTGCCGTCCCTGTTTGTTGTCTTGCATACATACCCTGCTGCTCACTTCAACATCTGAAACTGAATCTCAGCGGCGCATGCGCATCTCTGTGGTCAGCCTGCAGAGCTCCCTGGACGCATGCGAGCTTGCAAACATGGCAGTGAAGGGGAGAAATCAAGAAGGAGCGATCAAGGTTGTAGCTGTGGTAGAGAAAGGACAAACCTTCGATGGCAGCATGACGGAGGTAAGGTAGAGGAAGGACACTGTTGCTGCTGATACTGCTGATCGTGCTCGTGCTCGCTTACTTCTGGTCACTCACTCGTTTCCTCCTCCTCCACTCCCCTTTCCCCTTCACTCCTCAACCTCCTCCTGCATCCCTCATTTCCTTCCAGGCTGTCTGCAGCGCCGCCTCACGGGAGCTGCAAGGAGGGAGATTCGACGTCGTCTTAGCTGAACCCTCCTATCACGCGCTGGCTGTGGGAGGAGCAGGAGGAACGTGGGCTGTGGACGAGTTTCTCCGTTTCTGGCAGGAGATCACGGCGCTGCGAGATAATGTTGGCATCCTTTGCATCTGCTGTTTTACCTTCCCTGCTGCCCTCCTTTGATCTATCAGCCTTCCCCTCCTCCGTTGCCTCAATTCTTGAGTTTCCCCGTGCTCATCCCAATTTTCTTCTCGCAGCCTTTGCTGAGCTTTCATCTCGTGCCTCCACTCCTTTACAACATTTCCCTTTCTCTGACATTCCCCTCTCCTTCTTGTCTTTCTCCTGCTCCTGCTCCTGCTCCTGCTCCTGCTCCTGCTCCTGCTCCTCCCCCTCCGCTCCTTCTCCTGCTCCCCTCTTGGCTTCTCTCTAATCGTCCTCTACCGCAGGGGCTCCTGCAAGGCTCTTGTTCCATCCTCCCGTGCTCTTTCTCGGTCACAGCTCGGGCGTTCGAGTGTGAGGAGATGTGGAGGAGGAAGCAGGCGGAGCTGGAGGAGGCGGAGGGAGTGAAGCTGCACAAGTTCAACGAGTTCAACCCGAGGAAGGGGGGCAAGGGGAGGAGGTCGGACATGTCAGATCTGGCGATCGCGGATAGTCTGCCATGGGAAGGGAGCATGAAATTTCTGTCTCCTCCTCAAGTCGTGACGTCGTTCAGCTCCAGTTCAAGTTGCGAGCCTGTGAGGTTGCGAGGTTGTCGTGTGGGTAGTGACTTGCACTTGCTAAGTTTGAGAAGGACGAAAGCTTGACCCTTGCAAGCCAAGGGGTTTGCCATGGAGTTGTCTTCTCAGCAAAGATCTGTCTGACAGACGTCTGTCTTGTTGGTTGTTTGTCTGTTGCACACTGACAATCATTCAGGATGATAGAGAGGTCTTCCTGCCTGAAAAGATTTTGACCAGTGAGAATGGATACTTTCAAGCTCTTCATACCTTCGAGGAACCTAAACATGTAATAGCTCTGTCATGATCTATCAGTGGTCATATGTTCCGCTTCCTCTCTCATTTCCCCTTCACCTTCTCTTGTTAAATTCCTCTCTTCCTCTCATTTGATTTTGCTCTTTTCTGCTCAATTTTCTCTCTCTTCATCTCATCTTTCTATCTTTAATCAACTCATCTCTCTTCTTTCTTTTGTTTCTTCTTCTCTTCTCCGCACTAGGTCACTTCTGGTCAAGTCCTCAACATCAGGACTGCCATCTCTGAACGGACAAGCTCAACAGTAAGTTTCGTGCATCACCTTCATCTCCTTGCATATCTACATCTCTTCTTCATTGTTCAAAGACTCGCTTCTCCTTCCTCTTACACTCTGCAGGACTCAAAGGCTCAAGCTGTTGAGAGTTTAATCAGCAAGTACAAACTTCTTGTTGGGTTCTCTTGGTCATGAAAGTCGGAGAAGAAAACTTCCTCCTTTCTTGTTCTTCACTCTCCTCCTCTTTTCTCTTTCCCGCTCCTCTCGCCTTCACTCAAGCCCTCCTCCCATCTTCTTCCAGTAAAAACTTTTCTCGTCGCCCTCCTCTTTCTCCTTGTCAAATACATCATCGATTTATTCCTATTTCACAACAACATCTCTCAACCTCCCTATCTTCTCCCCCCTCTTCGATATCAATACCTCTTCAGTTTCTTTCCTCGTCTACAACACACAGCAAGACATCCTGCTTGTCTTTCTTGCTCACGGCGCGTGCCGATCGTCTCCTCCTGGATCCCTTCTTCCATCATCCGACTCCTGGCTGTCAGGCTCCTCCTGCTCCTCCTCTCCTTCTCCAGTCTCCCTGCCTTGTCCCTCCCTGCCTTGACTGACGACAACTCATCTTCACATCAGGTCGAGCTCGGACATCAAACCCCATTCCCGGAACTTCTCCCTGCGCCCCCCGCACGTTTGTAAGCGCTCGCTGTTCCTCCTCCCCTCCAGTTCTCACCTGACCTCGTTGTAGATGAAGCAGTATGCCTCCATCTGCGGTATAATATCACTCATGCTCTCTCCCTCTCCCTCTCCCTCTCTCTCTCCCTCTCTCTCTCCTTCTCTCCCTCCCTCCCCGTCAGCCCCTCCTGTACCTTCCCCGTCGTCTTTGCCCCTCCAAGCTCCTCAGCACAAGCGTGCCCGTACTGGCACACCCAGACCTCCTCTACGTCGTCCACCAGCCTTTTGCCGAGGCCGCCTGGGGCCGCCGGTCAGGCCAAGAAGGGCGAGACAGCAGGCAGAGGAGAGGCTGACCTGTGAGGAAAGAGAACCTGGGGGGCGAGTCGAAGTCTTCGGGGGAGTAGAGGTTGTTGATGATGTGCTGCCAGGAGACGTTGAGCGAGCAGCGCTCTAGAGAAACGTTGACGGCTTCGACAGGCAGAGGGGTCGTGAAGAGCTCAGCTGGGTACGAGCTGGAGATAGTGCAGAGAGTCTCCTGCGTACACTGAGAGAGTCCCGGGTCCTTGAGAGCAAATGAAGGCCAGGAGGGGTCGATGCAAGTGAAGTTGTTGCTGGAGATGTCAAGAATAATGAGAGCCGTCAGAGGCTGGAAAGCCGAGGAGGGAACACAAGTGAGCTGGTTATGGTCGAGATAGAGAATCCACAAGTTGGTAAGGGAGTCGAAGATCCCAGCTGGAAGTGAGTAGAGGTGATTGTTGGAGAGGCTGAGCCAATTCAAGCTTGTGAGCCTGTCGAAGAGACCTGGAGGGAGGCTCGAGAGCTCGTTCATGTGCAGGGACAGCTCTGTGAGGCTCACGAGCCTATCGAACGCTCCCTCCGGCACCTCACCCAGCAGGTTCATCTCGAGGTAGAGGATTCCCAAGTTTGTCGGGAAGTCTGTGAGTCCAGCAGGCAGGCTAGCCAGCTGGTTCCCTGTGAGATACATCCACTGCAGGCTCGTCAGGTTTGACAACCTCTTCGGGATGCTGGTGAGCTGGTTGTACATGAGAGATATCCCTCGCAAGCTCGTGAGCCCGCTGAGCTCTCCTGCTGAGAGGCTCGTGAGGTAGTTGTTGCTCATGTCGATGGTTTGCAGGCTGGTGAGCTTGCTGAACACAGTTGCAGGGAGATCGGATATCTCATTGTCCCATAGGCTCAGCCCTTGCAAGCTCGACAAGCTTCGGAAAGCTCCTGCTGAGACCTCCCTCAAGTTGTTCCTGCCGAGCTCCAGCGACAGCAAGCTTGTCAGCCCGTCGAACACGCCAACCTCAAGACGTGAGAGCTCGTTGCTGTATAGGTTCAGGTACTGCAGGCCTGTGAGCCCCTCGAACGTCCCTGCGGTGATGTTTCTTATCCGCCTATTGCTCAAGTCCAGGAGGTCATTGCAGTCTACCTGGCAGCTGCCTTGCCTGGTCAGGATGCCGGTGTCTGACACGTACAAGGTACATCCTCCGCATGTGACGCTGCTGAAGGTCTGGACGGGCTGAAGTGAGAGAGCGGCAAGGAGGAGGGCGGCGAGAGAGCGGGGCAGCAGCATAGCCTGAGGACTCGCAGGTGCTGAGCAGAAAAAAAGTAAGGAAAAAATTAGTCAAAACGAGTTTGTAACTGTCCTTTCATGGTACGTTACACCCTGGGCCCAGCTAGGAACTCCTAATATGGACCAGGTACTCGCTAGTGAACCGCCCTAGGTATCAGCTAGGACCAGACCTAGTAGGCTAGCTCATAGGCTCTCGGAACTCCCGCGTTTGCTGTGCGGCCAGGTGTTGCCCGGAAAGGTGCATGGGAGTGGATTTATGCGGGGGGATGAGGGTACACAACGGCGAAGTTTTATCATGACGACGTTCAGCGAGAGCGACATCCGAGAAGCTTTCCAGGTGAAGAGAAGGAGAGAAGGGAAGAGAAGAGAAGAGAGAAGAAGAGAGGAGAAAAGCAGAGCAGAGCAGGGCAGGGCAGGGCAGGGCAGGGCAGGGCAGGGCAGAGCAGAGCAGAGCAGAGCAGAGCAGAGCAGAGAAGCGCAGGGCAGGGCAGGGCAGGGCAGGGCAGGGAAGGGAAGGGAAGGGAAGAGCGTAGAAAAGAGGCTATGGAGTAGGGCAATCGCCTAGCTCTTGAGAAAGCTCACAGGACCAGAACAGAATTGATGTCGAGATCGTTCTTTCATTTTGATATTTGTTTGACGAGTTTGTATAGACATTCGATCGTGACGGCAACGGTTTCATTGGGGCATCAGATCTGCATAACACATATCTCGCCATCAATGAGAATTTGACAGACGACGAGGTGGATGAACTGATAAGACTGGTAAGAGCAGTAGCACATGATATCGATTAGAATGTATCTGACACCCACCCTTCCCCTTACAGGTAGATCACGATGGCGATGGTCAAGTGAATATTTAACTCTTTGCCGATCATGTGCCTTGATTAGCTGACAGATCGCAGGTGAGTTATGAAGAGTTTCGAAAGATGGTGCTGGACTTCAACAAGAAGGCAGGAGGGCGTTGAGAAACAGAGTGGGCAATGCAGCTTCTGGGCATCGGAGCCTTGCATGCCAAGTGTAAAGTATATACGATGATACATGTTGCTAAAACTACGAATGACTAGAGCAAACCCATTTCTATTGTCCTATCTTCTCCTGCAGCGCGAGATATTCGAAGATGCTCTTGTCTCCGATGTCTGCCTTGAGAGGTTGATCAAACTTCCTCGCAGCAAAGAAGACCTGTTCGACATGGTCAATACGGGTCTACACAATGAAAAAGCAGCAAATCGGGAGGGAAATTCTCACAAACACAGTGGCAAACATCACAGCCAAGCCCTGAGAGAGGAGGTCAGGAGAACGCGTCTCATGAAAATTCACTTTCACCTTCTCGACATCTTCAGAGAGGAGATGCAGAAAATGCCCTCCTGCTCGGTCGTCAACAACATGCTGACTGATGGGGAACATTGTAATGCGATCTTCGTGACCTGTCAGGATGGGCAGACCGGCGAAGAGTGCTGATGCCTCCCACCTCTGAAAGCTACAAGGATGTCACTCAATCACCTTCAGCTCAACGACTTGCATCCCAACCATGCAAACTCCTTGAAGAAAAGACCCGTGAGGGCGACAAATGCCCAACCCGAGGCGAGCAAGAACTCGCTGTGCTCGAAGCAATCCTTCACGAGGCTGTGGTTCGGTCCTGCATCAACGGCATCAGCGGCCACACGTCATGAGCAGTCACATGGCATCTCCCCACCTGCAACAAAGACGGCTAACGAGCCCAGGGCTCCTCCTGCCCAAAGCGCCTGGAGCCGAGTGAAGGTAGCACAGTGCGGGCAAGTGAAATACCTTGAGCATGTTGTGCATCGGCTTCATGTAGATGTGAATTGTCTTCAGAGAGACACCAAAGGAGGCAAGAAACAAGACGGCCATGGCATCCAACGCCGCAGTCCTGCACTTGCTGTAAGTAGATATAACGCGATGGAATGTCCGAGATTACGAGGGAGGTTGAGCTTGCACAAAGTTGGGCAACACGGCCATTCCTACTCCAGTCACAGTCTGCAGACTTGAGGTCATCCTGGAGTGCCATGGCAAGCTCCGCTTACCGCAAGCGCAGCACCGACGAGAGATAGACGATAGGTGAGAACTTCTACCGCGTCATCTTGATCGACAAACCTGTGTGCGCGTCTCACTGCCAAAGTTGGGCGAGCATCTCGATCACCATGTTCCAAACTGTCCTTCGAACGGGCCCTCCACCACCCTGCGATCGCTCTAAAAGAAGCTATCAGACCTGCAAGCGGCAGCAAAGAGGAAGTTCTCACGTCTCTACTTGCGATCATGCATGGTTGAACGATGCTCCCTACGCAAACACGATCAGACTCGTGAACCTGCAAGGATGTTTTGACAACCTCGCCTCGACCTGGTAATGCTCGCAATCTTGCTCGCTCTCCCGGGTTGCAACACCCTGCCCGCATCTCCGTGAACAAGATTGCATGAGCACGATGAGGTCCGTGAGGACAGGACATGGAGTGGCAGTAAGGTTCATAGGCATGCGAGGACAGGAGAGCAGTGGAGAGTACCTGAGAGAGGAGGATGGAAGCAGGAATGCATCAGTCAATGAGCATAGCGCAACGGCGATCGCCAAACGAGTAGCGGGTGCCATAGGGAGCAGGTCAGAGAACGTGAAGGTAGGGGTAGTATTCCCTATGCAACAGGGGGTGCTGATTGAAATGTTCGCAAACTGAAGCAGGGGGTGATTTTCCATGTTGAATTGGGGGTGGGGTGGGGTAGCGGTGGGTGTAGCGGTCATGGGAGAGGCTCTCTTCTTCGAGTATGGCTGCAGCCTGGACAAGATGCAGGGGGACGACATCATCTTATGCAGGTATGATGACGACAATGCGAAGGTTGACTGCACATGATGGGGGAAAACTTTGTCTTCTGTTCGATGAGAGCACGATTCCTATCCTGGTTGTAGTTGTTTCGTGGGCGGTTGGAGTCCGGAGGTTGTCTTGGGGCGGTTGACTTCAGGCTCATGGAGATGGCTTGTTTCTCATGAGGATCTTTTGTGGACGATGTTTGCATGCTGAACCGAATTGGATCGTCAGTTTGTTCCCCTTTCTTGTACTCACCAACATTGCGCTCATTTTTGAAAATTTGAATGAGCTTTAGAGCTGATTGATCGTATGGTGCAGGGACTGGTGTCCTCGGCAGATGAAGTCTCCTCTCCTCATTGTAGGAACGAGCGATGGCAGACTCTCGATATTCCATGATGAGGTTTGCACATGGCACAGACGTTTCTCTGCCACTGAACCGATTCTACTTCCCAGGCGGTCAAGTCGGACAAGGATTATCATAAAAGTTCTGCACCGACTTACGTAGCCTGGGGTCCAGGGCCTAAGAACATCCTAGCATCGGGCTGGGATGATGGCTCCATAGTGCTATGGGAGGATAAGAACAAGAGCATGGGGGAGACAGTGTTTTCTAACTTCAGAGAAAATAATTTAGCGCACAAAGGCAGTATCTGCCTCCTTGCTTGGAGCCCGTGTGGGTCCAGGCTGCTTTCAACTGACAAGAACGGACTTCTCGCTGTGTGGAAGCCGGAGGAGAGAGGGATCTTTGTGCAGCAATCTATCATCCAGAAGGGTCAGAGTGCAGTAACGCACATTACCTTTAGGAGCAAGAAATCGATGAAGAGTGATGACGGGGACGCTCCTACCTACTACTTCGCTGGGGAGGATGGTATCGTGTACTACGGATCCGACGACAAGACCAAGGTGCAGGAGCTCTTTCGTCTCGAGTCGCCTGATGGAGGAACGAGTGGCATAGCAGCGCTGGTGTATTACGAGGAGGCAGACGAGCTAATTGCGATCAATGAGCATATGATGATGAAACGGATTTCTGGGCCCGACGACTCGGGTCAGATCAAGGAGATCTCGTCGGGTAAGATAGCGGCCAAGAGCCTGCATGAGACGAACGTGATGATGCGAGCGATCTGGATCTCGTCGGGGTTGTTGATGACGTCATCGGGGGAGAATCTGTTGCGCTTCTGGAAGCTTTCAGAAGACGAGAACTACGTGCTGAGGGTCTCAGATCCCAAAGTTCCACCAGATGACAAGATTCACTCAGTGGCGTACAGCGAGAAGAGACGGATCCTGTGCGCTGGAACCTCCAAGGGATATGTCCTGTTCTGGTCCCACAATATCTCCAGCAGCCAGAGCTCTTCTGCAGATGATTGGTACCCGATGCTCCGGGCAACTGTCAAGCTGGGAATGACAGTGATCGATCTGCAGTGGGCAAAGCATCATGGGTTCCTGTCAGCATCCACAGACAAGTCGGTTCACATCTTGGTCGAGAATGAGCTGCAGAGGAAAGTGAGAGACCAGGTGGCGATGGTTCAAATATCCAACAAGCACCTTGGCTTCCTGCCGGTTCATCGAAAGCTAGACGAAAGAGGGATACCGCAAGTTGACATCGAGCCAGATGTCATAAAGAACTTCTGGGCAGGAAACAGCCCTTTGAAGTTGACGGAGGTAGAGTGCGGTGTCCCGATCAAGGGGTGTGATATCACAAAGTCAAACATCTTGGTTTGGAGTGGGAGGAAGGCAGAAGTTTATGAGATCAACAGCCTTACCAACCATCACACCTTCACCTCTTCTTTCAACACCAACGCTACTACCATGGTCATAGGGTCTTACTTCCCCAACGAGCCGCTGTACATTTACATGGCCAACGATTCGGAGATTGAAGTTGCGAACCTTGAAGGAACGATCACCAAGAGGCTCCCTGTCGAGGAAGTGGAGGGCGAGCCTGTCTACCTTGACTGTCATGGCACATGGCTGGTAGCGAGCACCAGCAAGAACTACATCCACATCTGGGACGTTTCCACCACTAAGAGGAAGTCCGTCCTCTCGCGCAAGTTCGAGGAAGGAGACGTGCCGATCGCTGACATAGTATCGGTGAAGATCAACAGCATGGGCAGCAAGGTGAGTATCCTGGCTAGGGGCAGCTCAGATGCATCCAAGGCAGAGATTGTTGACACAAAAATCTGGGTGTTCGACGTCGTATCGGACTCATTCTACAGCTACGAGTTCGGCCCGGATTACTACCCAGTGAACCACTTCTGGGATACGGCGGACATCACCGAGGGAAAGAAGGAGAACGAGATCGAGAAGGAGGGCTTCAAGGCGAGAGAGAAAGCTGGGAACTTGCTGGGTTGCGAGATCAAGTACCGCGGGGAGATGAAGGACTTTGGAGCTGAGATCTTCAAGATCAACAGGGCTGAGGTTGTGACTTTCTTCGCTACGACAGAGAAGGGGCTGCTCCTGCAGGATCGTTTCCCCATCACCTCGGAAGGCTCCGTCCTCCTCGGACTCCAGATCCCCCACCTGTTCCTCAGCGCGCCCAAGTCGGACGAGGCCACGGGGAACTCGACGATTCAGATTCAGAGCAAAGTCCTGAGAGACTTCGTGGGGATGGAGCTTGTGAATTTCCAGACTCGTTGGGCTCTGCTGGAGTTCAGCTACAACCTCACGCTGGGGAACATGGACGAGGCGTATAAGGCGGTGAAGCTCATCAAAGGGCCCAACGTGTGGAAGAACATGGCGCACATGTGCGTGAAGACCTCGAGGCTGGACGTGGCTGAAGTCTGCCTGAGCAACATGGGGGATGCCAAGGGAGCTCGAGCTGTCCGGCTCGCCCGTCAGGAGAAAGGTACGTCTTCCCCTCCCCTCCTCCCCTCCTCCCCTCCTCCCCTCACCGTCGTTGCAGAGCGAGAAGCGCAAATCGCCATGGTAGCGATCCAGCTGGGGTTGATAGAAGATGCCGAGAGGCTCTACGTGTCGTGCGGCCGGTACGACTTGTTGAACAAGATGTACCAGGCGTGCGGCTTATGGGAGAAGGCGGTGGAGACGGCGCAGAAGAAGGATCGGATCAACCTCAAAGGGACGTATTACGCCTGGGGCCGTTACCTCGAGAACGTCGGGGACCATAAGGCAGCAATCGCCTGCTACGAGAAGGCGGATGCACATCGCACGGAGGTCCCGAGGATGTTCTATGAGATGAAGGATATCTCCTCGTGCGAGGAGTACGTCCGCAAGGCCAATGACAAGGTTCTGTTCGGGTGGATGGCCAAGTACTTCGAGAGCAAGCAGAAGCTTGACGTGGCGCTCAACTACTACAAGCAGGCCGAAGACTTCATGTCCATAGTCAGGATCCGCTGCTTCCAGAGAAACTTTGAAGCCGCCGAGGAGGTTGTCAACGAATCCGGCAGCGGCCCAGCTGCCTACTACCTGGCGTCACAGTACGAGGCCATGGAGAAGCCCAAGGACGCGATCCGCCTCTTCTCCAAGTCCGGGAGGTACAACCACGCTGTTCGCCTTGCTCGTGAGAACGGGCTCGACAAGGAGCTGCTGCCCCTCGCCATCCGATGCAACAAGAGAGTGATGCTGGAATGTGCCAAGTACCTGGAGGAGCGACAGATGTACGAGCAAGCGGTGGTTCTGTACAAGAATGGGGGGAATAGCTCCAGGGCCCTCCAGATCTGCTTCGACGCGAAGCTCTTCGACTCTCTCAGAGCGATCTCCGACGACCTGGGAAGCGACACTGACCCTGATCTCCTGCAGAAGGTGGGAGACTTCTTCATGTCTCACTCGCAGTACGACAAGGCTGTCCAGCTGTTTGTCACCTGCAAGCAGCCCAAGCATGCTCTCGAGCTCTGTGAGAAGTACAAGGTGGAGATGACGGAGACCATGGCAGAGAAGATCACGGAGCTGCTCCCGGAGAAGGAGGCAGACGCCGAGCTGAGAAACTCGATGCTGAAGAGGATAGCAGACATCTGTGTACAGCAGCAGAACTATCACCTGGCAACGAAGAAGTACACGCAGGTGAGTAGACTCCTCGTCCTCACTCCCTCCACCTCCTTCCTCTTACGCTCTCGTGGCAGGCTGGGATGAAGGACAAAGCGATGGACGCGCTCCTCAAGTCAGGAGATACCGAGAAGATCATTTTCTTTGCCGGAGTGCTGAGATCCAAGGAGATCTACATCAGAGCTGCCAACTACCTGCAGACACAGAACTGGCATACAGAGCCAGAGATTATGAAGAAGATCATCGAGTTCTACAACAAGGCCAAGGCCTACAAGCAGGTAACTTGCGCGGGCTCCTGTCCTGTTCTCTCACCTTGTCCCTCCAGCTCGGCATGTTCTACGACTCTTGTTCCCAAGTAGAAATCGACGAGTATCGCGACTACGAGAAGGCTCTGGATGCTTTGAAGGAGAGCAAGAAATATCTTGTCAAGGCTGACGAGGACTGTACAATGCTCGACCGACGGATACAGCTGATCGAAGTCTTCGTGCGAGCTAAGAGCCTGGTCAAGGACGACCCCAACGAGTTTGTACAGACTTGCTATCAACTGCTGGAGACCCCGAAGTTGGACGTGGCTGTGCAGGTAGGGACAGGGAAAGGATGTGCCGGGGCTCCTGACGGGGGGATGCAGGTTGGCGACGTCTTTGCCCTGTTGATCGAGTTCTTCTTCAGTGAACAAGACTTCCAGCAGTGTTATCAGCTCATCGAAAAGATGCGGCAGGTGCGGCAGATTCCGATCGCTCCCAACCTTCCCTTCTTTTGTTCTTCTCCCTCCCTCTCCATCCCTGTTTCTATTGGAGTTCGTGCTGCCTGTGTTGGAGCGAGCTGAATTGTTGGATGTTGCAGAGGAGAATCCTGCTGGGGCCTTACCTGGATCAGTCGATGGTGGACACGATCTATCGCAAGATGAACATCCACGTCCCAGCAGACAACGACGAGGTCGACGAGGAGATCGATAGCGACATGTGAACATTATAGAAAAAATTTAATGAAAAATGAGATGAGAGGCTCCTGATTCCTTGACAAAATCTCAGAGTGAACATCGCAATCACTTGCTCGCGGTCATTGAGGCTTCGAGCACCAGTTGGGAAACGTGAACATGTCCGCGAAAGAGAACCTGGACGTCTCGTTAGCTTCGCAAACTTTAGTCACCGACACTCACCAGTTCTTGCCCCTCGAGGAGCGGTTGTTTTTCAAGGCGTTCTGGATGATCGGTCTCTTGCTCACCGTCTTGTTCGGTCCAGCCTCCCCAGCTTCGTCCTGAAGGATGTCTGATCACAAAGAGACTGTGATAATGAACTTCTGCGAACCTCGTCGAAAGATACATGTTGTGACAACTCTTCTGACAGCTCTTGGGCTACTTCAAACAACTCATCGCATTCCTTCGTCTGAAAGACACATCACTGACAACTATCACGTCGTCAAACCTGACCTTAGCCACCAGCTGATTCTTTGACTCCTCCAGCTCCTCGGACAGGAACTCTATCCTCTTCAAGAGGATCATCCTTTCTGCATCTCCTCGCTTTCCTGAGCTAGAGGTCAACACAGCTGCTTCAGGCGAGAACAGACTGACTCTCTTCATCCACCATCTTCAGCCCGTGCTTGATGGCCTCGTCCTTCCACTTGACGTTTCTATCCTCTTCGATGTGGTTCAACCTGTCACTGCGACACACACATCAGGCGGGGGCAGCTTCACAATGGTGGAAGCACATGTTCATGCGGAGGATGCGTTCTAGTTCTTTCACGTTGTCATATGCAGCAGCAAAGTCCTGGGGGGTATGAGGGGAATGGTGTGTATCAGAGAGCTTGTCGACGGAATGCAGGGAGCGGGGCAGGCCGCCTGCCATCAACGCCTCTGACATGTCAACATGTGGCTCTTTCTTCCATTCAGCATCTCCATTGCTCATTTTCACACGGGGTGTCGCTTGCTTGCTCAGGGTTTCTCTTGTTCTTTCTTCGACAGTGATGATTTCATTGCTCCTGGGTTCACATGTCAGCTCTCGATTCCACCTGCCTCCACCTCATCACATCAGGATACGAGCTTCAGATAGCAGCTTCTTGGTATCTATATGCTTCAATCTTTGATCATCTAATGCAACTTCGATGAATTACACGCCCAGACCCTGAAAAAGAACAAGGGTCACTTATTGCACTTGTCATCAAAACCGTGTTGTAATAGAACGACAGTAGAATGGTCGCATTCAAGGTTTTTCTGGCCATTCTTTGAATGATTGCTTACAAATCTCATACAGCGCTATATGCACTTTGTTGCAGACCTTGATTCTTTTCAAAGAGCTTGTTTTGCAGAGGGGAGCAAACGCGTTGCACAATTGACAAGTCACACAGATTTCAATTTTTGCCCCATGTCGTTCTCACATCCACGGCGCAAACTATCTTTGATACGTTCTGTATCCCTGTCATTGGGTGTATGCGGCCTTCATGAAGGCATCAACAAGCGCATCAGCATCAGCATCAGCATTTGCCATCTCTCCTGCTCTTTTCCCCCATCGCCCTCCATTTCCGCCTTACAAAATTCTACCCCTACCCCTGCCACCACCCATGACCAGTGCACCCCCACCCTATGTCAATGTACCCCCACGTGTGAAGAAGATATCAGCATCCGCCTACCTTCATCTACACCCTGTCAACCTTGCAACTCTCCCTTTTACTGTCCTCTGAGAAACCCACTACCTTCGATCTCCACCGGTAAAGTACCACCCTATCCCCTTGTATACTCCCCAAATTCCCCATTGAACAACCCACCCACCCCCCATCATTGACTGTGTATCGTCGGTCCATCTTGCCCCCCGAACTTCGATTCCTTTTTCCGGACCTCCTGACCCCTCATACAGCACGATTATTTGAACGGCTGCAACGCAACGGCTGCAACGCAACTGAAGTTTGCGGTTTTGAAAAGTTTTCTCCTGGAGCCTGGCGGAGTCAATGAGCTCAGAGGCGCTGTATGGGGACCTGTGAAGGATCCTGCTTCTGATCGTCTGCGTGAGAGTCTCTTTCCGAAGTATCGAGATCGCATGGGTCTTGGCCGCCGGGGCGTCCTCCTCGAAGTCTCACGTAGTTGGAGAAACCTGAGGTTTATGCTGCCTGTTTCTTTGTTTCTCTCTGGTTTGCTCCTGATCCCATCCATATGAGTAAGGAAAGTTGTAAAATCGAGTCGCTATCTTCAGTATGAAGAATAAAATCTGAAAATTAACGCAAACCAAGAGCCCTACTATCACGTAGGCAGCGAAGGCCCCAGCTCCCGTCCCTCCCATCGCCTAGACAGCCGCACTGCAAAGTCGGCAGTCCGTGACGATCATGATGGAAGCGGATAGACCCGACGCGCGCCGTGTAGACGAGGGGATGGTGACTCGGTTGTTTATTCATCGCATACACCCACAGCCGCCTCCTCCTCCTCTACATGTATACACACACCGCTCCTCCGGCCCGTCCTCCTACGCTACCTCACGGCCTTCTCCTACCGCTGCTTCCGGATCTCGCCGGTGGAGATGAGGGAGCTGCCTGTCTGGTCCGCCTGGCCGTGGCGGGTCGGGGCGTAGAGGATGAAGTTGCCCATGGCGTCGATCGACCGGCCCATCGTCCTGCCGGTCGCCTGGAGCACGTGGAAGTAGGAGCTGTGCTCCTCGACGCCGCCGGCGGGGGAGATCGACGGGGATGCAGGAGAGCCCTCGGGGAGGCGGGCGGGCGGGTGTGCGGGAGCGGCGACGGAGTCCGGACATGAGGAGGCATGCGCGGAGCTTGCTGCTTGCTCGCAGCCAGCCGGGACGAGAGCCATGCAGGTCATGACGGCAGAGGGAAGACTGATGAAACAGAGGGGAAGAGTGTTGTTGAGGATCAGCGGGGGAGAGGGGGCGGAAGGGGCGGAGGAGGATCCGGGGCTGGAAGCAAGACAGACAGACAGACAGACAGACAGACAGACAGACAGAGAGGATGGGGATACTATGATAGGAATGCAGGCTGGGAGAGATGGGCGACCAAGGGCGATGGGGATAGAGGAAGGGAGGGGGGAGGGGCTTGGGATATGTAGGGGGGAGAGTGGGTCTTAGGATGCAATGGTTCGGTAGTCCCTGCGGAGCGGTGCGGTTTCTCAGTCAGACAAGCGTCAAGTTGCACAAGGAGTAAACTGTGAGCGACCAGGCTCGTGATCAAGAGTATCGCGCCATGAGTGCTGATTTGTTGAAACCCTAACTCCCGCCGGTCTCGGCTCTCGCCGGGAGTACGGGAGAACGAGATGGGAGTAGGGGAGAACGAGATGGGAGTAGGAGAGAACGTGATGGGAGTCTGAGGCGGGGGCGGGGGGCAAGGAATATCTTGGAACGGCAGCCTCTGCTTCGACGTGCCCAGGCGATAGAGTCCGTCAGCGACTGTAAGCCCTTGAGGAGCGAGCCTCCGGACATGGCAGGGCTCATAGGGTCCAGGCGATGCGATATCGGACAGGGCCGGGTTGAGTCGTGTGGGAGGTGGAGGCAAGAGCCGGGAGGTCGCTGCTGTCCGATTGTACACCCACAGACCGTACGGGGGCCGAGCGAGTGACAAGATCCCCGCGGAGGGGTGTGTTCTGTCAGTCAGAGAAGGCTGATCCAGACAATCACTGCCGATGCCTCGACGTGACCAGGCGATACTAATGGTCAGCGGCTGGAGCGGCTGCCAAGTCGGGCGGTCAGTGTATCTCGCCCCGGCGGGCCGCTGCGAGGGCTCGTCACTGCCAGTCCGGGGGGGGAGACTGGAACCTGACGGGCGGGAACTGCCTGCTTGGAGCCTCAGGGCCTTGTCACCGTCGGGCACTGAGGCCGGCCGACTCGGCGAGTCCCGGAAGTCCAGGCCGATCAACCGTATAGAGACGGGCAGCCCCGCATGGTCGGCGTCGGAGGTCAGAGCTGGGAGCCTGGACCCTCCTTGCTTTGCCTGTGGCAGGCAGCGAAGGCCCCAGCTCCCGTCCCTCTGATCGCCTAGACAGCCGCACTGCAAAGTCGGCAGCCCGTGACGATCATGATGGAAGCGGATAGACCCGATGCGCGCCGTGTAGACGAGGGGATGGTGACTCGGTTGTTTACTCATCGCATACACCCACAGCGGTCTTCTCCTCCTCTACATGTATACACACACCGCTCCTCCGACCCGTCCTCCTACGCTACCTCACGGCCTTCTCCTACCGCTGCTTCCGGGTGTCGCCGGTGGAGATGAGGGAGGTGCCTGTCTGGTCCGCCTGGCCGTGGCGGGTCGGGGCGTAGAGGATGAAGTTGCCCATGGCGTCGATCGACGGGCCCATCGTCCTGCCGGTCGCCTGGAGCACGTGGAAGTAGGAGCTGTGCTCCTCGACGCCGCCGGCGGGGGAGATCGACGGGGATGCAGGAGAGCCCTCGGGGAGGCGGGCGGGCGGGTGTGCGGGAGCGGCGACGGAGTCCGGACATGAGGAGGCATGCGCGGAGCTTGCTGCTTGCTCGCAGCCAGCCGGGACGAGAGCCATGCAGGTCATGACGGCAGAGGGAAGACTGATGAAACAGAGGGGAAGAGTGTTGAGGATCAGCGGGGGAGAGGGGGCGGAAGGGGCGGAGGAGGATCCGGGGCTGGAAGCAAGACAGACAGACAGACAGACAGACAGACAGACAGACAGAGAGGATGGGGATGATGGGGATAGGAATGCAGGCTGGGAGAGATGGGCGACCAAGGGCGCTGGGGATGGAGGAAGGGAGGGGGGAGGGCTTGGGATATGTAGGGGGGAGAGTGGGTCTTAGGATGCAATGGTTCGGTCGCCCCCCGCGGAGCGGTGCGGTTTCTCAGTCAGACAATCGTGAAGGTGTACCGTGAAGGAGTAAACCCAAACTCCCGCCGGTCTCGGCTCTCGCCGGCTCGGAGTAGGGGAGTACGAGATGGGAGCCTGAGGCGGGGGCGGGGGGCAAGGAATATCTTGGAACGGCAGCCTCTGCTTCGACGTGCCCAGGCGATAGAGTCCGTCAGCGATTGTAAGCCCTTGAGGAGCGAGCCTCCGGACATCTCAAGCGTCGCGGTCTTGGCAGGGCTGCGGTCCGTCAGGGTCCGATCTGGCAGGGCTCATATGGTCCATGCAATATCGGACTGGGCCGGGTTGAGGATAGCGTCGTCGTGTGGAAGGTGGAGGGATGGAAGGGCCGAGACTCAGTGGGCCGTGCCAGTGACAAGATCCCCGCGAAGGGGTGTGTTCTGTCAGTCAAAGAAGAAATAAGGTCAGCGGCTGGAGCGCCTGCCAAGTCGGGCGGTCAGTGTATCTCGCCCCGGCGGGCCGCTGCGAGGGCCCGGCCGGCGCATCGGGAAGGAGACTGGGAACTTGAGAAACCGCCTGCTTGGAGCCTGGTCACCGTCGGGCACTGAGGCCGGCCGACTCGGCGAGTCCCGGAGTCCAGGCCGATCAACCGTATAGAGACGGGCAGCCCCCGCATGGTCGGCGTCGGAGGTCAGAGCTGGGAGCCTGGACCCTCCTTGCTTGCCGCTGCCTGTGGCAGGCAGCGAAGGCCCCAGCTCCCGTCCCTCTGATCGCCTAGACAGCCGCACTGCAAAGTCGGCAACCCGTGACGATCATGATGGAAGCGGATAGACCCGACGCGCGCCGTGTAGACGAGGGGATGGTGACTCGGTTGTTTACTCATCGCATACACCCACAGCGGTCTTCTCCTCCTCTACATGTACACACGCCGCTCCTCCGACCCGTCCTCCTACGCTACCTCACGGCCTTCTCCTACCGCTGCTTCCGGATCTCGCCGGTGGCGATGAGGGAGGTGTCTGTCTGGTCCGCCTGGCCGTGGCGGGTCGGGGCGTAGAGGATGAAGTTGCCCATGGCGTCGATCGACGGGCCCATCGTCCTGCCGGTCGCCTGGAGCACGTGGAAGTAGGAGCTGTGCTCCTCGACGCCGCCGGCGGGGGAGATCGACGGGGATGCAGGAGAGCCCTCGGGGAGGCGGGCGGGCGGGTGTGCGGGAGCGGCGACGGAGTCCGGACATGAGGAGGCATGCGCGGAGCTTGCTGCTTGCTCGCAGCCAGCCGGGACGAGAGCGATGCAGGTCATGACGGCAGAGGGAAGACTGATGAAACAGAGGGGAAGAGTGTTGAGGATCAGCGGGGGAGAGGGGGCGGAAGGGGCGGAGGAGGATCCGGGGCTGGAAGCAAGACAGACAGGCAGACAGACAGACAGACAGACGGACAGACAGACAGACAGACAGACAGACAGAGAAGATGGGGATACTATGATAGGAATGCAGGCTGGGAGAGATGGGCGACCAAGGGCGCTGGGGATGGAGGAAGGGAGGGGGGAGGGCTTGGGATATGTAGGGGGGAGAGTGGGTCTTAGGATGCAATGGTTCGGTAGTCCCCGCGGAGCGTTGCTTGTTTTCAGGCGATACACAATCCGCTCGCAGCCTCCGACTGCTGCTTCCAAAGTTCAGTATATATCTACAGGCTGGCCTCAACTGATACGGTCAGATATGGCCTGCGACCGTATGGTTTCGGCCCGCCCGGGCCGGCCGGTTTCCCATCGGCGGTATCGGAGCGCCTTTCGGCTGAGTACTACTAGTGACTCAGTGAAGTTAAGTTAAAAATCAGTGCGAGGACTTGAACTCGTAGTAGAGTCACCGTGGCACTGGCCGCGCCTCGGCCCTTCAGACTCACTCGCGGCCGCATTCGTGCCGTTCACGGTTGAAACCGTTGAACGAAGTAACGGTCACTTCTTTGCTGCCAGCCTGCCAGGCTGCATGCGCGGCCAATAATACGCCGCGGCGCGGCCCGCCGGATCGAAAAGACTGAGGCCGGTCACTGCGGCATGGACGGTGCTATGATAAACGTGACTGCCGGGACCATGAATTTGAAATTCAGGGCCCGGGCCGCCCGTTGCGCTTGCCCTCAAGGGTCCGGCCCGGCCCCCGGCCGCCGCCCGGGCCGGGCTGCGGCCGCCGGACGGCACTGATCATTACGCGGCCGGGTCAGTGACCGTCGCCGTGGCCCCGGCGGGCCACAGTGAGCCGGCCGCCGCTCAGTGCCCCGCCCGGCGGGCAGGGCCTCAGCGGCCCCGGCCCACTCAGTCACGGCCGACTGCAGCAGCGACTGCAGTGCCGACTCGCGATCGGATCAGTGAGGGGACGAGGGGTCGTTGCGAGCGGTCGGTGTCTCTTCAGGCTTTGCCGATGGCAGGAGGGGTGGAGGCGATGCCGCTAGTGGGCCATGGCGCGGGGAAGCGCGGAGGACGTGGCGCCATGGGTGTAGCATCTGTCATCCTGATTGTTGCTGTAGTTAGCAAATCTGCAATCTTCATGGGGCTTGCATCTTCTGCAGACAGTCTGCTTGCAAGACAGGACCCGAGGTTTGGAGGCATGGATGGTTTGGGGGTTTTGGCACGAGGAAGAAGGGAGGGCGATCGGATGCAGAAACTCACATCAGTGGAAGCTCAGGTTTCTCCCTTGTTCCCCAGACCACTTCATTCTGCGCGAAGCTCGTTCTTTTCGGACCCTGCTGCAGATGGAGTACTCGCTAGCCTTCCTTCACACCGTCACCCCAACATGTTGGGCAGGATGGATGAGCGATACGCTACAGCAAGTCCAATCCAATATGATATGAACCAAGGAAGTGAACAAGCTGAGGGCGCACTTGCGAGGTCTCCCAGCCATGGCGCTGCAGTGTATGGGTCTCTCAGTGTGAAGTTCAAATCTGATCTCAGCAATGCGCGCGGAGCATTGGCCTCTCCGAGATTCAAGAACAGTTTTGCATGGGCCACGCCAGCACACGACGATGGCTGGTCAGTTAGCTACAAGAGTGATGGATGGAACAAGGAGCCTTCTGACAAAAGTTGGGACGTGGCTGGCTCGGATGCCGCTTGGAAGAAGGGTCCAACGATGGCGGAAACCAGGGGAGCTCTTTTCAACTCCAAGGACTCGGATTCCAACGGGGTCTTGGCCTCCGTGAAAACGGATCCAGAGACGAATGGAGCCCTTGCAGGCTTTTCGGACAAGGATGCCCAAGGGTCCCTCGCCCTTGTGAAACAGAGCGACGTTGGTGGAAGCTTGTTCAGTGTCTCCAAGGACAGCAAGCTGGCAGGCGGAGACCTCTTGTCACTCTCTAAGGGATCTATGAAGAACGACAACGTGATTGGATCATTGTCTGATACAAGATACATGCACAAAGATGAGCAGATCGACGGTTCCTTGGCTGCCAGCAAAGGCTCGAACCCGGCGGGATCGTTGCAGAATGTGCATGCAGATGCTGTAGATGACGATGGAGAGCTTGCATCTCTGAATCACAGAGCAACCAAGATGCATGGATCTTCTTCTCTGGTGAAGGCAAGAACACATCAAGTCGAAGCTTCACATCCCCACTCGCATTCTGACAAGAAAGTGAAGGAATCAGCGATTGATGAGCTCATGAAGCAAGATGATGCTACTTTGAAGAAGATCGTGCAGATGGCAAAGAGAAAGGCCAAGATGCTGGAGGAGAAGGTTGAAGAGGCAAAACAGGAGCAGCATGACAATGTCCAGGTGCACAAGAAGTCTCCGGTGAAGCAGAGTAAGATTACATCGATCCAAGTCGACAAGCCCCAGGCGCACAAAGAGCATTTGAAGGAGCAAGCTTCCAGGATACATGCTCTGCACAAAGTCCACAAGCAGAATCTCTCGGTGGAGAGGGACATCTCGAAGTCAGACTTGTCGATGCACAGGAAGGGCACTTCTTCGCTTCAAGGTGGATCGAACTCAACAGGAAGTCCATATGAAGATGAGGACATCGGATGGGAGAAGCACCATTGGAACCTCACTACATGGGTGATTTTCATCATGGCTGGTCCCGTCTTCACAAGTGTGATGACTGGTATTGTGGGTCACACCTCGGGATTTGTCGCGGCTGCTTGCACCTGTATCATTCTTGTGTGCATGGACATCGCAGCCTATTACTACAGCTGGTTTATCTGGTAGATTCAAAACATTACTTGCTCTGTCTTTTTGGTACCCGAATAAAAACTTCTTTTGCAATTTTCCGCTCTGATGAACAACATTTCGCTCTTCCACTCAAACAGCAACAATCGCGCAGTCTGCCCTGTGGGGAACACGTTTCACCGAACGCCTTTACTCGAGAGTATATACAAATCGCTGCGTTGACTCGATGCCCCCTCACGGACTACACCTTGCCAATCATATGAGGCACATCGGTTGCCAAGGACTGTCCGGATGGATTCGAAGGTGCGCGTTCATGATGTGCATGGCATCCTTTGGGCGTTTCTTCAAGATCGCCATCTGCGTTTGTCTGCGTCTTTGTCAGCGCTAGAACAAGGGATGAGATCGGAGGATGATACTTCTTGAGGTCGTCGGTGGCGACGTGTTCGTCTTTGATCGAGCCCATCAGCGTGGCCCATCTTGAAGGTAGGATCACAAACGTATGAGCAATACCGTCAAGATGCAGGCAGGAACGAGTGATAGTGCGATCGATCCAAGTCTGAGCAGGCCGTGGGTACTTCTTTACCTGGATCCCCTCATTTGCATGCGGATTTGACCTTATCTCCATGGAGGAGGACGCCCTACATAGCGAGCTGGCAGCGCCGATCGGGGAAGCCATCCCCTGCATCAGCGACCCATAGCTGCCAGTCCTCATCCTGTCAAGATTATTCTGAATGAGAGGAAGACTGGAGGTCTTCTCTAGGAACCCCCGCTTCCTCAAGGCATGCAGCTCTTCCAGGTTCGTCGGGGCGTATCTCCTCATCCTTGCTTGCAGCGAGATGGTGACATTGTCCTTGGCAGTCTTGCCCGGAGGTGGGAGGAGCCGGTCCCGAGTATCTCGCCGAGCAGTCAGGTGATCGGGAGCAGGTCTCACCTCAGAAGCAGGCAGCATCGAGCCTGGAATAAGGCAGCTTAACAACCCCCGTGCCGCGCAGTGCTGCTCAATACCCGGTTGATGAACACTGGCCTGAGAGTGCAGCACTGAGGTTTGCAAGTAGCCTAGCAGGAGAGCTGTCGCTCGGGAGAGAGGGAAAGGGGCAGCAGGTTGAGAGCAGACTGTAGAGGCCAGACAGTGATGAGGGGGGAGCGCCTGAGGGGAGCAGGTCACTAGTAGCAGCGCCCTCTGCAGTGACTAGCGTGGCACGACGGCAAGGGAGCAAGCAAAGGAGCCTGCAGCTCCTGCTGTACGGTCGGTCAACTGACGTAGGTCCGGGGACAAAAGTGGGCCAGGGTCAAATACAGTACTAAGTACCTCCTCAGTGACCGGTCACCCGGAGACCAGTGGGCCCGGCCCGTCCGACTGAGTGACTTGTCGGACTCAGGGGCCGGGGGTCCGCCAGATGATTATGTAACTGACGATAACGGTCTCAGTCTGGGCTTGCGCAACTGGGTTTGAAAACGTTTTAAAGTGATTCTGCCTGGTAGTGATTGGAGCCCCGCTCCTTGTACCAAAATTTCCTTATGTATCTTATTTCTGTACCAGCTACCTATTAATAGGTGTTGCTAAATCATTTTAGTATGGCACTCTAGTACACATGCCTGCTGACCTATATTCTGTTTTAGTGTATTTTACATTTACTTTTCAACTTAAATTACTAATAAAAGTCCCAACACTTCCGCCTCCTCTCCTCTCAACGTCCCCTTCACTCCCGGCGCACCTGCTTCTCCCCCCACTTCCCCCCTCCCCCTCCCCCTACCCCTCCTCCTCCTCCTCATCCATCTTGGTGCTCTCGTCTTGTCGCCTCGTCTCGATTGAGGTAACTTTCGATCCGCGTCAACGGCTCCTTGTGCGATGGCGAGTGCCACAGCGGAGGCTGGGCCGTATTTTTTTTTTCTTGCGAAGGTGTAGTGGAGAGAGATGCTTGATTTATCTTGACTCAATCGCCATGCTTAGTTTCGTACTGCAGACTGATGCATGCTCAGTGTGATTCTGCTTGGTTTTCTGCAATGATGTGTTATGTTCTTGCTGGCCAATCTTGCACTTGTTTTTTGTTTTTCGTTGATTATTAGATGTTGTTGACAGGAATGGCTCATCTGCACCAATGCCTAATCCTGTCCTCATTGCTACTTGGAGTCTACTCGAGTGGAACGCTGCCGACCTTTCCCAGGCATGGAAGATTGTATTCCAAGGTAACTTGCACTTGAAGAACATGATTGGTTCGACTACGAACAATGTTTTGTGGTGGCAAACTTCGAAGCCACGATCTGACTTTGTTGTGTTCATCAGTTCATTCAGAGCCCGCAACCTCTTAGACTCAAGGGGGGGTTTGCTGTCACACCAGCCTCACCTCTTCCCATCTCGGAGAAATCAACTGCAAAAGCAGCAATCGACGGGAAAGTCACGCTTGTGTTTTCCATCGGCTATGGGTTGGACAATGGCGTCATGGTAGTCAGTGGGCCAAGTGATATTCTAGGTAGAGGGGATGCAAATCGTGCTCCGAAGATGCAACGGAAGGGAGGAGAACAATGGGAACTGACGCTGGAAGTTCCTCTGGACAAGGATGTTTTGGTCTACAATTACATTGCAATGTCGAACACACACAGATACGAGGCCAGAATCTGTGAGAGATCCATCAGTCTGTCAGGTTTGAAGCCTGGTACAAAGGTTCACCTGCAAGATTCATTCCGATCTCCCAAGGTGGCTACACTCGCCACCTCCTGCTTCGCGAAGGCCATCTTTGGCCGAGGGAACGCTGAGCAGTACACCAAAACGGAAAACAAGGTGGTCTCACCATCGGAGATCATGTGGGATGCTGTTGCAGATGATGAGGCATCAGTGAGGTTCGTGGTGTTTGCTCCTCGCCTCGAGGCTGGGCACAGCGTATGGGTGTCGGGAAGGTGCGAGGTTTGAAACGGGAGGAGGAAGGACTTACTGTTTGGTCTCGGCAGCGTTGAGGCTCTCGGGAAATGGTCCACGTCAAGTTATTTGCCCATGGCGCATGTTGGCTCTCATGTATATGTTGGCCAGGTTGATGAGCCATGCACATGTCAAGATTGTGACTTGACGTCTTGTGTTCTCAAAAGGTAAAGGTCAAGAAGTCGGAGTTGCCTGTCGAATTCAAATATGTCGTGCTCGACAGGTGATCATTGACTGAGCGTGCATCCGACCTTGTGAGCTGATTCCTCCTTTTGTCAAGCAATGGACAAGTTGTCTGCAAGGAGAAGGGAGACAACAGGAAGGTTGCTTCGAACTCGGATACAAGATTCGTGGTGTCAGACTCAACTTTCAACTATCCCACCGCTGTCTACAGATCTGCAGGAGTTGCCATTCCTGTGTCTGGTTGGCCCGAAGCTAACCTGATGCCGTCTTGTGACGCTGCCGTGCAGGCATCAAAACGTCGGACTCGATGGGCATTGGAGAGTTTCTGGATCTGATGAAAGTCGTGGATTGGTGCAAGTTGACAGGGTTACAACTGATTCAAGTCCTTCCGATCAACGACTCCGGGGAGGACCCTTCCCCTTACAGGCAATCTTACAGCATGCAAGGGCCGTGGGCCGTAACCATGTGCACTTCAGCGCCTCCTCGTCGTTTGCCCTTCACCCGAGTTACATTCGACCAGCAGCTGTGTGCGAGTATTACAATAAGAGGTTTGGCGTTGACGCCTCCGGTTGTGAGAATTGGGCCAAGGGCCTGGTAGATCAGGTGAGCTTGCAATGGCTGCCTCTCCTCTCCTCTCCTCTCCTCCCTTCCCCGCCCCTCCTCTCCTCTCCTTTCCCTTTACCTGCTCTCCTTTCACCTGCTCTCCGCTGCTTCTTCATTCGATGTGATTGAACGTTTCTGCTTTAGCTGAACAAGAACTGGAGGATAGACCATCCCAAGGTGATGGATGAGAAACGAAAACTCATGGATGCAATCTTCGATAAGGTGATCGATCTTCTTTCTGGGCTGCCCGCAATTTTGATTCAGTCGACAGGTCGGAATCGATGTCATCATGAAGGACCCCGAGCTACAGAAATGGGCGGAAGCCAGCTCCTCTTGGTTGAAGACTTACGCAGCATTCAAAGTTCAGCTCGCTAAAGAGAGAACTTTCAACAACAAATGGTCAAGATTGACAACCAGACAATGAAATGCTAATTCAGTGCAGGTGGGATTGTACGACGTGGAGGGTCCATGCAGATGAAGCGGATTCCATGACGCGCGAGCAGAGTCTGGACTATCCAACGGTGAGAGTGAGGCCTGGCAGTGGACTCACTGACCTCTTACCTCACAAGGTTGCGCGAGTTTACTTCATCCAATACCATCTCCATCACCAGCTCAAGGAGGCTTCTCGCTACGCTGAGCTCAACGGCATTGCCCTTAAGGGCGATATCCCCATGTGAACCGACTTGTCCTGATCCTGAGCCCGCCTGACACTGATTTGTCTGCAGAGGAGTCACAAGATGCTCGAGCGACGTGTGGGCTGGTTGTTCCCGCCTCCTGCGGTTGCCTCGTTGCTCACTGGAACTTCAGAGCCGAATCTCTTCAAGCTCGACAGAAACGCTGGTGCGCCTGGTTATCCGGAGCAGGTGAGACTTTCTTTCTCATGATCGCAAGGTGAGGGATGTGGCAGAACTGGGGTTTTCCTCCCTACAACTGGGATGAGATGCACCGAGACGGTTGCAAGTGGTGGCGGCGACGCCTTCAGCACATGGAGCAGGTGACGGAGAAACAGCAGTCTCATCCTTCTCCTCCCTTCTCCTTCCTTCCCTCCCATCCCGTCCCCTTCCTCCTTTCTCTTCGCTCCTGTTCTCTCCCTATCTTCTTTCCTCGCCGTATGCTCTCCAGATGAAGCGGAAAACTTGAGTTCACATTTGTGTGCAGTATTTCCACGCTTATCGCATCGATCACGTCCTCGGATTCTTCCGCATGTGGGAGATCCCCAAGCATGGAGGAGGTGGACAGTACGTGCCCCAGGGAGGCCTGCGCGAGGTGAGGAGGAGCAGGAGGCACTAGAAGAACGCTGATGGCCCGTGCAGTGGGGACTCAAAAACCTCCGAGCCATCCAGGTTTGGCAGGAGGAGGGAAAGAAGGGGGCAGAAGGGAAGAGGAGGGAATGGGGAGGGGAAGGAGATTGCAGTAGAGGAGGAGGAAGGAAGGTCGTTTTTGAAATTCGTGGGGCAGACTGCGTCCAACATGATGATCTGTGGAGAGGATCTCGGAAACGTTCCTCCTGAGGTGTTCTTCCTCCTCCTACCTCTTCCTCTGCTACCCTCCCTCTCGCCAACCCCATCCCACCTGCTCTTCTCACTCTGCTCGTCCTCCTCCGACTTCATTCACCATCTCTCAAGGTTCCTCCCGTACTCTTGGAACTCGGCGTGCTTGGATTGAGAATCCAACGGTGAGCAGCAAAAAGCAGCAAACATGTAGAAGTGACAGGATTTTACAAGATGGTGCGATGGACACACGTGGAAGTACGATTACCTTTCTGTCGCTGGTAGGAACTGAACTTCGCTTCTCCCTCCTTTCCCCTCTTCTTCTTCTGCTCTCCTCTCTCTCTTTCTGCGTTTGCCGCTACCACTTTCCCGCTTCCTCCATTACTTTCTCTGCGCCATCCTTCACTTGTCTTAACTTGTTGCCCGCAAGCTTCGTCCTGCCACGACTGCTCTCCCTGCCGCCTGTGGTGGAACGAGGAGTGGGGCTCAGTGGAGGTGAGCAAGAGAGACAAGGGAGGAGGGGAGAGAGTTCAAAGGGTGCCTGTGGGAGGAAAAAGGAGGAGGAGGGAGCTACTCGAGGAGAGGAGGGAGCTACTCGAGGGGAGGAGGGAGCTACTCGAGGGGAAGGGGGAGGGAGGAGGATGATTGAGGTGCTGCCAGGGATGGTACAACTTCTTCATCGGCAAGGGCGAATGCCCTGGTGGTCCGCCGGACTGGGTGAGCCAGCACATTATCAAGCTCCATGCAGAGAGCACGTCCATGTGGACGATCAACCCAATACAGGCACGTGACACTCCCCACTCAGCTGCTCTTCCTTCCTCTCCCTTGCCTACTAACAGTCCTGCCCTCGTTTCCTTCCTCCTGTCGTCTCCTCCTCCCTGTCGTCTCCTCCCTCCTCTTCACCACGTTTCTTCTCCCTTCGTTTCTCTCTCTTTTCATGTCACTCCCCCCGCTTGCTTGAACTGCTTGAGCTGCTCTTTGCATTTCTTGGTGATTTTGCTTGTCAGGATTACATTGACATGTGGGAGAATCTTCGATCTCAAAACTGCAAGAACGACATCATAAACAGACCAGGGCAGGTATAGCACAAATGAAGAGGACGGGGAGGGAGGAGGGTGGCTGAGGAGTGGGCAGAAGAAGCCAGAGGAGATAAGAGGAGAGAGAGAGAGGAGATGAGATTCGAGAGTAGATGAGCTGGAGGATAGGAGAGGAGAGAGTACAGCAGTGAAAGGAGGGAAGAGGAGAGGAGGAGAAGAGAGGAGAGGAGAGAAAGAGGAGAGGAGAGGAAGAGCAGAGCAGAGCAGAGCAGAGCAGAGGAGGAGAGGAGAGGAGAGGAGAGGAGAGAGTGGTGATACGAAAGGAGAGAGGATGAGAGACAAGTGACGAGGATATGAACAGACGGAGAACTGCTGGGTGTATCGATGCCATCTGAGGATGGAGAAGCTCCTAGAAGCAAATGATGTAATCTTATCTCCTTCTCCTTGCTTCTCTTCTGAGACTTTTATTCCACTAGTTCAACAATTTCTTGAAGAAGATGTTACAAGGAGCGGGCCGAGGGACCGTGTACTGAGGAAACGGAGCTCACCTCACTACTAGATCACTACACAGATACAAACAGAAACAACATGGATGGTTCAAAGCATGAATGGTTTCCTAGTGTTCTTAAGTGTTCTTGATAATTGACAGCTTGCCTCCGCTCTTGCTGAACTTCCCTGCGATCTCCCTCTCTATCTTGTTTGAAATCTCTGCCGTCAGCTTCTTGCTGAGCTTGTCACCGAAGGTCTGCTTCTTCGCCTTGTAGGCCTTCAGTCCCTTCTTAGTCGAGTTCGCTTTCTTGATCTTGTTCACGACCTGCGGCTTCTTTGACTTCAAGCTCCCTTGCGGCATCTGCTGAAGAAGTTTAGCGACGTGGATCACTAGATCTGAATGAATGATTTGCTGTCCCCTAACATAAACTCTCTTCTTAGTCCTGCCCTTTCTTCCTTTGATCTGCGCTTCACATCATGATCTAATTGACTTCAACTAACACTGACATATTCCATCACTTGCTCCACTTCTTCAATTATTCCTATCACCCTCTTCAACTGTCACAACCTCCTATTGTATCGACATCTTACTGATTTGATTGCACACCACCGTATGCCAACTCCTGGCAACCTTTCCTGCTCCTGCTCCTGCTCCTGATCCTGATCCTGATCCTGCTCCTGCTCCTGCTCCTGCTCCTGCTCCTGCTCCTCCTGCCCCTGCCCCTGCCCCTGCCCCTGCCCCTGCCCCTGCCCCTGCCCCTGCCCCTGCCCCTGCTCCTGCCCCTGCTCCTGCTCCCATGTGCAACACTGCATGTGCGAAACTGCCGTGATTCGATTGATTTAAACCGATTATCCAATCTAGAGAAACGACCTGTATCAAACCGGTTCAAATCATACTCATAAGCGAGGCATGTTGAGGGTGGCGGCAATCGCTACCGTCATGGTGGCAGGAGCAGAAGGGGCAGCGAGCCTGAGCGCCTTCTCCCATGCCGGAAGCGCTCCTGCCTTTCCTGGCATGGACAGCAAGATCGCGATGAGATCCAGTGTATGCACTACTCTCCTTCTTGTTGGTTGATGAAACCTTGTTTCCCAGAAATGTAGTGGACCGATGAAACTTGTCTGCTCGCAATCCAATCAGGTTAACGGCATACACCATCCTTCATCTCACGTGCGTGATTTCAGAATTTCACTCCGTTCCCGCAGGTCCCACGTCGAGCTGTGCTTGATCTCGCGATTTCAGGCGCGATCCTCAGCTTCACTCCAGCTCAGGTTCTGCAGGGCAGTTCACGTCACAAGATGATTCCCTCTAGGTTCGTGCTGAGTCTGAGAAAGAGGCCAAGGCAGCAGCACTTGGGAAGCAGATGGTGAGGTAAACGTGAGATCCCAGCAAGATGCTCATCTGGGACTGTCAGAAAGTCGTCGAGTTCACCAGAGTTATCGATACGGCCACAGACAAGGCGTTCAAGGTCTTGCCGTGAACTTCGTCTCAGGTCCGTGACACATTTCTCAGCTCGCTGAAAAGGGCAAGTTGAAGGAAGCTGAAGAGCAATGGAGCATCGTGATCGACAAATATCGACAGGTTTGCCGCAAACAGCTCAGCAGCCAGCTGTGTGACAGTGTGTGGACATCAGGGTGGAGACGGCGTCGTCGTTTCACCGCAGGCTTTCTACAGGCAAGTACAAGTTTCTGCAGGCAGAGCAAGAGCGATTCCATGATTGCGATCTCAGACTTGGGTTGTCGCTCTCGAAGAGGGCGGATATCCGAGCCCAACTCGGAAAATCGCTCAAGGACGAGAAGGTGCCAGGGGAACATGCGGATGTAGCCGAATGCGATCTGACGCCATTTTACCTTTCAAGTACGCCATGGCTGCCATTCAAGACTATCTTGACTCGATCAAAATCCAAGATTCTCCGGAGATTCGGGTGAAGCTAGGTGCTGGAATAGGAGGCGACACCTAACGTATGGCCTGACGAAGCTTGCTGCTATGTGTAGGAACAACCTACAGCATTTTGAACCGTTTCTCAGAAGCCGAAGAGCAGTTTTCGTCCATCATCGATAAAGGTATCTTGTCATCGACGCCGACCGTCCCTGACCATTGGGGGTTTCGTCGGCAGATTTCGGAGCCGAGATCAAGAGCAGGGCTCTGGTGAACAGGTTGATGCCTACCTGCCTGCGTCTGAGGGCTGTTGACGGACTGAGATATCAGAGGGCTTATGTATCAGCAGCAGTCCAAATGGGAGTCAGCTGCCAAAGACTACCAGCTAGCGGTAGGAATCTCCTTGCCACCTGATCCATCGCTTGGCCGGGGGGGGGGGGGGGGGGGGAGGGAAGTCGGAGTGAGACGATCGTTGCCAGGTCGAGCTCACCAAGGGATCGCCGGAGGCGCTCAAGAACTTGGCGATCATCAACTTTCAGATCGGACAAGAGGAGAAGTCGCTCGAGATGTACATGGCGCTGGACGGTCCCTTGTGCGAGCTGAGAACGTGCCAGGCTGAAGAATCAAAAGAGCGGCATGATCCTTGGAGTCGTGGAAGGAGCCGAGGGTATGAATCCTTGATATCCACTCACTCTCCCCTGTCTGACTGCCTCGCTTTGTTCAGACGTTCCGGCAGCGCTGGCTGCGGTCAAGTTTGCAATGGGGAAGGAGGATGAGGCAAAGGCGGATTTCGAGAAGGTCCAACGCCCTGAAGTTATCTCTTGCCCACCGTTGACAGGAGTGCGCAGGTACAAGATCAAAGGTTCAAGGACATCCGCTTTGTAAGGGAGGGCCGTCTCTGGCCCCCAAAACTTGTACTGTTGGATGCTTGCTCGGTGCCTTTGTTGATCTCAATGGACCAGGTCGATGCTCTGGCGCGTCTAAAGGAGGCTGCTGGTCAATGAGGAGGATGCTACTAAACGCTGCTGGATGCTGTGGGAATAAAGAGTACCGTGGCACCACAGTTTCATGATCGAACGAGTCTATGTGATCTGATGTTTCACGAAATCATATGACATACAGATTTCGGATCAAATGTCTAGCACATGCGTGCCGGATACTTGCTGAGACGGCCCGTAGGACAGATATGATCTCAGTCTATGATACGATACTATGAACTCACTGATCGGATATTTTTAGTCAAGAAAAGTTGATTCGGCGTGGTGAAAAAATTTTATTTGGCGTGTCGAACCTGTCGAGGGGGGGGATGAGGTCCGTCTATACGCCCAGTCGCGCTATGGCAGGGAAATGATGAAGGTGGCTCTAGCTCTGTTGACCATGGCGACAGTAGCTCCATGCGCGCTTGTAGGAAGCCTCCGACCCCAAGGCTACTGGCTGCTCTCCTCCGGCAGCTTCCACCATGCTTCTCAGGCTCTCGGCCGCTGCTGCATGCCTTACGTCCTCTCGCCTGCCTCCTGGAAGGCACGTGGAGCTCCAGGGTGCCAATGGAAAGCGCGAGCATCTCATACCTGGAGAGGAAGTGGAGTGTACGGGAAGAAAGCCTCATTGAGAGCCAGCAGGATGATGGCTGACCTGTCCTCTGAGAAGGTGCCAGATAAGGAGATCTACGATAAGCTGGTCCAGAGCCTCCGGGTGGACAAGGATGAGATCTCCAAGATCGCGGAATATGAGCAAGGAACTCGAAAATGGCTCGAGGTCTATCCTCACTCCTCACTGCTCGCCTCCTCTCCCTCCTCTCCTCTCCCCTCCACTCATCTCCTCGCCTCCTCTCCTCTCCCCTCCTCTCCCCTCCTCTCCCCTCCTCTCCCCTCCGCTCATCTCCTCGCCTCTTCTCTTTTCTCTCCTCCCTCGTCATTCTCTTTTGTTTCTGCACAAGAATCTCACATCTGCCATAGGCTAGAAAGAACAGATTGACAGCATCGAACTTCGGGGCGGCTGTGGGTCACAACCCGTTCAAGTCGCCGCAGCAGCTGGTGGACAGCATGCTCTTCGAGACTTTCCAAGGGAATGACGCGACTCGATGGGGAAACTCGATGGAGGGGCAGGCGCTGAAGCAGGTTGGCAGGAGCTTCACCTGAGCTCTTAGAGGAACTGACTGTCTGCTGGCTGCAGTACAAGCAGCAGAGGCTTCAAGAGCTTGGGATGACGGAGGAGACAGAAGCGTTTTCAGTGGATCACGCAGGGTTGTGCATCCACGAGGATTTCTTTTGGCTCGCGGCGAGTCCTGATGGAATCGTGAGGGAAGGAGGAAGGAAAGGTATCCTTGAGATCAAGTGCCCTTATTCTCAGCGGGTCTACAAGGAGATCCCAGAGTACTACATGGATCAGGTAGATTATAGTTGTAGACGCTGATTTCATCTTCTTGTTTCTTGTTCTTGTTCGTTTTGAGTGTTCGTTCGTTGGTGTACTTGCTCTCTCCTTGTCATTCGTGTCTGTTCGCACGGCTGCCGTTGACAATGCTGTTGTAGGTTCAGGGCCTGATGGCGATCCTGGGTTGTGAGTGGGCGGACTTTGTTGTGTGGACTCCGTCGGAGATGAAAGTTGAGCGAATTGCCTTTGACAAAGACTATTGGGAGAATTTCCTCTTCCCCACCTTGAAGGGTAAGTTTGATTGGAGAAGAAAGAAGCTCACGGTGAATGATCAGATTTCTTTTGGAACTTGTTTGTTCCTCAATACATCTCGAAGGAGATCAAGCTCTTAGCTGAAGCGGGTGATTTGCTGGCCTGCAATGCGAGAGGCCGTCTTGATTTCTGTTCCTTGTGTGTGACTTGTTCGTTTTGCAAACAGATGAGAAGAGTCAGGATCCGACGATGGCGACGAAAGTTTCGACCTCGAACACGGACAACAGCGACGATTTCAAGAAACTGGTTACCCTCAATGGATTGCGATGGGAGAATTCCGGGCTGACTTTTGACGGCAGGACTTTGCGGTCTTTGGTCGGAATGGCCTCAAGCAGCTGCTGCAGAAGCAGGGACTTGCTCCTGAGCTGCCGAAGAAGAAAGATGATGATTCTTTCTTCGAGAGTTTGGGCCTTCAAGTGTGTTTGCTTTCGAACACATCAATTTACTTTTTTCCTGCTGAAATTCACTCTCATTAGATGTTGGAGAACGGGATTTACAGTCCAGAGCAAAATTCGTCAGAATTGTCGCCGATTGAGATCATTGGAGATTTGAGGTACCAAGTGGTAAGATGTTATTATTGTTGCAGTTGTAAGCGCGGTCATTCTTTTTTCTACAGTCAAGGCACATGGCAAGAAATATGGAAAGATTCATGAAGGTAAGTTAAGTAGAGACGAGAAGAGAAAGGCATTATGTCATGAAGTGCAGAACAAGTTTCGATCTCAAATTCAGATTGAGGGTAGATCCAAATCAGAATAGATACCAATACCAGATACCAATACACAGATTCGAGTTTCCAAGTTTTTCATCTTGATGTGATACGTCGATTTCAACTGATATCACTTTTTCCTCTCTATTCTATCACAATTGCACGTTTGGCAATCAGTTGAAGAACATGAATACTGCCGACTTCTTAAATCACCTTGAGGAAATCACGAGGTTTTGTTCTCCTCTTTCTCGACGTGATGAAACGTTAACTTTGCTTCAAGATTGAATTCCAAGATAGGCGGCCCTGAGATCCTTGCTGCAGCTGAATGTTTCGGAGTCAAAATCACTTGTTTCTTGGTGTCCGGTAAGTGATAATGCTGGTAGTGGTGTTGATAAGGTTGAATTGTTAGTGTTGATTATCATGATCATGACGCAGAAAATGCAACAAAGTTGATGATACCGTTCATGTTTTATGATTCTTGCTTTTCTTTTATTTGCAGTTCGGGGGGTTGACATCCGAAGCTTTGCTCCCTCAAACAATCTCAACGCTAAAGAACTTTTCCTCATCAACGCCGGGAGTTTTTACTGGGCTGCTCGTCAAAAGACGGGCGATGAAATGAAGGAGGAGGAGGAGGAGGAGGAGGAGGAGGAGGAGGAGGAGGAGACGACTGTGAGGCTGGAGACAGAGCCCAAACAGAATGCGAGACAAGTGGACTTGATGCCATCGCAGGGTCAGGAGGCAGAGGAGGAGGAGAGGACGATGTCTCTACAAGGGGAGTGGACGGAGGACGGCGAGAATGACGATGGACCGATGAAGGAGGCGGGAGGAGAGGACAGGGATGCCGCCCGGGAGTCCCAAGGGAGGAAGAGCTTCGGCTTCAACTCGCGCTACTCCCCTCTCTTTCAGCAGTGCGTCCTGGATGTGGAGGCGAAGCTGAGCAAGGAGCAAGGGGCATCAAGGTAGGAGTGCAGATGAGGAGGGAGGGAGGAGGGCTGGTGACATCGAACTCAACAGCCTGGAGGGAGCTTTCAGGATCTGCAACAAGACGATCGGAGCGAAGAAGTATGGCGACCATAGCGTCACCAAGGCTGGGAGGTGAGAGGAACTTTGCGGGGGTTGCTGCTGCTTCCAACCTACTCGACAGGCAGCTTGAGGTGGAGAAGGTGCGGGCGGAATACAAGGTAATCATCTACATACAAGAGATTATCTACAACTGGACTGAGTGGCGGACAGAAACTGCTGGTGAGGCATCGGCTGAGAAGTTTGGCATCCCAAGACAGGCAGCAAGGCGAGAGAAAATGAGGGGGGAAAGAAGATAGGAGACAAAACAGCAGGATGAGCGGAGAGGAGCTGCGAGGCGGAGACAGTCCCTCGCTTCCCTGGCCTCCCCCCCTCGCCCTGCCCTGCCCTCCTCCTCTTCTGCTCTTTGCCTGGATCAAGATCGCCGGGAGAGAGACGACGCCACGAGCCACTTGATGTTGGTCAACATGTACCTGAGCAAGGCTGAGACAAGAAGCAACTTCAAGGCAGACTCACTTGAGCGCCTTCGTCCACTTGTCGTAGGTGTTGAACTGCAACTTTACGCTGAGCTCTTCGATCTGCGCAGCCAAGAATTGAAGAAAGTTATGACACGCTTGTTCCCGTTGCTCCTGTCTGCATGCTCCTTCGTTCCTCCCCTCCCCTCCCACTCTCCCTTCCTCCTCCCCTCCCACTCTCCCTTCCCCCTCCCTCTCCTCCCTCTCGCCTCCCTTATCTCTTTTCATCCATGCCCGACATTCCTTCCTCATGTAACAATCCTCTTCTCGCGCACCTTGTGCTCGACGATGCGGTAGGGAGGAGAGAAAGTCGGGTCGATGCTCTTGACATGCTCCTGCAGCGCTCTGACACACTCGAGAAACGCCGCCATTCCCTTGTCGAAGCTGCCGAACCCGAAGATTCGAGACAGGCCGATGTCAGAGGCGCAGAACAGGTCGTAGACGCATTTCTCGTCATCTCTCTTGATAATGCGGGAGAAACTGCCCATGGGAACGAGGCGGAAGTGAGGGAAGGTGAAGTCCCAGTTGCTCGCAAGCGTCTGCAGCAGGAGCGTCGTCTGCCCCCATGCTGCGTTGATCTCGTCCCACTCCACTGGCTGCGTCTGAATCGAGCCCAGCCGGAAGCCGTTGATAGTTCCGTACACGTCGTTGTGGGAGATGTGGAACGCATCGTTGATCACGTTGGTCTTGTTCAGCATCTCCAGCTGCAAGGAGGCCGCTTCTATCTTCCTCTTGAACGAGTCCCTGTCCGTAGATCGCAGCTGTAGCTGCAGCTCGTTGTAGTCCCTCCAGTAGCAGTTGTGCATCTCCTCCACTAGCATCCCTTCTGCTCGATCTCGCCCATCTTCCTCCGCAGCGAGATCCGCTCCTCCTCCAGCGCTTGCACCTTAGCTATCAGCTGCCGCTCCTCCTCCTCGTCTCTCTCGATCTGCTCCCGCAAGTCCACGTCGCTGCTCGCGCCCTCGCTGTGGATCTCCTCCTTCAGTCGTTCGTACTCCTTCGTGTACATCTCGCACTCCCTGGTAGCATTCTCTTTCGCGGCGATGAGCTCCACCAGCAGCCTCTCTGTGCAGCTCTCGCAGAGAGGGTAGGTCTCAAGGAGGTGATCGCACACCAACTCGTTGATCTTCCTCTTCTCCTCCATCTGCTTGAAGATGCTTGCAAACTCTTGCTCCATCTCATGTTCCTTGGGAGCATTCGCCGCCGCCGAAGCTGAGAGGTGATACCAGCTTTCCCCAAGCGCTGCAGAGTCTTCCTCCTCATCCCTGCCCCCCTCCTCTGCAGGAAAGGAGAGTTGACATTGATGGCACCTGTCCAACCCATGAATGACCATGGCAGCGAGGGCACGCGAACTTACTTCCATGCCGCTGCCATCGACCTGTGTCACCCAAGGGCTGCAGGAACGCGTCAGAAGAGCTCATGACCTTCAACTCCTTGCAATTTCTTCTCAATCGCCTCACGTCTCCCTAATGACTCCCTCTCCTCGACTGTACCACTGCCCTACACATCCTCCGTGTTTCATTCACTTTCACTCTCCTGCAGTTCCCTTAACACTGTCTCCTCCTCCTCCTCCTCCTCCTCCTCCTCCTCCCCTTCTGCCTTCCCCCATACTCGCCGCCTCATTGTGCCATGTCAGTAGTGTCAGTCCACAAGTAACAGGAGGGTTGAGGGTGTTCCTGTGACCGGTGCAAATATGAGTAATATTCCATGAAAAGGTAAGGGTGGGTACTCAGAAAGGTCGGGTAGTAGGAGATGAAAAGGCCAGGGTGGACCGTAATGAAATGCAAGAGCAGGAGAGGGGAGGAGAGGGGAGGAGAGGGGAGGAGAGGGGAGGAGAGGGGAGGAGAGGGGAGGACAAGATGCGTGAGGGGAAGGGAAGAACAAGATAGGTTGAAGAAAGGATAGATCATATGTGAGGACATGCTCAGCAGGACAGCGCATGGTTGTTCGGTTCAGTGAAACATGACAGCAGGCTGAAGAACTCCCATGTCGCAGAGGTTGTTGAAGGAGTACAAGGAGGCGGCCCAGAGCAAGGTGAGCCGGCTGCATGCGATGAAGTGCTGGTGGCTGAGAGCGAGATGAAGGAGAAAGACATCAGGCTGACCTGTCAAGAGAACCTCTACAAGTGGACCGCGATCCTCCAAGGGTGCGATCTTGCATGGCTGTGGTACTGACAAGGTGGTGATGAGCCTGTTTGTTGATCAGCCCGTCTGGCACGCCGTTTGAGGGAGGAACGTTTCATGTATGCCCTGCCAGCGTCGAGCATGCGAAGGAGTCGCTGATGCCCGTGAGCAGGTCCAGCTGGATGTGCAGGAGAACTATCCCCTCCAAGCGCCCAAAGCTCGTTTCATCACGAGGATCTTCCATCCCAACATTCACTTCAAGACCGGAGAGGTCACGAGCCCTTCCCTCTCACCTCCCTTGCTGCTGTTCAATGTGCCTGTTTCCTCTCACCTCCCTTGCTGCTTCTTGACTCCCTAGCTGCTGTCCTATTGATATCATAGCTGTCGTCTTCCTTCAGGTCTGCCTCGACATCCTCAAGACAGCATGGACTCCTGCCTGGACTCTCCAATCTGTATGCAGAGCCATCGTCGCACTGCTCTCCAATGCGGAGGCAGACAGTCCGCTCAATTGTGATGCCGGTGAGAAGCAGTGCCCTCGTTACCCTCGTTGACAAAGTGATGCAGGGAACTTGCTTCGCAACAATGATGTGAGGGGATACAACTCGATGGCGAGGATGTACACCAAGTTGTATGCTAGCACACCAGCTCGTGACTGAGAGAGCGATGCTCGCACAGAATGATTTTCTTGATACTATCTTGCGTATTTCTTTCTTCTCCAATCCTCTCGTTCTCTCTCTCTCTCTCTTCCCCCCCCCCCCCCCCCCCGTCTATCAGTCATGAGCGAAGTAAGTGACCAATTGTTGAATTTAGTTTAAACAAAAAGATCTTCGAAAATGTCAACAAGCCCTTGCGCTTCGGATTTCTGCGTTGGCCCTCCTGTCCTGCTCTAGACTCCCACTTCCGCTGAGGTTTTCCCCTTCACTTCCTTCAGCTCCTTTTTCAACGTGTTCAAGAGCTCAGTGTTGTGCGGCTCGTGCTCTTTCAAAACCTAATCGCAAATCATCACACACCGTGCTCGCTGCAGTCAGCTAACACTCACCTCCATCTGCTTCTGAATCGCCTCCATCGCCATCTTGCGCATTTCGTCTGTCGAACGCGACATGTACTTCTACCTCAACAAGTCAACCAGGGAACAAGCACAGTTCATGTGTACTACACTACCTCTTTGCAAGGAGGCATGTTCTCTTTGGTACGACAGTTCTTCACATGGCCAGTATCTTCGTTGAAGAGGAGGTAAGGATAATGATCCAGCTCTTTGTATCCATCCATCTTCGGTAGGTCTCGGTCCTTGGGAGGCCATTCCACCACGTACCACCACCGGATGAGAAACTTTTCAATCAACCACTCCTTGAGGCTTGTTGCGGGCTTCTTGACGTTGCTCGCTGAGTTGTTCTTCGATAACTTGGCCGGTTTCTAAGAGACAAACATCAAGGCAAGAAGCGCATGAGCTAGTAGTGCACAAACCTTGCTTGGTTTCTTCACTGGCTCATCTTCAGAGTCAGAATCTGCAATCTTCCTCTTCTTGCCAGAACCCTTCGCCTCTTTTTTCACCGGGGACTTTGATGCTAGGGCTCTGATGGGTTTGTCGTCATCACTGTCGGAGGCAGGTGCAGGTGGCTTTGTTTCTTTCTTGGCAGCTTTCGCATTTTCAGCCCTCAGCTTGCTAATAGGTTTTTCATCGTCACTATCCTCTGCATCTGGTTTTGAGGCCTTGCTCTTGGGCTCATCTTTCACCTTCGAAGGAGCTTTTGCTTCGCCGTCTTGTTTAACTTCCTTCTTATGCGACTCCTTCGTGTCTTTGTGATCTTTTGCCTTGTCGCTTGATTTTGGCTTGTCATCCTTGGAATCCTTTGCATCTTGTGCCTTCGCCTTTGTCGACCCAGCCGCTGCCAACGGCATATCGTCGTCACTGGAAAAGACGTTTGACGTTTCTTCCTTTACACTTGAAGGTGCCTTGGATGGAGACTTGTTGATTTCCGCTTTCTCGGTGCCGTTCTTTTCGTTGGTATCCGAGGCATTTGCTACCGAATGGTCCTTGCCCTTGCCATGATGCTCGGCACTTGTTTCCTTGCCATTCGCATGCGAATCGTTCACAGGATCTGCGGAAGCATTGGTGGACTCCGTCGTCATCGCTTTTGGCTGTCAAGTTTTCAAACGTTTGTTCCTGTTGTGTTCAAGGCTTGTCTTCGTCGCCCATAAAGTTGTGACTTCCAGTATAACAGCAAGAGAGGGGACGACAAATCTCCTCCTGACAGCAAATCATGTCAGGCAATACAAAAGCAACGGACGAATGCTTCCCAAATATGAAGGTGCACGTTATCACCCACTGAGTCCTTCAGGACCTTCATTGCCAACTCACGTGAAGGTATCAAACCGCTTCTGGCTCCGCATTCTGCCTTGCTCCACCCACCACCTTCCTGACTCAACTGAGCCGAATAAATCTCAACGAAACAAACCCGGCTGATCTCTAGTATGTCTCTATTCCGATTCATGCCTTTGTCATGAGTAAACTTTCACAAGAACTCTGCATTTTCCCATAAATCTGACAATCCATCTTGTATGCAATAGAGGCTTTGATCACAGAACCTGCATACATTTTCTTCTTCTTCTTTCTTTTATCAAACATGAACTTTCTTACAATCCTTGCCTTCCAACAGCCTCACTATCTACTTTGAACTGAAGTTCTCCGTCCTCCTATTCCTCACCTAGCCAGTGTCTTCGCCCTCCTCTCAGCATCTTCGTTGTGTTGAATATCCCTCTCATCCTCGTCCTCTTCCTCCCACAGTTCACTTTCCTGCTCCTCTACCTCCTCCTCCTCCTCCCCACCAATTATCCGTCCTCTTTCCCGCCTCATCTGTTCATGCATGCGAGCGAGACTGGAACCCCACCCCACCTAAGGATTTCCTCGAACATTTAACCCCACCCTCTTTATTCCCATTAAAGTACAACTCTTTGAACACTGTACAAAATTCACTACCCCACCGCATCTGGTGAACTACGCACCCCACCCTTACCCGAACACTACAACCCTACCCACTTCCAATTGTTCAGTCGTGCGTCCTACCCCAAGAAAATAACCCCTACCCCCGTTTCTGTAGATGTTTGTCGATTGGAGGGTCTACTTTCCCAAAAGGAGTAGACATATAGTACCGGTACTATACAGAATCTTCCATAGACTACCCATGCATATTACACCCTTCCCCCCATTTTTTGAATCTGTCTCCGACCACCCCTGCCAAACAAATTGAGTGATTTCAACGCCCAGATGCTATGCGCTTATGCCGAGAGTTACTGGTACTAGCGACGCTGCTCCTGCACACGAGGGAGGGAGGAGGGATCAGAGAAGCCTCGCCGGCGTCCGATGCCAAGAGTCAGCAGCGACCAGCCGAAGATGCGCTCGAGCATGTTTCTATGGTGGCGCAGGAGGCTTACAACCGGTGGATCAAGACGAGGAATCGCGACGACATGCTGGTTGCCATCAGGCACCAGGAGGAAGCGGTCAAGCTTGCTCCCAGCTCATGGCAATTTCATTACACTCTAGCAAACATGCACTACAGCATCGCCAACGAGAAGGTGGCTGAACAGCATGCACGAAAGGCCGCGAAGCTCCAGACAGGCAGCTTGCAAGAGAAGCTGCTCGGGCGCATTCTTGTGCAGAGGGGCAAGATTCACGAAGGGATTCCGCACCTCCAAAGAGCGTTAGAGCTTCAGCAAGATGATGCAGAAGGATGGTACAAGCTGGGAGGAGCGCTCTTCGAAGTCGGGGACCTTGTATCCGCGTCACGCTGCTTCTTCACTGCGGGGGCCCTGTCGAACGTGTCCTTATGGTGGCTGAGCGCGGCACATACCATGGCGAAACTCAAAGATCCCAGATGCTTCTCCTTGTACATGGCATCGATCCGGTCAGATCCTCGGAACTTGGATGCCTGGAAGGATTTTTCCTTCACCCTGTCCAACTCGCATCGTGCCAAAGACGCCGAGTGGGCTTCGAGGAAAACTTTAGAGATTGAGGAATCGGGGGACAACTACTTCAGTCTAGGGAACAGCCTTCTTTCGCAGAAGAGGTACGCCGAGGCCAGGCAGGTGTACCAGAAGGGGGCGCGGATGGATCCGCTCAACTCTGGGATGCTGCACAACCTCGGGTTTTCTTCTCACCTGAGCGGAGAGCCTTTCGTTGCTATCAATGCTTCTCTGCAAACTTGCAAACTCTACCTGAACGATGGTGAAAGAGGCGATCTGACAAGTCACACCCGTCGACAGGGTCCCATGTATGTGACAGGTCTGGCAAACGCGCTAAGAAGGGCCCAAGAGATTGACCTGTCTGTTGATGTCCTTCGGTCCTTGCGGCAACCAAAGCCAGGTGTGGCTCGATGTCCCTTTTATTAGGAGAAAGAGCTTACTTGATGGCTGCAGATGTGAATGACAAGCAAGTGATCAATGACAACATCAGGGTTGACGACTTGGAGTTAAAATCGACGATTCAGAGGGTACAAAAACGTCTGAAGCGAATACGACAGAGGCTCTCGAAGAAACAAGAGGAAGATGCCTTCTTATCGCAGTACACAGGAGAAAGCCATGTATCGATGGATCCTCCTGCTGGCAAACAATCTCTCGTACCAAGAGCAGTGATTATCTACCTGATTGGGAAGAAGATAGAACACTTCCTTGACCTCCTCGACTCGCTTCACTCGCTCAAGATCAACTTTCTTGACCAAAACCCATACCCGATCATTCTCTTCCATGAGGGTTTAAATCAGACCCAGATGGAGGCAGTTCTGAAGCATTATGACGATGTGAGATTTCACAGGCTGGACAAGGAATTCTTGTTTCCTCCAGAACATGTGAATTTCTCCAAGGTGTGGAGTTTCCATGCTCTCGTGATTGTAATCTCATCCTTCTTCTCCCAAGGTCCCGAAGATCATCGGTGGGCATGCGAACGTTGGCTACAGGCACATGTGCCGGTTCTACTCGGGAGCCATGTTCAACTATCCCCTGCTCGAGCCCTACGAGTGGTTCTTGAGGCTAGACTCGGACTCGTTCATTCTTGGGAGAATCAGGCGAGTCCTGCAGCTTCTGCGATGTGATGTGTATGATGACGAGGATCCTGCAGGGAGGACCCCTTCAAGGTGATGCGAGCTGGTCGTTATATTTATGGATACATGGGGATCGGCAGGGAGGACGAGTACCTGACCACTGGCCTCTGGAATGCAAGTCAGGAGTACATGAGGGAGAGGAACATCTTTCCAGAGGATACAGCGCTTGACCGATACCTTGAGGAAGGTGAGGGTTGGAAGCAGGGGGGACGCTGGACTTGTTGCCCGTTCCCTCCCTCTGTTGTCACTCCTTGTTGATACTTCGCTCACTTCCAGGCGTGTGGGATCGATCCTACTTTTACACCAACTTTGAGATTGGGCATCTGCCATTCTTTCGATCTGAAAAGTATCAATCATTCTACGCTAGTCTCGACCGGTTCTGCTTTGCGCTAGAGTTTTCGTTGTACCTCAACCTCATAGCAGGAAGGGAGGATTCTACTATTACCGCTGGGGAGATGCTCCAATCCGTCTGTTAGGTGAGAGCCGCACAATGAAATGCGATAGCATTTCATTGTTTGTGTTACCAACTGCGCTCTTTGGTTTGTGCTGACAACTGTATTTTGACATGTTTGTTGTTGTGGTGAAACAAACGCTGAAAATGAAAATGTTTGTTGTTCTGATAACGAATCTGGTTCCCTCTGTGTGCTGCAAATGGTATGCCGAGAGTTTTGTGCTGAAAACAGTATTCTGCTATGTGTTGCTGTGCTGACAACCTAGGGTTGCAGGAGTGACAATGCACGCCAAGGAGACTATGATCCGAAGGTTTCACGAGATTCCATACTCCCACAAGGTGTACGTGATCCTGCCATGAGGAGGGGACAGGTTTCATTAAAAGCTTATTCTTTGAAAGTTACATATCAGGGGCCTTTAGTATTACACATGATAGAAGAGACGACAGGCGGGTATGAAAGATTACAGGATTTTTCCTGCCAGGGAGATTGGGTAGACGACCCTGTCGCCTTCGATCTTCATACACCTCGGATCGAAAAGTTTGCTCAGCATCGATCGCAAGTCTTCTTTCAACGAAGAGCTCAGAATCTTCTGCGCCGCTGCATTCCAATCTCTCAGAGTCCCAAGATGACACGAGGTGAAGACCCTTTCATGCTCTTTGCTATCCAAACATCTCAGCACGATGTTACCAGCAGCCTGACAGTCACGTATTATGGGATTCCTTTCAGCTTCATCGATGTTGATATTCTCTCCTCCAACATCTGTTACGCACAAGTGCTCGTCCCTCGCTGAACCAGCTTCGAACACACAGCTCGCGTCCTCCACGCTGTTCCAGTCAATAATCTTCACCAGGATCCTCAAAGATTTCTTCTTATACCATCGTCCCAACTTGGGCTTCTCCAGGGGAAGGATCAGGACATTGTCTAGAGTGAGATCGTTATGGCAGAGACCCAGCAGATGCGCGCTCTCAACCGCTCGCAGCAACTGACGCGAGATTTCCCTTGGGTTCAGCCTTGACTTTGGCAGGAGGTCGCACAATGGCATCCCTGCATGCTCAAGGACAAGGAAGGGCCAGAGATCGCAAGTGAAACCAAACCCAAGACATTTCACGAAGCACCTGTGTTCTCCCAGCGTGCCCAGAGCGAGCAGCTCCCTATGAAATCTATCGAAGACCTGCCGTTGCGAGAACAAGGCCTGCTGCTTGTACACTTTCAAGATCACTCTCTTCCCGTCGCTCATCCTCCCCTCAAACACTCTCGTCCAGAAGCCATGGTCTGTGACGATACTCGACTGCACATCAAGCTGGATCTTGACGATGGTATGCTCTTGCGAGAAGTCGGAGTCCACCCCAACCAACTCGACGCTTCCCGCCCTCTTCATGCTTCCCGGCTCAAGATCTGCGAGCTGCACTGTAGACCACGTGAAGTTGGGGACCGAAGAGGCGTCGAACGGCTCGTGCATGGAGGAGATGTGTGGGAGGACATGAGCGCGGCAACACATCTTGCAGTAGTGCTTCCCCATTGCGGTCACATCGTCATGTTGCCCAGCCCGCCTCGTAACTCCGATTTTCAGGAACTGTCCAGGGTAGCTACAAATCTGGGGTCCCAGTAGCCAGGGATGAGGGTGGGTAGACACCCAGTCATACTGGGGTAGTGCAGGAAAAAGATGGGTGGGGGTACTGGGCATGTAAGGGGCCGAGTGGGATAAAAACAGGTAGGGGTGGTATTCTTGTACAGGGTTGTGGAGATGTTCTATCCACTGGTAGGGGTACCAAGAATAGGGACACTGGGGGTACTCAAGATTTTGATGGGGTGATGGATGGCGAAGGTAGGGTACAATGGGTAGGGGGGTGACTCGTCGGGGAGCCGAAGGGCGGGGGCCATGCAGTGAAGGGAAGGGGGCTCAGTGAGAGGAAGAAGATAAAGAGGAAGAGGAGGAAGACAAAGGGACTGTTATGATACACTATCACAGCACGACTTGAAAGCTACAACGAGTTGTACAATATAGAGTATCGCTACCATGAGCAGTCGCTCTTTCTGCCTCTTTGCCTTTGCGCTAGCCCTTGCGAATCTGGACACAGCGTCATGCTTCCTGGGACATCAGGCGATGATCTTTCGCCGTCCAAATCCTCCTTTCTGCTATCCTGCGTATTTCAAAAGCCCAGCAGCATGTCAGATGACAGTGAAGCTCCCGTCTAAAGCGATGAATCCTTTCGATGCCCTTGCGGAGAATTCAAAACTCCGAATGCCCGCGATCAAGGATACTTTGCAAAGCACGACGAATCGAGTCACACTTGGAGGGGCAGACATTGAGCTCTGTCGTCTAATCGAGCTAGTGGAGGCGAAGGGAGGACCAGAGGAGGTGACACAGAAGAAACAGTGGGGTACCCTAGCCAGAGAACTCGGCTTGGACACTAAGGTGAGTCCAGCTGAAGGTTCCTTGAGGCTCCAAACTGATTTGCTTCTTGTGACAGATCTTACGAAACATTTCAAGTCGGCTGAAAGTTGCCTACCTGTCTCTGCTTATGAACAAGGACCACCAGTGCAAACTTGATCCAGCTGCCCTTGAGAAACCTACCAGTGCCGCAGGTTGTAATACTCCGATCGACCTGATGTTATGTGATCTCCGATCGACCTGATGTCATGTGATCTCCGATCGACCTGATGTCATGTGATCTCCGATCGACCTGATGTTATGTGATCTCCGATCGACCTGATGTCATGTGATTTCCGATCGACCTGATGTTATGTGATCTCCGATCGACCTGATGTTATGTGATTTCCGATCGACCTGATGTCATGTGATCTCCGATCGACCTGATGTTATGTGATCTCCGATCGACCTGATGTTATGTGATGTCCTGCCTGCCCAGGTCCTCGGAAGGGGAAGCCACTGCTGCAGCTGGTCGAGACAGACCGTCAAGATCAGCCTTGTACGGATCAAGGGAAATCTGAGGACAAATCGAAGAGGACGACTACAGCGGCATCGAAGGCAAGCAGCGCGAAGGAGCGATCGAAATCAAAAGTTCTTCTTGTAAGGAACATATCGGGGTCGGTAGCTCTCCCTGATGAGGTCGAAGACGACGTTGCCGCGATTGCCACCCAGTACCTCACGGACGAGATCGGAGTGGAGGAGAAGAACATTGACAAGATACTGGAGTCGTGCCCTCAGTTGCAAGGGTTGAGCGTTCGCGACAACCTCCGACCCACTGTCAAGTTCCTCGTGAAGGAGGTCGGGATTGGAATCGAGAAGATGAGGAAGATCATCGTCTGCTTCCCGCAGCTCCTCGGCCTCAGTATCAAGGAAAACCTTAGGCCGACTGTGAAGTACCTGGTGGAGGACGTTGGAATCAGCCAGGAGAAGTTGAACAAGACTATCTTCACTCACCCACAGCTGCTCGCGTACAGCGTTGATAACAACCTGAGACCCAAACTTCTTCTCCTTCAGCAGCATGCAGACATTCCCAAGGCAAGGCTGGCAGACGTTATCACTCGCTGCCCGCAAGTGTTGGGATACAGCGAGGGCCATATCCTGGCGTTCATCAAGTACTTGTCGGAGGAGCTTGGGATCGAGAGGTCGAAGCTCGCACGCATCATTACCTACTCTCCTCAGCTCATAGGCCTGAGTGTAGAGTCGAACTTGCGACCCAAGGTAACAACGGAGGAGGAGGAGGAGGAGGAAAGTGAATGATTCTGATCTTGTTGCCAGATTCGCTTCCTCGTGGAAGAGGCAGGAATTCCTAAGAGTAGCATAGGGAAGGTCATCTCTGCATACCCGAACATCCTTGGCTACAGGTTTGCTCTCCTCATCCTTGAATATCTTCTCGTGCCGTTCCCTGCTCTTCCACTCCCTTGTTTCCCTTCCCCTTCATCGGCTGACCGATCTTGACAGCGTTGAGAACAACATGCGCCCGAAGCTTATGTACCTTTCGGAACATCTTCTTCGCGTGCCCATGCACCGCATTGGCCGGCCCCTCCTCAAGTGCCCACAATTGTTGGGCTACAGCCTGGAGAAGCGGATCAAGCCGCGGCACATGCTCCTTGCCAAGTGATGCGCGCTTGCTGTTGGTGCGAGTGCGGGCTGACAAGTCTCTGCGCTACAGGAGAGGACTTCGTCTCGGTCTCTCGAGGATGCTCGCACCAACGGATGTCGAGTTCAGGAGGATACTCAGGATGCATGACGCCCAGCATCAGGTTGGAGCAAGTTTCCTCCCTCTCGTCACTCTCCTACAGTCATCCTGCCTTCCCTTTCTTACCCCTTCCTGCAGGAAGAGATTCGTTCCTCGAGGGAAGCTGCTAAGTCCATCCGTTCGTCTCCTGCCCAGCTCAACCCCAACAGACAGTCCTCCCATCCTCCTTCCGAGATCCTTCAGCTGCTCTCCGTGGAGTTTCCAGCTGGGTATCTCCAATGGACCAGGGAAGGGACCAAGAAGTTGGAGGGCGTTGTCTCCACAGATTCTCGCTACCGCGTCCCCGCTCGCAGCAGCCGCGTGCAGGTCAGCGCGACGAGAAGGAGCGGGAGAGAGCGGACAGGCGCCGCGGACTCCAAGGCGATGGAGATCTACTTGGAGCTGTCCAATGGAGCGAGGAAGGTGCGGGCGACGATCAACAGGCAGCTGCAAGCGCTAGAGCTCAGCGTCGAGCAGATCCAGAGCTCCAGCAGGAGGACGCGTCGTGCTCCTCCTGCCTGCGAAGTTCGGCTGACGGATCAGGAAGCTTCGCATGTCATCCGCCAGTACTGCGATGAAGGGAGGAGGGAGGAGGGAGGAGGAGCTTCGAGGGAGGCACCTGTATACTACTGGCACGGTTCGCAGGATGATGATGTATAGATGTGTAGACTAGTTGTTTGTAAACAAAACGTATCAAGTTACATGCTCGTCGAAGAGAAATGTTGGGGGATCGGTCGAGGGAAAGGAGGCTCGAGGGTATGGAGAAGGAGGAGGAGGAGGAGGAGGCAGCGGTCGCGGGATGACCGGCAGGAAAGATGAGAGGGAGGCGGGGTAGGGGGGAAGGAAAACGTATTCACGGGTAAAAAGGGGGCGAGATTTTCTCGGGGCAGGGAAAACGAGAGAAGGGAGGGGGAGAGGAAGGGGGGCAAGGGAATGGTTGGAGGAGGAGCGGGCGATGCCATGAGATAGGGAAGGGGGAGGGCGAGGGCGAGACGGGGGGACACTGCTGACGTTGAAGGCAGGGGCATGGAAGCGACATGATCTGGGAGATCGTGAGCGAGAGGACGTCAGGAGGAGGAGGAGGTGGTGGTGGTAGGACCAAGCTGGGGACGGAGCCGACGAAGAGGTTCGGGCACACAGTAGAGATCCTGCCGGACGGATGCGTCCTCCTCTTCGGAGGGCACGATGGTAGCAAGACGCTGAACGATGCTCACCTCTTCAGGTCCTCCTTGCTCTCCTGCTATACTCCGCCCCTGACGCTGCGGTAGCCATTCCTCGGGGAGGTGGTACCAGGTGCAATGCCAGCCTGCGATTGATGAGGGCGGCGGGACGAGTCACTGGACACCGAGCAGGGCTTTCCACACGTCGTCCTTGCTCTCCCTCTCTCAGAACCACCTCAAGGTTGTCATGGTGGGAGGGAGCGGAAGGTCGGAGCTCGAACGGACCGTGGCGGTCCTCAACATCAACTTCGCCAAGGCAGCGTCGCGCCAGAGCAGCAGGAAGAAGACAGTGGACATCATCACTGACGAGAGAGTAGCGACCGCTTCTTCGTCCCATTCCCGCTCCTCCGATCCTCTCACCCACTACGAGAGCAGCTGCACTTTCTTCTGGGAAGCCCTGGACTTCGACGATGAGCAGTCCTCCTGCTACCATCGGCCGTCCGAGCGCCCGGCGTGCAGGACGATGCACTCTGCTACTCTGGTGGACAATCGCAGGATTCTGATCCTGGGTGGGAAGGGCATGGCGGGGAGAAGGTTCGACGACTTGTGGGAGCTCGATACAAACGTCTGGCGATGGAAGCAAATCCGCATACGAGGGTGGGGCCCCTGCTCTGGGCACTCTGCCGTTCTCCTTGAGGAAGGGAAGCTGCTCGTTGTAGGGGGGGAGAGGCAGGACGGAGAGCCTTGCAGCATGGACTTGTGGCGAATCGACTTCGGGACGGCGGAGAAAGTGCCCATCGTAGACTGCAGGAGAGAGCGATTGTTCTCAGTTTTACCGGAGGACAAGGGCGTCCCGAATGAAGTCAGGACAGACACCCTGGGCGCAGACCTCCGTGGAGGGCTGCAGACCTTGCCGCCTCCTCGAGCTCTGCACAGCTTCACGGAGGTCAGGGTGGAGCAGGAGGTAGACGAGCACGGGGATCAGAGCTCCGGCCTGCAGGATATGGGCCCGCTAGAGCATCCGACCCACGAAGCGAGGTGACTGTGTAAGATAGGTGAAACCGAGCTGAGAAAAGTTGCTCAGGTACTTCTTTCGGAGCGAGCTGGACGCGAGAGAAAGTCATTCGCGTGACCTCGAGATCACCGTGAGGGCTGAGGAGGAGGCGGCGGGCTGGTCTGAACAGGCTGGCAGGAGCTGTACCGCAAGCACTGGACTCAGCAGTACGATCGGAATCGCCGATACGTCCTGTGAGAGTCTTATGTTTCTCGCTCCTCCTCCTGATTTGTGTGCCGCCATCTTTTCCAAGCTAGATTCGGAGGGTTCGGGAAGGACGGGAAGGTATTTTGAACGAGGAGAGGAGAGGAGAGGAGAGGAGAGGAGAGAAGAGGAGAGGGGGGGGGAGGAGATATAACGGATTTCTCCAGGCGCACGCCGATGCCTGGGAACTTCGTCTGTACAAGGACGTCTCAAGAACTGTAATTCAATTCCTAGCTGCTTCGCCTCCCCTACTGACTTCCTCCTCTGTTTTCCAACTTTCAAATCCTATACTCTTCATTCTCCTCTCTCGTCCTCTGCCCTCAAACCCTCCCTCCACGCTTCTTTCCCCTCACTTTCACTCACGCCAGGTCATCTACTCCGAGGGCGAGATCGTCTCCTTCCCTGCTGGCTCAGTTGGGCAAGTGCTGGAGGCCTTGTACGGCTTTCGGACGAGCTTCTCCGACGTCACCCTCTACCTCGAGCGGCAGCTTCAGGCGGATGGCTCGCTGCGGGACCTGATGATCGAGAACAGGTGCAGCACAACAGATGCTCGATAAGCTGACGTAGGCAGGCGTACTGGGAGGGAGGGAGGGAGGGAGGGAGGGAGGGAGGGAGGGAGGAATGTGTACATGAAGAGATGAAGAATGGAAAGAAAGGGATTCATTGGAGGATCAAGGAGGGAAGGTAGAGCATAAGGGTTCAGAATGGGGCAAAGGCATGTGCAGGAAGAAGAACGATGCTGGCAGGAAGGCAGGTAGCCTGGCAAGGATGCAAGTAGACAGGAAGGACAGACAGACAGACGGACGGACGGACGGACGGACGGACGGACGGACGGACGGAAGTGTGTTCAGAGGAAGGGGGAAATGATGAGCATTTGCAGATCTTTTGGCATCATCGAGAAGAATGACTCCAGGTCGGAGAGGAGGTGGAGGGAGAACTTGGACCAATGGATCCAGGAGGTCGGGCAGCAAGACCCCTTCCCTGGGGTGAGGAAACACCTCATCCTCAAGTACAGACCTCCTGCTGGGAGCGATGACAAGTACCTCTGGAGAAAGATCACTCAGGACTCCTTCCCCCTTGGCCCTTCCCTCTCCTCCTCCCATGCTGGCTACGGCCTCGACCCTCCTTCCGAGGAGGAGGAGGAGGAGGAGGATGCTTGCAAATTTTCCGTCGGTGTACCGGCGGGCAGGGGCGGCCATTGTGCCTACTACGGTCATTCCCAAGTGGTCGGCCTAGGAGGTCTGTTCGTGCTGGGAGGGAGTGCAAGGCCTGGAGCCCGGACTCCGTTCCCCCTTCCCTCCCTTCACCTCAACTCCATCGCCTCTGATATCCGGGACGCATTCCACTTGCTCCTCGTCATCTGCCCCCGCTGCGCCTGCCCCCTTGTGGACTACCCGAGGAGGTGGAGTTCCCTGTTCCTCCTCCTCCTTGCTCTGATGACTTTCAGGCACTGCGTGCATGCCACTTGTGACGAGTGCAAGCTGTACAACAGGGTTGCATGCATCGATTGGTGACAGACGTGTCGTGATGTTCAGATTCTTTCATTTGCAGAATGTACAAATCCTCCTTTTTGCCCTCCTCCTCTCCTCCTCAATTTCTAAAACTCTATCTCCATCCCTACCTGTCGGCTTCCCGTCGTCGTCCTCCACTCCTCTCCACACAACTCCCTCCCAGCTCTCCCCCCAGCAAACCTCGCCCTTTCTTCTCCCTATATTTCACCCCCCATGCCATTCCTCTCATTTCATCTTCCCATCGCTTCACCCCCTCTTGTCCCTCCTCACAACAAACCTGCATGCATCATCGCCGTTGGCAAGGGTACTCACAACCTCGAACCGGCAACCTTTCACACCGTCACCTGCATTCCTCTAAGACATCCCGCAAGAACAAGAACAAGGCAGGAGACCTAAATCAGAGAGCGTGTGCCCTGTGGCCTTTTCGAACAACTTGCCCTCGGCAGGGCAGAAGATGGCAGCGGTAAGATGTGCCTCGTTGTTCCCCGTGAAGAACTTGTGGTAGAAGCATGTGGTCACGGTCGTCACATGTTCACTATCACTACTCGTGCTCTCCGTGACGAACAACTTCCCCATGTCAAGATTCTTCATCCTCTCAGACGTTTCACACAGCATGTCGTACAGGTCAACGCGGTACTGGATGATTCGGCTAATCATCATGAGAGCTCCCTGTATGACCCTCTCACCCCAGGAATCAGAGTCTCCCATGCACTGAAACACAATGCAACACAGTCAGTTTGAGGAGAGAGATGTAAAGATGAGAGCAGTGAGCAACAAGAACTCACTTTGTTGATAATCTCCACTGATTTTTCTGGGTCTAAGTTGATTTGCTCGGTCAGTACTCTATAAGCCGCCAACACCAAACATGCTGTCTGGATGTGATACGCAGCTCTTTCGTCTTCGTGTGCGACTGTGCAGTTGGGATGGAAGTCTGTATAGCTGGATCGGAAGACCTCGTACACTTCGGATATCTTAGACGTGTACCCAACTTCCATCCCCAGAGCCTGTATCCTTATGGATCAGTTCAATCGGAGTGAGCTTTCAGGTAAAACCTCCTTCTGCAGGGAGAGTTGTCGTTTCATGTTGAACAGAAATATTGATTTGCTTCCCTTGATAGTCTCCTCTTTGAATCGCCTTTCAACTGCATGCATCAAAGAACCTCAGAAATCAGCTGAAATCGATTGCGGACTGAGACCTTTGTCGAATATGGAGTTGGCTTCCTTTGGGTGCTTTGACTGCTGGGAGAACATTCTTGGAGCATGTCCGATCGCGTTGCACTTGGTTGTGGCAGTCGGTGGACGCGGAAGCGACAGGCACTTCATGCATGTCCCGCATGCCCGCTTTATCGCAGCTCTCTGCATTGCCCCTTGCCCCGACAAGTTTTACAGCTTCTTGAAAGAAAAATATTTTTTTTAAAGGAAAACGAAAAAAAATTACACCATATAAAGTGGGGGACTTTTTTACCGAAAGGGACCAAAAATTCAGAAAATGTTCCTATATTTTTGAAAAAACAGTTTTGATTTTACGAGAATATACCAAATTGACTTGAGATCCGAGGCTGGAGAACAGCCATCGGAAATGTTACCCTACGCCCTCCCCACCAAGTGTGGATGCAGATGAAGTTGGGGAGAAAGGATGGTGGGGGGGAGGGAAGGGGAGGAAGAGGAAAGAGGAGGAGGTGGCAGAGTTTGAGCAGCAGAGCGATGATAGTAGAAGGGCATGAACAGGAGGGAATCCAAGAGTGCGACTGGAATATCGTGTCCCCTTGTGGTCGGAATCGAATGATCTCATCCTGGGTAGAGCTTAGCGAGTGATGTGTTTGCGGTGCTGATGCAACCAATGAGCAAAGAATCTAGAAGAGGAGGTGGCCGCTGATGGCCTCTCGACCATCGAAAGATCTTCGAGAAAAGACAGGAGTGTGCTCGATCTCACCTGTGATTGTTTACACTACACTAAGAATCTCATGTCAATCGGCACCTCACCACCGACCCCTTTCTCTCTTTAGAGTGCTTACCGTTCGTCTCCAGGAAATCGCTGCCATGAGGGTCGCCTGGAATGGCTTTCTCACGCTGGTAGCCCTTGGCACGTGCTCTGCGTCGTGTGAACTTGGCTTCAACGCCCCGACGAGCATCCTTGGAGCTCGGAGCGGACGGCCCACTCACTTGCTTGTAGATCGAGCCAGCCCATGTACAGCACAATGGAGGAAACGATCCACCAGCCTGAAGGCCGTCGCCAACGATGCTCCACAGTACTTCAAGGACCTTGCCTCTGCTCTCTTTGATGTGGCTGCTGCCCCTGTTTCCTCCCCAGCTGTGACGCAGAGCGTCAAAGCTGTGGCGTCTCCTGCTGCTGTGGAGGTGGGGAATGTGGCTGGAGCCTTGCAGAAGGCTGTGGGCAGCAGCGGAGCTCAGAATATCAACGTGGGATCTTCGGTGCAGACTCTGCAGTCTCTAGAGCAGCTGCTTCCCAAAGGGGTGAACCCTGTGATGGTGGAGGTCGCGGCAGCGTCTATTGGTCTGATCTTCCTCGTGGCCATGCTTGTCAACCAGGTACGATGAGCAGCACGTGTATGCATCCTTGAACACGTGGACCCAGCAAGGAGACTCGCTGCAAGCTGCTGCGTCGGTGACTCTGACGCCAGAGAAGATACCGGTCCCTTGCCTGTTTTCCATCAAAATCGCCCTTACAAGAGATGAGCAGGAGACGACAGAACCCATCAAGTATGACTACAGCAAGGTAGAGGACCGCAGATGAGTCATGCATGGTCTTGATGAGAAGGCGTGCAGGTGGTTGAGGAACAAGAGCGACTGGACGAGATCTCCTCTAGCGCCAAGTCGAGACTCTCTGAGATGGTTGTCTGTTCTTGTCAACCCTCATCGCTGACCTGCTGCTCCAAGATGGTCAAGAGGCTGGAGAAGCTCAGTGCTCTGTCCTACGACACGAAGCCGATGGATGCTGGCGAGGAGGGCAAGGAGGGCAAGGAGGTCTCCTTGGCAAAGAAGAACGCTCTGGAGGCCAACCGGAAGCAGTGGGGCATTGGAGAGGAGAACGCTGCCAAGGGGAAGAGGGAGCCAAGCTTGGCGAAGTTGAATGCTGTAGAAAGGAACAGGGAGCAGTGGGGCATTGGGAAGGAAGCGTCCGTCTCTGAAGTCCAGAAGAAAAACGAGGAGGTCAAGCCGATGGTTCGCATGCAGCCCTGCATGGCTAAGGCGAATGCGGTAGAGCAGAATCGGAAGCAGTGGGGCATTGGGAAGGAGGAGGAGGAAGGAGCTCCTGCTAAGGCAGAGAAGTCGACCGTTGTTAACCTTGCTAAGCTGAACGCAGTGGAGCAGAACAAGCAGCAGTGGGGCATCGGAGCTGAGACGAAGGAGGAGAGGAAAGACGAGGCACCTGTGCCCAAGGTGACGGAGGCAACGAAAGTAGAGGAGAAGCCCAAAAAAGCTCCGATGGAACCTTGCATGGCGAAGTTGAACGCGCTGGAGAGGAATAAAATGCAGTGGGGCATCGGAGCCAAGGAGGAGGATCCGAAGAAGGCAGAGAGTAGCAGCGAGCCGGCTCGAAGCTCCTCTATGGAGCCTTGCTTGGCCAAGTTGAATGCCGTTGAGAGAAACCGCGAACAGTGGGGAATCGGAGCAGAGGGAGAGGTTGCAGAGGAGGAGAAGCTCATGGGATGGGAGGCTTCTCGTGCGATCACCAAGACTGAAGTGTTTGCCATCGTCAGGCAGAGCAAGGGAGCAGCTGGGGTAGAGCTGAAGTTGTGGTTGAGCACGAGAGGATACAGCGGAAAGAGGCTCCAGGATGTGGTGGAGAAGGTAGAGGAGGCGAGGAGCGGGAAGCTCAAGATGGATCCATGGGATGAAAAGCTGGAGAGGTCGATCGAGTTGCAGAAGAGCGCGAAGGAGGCCAAGGCAGAAGGAGAGAAGCTGATGAAACAGAGCATGGAGCTGGAAGCTCAGGTGCGGAGAAGTGATGATGGATGGAGGGAGAGAGGGCAAGAGGGAAAGGGAGGGGGTGGTGCCGTGCAGTCGAGGCGCTGGGAGGAGGGAACAAGGGGAGCCAGGAGGAGAGTCAGAGGAGGAGGGAGCTGATCCTTGGATGCAGGCAAGCGACGCTCTAGAGCAGAGGATCAACGAGCTGCGGGAGAACGTGAAGAAGAGGCCAGGCTTCTGGGGACTCGGGATGGCCCAGCGGGAGCTCAACAGAGTCGAGCAGGAGATGCAGAGGACTATCGCTACTGTCCGTGAGATCGCGCAGACGCAGGGAGAGGAAGCAGCCCTGCAGGCGCTGATCGACGGTTACGAGCAAGTCGGCTTGAAGGACAAGGTCGTGCTTTTGACCTCGGCGAAGGAATGCAAGAAAGATGCAGATTCCGCTCTCGCTCGCTCCCGCTCCCTGAGCAAGGAGGCGGATGAGCTGCTTGTCCAGGCCAACATGGAGAGGAGGAGGAGCGAGGAGGAGGCCATGGGCGGGAAGCTAGAGGAGGCGGAGCGAGCGATCAGCGAGGCCGAGGAGGCCCTGACAAGAGGAGAGAAGCAGGAGGCCCTTTCTATCCTCCAGCGTGAAAGTTCTGCGCTGCTGTCCCTTGGGCTGCAGGCGGACCCTCGCGCCAGTCTGTCCTCCCTCCCTGGAAGGCTGAACGCCATCGTCCGCGCGTCTACCCGCACTGTCGTTGCGTCCTCCTCAACCTCCTCAGCTCTGGCAGATGGGGAGGAAGGAGCCTCGGGAGCAATCGCAGCATTCTCGCTCCTCGCCATGCTGGCGGGAGGAGTTGGATACTGGGTCTCCATCCACCCTGAAGCCTTGAAGACCATCGCTCAGATGTCTGCTCATTAGCTGTCGAATGAATAGACTATCACAAGACAAGGCATTCTTAATGAATAGACTATCACAAGACAAGGCATTCTTAATGAATAGACTTATCAAGAGACAAGGCATTCTTAATGAATAGACTATCACAAGACAAGGCATTCTTTTACGAGTCGACTATCATGTTTTCAGGATTTTTCCTAGTTGAAATCCCTGCCCGCAGGATTTCCTGAAATCCCAAACTTATTAAAACTATTTTAGGACATCATGACCAAAACAGGAGATTTTCAAGCCCCCTCCACCCCCCACCCCCCCTTTCATACCTGCAACCCGCGAAAATCGCGCAGCATGGCCACAGCCGCTGGGTCGCAAGGTAGCCGTCAGAAATGCTTGTTCGGTTCACGATGCAAGGTTAGGGACGACGCATCTCAACTGTATCAATGTACTGTCTGCTCAAACATGTTTCATCATCTTTGTGCTAGTGAATGGAGTGAGGAGTGGAGTGATTGTGGTTGCTCGACTCGCGACCCGAAAGGAACAAAGGGACCAAAAACTTCAGCGCAGCAGCAAACCCCAAAAGTTGTGCCTTCCATCTCTCAAGAACAAATCGCGGAATCAATTGTGGAATACGTTTCAGAGACTAACAGAACTAGACGGGTATGCAACGAGGAGAACGATCACGACGCAGATGGAGCTGCAGAGAGAGAGGGAGACGGAGATAAAGCCTCGGACGAAGACTATGACGACGACGATGACGACGATGACGATGACGAGGACGAGGACGAGGACGAGGAAGTGGAGGAAGTGGAAGGCGAGGACGAACAAGAAACAAGAGAAAAAATCGAGTCTGTCAAAGACAAGATGCTCTCGGACAATTCGAAGGCATGTTACTTGAGTTCTGTAACTCAACTGATTGCATGGTTGTATGAAACCAAACCATTTTGTTTGAATCACGAATTCAAGAGTTGTTTAGACAACGAACCCAGAAATCGTGGTCCAATTACGAAGCAGATCAAAGAATTGTTGAAGAGCAGAGAATTGTTACCATTCAATACGAGAAGGTTCTCATACAAGCAATGGACAAGCTTTGTGGTAAATGTCATGATGAAGAAAAAGTTGAAATTCTCGTCATACGAAGCTTTGAGATCAGGCGTTAGGCATTTCTATAGAAGGCACCACAAGATCAAAACATACAGGAGAAAGTTTGACGTTCAAATAGCCGATTTCTATAAAGGTCTTCAGAACACCATCGCTGATGAGAGAGCCGTGAGTGGAACGAAATTGTCATCTGGCAAGGATCCGCTTCCTACAGACGTACCCACAGAGATGAATGAAAGTTCCGAGAACATGATGTGCACTGTGCAGGTTCCCATTTATCGTAGTACTGGATGTCCGCCTCATGTCACATCACTGGTTCACGAAAAGCAGTGGATGATTTTGCACGAGAAGCTTGATCAAGTGGTGGCAGGCAATGAGCAGCTGAGACTGAAGCAAGACAGCATGATGGAAAAGATGGAAGCGAAATTCAAGGAGATGGTCAACTATTTCAAACAGTTTCAGGGAAAGAATGAGGAAAATCGCCTGCTATTGCAACAACAGCTTCAAGTTTCTATGCAACAAAATCATGGCCACGAGAACTTCACGGTGCAAATGCAACTACGAGAATTGTACACAAAGCTACAGGAAGTGTGGGACATGCAGAAACGGATGATAGAGAAATTGCAGCAGCAACAATTTGAATTGCTCCAGCACCTGCAGGGGCAGCAGCAGCCGCAGCAGGTAGAGCAACCGCAGCAAGTGCAACAACGGCAAGAGGAAGTGTGTCAGGAGCCACTTCATTCACAGCAGCAGCCGGAAGTACAGCAGTGCCAAGGTCAGAGGCTTCTTCCGGAAGATATGCGAGTATCGGACGAGGCAGGAGTAACAGAGGCAGCCTGGAGCATTTGGCATTGTGGCAACAATTTAAAAGGAATTCCACCGCTGAAACGTGTGAGAGGAAAAGATTTGACACAGAAGAGCCAAGATAAACGATTGACAGATATGAAGTTTTTCATGAGGCATTTTCATCAATTCATAAGGAAGGTGATCAGGGACAGCGAACAGGACAATGAAGCGAGAAGGAGGGAAATGGACCAACTGGTTTGTATAGAGCGGGGGAATCCTTCAGTCCGAGAAACGAATGAATTCTTCATGAAGTATGCCAATGAATACCTGAATTGGATCGACATTGGAGCTGCTAGTAGCAGTTCGACGAATCGAAGTGGACAGCTAAAATGGACAAGTTATGTTCGCAAACTGCGAGTCAAGTGCACCTCTAGACCTGATGAACTGGAGTGGCTGTGGAATTGAAGTTTAGATCTTACATAAATGGTATGAAGAAAAACGTAAAGATGCAACCATGTGTTGTGTGTTGACTCGAACTGTGAAAATTTGGCCAAGTGTTGGATACTCTGATTGTAGAAAGCGGTTGAATTGGGTAGAAAGCGGTTGAATTGGGAAACCTGGGTACGGAATTTATCAGACCACCAATTTCGTGTATTCTACCGAATGACAAAAGGTTCTTTCTTCCAGCTTTTGACATTGTTAAGATGAACTTCAAGGCAACCACGGCTGCCCAAATGGAACAATTTCTCCAGAATTGCAGCTGTCTATGGCTATTCATTGATTGGCTAGTGGGTCATATCTTGATATTCATCACTTTCATGGTGTATCGCAAACAGGCTTTTTCTACTCCAAGAATAATGTTTTGCTTGCCATTCGACTATGTCCAGAGTTGCAAATTGTATATCCCAGCTTGACAGACAAATCTACACTCAACTCCATCGCATCAGGATTTAAGCAGAAGTCAACGAATGGAGTTTTTGACAAGTGCATTGGAGCAGTTGATGGTATCTTGATCGAACTCCACTGTGTGAAGGGGCCAGAGGCTATCAGAGCTGCACGATATTGGACCAGAAAGTCTTGTTTCGCTTTAAACGTTCAGGCCGTATGTGATTCCAGTCGGAGATTTTTGTGGTATAATGTAGAGAGCCCTGGAAGTACACATGACAGCATGGCATTCTCAAAAGGGAACTTGGCTGCACACCTTGCTTCAATCAATATTCATCGTGAAGGTATGTACCTTGTAGGTGATGCTGCATACAAAGGTGTCCCGGGTATCATCACCCCGTTCGACGGAGTGAGACTTCCTGTTTGGCAAGATAGCTACAATTTTCATCAATCGCAACTTCGGATCAACATTGAATGCGCATTTGGAATGTTGATCAATCGATGGGGTGTGTTCTGGCGGGGTCTACGGACTGACTCTACGGAAATTGCAATATCTGTGATTGGTGTTTGCTTCCAACTTCACAACTTCATACTAGAAAGGGACTGAGTATGCGGCCCCTCTTTATGATATAATAATTGAGGAAGAGCATTGTTCGCATATACATGTAAAGGACAGACTATCTGCACAGGACCGTCCGGAGATGAACGAACATGGCGCACCTATACATTTGGATCATGCAGCTGACGAACCTGATAGCCGGTCCATTCGAGCCAATCTAATGTTAAAGTTAGAACATCAAAACATCACGAGACCATCAGCACCACGTCGCGGGTGATTCACCAGCTTTGGAGTCTCCACTGCCTTCGATCATATTATCAAGGAGTGATAGATAAGAGTTGAAAGTCATAAACCTGCGGCATACGCTTGTGTGCGACGCGCACGAATGTCTGCAATTTCATTCTCTGTGTCTTGCAGCATCTCTTCGTATTTTTGCCTGGCAATACTACCAGGACTGTGCTTCTCCATTTTGTCCAATATATTGATCATAGTGTTCATCAAGACTCCTTCCTGTATGGCCAGTTCGGTGGACTGTTTTTCAAGCTCAGTCTGATGCAACAACTCTGTCATCTTGCTGGTGACAGCATCGTTGCCGGTGCCAGCCCGATTTCCAGGAGCACAATTCTCTTTTTGTTTAGACACAGCACTGAATCTGAAATCTTTGCTGCTTACCTTCCGGGTTTTGACATTCGATCCTGCCGGCTGCAACTGAGTTGAGTCGTCTAGACTGCTTGGTCGTTTACCCACACTCGCGGATTGAGGCAGGCCTTCAGACATCTCATCCTGTAGGACATGTATGGTGTCTGCAAATTCACCCAAGTCGTCGACATGACGGAGGTAATATATATCTATGCATGGTTTACCAGTAGGACTGTCCTTGCAAAAGTCGAGGTATGATTCAATGCTCGCATCACCTGAACCACTGCGCTTCCATGCAGTCTCTGCTTTCTGATAGATCTTCCGTAGCTCTTGCATTTTCTTATCAACCAGACACACACGACCACCACAAAAGTTACGAAGGAAAATTTCGTTCTCCTCATCATCAGATCCCAGTTGGAACCAGCATTGCGAACACAGTCTGTGCTTGCAAACATGTGCTACTAATATGCAAGCAGGATCAAGCGTTTGGCAACACTGCGCGCATACCTGAACACCCCTTCCTGTTGTCTGCATGCTACCAGGTGATACCACGTTCGTACCCGTCGGACCGACCTATTGCCTTCTGATGGCGGGAAGGGCACATCAATACATACCCTAAAAATTCTAATATCTGACTTAGAAAATCATTCACCTTTGAGGCACACAAAGCGGAGGGTGGGGATGGGGGTTCGATATGCAGGGGTGGGTACTAAAAATGGAAAGTTTTACTCAAAGTTAAGTGAACTTTTCCTAGAGTTTGTGGCGCTCTGGCAAAACAAAAATTTTATGGTGCCGCCCATGCTGACTTGGGAGCCGCCAGGGGAGCCGCCAGGGGAGGGGGGCGTGCCATGAGCTCGCTCCCTGCTGCTGCAGTGACCCGATGGTTCTGAGAGATCAACTGATATCCCTCCTCCTCCTCCTCCTCCTGTATGCTTTCCTCAGCACTCGCCACGCATCCGCCCTGGACTCATACGGGAGAATGGGCGCCCCGATACCCACGATGCAGAACAGCTGGAAAGTCTTGCTCGTGGGTGACTTCATATGCAGCACGTCGAGGGACAGGCTTGTCCTGCAATCGTTTGCAAAGCTGGGGATGATATCAGAGACCATGCACGTGCAGGTCGACGAGATGCTCGAGGGTACCCTTCACGTACTTCTTGAGAACTTCCGTCCAGACTTCTTGTTCTTCAGCTTCCTGTCCAACGTTGAGGAGCAGGAGGTGTGCGTTCTAATGAGTGTATGGAAGACATGTCGGAGCTTGGGAATATCCACAATCATTCTGCACCAAGAGAACGCGGACCCCATGCAGTATCAAACAGTCGCAACGAAGAAGTGTTCGACCAACTATCAAGATGATTCAGACCTGGCCACTGAGTGGTTGGATTTTTGTGTGCGGTGTGTGAGCGTGGGGCCGCTGATATCATCTCAGTCTTGCGATCATCTTCATGTTAACCCATCTCCTGGTTCCGGCCATGAGTATGAGGTCGCTTTCGTGGTGGTCAACAAGCAATGTAAAGATCCGAATCAGAGCACGACAGATGCATCATGTGAGTTGTATTGGCTCCTGAAAGATCGCTACCATGAAAGGATTCAGCTTCTTGCTGTAGACGAAGATGGCTTCACAGACAAGTCATCGTTCGTGACAGCAAAGGTTGCTGTGGCAACAGTAACAGAGCTAGCGGGCGAGCTTGAGGGAGATTGCTTTTCTCGAAGCTTGGGTATCAGACACGTTTACGGACTAATTTCGGAAGGGACCTTTGTGATTCACAATCTTGACCCTTCCATTGCCTCGAACCTGAAGAATGGAACTCATGTCATTACATACAACACAGGCGACTATCAATCTTTGACAGGAATAATTGATTACTTCCTACAGCATGGGGATGAGAGAGACATTATCGCAAAACAGGGAATGCAGCAAGTCTGCATTCATAACACGATAGAAGAGTTCATGGGGAACGTCATGCAATCTCTGTATGAATCATCGCAACCATGGTGGTTTCGCTGCAAGGCAGAGGAGGAGGAAGCGACAAGATCCGATTCCACTCCGCCCACCCTGCTGAATGCTGCTCGTGAGAGGTTGACGATATACCATGAAGGTGCTCAGGTCCCTCTGGACGTGATCCATAAATCTACTTGGGACAGGAGCCAATACAGACTTGGGAGAGTCAGCTGCCTGGAAGATGACTGCGACGTCGTGTTGAAGAATTATCCATATCTCAGAGAATCGCACTCAGTTGCAGCAGAGGGGATTTTCGTTGCTCTTTATGACAACATGACCATTGTCCATGATGGAGTCTTCTGCAATGCAACACAAAAGGTGACAGCATTCAAGTACAAGCATGAAACGCACCCGGACGTGCCAGAAGGATGCCTATTGGAGGATTCTGACAACGCAATAAGGTACATTGACATGCTATGATCTAATTTCTCACCCGTTGACAGGCATGTATCTAGAGCTCTATCCTTGCTTGCAAACATGGGCTGGTTCTGGGGACATTTTGTGCATGATTTGCTATTCCGTCTAAGCTATGCGATCAACTCGCTAGATTTCAATTTTGATATCGTTTTGGAGGGAAACAGTCATGCCAACATAGTGATGCTTGTAGAAATTGTATGAGATAACCTCTGAGAAGGAAGCTGTGTTGACATCATTGTATCAGGTCACAGGTGGGAAAAACAAAATTCATTTCTATGACACAGAATGCTTGAGAGGGAACGGAAGAAGTTGTCGTGAATACTTGCGAGTCAGAGAGTTGCTTGTTGTCAACACTTTGCTCTCATTGTTCGTTGCGGACGATGTTGTTCCATTTGAATTCAAGAGGACTTCAGATCTTATCTATAGGAACCTTGCCAACCAGGTAAACTCGTTCGGACATTTGGTTATTTCCATTCTTGACTAGTTTTCAGGTCCATGGGCTACGTCGATGGAATTTGTACAAGAGATTTTCCCCCTTTTTCCCACCAAACAAGATTTTAGCAGGTTTTACCTTGCTGGAAGAAGCAAAGAATAAGTGTGAACTATGCGCAGAGTCACTTCAGAGTGGGCATAGTCATCGGATTTTCATGAGGACTGAATGGAAGAAGTCCGGCACCCCTCGATCCATTTTAAGACCTCACTCTCGTCGCAGGAAAGCTCTTGAATTCCAGTCCGACTTGCCGTCTTCATTTGTGATCATGGCCAGGGGAAGAAAAACAGATTGCTCAAGGAGGCACAGGTGTCTCATGAATGGATTGGAATTGTTTTACGCAATCAGGTACACCTTTCATTTTCTTCCCACCAAACATCCACTCTGAACGAATGGGCAGCTGGGCGTCTTTTGAATGGGGAAAGCAATCTATAAAGCCAATTCGCCCTGGATGTGAAGTGATCAACTTTGAAGAGAAGACACATCCTCTATTCAAAGCTGCTGTGGCGCTTGCAAATGCAGACTTTGTCATCGGCGCTCAAGGCTCCCAGGTTTGATGTGGAATCTGATTTCACTTTCTTTGACCGGCATCTCTCAAAGATGTTAAATGTTATCTTTTGCCGCAAGGGAACGACGATCATAGAATTGTTTCCCGCCGGAGATTGTCGTGGTCCGCTTGACGATACTTCAAGAGAATCGAACTTGGTTGGAAAGTGTGGAGGAGTATCAAACCATCGCTTCTTCCTTTCACATGGCCTACGGCCCTGGCTGCTTCCAATAAGGTACCAGTACGGGATCCAAAAAAAGGGATCTTCCTCGTTTCTAGTGGACATCGATCGAGTGTTGAAAATCTTGGCGATCGAGCTTGCAGTGCAAGTCCCTTTTCCTACTGAGATCTCTCTACAACTTGTAACAAACCGAAGTACAGGGCAAGATCAGACTCTGAGCCTCCACTGGCAAGGGGTAGGGTTGGACTTGCTACTGGTCCAGGACAGTTCTAGAGCCGACAATTCAAGCTCCGTGCGTTTTGCTTGTACTTTGATCGTCAATGGAGAGTCTTTGTACTCTCAACCTCTGCCCGGCCTCTTGACGCGCCACATGACCGGGAGCTTCGAGCTAGCAGTGGCAAGAGGAGAACACTACTTACAAGCTGCTGTGATTTCGACAGAGTCGGGGACTGAAGGAGGGGCAGGAACACGAGCAGGAGCTCTCGTCTTCTCTCCTGTGGTCTTGTTTTCCAGCTGACACATCTCCTTCACTTGAACTTCCGACGACACTTGTGCAACCTCTACTCACAATCTACTCCTCACTGCTTGTAAGCTACCTCTACTCACAATCTACTCTCTACCTGCAATATTTTTTTCTCTCTTTTCTTGGTTTTTCTTTTATGGTGTTTCATGGTTTTAATTGGTTTGGTTCTTTGGTCTACAAGCTTGTCAAACATCATGTTTTTTTTCTATCAACCGCCTCCACCCCCTGACCCCTTCCAATCATTCCCTTTCACCCTACCTACCGCCCTGCATGCATGAGAACACCCCTGACTTCATATATTCAGTACCCACCCTTTATTATACATACGTGGATACCCTACAGCTCCCGTACCCTCCGCACACTACCCCGACCCATTGATCCATTCCCATACACCGAACCTGCCATGGCTTGTTTCGCATACCCGGCAGGGAAGCAGGAGAGGAGGGCGAGGGGATGGGACAAATGAGACGATGAAACGGATCTCTTGTACAACCTTGCTTCTCTCCCCATGAGCCACAATGTGGCGACATCAGCTCCTCCCTGCCTTGTTCCTTGCGCTGCTGTCATGCGTCGAGGGAGCCCTCTTCAACTGTTCAGGGGGTCATTTTCGGTATGGTAGCATATCGCACAGACTAGTTTCGGGGTACACAGTGCAGTTCACTATCAAGACAGAATGGAAGAGATCTTTCTCAACAGGGAGCATCTTCGCAGGAAGAGGAGAAGATGGCAGGGCAGTCACAGGGGACCAAGTGAGCATTCCTGGAGTTTGGAGGAGCTCGTTAGGGAACGCAAAGACGATCATGTTTGAGACGGGGGACGGCACATCCTCCAGTCTGATATTGACTGTCACATCGTACTCATTTGAAGAAGACTATCTCTACGGGTACACTATATTTCAGCACACTTACGACCGACCAAACGATGGAGGGTAAAGCCAACTGTTCTGACTTCCTTCAATGATCGATTCTGCAGCAACGACTGGCTGCCAACCATATCAGGATGCTGCAGATGCGTGGGAGAGGAGGTTCAGTTCAAGGTCACAGCACGAGTGAACCTGGCGTACGATACCTCGTCTCTTATCATGTCTTCCCTTCCCGTTATCGAGCTCGCGCACAGGTCTGTTGCTATCGAGCATTGCCTCAGGTCTTCTGAGACGTGTTCTCCTTCCAGCATCTTCATGCAAAACGTCTTGGTGGCTTCGAACACTTATGAAGGTGACTTGGCTCAGTCGTGGCAGTTTGGATCAGGGTCGGAGCTGGGTAGTGCCAAGCTGCCCCCAGCGTCTGCCCTGTCGTTTGACAGTATGTCAAACCTCACGTACTTGGTCGTCAACACAAGGTATTCTATCATCACTTGCAAGGAGGAATGCCCGACTGAAACTGCGACCAACCAGCGCCCTAGGGGTCGGGTATCACGCTGTCGTGGCCCAGATAGCGCTAGAACGAGCCGTAACACCCTACGACTTCATGCTCAAGGTCAGGACTTCCCAGCTGACTGCCGCTACGTCACTTCACTCTCAGGTTGTCTCTCCGGAGTACGAAGCTGATCGCCCCTACTTCATCCTCGGCAAACCAGTCATGACGATCTTCAACGACAACGGTGTTAGGGAGGCTGCTCTGCCGCTGCTGGAGGGATACCTGGGCTACGAGATTCTTTTCACTCTGACGGCCTTCACTTCCCGGAGCGCAGCAGAGATCAAGTCCATCCTCTCCTTCTCCCTTCCTGCAGGTGCCGAGCTGCGGAACGTCGTTCGAGAAGGGTCGCCGGGCAACTCAACCATGTGACTTCCTCTCTACAGCACCCTTCGGAGCAGTGACGGGTTTTCTTGTTGCTCCAGGAACGTCGACTTCGCATGGACGCCCGTCGGCACTCAGGTCGCTCGAGCTCTCCTCCTCCTTCCCCTCACCTGCTGAGCTGCCTCCAGGCAAACCATCACTTCGTGTGCTTCGAGGCCGTCGACTCCCTCCCCCTCCAACTCTCCTCGGGGCAGCACTGCGTCCAGCTCCTCGTGCTCTCTGTGAACCCTGCCCCGAGCTTCGACAGCCCCCCCGCAAACTCCGTCTTCCGGTTCTTCATGGCGAAGATGAACATGTTCGATATCAACGGGATCAACGACAACCCCTATGACAACCTCCTCATCTTCCCAGCTCGACCTCTGCAGTTTGGCCAGGTGCTGTCTCTACTTTAAACTTGACTCGGCTGCTGTACACGATTTGAAAGAAAGGGCAGGAAATGTCAAACACGATCGCGTCGGAGAAGCGAGTCAAGGCGACTGATCCTGCTGCCAAGGTGAGAGTTGAACTTGTTGAGCAGGTTGCTGAGTCTTCACGAGGTGTCGGCAGCAGCAACCTTCTTCTGGACCCCCAACATCTCATTTGGTGAGAGAGGAAGACGAGGAGGGGGAAGGAGAGAGGAGGGGGAGAAGGGGGAGAAGGGAGGGAGGGTGGGAGGGAGGGTGGAAAGCATGCAGGCAGATAGTTTCTCTCACTCTCAGTGCAGGAGCGTACGAGGAGGTGATCTGCTTCAACTTGAGTCAAGCAGGAGGGCCGGGGATTATTCCTCAGATGTCAACAAGGTGAAGAAGCGGCGGCGGCGGCGGAGGAGGAGGAGGAGGAGGAGGAGGAGGAGAGGAGAGGAGATGAAAGGGGGAAAGAGGAAAGGGCAAGGAAAGGGGAGGGGAGGGAGGCTGACGGTCCTTGTGCAGGTGTGTGAGGGTGATTGTAGAAAGATGTAAATATCTGGTGCAAGCCAATGACGACATGAAGACCATCGGCGTTACGTTCCGGCGGGACTGGTTGACGTGAGTGGCCGACGGCCATTGACCCTCCTTCCCTGCGCCTTGACGTGAAGTCACAAGGATCTGGTCGATGAATCAAGGTTTGATGTCCTTCACTCCGGCTGAAGGATCCCTAGTGCAGGTTAGCTGAGAGTTGAAGTCCTCCCTCCTCCCTCCTCTTCGTTTCTCCTCCATCCTCCTCGCTTCTCCTCCCTCTTTCCCCCTCCCCTTCAAGTGCTTTTCTCTACAACCTTCTCATCCCTCCACTCGCATGATGAGGAAGCAGATTGGACGGCTGTACTACGTGCAAGCAGGAGACACCATGCAGAGCATCTCGATGGAGTTTGGTGAGGGAGAGAAGGACAGAGCAGGAGGCGGGAGGGGACGGGAGATGGGGAGGAGAGACAGCTGATGTCGGAGAAACTTGATCAAGGGCAGAGCATGAGGAAGGGAGAGGCAAGTAGAGACTATGACGTGACTGATGCTGCAGGAATGACGATGGATGACCTGAGAAGTCTTAACTACGACTTGTCAAATTTCCTCCCTGCCGACAAGATCCCGACGGGACTGCAGATCTGCATCTTCCCGGACACGTGTAACGAATGACCGAGGCATGAAGTTTTGCTTCCTTTCACTCGTAGAGCTCCCTCCATCAGAAAAACTCGTCCTCGCTGAAACTTTCCTCCCTCCTCCCTCCTCTCTCCTTCATGGTGACTTCCTTCCCCTTCCTCCTACCTGATGTTCGCTATCCTCTCTCCTCCCTCCTCGGTCGTCCTTCGTTTCTCCTCCTCCTCCTCCTCCTCCTCTCCGTCATTCTTGTCCCTTAAACCCGTACAGCAGTATCCGTAGATTGTGCAGCATCGCTCTCGAGCTCCAGGTCCCATCGTAGCAGCGGCCGAGAGCCAAGGTCACCTGCCCGGCAACAGCTGGGGCAGGTAGGGAGTAGAACAACTTTGACCCTGGGGCGGTGAGGGGGATACGGACGTCAAGCTTTGCGTCCTTGGCGTCCCGCCCTCCCACGTTCCCTCCTGCTCCTCCGTGGACCACCAGGTGGACATCAGCTGGGAGGGGAGAGGCGGGGAGCCCGCTCTTGAGCTCGAGCCCGAAGCCTGTGATGGACGTCCCCTGCTCGACTACGAAGTCGAGGATGACACCCCCGAAGCCAGCAGGAGCTCCCTGCTCTCGCAGGACAGCTCGGACGGCCTTGAGGGCTGCAAAACCGCTCCTGGAGAGGAGGAGGGAGGAGAGGCTAGTCTGCGCGACGCACTCAGGGCTGCCCAGGAGGGAGCTGGGGGGGTGAAACACCTGGAGGCAGCAGAGGTGAGCTAGGAGGATAGAAAGGACCAAGAGGATGAAGAGAAGAGGAATGGGGAGGAGCAGGAGGAGCAGGAGCAGGAGGAGCAGGAGCAGGAGGAGCAGGAGCAGGAGCAGGAGCAGGAGGAGAAGGAGCAGAACCTCTTTCTTCCACTCCCCATAGACGAGCAGCCTCCCCAGCTTCAGCTGTTGTCCAGCTGGGACCTGTAGGCTGCAGAAGAGGAACTTGCCGTAGGTCTCGTCTTGGCCAGGAGGAGGAGGAGGAGGGAGGAAGGAGAGGAGCGTGCCGGGGGTGGCCGCCTCCCCCTCGAACGAGTCGGCCAGGTTCCACTCCCACATCTCCCTGCTCCTCTCAGAGATTGAGTTCTGGAGGGTCATGGAGATTCGTGGGGCTTCCTCCCTCCTCATCCCCTCCTCCTCGCTGCTTCCGCACACTAGCAATTGAATCTCCGTGACCTGGAGGTCGTTCAGGAGAATTTGAAACAGCCCCCCTCCTTTCCTCCTCGCGCTCCACCCACCAACACTACAACATATCCTCCTGCTGCTCCAGCCCCTGCCCCTGCCCCTGCCCCTGCCCCTGGTCCTCTTCGTTAGATCACCTTGGCAAGCTGCGGGAGAACGATAGTGAAGGACGCGCGTTCGGTGCCCTCGTCGCATTTCCAGCCGCCGCAGGAGAAAGGAAGCAAGCTGTCAGGCATGAGAACGCTCTCGATGGGGAGAGAAGCTGCAAGCAATGTCAAGGAAGAATAGAAGGGACGAGACGAAAGAGGAAGAGAGGAAGAGAAAGAGGGAGGAGGGGCTGGACAGGAGGCAGATGAAGGAAGTAGAGGGGAGGAGAAAGAAAGAAGGGCGAAACGAGGAGGAGGAGGAGGAGGAGGAGGAGGAGGAGCAGGAGGAGGAGGAGGAGGAGGAGGAGGAGGAGGAGGATACCGCAGGATGTCGGCACAGACTGGAGGATGGAGGCTCTGGGGAACTGCGATAGGAGACATCGTCCTTTTCCCTCCTCCACGGAGCTCCTCGTCTCGTACCCCTCGTCCACAAGCTGCATGGCAGCAAACGACAGGGCAGAGCGCAGGAAGTGATCGACAATCTGCTCCCTCTCTCTCGCTATCTCTCCCTCCTCCTTCTGCTTCCCGTGCTCTTCCTCCTTGGATATCCTCTCAGCGAGGCTCGCGAAGGATGCGATGCAGCCTTGCAGCGAGGATCGGCTGCCAATGCGTCAGATGAGCAGGAGCAGGAGGACGAGGACGAGGAGGAGGAGGACGAGATGAGACAGGAAGATCGGAGGTTACCTACGGAAAGGAACCAGAGGAGATAAAGAGGTGTGGTAAGAGGAAGAATAGCACCAGAGGGGGGGCATGGAGAGCAGGAGGAGCAGGAGGAGGAGGAGGGAAGCAGAGGAACGAGTTTCACGACAGCAGCAAATGCAGCAACACCACAGGCAGCGGCAGCAGCGGCAAGAGCAGCAGCAGTAGCAGCAGCAGCACCTTGACTGAAGGATGCTTCTGCAGTGATTTCTCCTCGTTCGCATCGCTCGGTTTGCTGCTTCCAGCCCCGTCGAGTCCCCTAGAGCCCTCGCACCCTCCTGCACCTGCTGTGTAGGGGGAACTTCCCCACTCTGCTCCCCATCCTCTCCCCCTTCCCCGTCCTCCTCCTCCTGCCCGAAGTTGCTTCCTCCGATGAAAACTCCCGCAAGGGGATCAACGTTGGAAGCAGCAGCAGCAGCAGCAGCAGCAGCAGAAGCGCTGCAGTCTGACTGTCCTTGCTCCTCCCGTGACGCACGGAGACCTTTCGACTCCGCCATGATCGCCTCCTCCATACCCTTCAGATCCAACCTGCCGGAAGAGGCGCTTGCTAAAAGAACAGTCATGAGACTTTGAAGAGGTCAAGGCGGGAAGGAGGAACTAGGACAAAAGAAAGGATATGAGGTAGAGGTGGAGCAGCAGCAGCAGGTAGAGGAGGACCAGGACGAGGTAGAGGAGGAGATGAAAGAAGAGGCAAAGATTGTCAACCCGTATTCTCGGCCTTCCTCTGCACAACCTCATTCCCTTCCTGGTCGCTCCTCGGGTTACTCCAAGCTCGTCCAGACGCCTGAGACCTTATGAGACCCTCTGCGTTGCCTTTCACTTCCTCCTCGCTCTAACACTTCAACTCCATCTCCCCTGCTCTACCCTGCTTCCTCCTCGTGTCAGCTGCCTCCTCTCCTTGTATCATTGACCTCCTGCTCCTTCCTTTCTCCACTCCCCCTCTCCTCTTCCCCTCCTCCTGACCTGATTGCTCCACATGGCTGTCAGTTGGGACGCGACGTCTTGACTAGACTTAATCTCTCTTTCCTTCTCTCTCCTCTCGTTCCCTACAGTCACCGCTGTCTGACTGTTTGTTGGCTTGTTCTGGGAGACCTTGAAGCAAAGAGTTTTCTTAAGTGAACAGAGACGAGAAACGATCATGTTTACACCTTGGCCTTCGAGCCCATCCAGCCGGCTAGTTTCCCCATAGAGGACAGCGCTCCCTTGGCTATGCTCCCCAACTTGGAATCATCGCCCGCATACCTGCAAGAAAATGAGAAGAAAGCGATGAAGTGGAAAGAGAGGGAGGAGCAAGAAAGCGACAAGGAGAAGGAGCAGGAGAAGGAGAAGGAGGAGGAGCAGGAGCAGGAGCAGGAGCAGGAGCAGGAGCAGGAGGAGCAGCAGGAGGAGGAGCAGGAGGAGGAGGAGCAGGAGGAGTAGAAGTGAAAAAGAGAGGAATAGGAGAGATATCTACTTGTCTACGAGCTCATCTGCCTTGGCAAGGGCCTGAAGAGAAGAGTAAGAGATGAAGGGAAGTAAACATCCTCTCACCTTGCCCCCGAGCTCTCGTGCTGTCTTGCTCGCTCCCTCCGCAAACTTCTTCTCCACCATGCTGTCGGTGGTAGGGAAGGAGGCGAGAGAGATGCTGACTGCTCGCTCAGCCTCCTTGTTGGTTCCTGAGTCCTCGATGTGCAGGTCTAGACTCCAAAGTGAGAAGAAGAGGGAGGAGAAGGAGAAGAGAGGGGAAGAGAGAAGAAGAGAGCAGAGCAGAGCAGGAACAGCAATTGACGAGGAGGAAAGAAGATTCAAAGAAGGATGCAGGAATTTGATTTGGATCGGAAGAAACGCAACCTGACGGGACGATCCCGTTCACACTCAGCCTTCCGAGGATGATGGAGCGAGTGCCGTCCCTTCTCCTCATCATCTTCTTCCTTGTCAGACCGACCTCGGGCGACCCTCCCTCCTCTCACCTGAATCTGCACGATCTGCGAGAGAGCATGCAGCCTCTTGGGCTGAGCTGGGGGGAGCAGAGAAGGAACAAGCTGGTCGAAGGGTAAACCTAAGGCGAGGAGGAATTTGTTTCTTACCTGCTCTCCTTTTCTCAGCTTGTCGGGGATGTAGGAAGGAATGGGAAAGCTGATCCTCGTGCCGTCCTCGCACTGGGGGAGATCAACATTTCCGTAGATCTGTGATCGAGTGAGAAGGCAGGAGGGGGGAGGTGGAGAGGAGGATGGTAGGGGAGAAAACGAGATGGAGATTAGGAGGGGAGGAGAGGAAGAGAAGGAGAGGGAGAGCAGCAGAGCGCATGAGAGAAGAGGATGAGGAGGAGAGGAGACAGGAGAGGAGAGGAGACAGGAGATAACAAGAACTACGACGGGGAAGGGATCATGCAAGGATGCAAGGAGGTGTTGTCATGATGACGAAGGAGGAGCAGGAGCAGGAGGACCTGTTCCATCTCGTTGATGTATCTCCCAACCCTGCCAAGGAGGAGGAGAAAGATTCAACGCCTTCCGAAGAGGAGGGGTATGAGAGGTCAACCAGATGCTAATGGAGGCTGGGAATTCGCAGGACGCGATCCCGTTCTTGATCCAAAGCTGAACCTCCGTGACGATACTCTGCAAATGTCGTTATCCCCTCGCTATTTTCCTCATCTCCCCTTCATCCTCCTCAACCCTTGCCTTGCCTCTTCTCCTCTGTCCTTGTGCTTCTCCTTCCCACTCCCTGCTTATCTCCTCTCCTCACATACTATCCTCCTCTCCTCGATTCATCCCCTTCTCTTCTTTTCTCGACTTCTTCCGTCTTTTCTTCCACCTCCCTCCGCCCCTCCCTCCTCTTCGTGACCGAACCGGAGCTCGAAGGTGCAGGCAGATATCCGCCACATCGAGCTCAGGAGGGAACATCCAGGCAGCAGAGTTAGGCGACGAGTCAAGGACCTGGTTGCATGCGTGAGAAGGAGGATGAAGCCTTCCCTCCTACTTGCTGCACCTGCGCCTCAAAGCGTGCAGGATGCGTAGAAGAAGAGAGCTGGTGGAGGAGAACGGCGTGTGGGGAGGAGACGCAGCACGCTGAGTGGGAGAGGGAAGAGAGAGAGGGAGGAGTTGGCTGAGGTAGCGCCCAGGAAGGCGAAGTACTGCAGCTGCCGCTCCGAGTCGCTCAGCACGTTGTGATACCTGATCGAGAGAAGTGAGCAAGAGGAAGACAAGACAAGACAAGACAAGACAAGACAAGACAAGACAAGACAAGACAAGACAAGACAAGACAAGACAAGACAAGACAAGACATGGCTTGACAAGGAAAGCGAAGAAGAAAGAGGAAGAGAATTGAGAGATGGGAAGGAACGCCGTGCAGAAGGTGATCAAGGTGGTGGACAAGGATTAGAATCGACGACACAAGGAAAGAAGACTGAGAGGAGGAACGGGAACGAGAGGGAGCAAGGAAGTACAGCCAGTCAGAGATGAAGTTGACCTTCGCTGAACGGAGATCTGAGTGTCGGAGACTGCAGGAGGAAGGGAAGTGTAGTCGCGCATGGGACCAGTCAGGAGCGCCGGCGTGTTAGTGTAGAGGAAGGAGAAGAGATCGCCGTTGCGCACGTAAGCCTCAGCCAGCCACTCGAGGAGCTGAGGGAGATACGTTAGGAGAGGGCAGAGGTACGGCGAGGGAGAGCGCGGGAAGTGGCAAGAGGTGGGAAGGGGGGGGGAAGGGAGGCAAACTAGGAGCAAGAGCATGAGACAGAAAGGTGAAGAGAAGGGGGGGGAGTAGTTGAAGAAGGAGACGAGGAGGAGGAGAAACGAAGGAACTTGAAAAGGGCAAGAGGGACAAGAGAAGAGGATCGGGTAGGGGTAGGGAGGAGGAGGATACAACCTTGGGCTCTAAGAGTGATCGGACAGCATCCACATCAACTTCTGGGGACTTTAGGAATCCCCAGTGAGAGGAAAGTCTTGATTGAAAATCGATGTCTGGCTCAGTTTTGACCTTGGAAGGAGTAAGGAGCATGCAAAAAAGGGGAGGCAACAGAGGGGGAGGAGGCAGTTGGTAAGTGAGATAGAGATGGAGAAAGAAAAGAGACATAAGCTCGGGGATGAAGTTGGTACGTCAAAAGGAATCAGGGGGGGAAGGAGGGAGGGAGGAGGATAAGGGGTCAAGGGAGAAAGAGGGAGGGAGGGAGGAGCAAAAAGAGTCAAGGGAGAAAGATGGAGGGAGGGAGGAGGGAAAGGTAGAGCGAGAGGGGTGGGTGGGGGATTGACGTACTAGTACCCTGCTGGTGAAACCGATGTGGCTCCGACGACATTGCTCGAGGAGGAGTTGCTGTGAGACCATGAAACCTAAGGGGAAACGAGGTGAGATGTGATGGTCACGACAGCGACAGTTCTCGTACAGCACAAGTTGGTTCTATCCAGGGAGTCTGCGCAGTTGTACCGGAGGACGGAGGCCTGAAGGAAGAGCTGGGTGTCAGGAAGAGCCAGTGCAAGAGAGTGGGAAGTTTCACCTGCTTTCTTCTCGGCTCAACTTGACTCTCTTTGATCGGACTGCCAGCTCTTCCCAACTTCAGACATCCCTTCAACGGAAAGGTCAACAGGTAAAACAGCAGCCACGTCACCATGGTCACCTCTGACAAATCTGCCTTCTCGATCAGCGGGCTCAGTCGATCCCACAGGCTGGAAAATTCTCGTCACTGGATCTTCCCTTTAGGGTTGTTCTACTTCACCATTTCACTGTAGTCTCCAGCCCCATCTCTTTCTTGATCCGGTGCCAGTCAAAGTTGCACATGTTGAGTTCCATCTGCAGAAGAGCTGTCAGATGCAACGACAGTCCTGAGCAGGACTGAGAAGTTCCTGTATGCTATACTTGGATGACAAGAGGCTCTTCGCCTCTCTCAGAGACTGCTGAAAGATCTGAATGACATGATGAGCACTGGTATTACTCTACATCTGTTGTCACCTCTGACAAATTCGTTTCTCCGCTCTCTGCATCACATCGGAGGAGGTTGACGAACGACATCGGCGTTCCGTTGTACCTGGATGAATCTCAATCACTATGACAGACTCAAACATGTGATCGGATCGGATCATGAGTTCATATCATATCATCTCACGTCAACATGTAATGTCACATAGCATCACGACATCTCCCCTCCCCTCCTCTGCTCACCGCATGTACGCGTCATGATAAAACTGGTCCACCCCTTCATATGGAGAAGATCCTATCACAATCTTGGGAGCAGTGACAGAGCTTGTCAGCTCATGACGCCAGTGTACCTGGAGGAGCATATCATGCAATGACACGTCATCTTCGTACCAGATATTACCGGTACTGTCCCCCTTCGCCATATGTGAGAGCTCCACTGATCCTCGATACTCCCATCCCCTTTGATGGGGGAGACCCAAAAAATCTTCAAGGCCCCCCGTTAGCATCTTCAACAACACCTCTCCATCACCTGCTCTGATTCGATCTCGTTTCCTGCTCCTGCCGCCTTGTTCAACCCTCGGGCGTTATACCTTGTTCCTGTCCCGCACTTCAGTAATCGGAAGAACAAACATCCTCCTTCTCGTCCTCCTGATCCTCATCATCATCATCATCATCATTGCTATCATCATCTCCATCATCACCACCACCATTGCCATCATCATCATCTCCTCCACCACTATCTCCATCATCATCATCTCCATCATCATCTCCATCATCATCATCATCATCATCTCCATCATCACCTCCATCATCATCTCCATCATCATCTCCATCATTATCATCACCGGGATTTGCGATGCTCTTCCTCGATATGAGTGCCAACCCGACATTGACCTGCTCGTTGGTTTCCGGATGCTCAAAGGAGAAGAGTCGACTGCATCCTAGACCCTGACAGGAGGCGGAAAGTTCACATCGGATAACAAGAACAAGGAGAGGAGAGGCGGAAATGGAGAGAGGAGGAGGAGGAGGGGAGTGGGGGAGCGGAACCTGGAGCAACACAACACAGCAATTCCTCAAGCCGGCTTTTTCGAAAGGAGACGCAAGCCATTGGTTCCAGCAATACCTGAAAGCGAGTCACAGTGACACAAAGTTACAGTGAACATCACAGCACACTTACTCGTAGTCATATTCCAAGACACTCGACGTCGAAGGGAAAGGTCTGGTCAAGTCATATGTCTCCGAGTAGAAGTGATATCCACTGATGGTAAAATCCTTCAACTTCTCCAATCCAGCTTCGTCCGCCTGCACTTTGAAGTCACAACCAACCTTCACTCCCCTCCTCCTACCTTGGACAGTGCTGAATCAACTGAAGCGCCGAGCAGCGACCCTTTGATCCACTTGGACCTGGAACCAAGATTCAGCTCCAGTCGCGCTCGAACGCGTTCCTCACTTTGTTACTGTGCACATCGCATGTCCTCCTGGGAGAGGGTCTCTTTTGACCTCAACAGCAACCAGCACCAGGACCTTGACATGGCTGCCGTCAACCAGGACCAGCACGTTTGCTCCCATCTGATACCTGGAGCGGAGTGACCACCATCCCGAGGAACGCATGCCCGCGAACGATGGACTGGACAGGCTTTCCACAACAGCATCTAGAAGAACACCACGCCAAGGCATCCTGTCGCGAGAATGAGCTCCAGGAAGACAGCTGCTGCTTACTGACCTCTTCCGTGTCAAACGTGTCGTGCCCTGGAATACCCTGATAGATCAAAGTACCGCTCGAATCGTCCACTGTGATGAGCTGTTCCGATCTCAGTGTCGGGGAGTGACTACAGCTGAAAGATTACCAGGGTTTCCTTCTGGTTGGAAGGTGATATCAGCAGGACCAGGTTGCCTGAGGGACATTGAACCACAGCAACTTTAGTTGCTCTGGTGGCCATGGGTTCAGTCGCAAAGCATCATTCAAGAGCCTCTGCTCCGGCTTCCTGCAACCATGTAAGAACGTTTTCCACAACCCTTGAAGCCTTCTCGAACAAGATCGAAGAAGTGCGAGGTGAGCAGAACAATCATGAAGCAAAACCGAACGAGATTGCGAGAAGCTGAGAAGAAAACGAGACAAGAGAGCGCGGTCGAGAAAGTCTCAATTGTGACTTTTACAGCCAAAATAGAAGTCGGAGCGACATGCCAGGCCAAGGCGACAGAAGCATGACGAATGCAGGGAGAGGAAAGGAACGACATTCTGTTTCAAGGCAACTCTACAGGGATCAGGAGGAGCAGGAGCAGGAGGAGCAGGAGCAGGAGGAGGAGGAGCAGGAGGAGCAGGAGCAGGAGCAGGAGGAGCAGTAGTGATGACTCGCAATGGCATCTCCCCTCAACTTTTCCCCTCATCCCCAACAGGCCCAAATCATGTAGCCGGGCCCAGCTGGTCGGGCCGCGCCCGGTGACTGAGGCTCAGCCTCCGGCACTGCCTCCACTGCAGTGACTGAGCAGGCCGCCGCCGGGCCTCATGCACCGTCACAGACGGACAGCGGCACAAGTATGTTAGACTTGCACTATGCCAAAGTAATGCAGACATCATTTCGACCTCAGTTAGTGAGAAATAAGACTGTGAAACCCAAACCATCCAGACATGCCTGAGAGGACCTTAGCAAGACGGCTATGAAGGCCTCCTCTTCGTCACACGTACTACATTGCCCCCTCGACCAATCGTGCGGCTGGGCCGGGCCCGGGCCGATCCGATGCCACTGTCTCCGGCGGCGGCGATGATCTGCTAACCCATTCCGAAGTACAAGATCGTATTTCCGAGCAATGCCATGATGTCGGGCCCCACTGCCATGATGCTACTCAGGCTACCGGCAGCGGCGCCCCCCGACTGCCACCGTCACCGAGTCACGGTGTCACGGTACGGTCGACCGGGCCACGGTGCCACGGCCCGGCGCCCGGGGGGCCGTGCACGGCGCTGCCCGCTGCCGGTAGCATCGGGCAATACCTGACCTTGTCCGTCAACATGGCAGAAGGCATCGGGGTGGCGGAGGTTGGGGTTATCAAGGCGAAGAGTCTGAAGAGGATGGACATGGCGGGACTGAGCGATCCCTACGTGATGCTGAGCATGACGGGAGGAGGAGGATGGAGGAAGAAGGCGAAGAAGACGAAGATCGTGCGGAACAATCTGAACCCCGAGTGGAACCAGGAGTTCAGCTTCCCGGTCACAGACTTAGAGCAGAAGGTCGAGTTGATCCTCTACGATCACGACGACCTCGGCTCCGATGACATCATGGGATACGTGATCGTCCCTGTAGCTGACTTCGTGGACGAGGATAGAGAGGGATGGTACACCCTGCTGACCGAGGAGCAAGAAGAGATCATTGGAGAGGACGGCAAGAGTAGCTCCATGTACCTGAGCTTCAAGTACACGGCACATGCCTCGGAGGAGGAGATTGCGATGTCACAGGACATCTACACGGGGCTGGCCAGCGGAGAGGTATTCTAGCGCTGGATTCGAACAATCTTGTCGATAAAAGTAACACACGTTGCGATAACGGATGTGATCTTGCCAGGACGCGATAAAGGATGCTATCAAGAAAGCTGCTGGAAGCTCACCCAAAAGGAGAATACTTCTGCAGGCATAACAGATCAGCTGCTCTTTCATGTTTCTTTTAACAGCCATGTGCAGATCGGAGCTGATTGGAGCATGTCGTGCAAGGCAAGGATTCTTTGATGACAGTCTACAGAGGTTGACCGTCAGACAGAAATTTTACCGAGTCTTCAAGAACGATGATGCTTGTTCTTCTCTGTGCTCCAAGGTCTGAGGATGACACGTTGTGCATTCGATCTGAAACCTTCCCAAGTACTATGTCTTGACTCTGCTCGATGCCGAGAACGAGAGGAACTTCGGCATCCTGAAAAAGCTCGGAGACCCCCAGGTCTCTCTTGTTTGACCTCCTCTGATATCTGGATGTTCGCTGAATTTTCTATGATCGCAGTGGCTCGGATTTCCTGTATTTGTCATCATAGATTCCCAGGGAGCATACATACATACTCAGGTCAGAATGTGTAAGGAAACCAGGGCTTGTTGACCCATTCACAGGGCAGTGGAGTGTTAGAGACGGAGCCATGGGTGACTGGGGGATTTCCTGATAGAACAAAGGTTCGTTCTGCAGCGATCTCATGAAAGTAGACTGAGCTTTCAAACCAGCTGTCCAAGTTCTTGAAGTATTGGAGAGAAGGGGGGGAGAACGACACTGAAGAGATTGTACAATAAATCTGCTTTTTACACATGAAATATCTATCTTGTCATAGAGTAGAGGGCTTCCAGATGTGTATGCCATCGGAGCAAGAGCTGAAAAGTTTTCAAACGGTTCAGCACTCTCAGATTGCGATTTCGACTCAGCACCTGAAGACCACATTGGGGAGGAGCGGGTGCCATTTTGCATCGCTGATCTCTTTTTGGCCCTGACAGTCAAAGTGATGAAGGTTCAAGAAGCAAGACAGTGCAATCAGTTACGTAATGCAGGAAGAGAAGCTGCGGGGGCAGCTCCATAAGCCCATACCTGCCAATGTCAGGGACGTTGGAAACTAACTGTATAGCTTACTTAGCCTCAATGTCATTGGCCACATCGTCTTTCTCAAGGCTAAAATCCCATATGCTCACACACTCCTCTCTGAACGCGAAATTTGTAAGGAATTTCCATTTGCAATGCCATGTTTTATACCGACAGGCCGCAACCAACATAGTCGGATCTTTGTGATGCCAGTTGACGCTTGAGATTGCGGATTTGTGAAAATTCAACACAGCGATCGGAGCCTGGTGTCATGTTTGATCAATGATGTCTAACAAACCCTGTTTCTCTCAAAGAAATCTCACCAGAGACTTGGTCGTCGTCTTCTGAAAACATCAAAGTAATCAGGTCAGAAGGTCAACAACGCAATGAAGACCTGAGATTTGAGATCTTGGAGATTCCAAACCTTTCCATGAGATCAGAACCTTTCACATGATGCATGTTGCATGCTGAGAGAGATCTACCTTGATTGCTCCGTCTTCTCCACCACTCACTAACAGCTTCCTAACAAGGTAGATATTGCTGTCAGGATCTACATTACAAGTGTGACAGGAGATACGTATCGATGGTATTCCAGGACAGGCAGTTCACATCCCCTGAGAGTTGCAGAATCGCGTGAGACTCAAAGCTTCAAGAAATGGATTCACCTTCATGCGCTTCTTCTATAGTTAAGGCACAATGAAAGGAATCCGATCTGAGTGGCACGAATGACTCGAGATTGACATCGAAGTAAGGCGTTACGAGATATCCCAGAACTTGATCGATCTGTCAGAAGAAGAGGTGGCGAGTACAGAAGCCTCGGTCGGCGACCAGCATACGCACTCGACACTTGATGAATGACTGCAAAGAGCGCAACCTTCAGGGAACGAATGCAATTGAAATATATTTACCCCTCGACTGCAATCGAACGCTTGTCTTTTATCTGTGTTTAGTCAAAGAGAGGATTTCAGTCTAATAGGAAATACCTTTGGATAATGAAGAAATATCATCCCAGAATTATGCCCTGATGCAAGGATACCCTCTACAACAAGCATTAGTTTGCAGAAACTCAAAAAAAAAAACAAAAAAACACAACCCTCTCGGAGGTTCCACGCTAGGGCCCACCCTTCTCCTGGGTTGCTTTCTGGCACTTGAGATGAATCTTCGGATGACCAGATTTTTGCAGGCCTGAGATGAAGATTCACGGTACAGCTCCAGCCTTTCCATTGTTACCGCAGGACGTTATCCCAATCATATACATTGATCTGCAGACAAAAAAATTCACGAATTACTAATACAAAGTTTCAGATTAACTCACAGTGCCGTATTCAGACAAACTAGCCACAATCGTGGGACTTTGAGGCATGCAAATGACCTGTTTTCATCATCATATAATATCTTCTCCAATAAAAACGAGCGATGAAATACCTTGTTCACTGTACCGTTGTGGGCGATCGAATATGGAATTGCTTTTGGGTCTACCTTGATTCCCCTGAGATTCATCTCAATACAACTATGTAGATTGATTTACAAATCAAACTTGACTGCATCTTCAAATTCACTTTCACTGGACGATGACGACTCACAAAATAGCTCGCCTGGCTCTTTTTGTGTGTAAAATCTTAATCATTCTCACGAATTCCCGGTCCTGGCCACATGACAATCGTACCTGGCTCTTTCTTTTCCTGTCGCTTTTTGAATCGTCGCAGGCCGCATGTGTCCAGCATCATCACCTTGCAAAGATGAGGAAGAGGAGGAAGTAGAGCTCTAAATCACCTTGTTGCTTTCGGGGTTCGCAGCCTGAGTTCCCACAACAAGTCTGAATGCCAAAGGGAAACCCTTCCTACAAGCCAACGGACCGTATCATCCACACGGAACACACAAGATACAAATATACCTTTGACCACTCATATCATCCATAAAATCAAGTGAGAGCGTAGGCCATTCGAGCTGTTTCAGGAAGGATTCACATGTTCAAATCGAATATTCTTGTTCCATCTCACATTCAGGGGGAACAAAGCGTCATATGCTTCCAGGTTTGGAACTAATGATTGTCCACTTGGAACAGGGTCCATCTGAGAGAGAATGAGTTGCAATCACAACAAAGTTCCTGTATCACCCAAGCACGGAATGGAACATTCGATTTTGTTTTCCGTTTCTTCGTCGCTTTGCTTTTGCGTTTCTTCAGCTTTTTCTTTTCCCCTGATTTCTGTTCCCCTGAGGTGTTCTTGTCTTCTGTCTTCTCACTCTTTTTTGACTTTTCTTCGATTTCTTTTAGGCAGGCATCAAGCTCAGCGGAGTCGAAGTCTTTCATCGAGTTCTCTTCGAGGTCGCTCGTTTTCTTCGCCTTCTTCTTTTTCCCTTCAAGCCTTCGTTTCGATTTCAGAGGCGGGCTCTCAGCTCCTTCTTTAGATGGCTCCACATTCTCTCTGTCTTGCTTGATCTCACTCTTTGCTGTGGTGGAATCTCCTCCCCGAAGTGTGAGGCATGGGGTAAAGTCTATACTACGACCTTGCCATCTGCGCTCCATGAGACAAGACGGCGATCTAGAACGTTCCATCCTCTCACACAGGGAGTAAAGAGCTCTCAGCCCGCCATCTTCACCGCGAGTCTCCTCTCGTCTCATGAGCAGCGCAACGGCCATTGCCACCATAAGCCCCCTCATGCTTGTTCTCACGTCTCTATAGGCGATCACGCATGGTTCGACGATGCGCAGATCGATCCGCCCCGTCCCCGCTCCTGTTACCGCGAAGATGGCTGACCAATAATTTAGTATCACCTCAAATAAGATACTGTCTGTTGTTTCAAAAACTCCGCCGCGTCGCTATGCAGGCAGCGTTCATCTCACGCCATGCTCTACGCAAAGCTGTCGCGTGCTCGTCTTCGTGCTCGTCTTCGTGCTTTCTGGTTGCCAGGTCCTCAGATATTCGATTCATAACCGCGAGAACGACGAGGTCAATGTCTGTCAAGAGCTTGCCTAACAGGCTGGACGTGAAGAGCGTGTGGCAGCAGGTGAAGAGGAATCTACCCGCTATTCCTCGTTTCCAAGAGGGATATTGGGAAGCCATGTGGCCAAAGATACAGATAGAAGGAGCGCGATACGGCTTGATGGGGTCAGTGGGGCTCTTCTCAGTTGCATTAATGAGGTTGACGTACAACGCGTCCACATTGATCATTGGCTTCCTGCCGTATGACGTCCATGCGTCGATGGGCCATGTCACGGGATTTGCTTCAGCAGGGGCACTAGCGGGAGGACTCTATAAGTTCAATCAATTCTTCTATATAGATCCAGTCCAAGTGCACAAGATAGCCTTTGCCCTTGCAAAGAGGGACTTTTGGCTCGAGAGGAAGTTGGGTGGTAAGATTCGATGCGACTCAAGGTTTTCCTACGCAGCAAAGGTAGATTTCATATCTGTCTTGCTCTCTTGTATCTCACTGATGTGTATGTATCTTTCATCTAGCCTGCAGAGATCGTTTTGGTGGATTTGGATCTAAAGAGAACTCGAGTACCTGAGTTCATGAGGCCATATTTCAAGGAATTTGCTACGAAATCCGGTAGCGTCAAACTTGTATTCGAGGTCGCACACATCTTCAATCAAATCAAGAATGTCTGACTGTATCCTGCAACTTTAGATCCAGGGTGAGGCTGGCAAAGTGTTGATTTGCTGTGATGTCGAGAAGGGACTTTTTCGCGATTACGAGGTCAAAAGCATGCACGGAAAATTTCTAGAAAGTGAGTTGAATCTTTGTTTCAAAGAGACATTCTTTCTTCCACTTGTTTGAAAGGAACTCTCCTAATAATGGTTTGCTGCAGATGGACAGGTATTCAGCTTTCTGGGAAACGATGAAAACTGTCAGGATCCTAGTGAATTTCTACAACAAATTTTGCAGGAGGTACTCCATTTGAGCCTGTTATTTGAATTTGCCGGTCTCATTCTTCTTGTAATAATGTTGCAGGAGTCATCAGGCGACAAAGCTTCAAAGGCTCCTGCATTTAGACTCCAATTAGGAATGCGGGGCCCGTCCTCGTCCTTTACGGGAGTTTCGAAGTATTAGTTGCTAGTACTTGAGATCACCTCACTTGCAGAAGATTTAAAAGTTTTTGTCACATTTCTAGATCACTCCAGTATGTAGCCTGCTCCCTCACTCTATATATGGCCCGGGAAAGTCGGGCCCTGATCACATGATGATCTGAGGTAGTACGGAATGGTGATTTGAGGTGATATATAGGGACTCCAGCGGCCGCTTGCCGCGTCGGAGCCGGGCTACGGCCGGGCCCAGCCTCACCGGAATCGGAGCACCCGGAAGCCTGGACCTGAGCCCAGGCTGGAACTACCTTTCACTACCGCAAGAGCTGAGCCCTGTAGGTCCAGTTGGGGGATGAGGGTGTCGCCTGGCCCCTAAGAGACAACCCGACAGGATGAAGGGATGGGTAGCGATGGTGATAGTGACGCGGCTGGTGGGGGTAGCGGGAATGGCAGAGATTTTGAACTCTACCGCCCTCTATGAGGTGAGAGGATGCAAGCAAGATTGAAACTCTCGTGAGTTCGCCTGCAGGCAACTCATGGAGTTAGCGCATGCTGGAATGCCTCAGGTGCCCTGTACACCACCCCGAACATCACGAGCAGGTTGCTCCCGTGATCCACTGAGGTCTTGAGTCGTGATGTTGCCCTCCAGGTGCATGGAATGTGAAAGAATTGTACGAAACTGTGGAGTCTTGTGTGCAAACAATCATGGTTTTGACAGGTTATCAATCAAAACGCCCTGTACAGCTTGTGTCAGATCCGAAACACTGGACAGGTGATGCGATGCTGTCGGCTTGTACACATTTTCTTGACACTTCGAAGACTTCACCAAGCACTCGACCTCTAATAGATGTCCATGCTGCTGGACCGAGCTCCAAAACGATTATAAAAACACCAGTTCCATTCAAGTGTATCCTCGAAAACAAGCGATTCAGGAATGTGCATTTGATCCGTCTTGGGGTCACATGAGAAACGAGGTTGCGATATTGTACAAAGCTATGAAAAGTTTGCTAATGTTTACAAAGGATTTCTTGAGCAAAGTGCAGGAGCTGTTGCTGCACCAGGCGCTGGGTCCAAGTTGTCTACAACTTGCTGAATACCTTTGTCTGAAATTCGTAGACACCAAGTACCAAGTGCTGTCAGACTGATTATCGTTACAGTCAGGCAGCATGCAGATGACAATCTTGAACAACACGGAGTGTTGCCACATATCAGGGCTCGCAGACTCATGGACGATAACGGACCCCGTCTTGTTCAAGTGAGCGATCTGACTCGTCGATAAGTTTGTGCCGTGATTAGCTCGAGCAGTTGCTGGTGTGGCTCCGGTTTCAGAGCTGGGAAGGAACAATGTGACGATGGAAACCTGGCGGTGAACGGGCTGGTGGGAGGAAGTGAGTCCTGCCTTCCCCATCACCTGGATGGCTCTGACTGGTGATGCTTGACAGATATCTACACTGAAGGATGCAATACAAATACCTCCTCGTGCCCAACAAGCAATAGTCCTCTATTCGGCTACAGTCTGCGCACTAACGACGGGTGCAACGGTCAGTCAACATCGCTTGACTTTGCCTTGCTCAACTGCACGCGCAGAGTTCTGTCAGGTCGAGTCAAGCTCGGGATGGAGCTGTTACAGAGACCCAGCACCGGCGGATGGAGGATGGAACCCAGATATCTGTATGATGATGATGGAGATGATGATGATGGAGATGATGATGAAGATGATGATGAAGATGATGATGATGGAGATGATGATGGAGGTGATGATGGAGGTGATGATGGAGATGATGATGGAGGTGATGATGATGATGAGAGGAGGAGGAGGGAAGGGGCTGCTAGTGCTGATCTGCTCTCAGGTGTCTGCGATTGCAACTGCAACTCTCCGTGCACGTAACTCTCGCACATCCTTGGGGGTTCCGGTTGATCTTGTTTGTCAGTTGTCAGGATGCAAAGCAAAAGACCCTCTGTGGAATAAAAGGAGACGGAAGCAAGTTCATCCCCGAGCTGCAGTCGGTTATCACCTGTTGCTTCTGATCCTCGTGAGTGTGGAGGAGCAGGGCTGACTGTCATACATTCTAAAGCCTGACATGATGTATACAGATCCATACATGTTGCTTGCCCATCTTTACAGTCTTTGAAATTCACATGTGATCCTGCGGTTGACGCAAGATTGTGTTATTCACTTCTCCATTCCACACTTTTGTAAGATAATATAAACTCGTTATTCACCGTCACTGTAACGATCTTTCACAGCTACAACTAATGTGAATGACAACAAGCATGACAATTTGTTACGTGAAAGATTAATGAGTTCGCATTTAATGAGTCCGATGAAAGATTGATCATTCGGCATAAGGAATTTTGTTGTAACGAAAGCGAAACTTCAGAACTAGCGAAGTTTAGGCCAACACCTTCATCTATGAGTCAGCAGAACTACCGAGGGAGCGGACCTCTTACCTCCAGGTCTTTGGGACGAGGAGGAGTTGCAGGAGGCTTCGGCGGGGCATAACCTGTAGAGAGCGACAGGGAGAGAGGGGAGAGGGGACGGGGAAGGCAAAGAGAGCGAGAGAGAGAGAGGGAGAGAGAGAAAGGGGGGGGGGGGGGGAGAGGGAGGGTCAAAAGTGCAGAAGCATGTTGCAGTCAAGAGATGAGAACCATGATCGTCGAAGTTCAGTCCGTACTTCATCACAAGGCTGTCGATGTCGATGTCAGCATTGGCTTCTGTGTTGTGCATCGGACTCCTCGGCGTTCTTGGTGCTGGGATCACATTCTGCTGCTGTGGCGGCATCCCTGGCATGTTGAGCTGTGTGTTTCCTGTGACAGTCTGTGAAGTCGATCGAGTATTATCAGGCATGTTGCCAAAGGACAAATTCCTTTCCACGTTGTTGTAGTATGAGTCCGCTGCATGCGATGGAAACGGTGCTTGACTTCCTCGCATGGAGTGATGATTATTGATGACGACTCTCAACGGGGGTTGTGGAATAGGCGGCATGCTTGACTTGCTGGCTCTGAGAGGTGAGGGCGGGTCAGGCGCAGCGATCATGGAGGTTGAGAGGAGACCTCAGGGTAGTGACTAGCTCGTTCAAGAACCATCCTTGCGCTGCGTCAAGAGCAGGAGTGTAGGCATGGAGCTCCTGATTTCAACAGTTATCAAGTACGATGAGAGGAGCGGCGGCACTCACTTGATCGACGACATCGTTCAGTCTCGATGCCTTATCGAGAGCATCATGCACGTTGGAGAGACAGCGCGAGATGCGTTGCTCCTTGAGCCTCAGGTCCAACATCTGAGCCTTCATGTCGTTGAATCGCACCATGGCCTGAAGTCCACCTCGTTAGAAAGATGAGTCTGCTCTCCACATGCTGAGAATGCCTGTGAAAGCGCCTCTTCGGCTAATTGCTTGGAGGAGACCTGCTCAGTTGGCGAGTCAAACATCTTTGATCATTCTGCTGTGACAGATCACCTCGATTTCGACATCGTGCTTCAGTTTCTCTTGGACATTTCTCCACAGTGCAAATTCTTCTTCGAATGCTCTTCATTGCTTTGTCAAGATATCTCGCTCTCTTCAAACATTGATGAAACCTTTCGAAATCCGCGCTCTCGTTCTTGACTGAAGTTTGTTATACAGGGATTATCAGTTTGACGATGGAGGAGAGAGCCAGGTCTGACCGGTCCTTAGTCGGGATTCGATGTTCAGCTTCTCCGCACACTCCCTCTCGAGACGGGTCTGCGTCTCCATTCTCCTCCTTTCAGCGTCTGTCTGCCGCTCCTGCGCGCACCAACTCAAGGTAGGAAGAGAGAGAGAGGGAAGTGACCTTGGTCCGAATCCGTGTCTCTTGGAGCTGTCGGAGATCCTCTGACTGCCCAGGTCATGCACAGTCATGTCCATAGCAGGAGCAGGGATTGTGGCTCACTCTTGACTTGAGCTCGTTCGCTAGCTCCTTCACTCGTGGATCTTCAATCTGTGAGAACGTGTAAACCGTTTCGGCGCCATCAATACGACAAGCCGTGTGCCTTCATCGGGGGATGGTTGGAAAGGGTGTTTATATCCGCTTCTACAGCCAGAATGTCTTTCTGAAAGCAAGACGATCAAAGAAGAGGAAGCTGGAGGGATTTCAAGGCACCTGATTCCTCTGTAACAGCTGAGAGAGCTTGTCTTTCTGAGCCGCATAATCGTTGTTCTTCTCGATGACCTGCAAACTGGAGTCAGAGCCTCACAACATCTCAGGTAGATCCTACATCGAGAAATTCCCCGCTGCCACGAACAAGGTCTGCCTGTAATGAAAAGGAAATATCAACTAGGGCACAGGACGTACAACCCTCTACGTCATAGCAGAACTTGTTTGCTGCTGAGGGACGACGGAACGTGATGCAACAGACCGAACCGCTCTGCCCCAAGACCTGGAGATGCGAAGCTTGCAATGAATAAAGCTCTGCAAACGAATGGGAAATACTATGCCGCACTCACATAGTCTCTGACTTTGGCCAGACTCATTCCAGTCACCGTGACGTCATCAACTTTCAGAACGATGTCTCCCTTCTGAAATCAGCGCAATCAGCCATGAAGCTGCGAGCTGTCAACTAGCCGATCACCTGGATCACTCCAGTTCGATCTGCCGCAGCTCCAGGTGTCAAGGAAGCCACAAAGATGGTCCCTTGGGCGTCCTGAGCACCTTAGGTGAGGTCCTCCTCCTCCTCCTCCTCCTCCTTCTCCTCCTCCTCCTCCTCCTCCTCCTCATAAGCTTCCTCCTCCTACTTATCCTCTTCCCATTGCCTCCTCACCTGCTGGAAAAAGAGCCCCACCCCCGCCGTCTCGCCTGCCATCGCGAGCAGCAGAGCCGCCGCTCACAAGCTTGATAGTTCAGTGATTGACCGAACGTTTATTTTCAACGGTCAGATCACAGTCCGTAACGATGCGTAACGACCAGAACATCGCTGCTCAACGGCTGGCGCAATGGCGGGGAAAGTGAAAGAGTTCCAAACGGTTGTGACGGACGAGCCATCGTTCAAGGATGTGATAGGAGGCGATCTTGTCTGTGAGTGCAGATGAGAAACTATCTCCCTCCTCTTTGCCTCACTCGCGGTCTTTCTCTCATTTTGGCCCGTGAACTATCCGATTGTGACCATTGCTTGTCCTATTGTAGATCTGTTCTCACTGATCAAACCACTCATTATTTTCTTTTTGTCTTCACTGTCATGAGCTTGATCATTAATTATGACATCTTGTTAGTTGTTGAGGTCTTTCAGAGTTGGGCGGGGCCTTGCGAGTGCATCAAACCTATGTTGTATCGCACGTCGCTAGATAACGAGGACATCAAGTTTTGTTGTGCGGCAGCGGATAAGGTTGGAGCTTCCCAATTGGATCTTTGTGTGACTTGATAACAGATAGGATCTCTCAAAGAATACAAGGATAAGCTGAAACCGGTCTTCTTGTTCTACAAGGTAACTTTGGAACTTGTTGCGAAAATCCGTTGTTGAACATCGTACACATGCAGAAAGGAGCCCTTAAAAAAACAATAGAAGGAGTGAATACTCCTGAAATACAGAAACTTCTCGACAACATTTAAAAACAAATTTCAGAAAATCATGTTCATTCGCTGGAACTTGTCGGTAAACATTGAGCGGTCTACCACATGGTCCAAATCAAGATGATCGAAACGAAGCACTCAAGAAGCTGATGATACAGACAGTATGCAGGAGAAACAGACTGATCTGCTCTAGGCACGATGAGAGTGAAAACATCTACCTCGGCCATTCACACAAAGTTTACACGCAGCACGCGTTAAATCAAGATGAGGCTCTTCCCGACTGATTCCTACCATAACCCGTCGAAGTGCTGCACGACTCGCTGGTTCCTCAACGCTCGATCGCCATGGTTCCTGAGACGATCCGTGACAAGCTCTGCATGTTTCCACAGCTCTCCGAACATCACTTTGAACGACATGCCTGTTTCCTTCACTTCGAGGGGTCCTTCCTCTCTCACTGTAATGACCATCCTTGGAATCTCCCACGCGGACAGGAAGCCGCTGATCCAGACGTCATCAGCATAACGAGCTGCTTGCGGTCCGTTGACGATGGTGGCAATGCCGTCGAGGTCCAGCAATCCTCGTCGATATCTGTAGCGTGTTAGTCAAGTGCGACAGGTAAGTAAGTCGCCCTTACATGACACCCGCGTACCCCTCGAGCACGTCCACACGGCTAGGCAGAAGGTTCCAGGGCTGATCGGGCAAGAAATGACGTCAATCGCTTGTATGTATCGGTTCTGATCCTTCTCTCACCGTGTGCTGCCCGATGAAATCTTCGGGCTCGAAGGAAGGAGGAGACCTGAACTTGAACTTGTCGACGTTCCAACCTGAAAATCCTATCGCAGCTTCCGGCCATCTCTTGCTAGCCTGAACAAGACGACCTGCTAGCATCGGGGAAAGAATCCTGCACATCCATTCCCTCACTTCATCACAGCGGAAAGCATCGAAGCTTACATGTCGTCATCAAACGTGATGATAGCTGTGTTGGCCTCGTTTTCCCGTCCAGCGCAATCCAGGAGCTTGTGGATGGGGCCCAAGTCACCACTATGACCGTCTGTAGGAGGATGAGTGATGACGTGGATCCGCCGGTCCTCTAAGATCCACTTTGGGACATCCACGACATCGACCAGAGAGAGGTAGATCGTGTCCGGGTGGAAATCTTGTCCCTTGATCGAGTCGAGCACTCCTCCTATCTGGTTGACCCGCTGTGGCGTCGTCGCAACGCAGAACACGACCCGAAAGTTCTCTTCGTGCCCTCTCGATCGCTTCCTTCCCGCTTTGAGCGCTGCCTCATCACTTGAATGCAGGGCCCCTCCCTGCTTCCTCAGTCGCTCCACTAGATCTGAATATCCTGATGAACTCAAGTGCTGCCAGTTCCCTGCCCTCGCCTCCCCTACCTCCTCCTCCCTAAACCTCTCCCCTGGATACCCCCACTCGCAGTTCATGCTCGCCCCTGACCCCCCGCACTCCTCCTCTCCCCTCCTCCCCTCCCCTCCTAGCCCCGCCATGAAGCTCCTCGCCTCCTCCTCCTTCGCCTTGCAGTTCTCCTCGCTCAGCTCCCAGCCTGTGTGGATATAGTTCATCTCTGGTACGGGAGCCGGGTGACGCTGGTGGAGCATCATGCAAGGCTGCAGCAGCACCACCTGGCGTACCCCCAGCCCCCGTGCCTTGCACACCAGCAGCGAGTCCAAGTGCGTCGTGCTCGGTACCTGGTGGTACCCCCCGAGCCGATGGAATACCTCCCGTGACGCCAGGAAGAAGTCTCCTGCTGCCGGTAGATACGCCGCGTCCCGGTCCCCCTCGTGCCTCCCTCGCGCCTCCCCCTCTAGCGCCCCCCCGCTCTCGCAGATCCCCCTGTTGTACTCCCCCGGACACTCCTTCTCTCCCCGCGCGCACGTCCTCTCCGGCTTGAGCATCTCCACGAGCTCTGAGACCGCCGACAGCCGCATGGCCAGCGGCGAGAGAGGGTCCATCATCCCCGGCAGGTCTGTGCGGACGATGCGGTAGAAGGCGTCCTGCTGGAGGCGGCGGGAGGCGAGCATCTCGAAGAGAGCGTCGTTGAGGATGACGTCACCGTTGGTGATGAGGATGAACTTTCCGCGGGCTCTGCGAGCGCCGACGTTCTTGGCCGCAAACTGGAGGAAATTTGCTGACCCCCTTCCTCCAGATCGCAGATGAAAGTCCTGATCGACGGTGACAACTCTGACGGCAAGAGAGGAATTCTCGGGCTTCTTCAGCAAGTCACTGAGCTTGACTGTGTGTTTCTTCCCTCCGCTGTAGATGTACGTGGGATTCCATTCTACAATTATCATCTCCACAGGGAGAAGATATGCGTCAGCCAGCGCAGATGTGATGTCAATCAAGTTCTGCAGTCTGCCGGGAAAATCTCCTCGCAGGTCATCATACCTTCCCGATGCCACGATGCTCAAGTACAAGTTCTCGTCCCTCAGCCCGGCCCCGCATGTCTCTCCTCGAGTCGGTGCTGATCGATTCTCCTCCCACGGAGAAATCATCGGGACAGGGTCCCTACAAGTCTTGGTCCCATACATCCTGTACCAGTCTCCGATGTCCATGGAAGGGTAATCTTCCTGCCATCGGGAATAAACTTCGAGACTGCAGGCCCTGCAGGGTGATGTCACTCTCCGAGCAGTTGAGGCCGAACTTCACCTTGACTGCTCAGCGGTTGCAGCTGCAACACTCCGCAACAGGGCCAGCACGTACATCTGCTTCCAGATCGAGTCCGCCATGACGCCGCTATTCAGCGAGTTGCGAATCACTTTGAGCCTGTCATGCATATTGACAGACCAGTCCCGCACCAGCACTTCCACGTCCTCGTCGTTGTTCCCCCCGTGTGTCAGGAACTGCCAGTCCCCTGCCCCCGCCTCCCCTACCTCCTCCTCCCTAAACCTCTCCCCTGGATACCCCCACTCGCAGTTCATGCTCGCCCCTGACCCCCCGCACTCCTCCTCTCCCCTCCTTCCCTCCCCTCCTAGCCCCGCCATGAAGCTCCTCGCCTCCTCCTCCTTCGCCTTGCAGTTCTCTTCGCTCAGCTCCCAACCGGGATATATGTATCGTAGCGACTGCATCGGAGCCGGATGACGCTGGTGGAGCATCATGCAAGGCTGCAGCAGCACCACCTGGCGTACCCCCAGCCCCCGTGCCTTGCACACCAGCAGCGAGTCCAAGTGCGTCGTGCTCGGTACCTGGTGGTACCCCCCGAGCCGATGGAATACCTCCCGTGACGCCAGGAAGAAGTCTCCTGCTGCCGGTAGATACGCCGCGTCCCGGTCCCCCTCGTGCCTCCCTCGCGCCTCCCCCTCTAGCGCCCCCCCGCTCTCGCAGATCCCCCTGTTGTACTCCCCCGGACACTCCTTCTCTCCCCGCGCGCACGTCCTCTCCGGCTTGAGCATCTCCACGAGCTCTGAGACCGCCGACAGCCGCATGGCCAGCGGCGAGAGAGGGTCCATCATCCCCGGCAGGTCTGTGCGGGCGATGCGGTAGAAGGCGTCCTGCTGGAGGCGGCGGGAGGCGAGCATCTCGAAGAGAGCGTCGTTGAGGATGACGTCACCGTTGGTGATGAGAATGAACTTTCCGCGGGCTCTGCGAGCGCCGACGTTCTTGGCCATGAACTCGAAGAAGTCTTGCCCTGACCCGAGCACGTGTTGATCATGAAATGCCTTGTCGACGGTGATGATCCTGACACTGAGATGAGACTCGGGAGGTTTTCGCACCAGCGTTGCCAAGGATGGAGTGTCAAGGAAGGGGTTCCATTCGACAACGATGACTTCCATTGTCAATCCCGATTCCTTGGATTGAAAGGACAAGAAATCCAAAGAATTCTGCAAGCGGCCAACAAAGTCTCCTCGTCGAAAGTCGTTTCGTCCACACATGATTGCACTTATGTACGGGCCAGAATCGCTTTCATCAACATCATTGCACATAGATATCGAGCAGCAGAGGACCAGGGAGAAGGCAAAAAGCACAGTTGTGCGATTCAAAAACATCGCAAGGGGATTAAATCTGACAGACGTAGAAATCTACCAAAGTCTAAAGACTCGTATCATTGATTGAGGGCTCCTTCGTGTGTCCCCATACCTTACTTGCTGTTGTTGTTGTTGTTGTTGTTGTTGTTGTTGTTGTTGCACTAGCTGACATCCCATGACTTGTTCATGTTCTTACACTCGACCTTAAACTGCTTTCACCTTGGACTGTCGTTGAGTTTTACAGGAGATTGTTCTCAGCCCTCTCGCTCTAGCCATGCTGTTCATGTGGGTCCGTTCTGAATGGGCGCTTCTACTCATACAGCACAATACTTCATCCCCCTCGCACCCCTCCCCTGAACCGTACCCTGGTCGTTAATCTGAACCCCCTCTTTCCTCATTCAAAGTACCCCTGTAAGGTATCAAACCGAGTACCCTACCCCACCAGGCCAGAATGCCATGTGCCACTACCCTTCCCGCCAAATCTCCCGTCGGCGGAAAATGCGCGGGAGAGGCGTGTTTGGGATGGCGGCAGGAGAGGAGGAGGGGGATGGGAGCAGTACATACTTGAAGAGGATTTTCAGAGTTAGAGGATGAAGTGCCGAGGTGGGATGGGAAAGAATCGATGCTTGCTGTCCTATTATCGGCAGAATTCCGCAGAATCCGGAGGTTAAAGGAGTGCTCAGATCGGCAGGGCAAGGTGTAGTCATGTATCAGAGCCATGCAGTTCGTGATCATACGTATTTGGAGGCATGGATGCCATTTTGTCTGTTTGGTAGTTTTGAAGGTCCATGAAGGGACTCTGCGGTAGAAGTGGGATTGCAGCGAAGGAACAGTCGTGTTCTCACTAAACTACAACCTCTCGTGCTGTACAGCTGTGTCAACGAGTTGACCTCTCACGCATTGCAGACATGAAGGTCGTCTCTGAAGCCGAGATCGTCAACACCTTCAAGGCTCTGGGGCACGACATCCAGGGGCAGGACGAACTGATTGGTCAATGTAAAGACTCATGTCCGTTGAGATACTCTCTCCTCACCTCGATGAAGGTGTCGAGCTGTGTGAGACGTTCGACTTCTCCGCCACCGATCTAGGCTTCAGATGGGAATCCCATGCAGATCAGGTGACCTGTGCTGTTTACCTCTCGAGACTTCACTGACAACTTTCAGCTCGCGATCGATGGTCCACCTCGTGTCGAACATCTACAAGCGTTGAAACTTTCCTTCTCCAGAAAATCTGACAAGAAGGGTCAGAGGTGATGTTTTGTTCTGATTCCAATCAACACAATGCTCACGAGATCTCGATGGGGGCAGAACTAGCCGTAGAGTCGGGGTATCGAAGTTGTACACCAAGGAATCTATCTCCATGTTACAAGAGAGCTTGTCATCAACTATGGCTGCAAACTACGGCGGAGATGTACATGTGAGCTGATGCATTCCTATGTTACTGCCGACAAATTGAGATTTCATCAAAGTTGAAATTGGAGGCGAATTCTGCGAATCAACTTCCGAAGGACAGTTTTGTTACACCATTGAAGCGCCGAGCAAATTTCCAAGCATCTTCAAGCTCAAAGTTACGGTGCCTCCCTTCAACGCCAAGCCAGCTTGTGTCTCCTATGGTCAGTATTCTGTGTTCCAATGCGCATTATTTGACACCAAGATGCAGGGTGAGACTCCAGATTCAGCCAAGTATTCTGGAAGATCCAATAAGCTTCAAGTTTTCCAGAGCGTCAACGAGGTCTGGTTCCAAGCTTGTCTTCTTGTTGTCCCGTGGCTAATGTCCCATCATCAGGCTTTGCCGTCTGCACCTTCAAGGGGATCCTCTGAATCGAGCCGCTGCGAAGTAAAGCAACTCCAAGGGTTGACGGTGATGTAGAATTTTTCTAACGATTTATTTCTGATGCGATGCAGGATAATGGAAGAGGATTTGGGAGATACATGTTTGAAAAAGTAGAGCAGAAATGCATCTCGTTGAGGAATCGTCTGATGGAAAATACGGATAGAATCGTCGAGAATGAGAAGGTTAGCCTGGCTATCTTAACGGTTCAAGGTCTCAATTCCTTCTACCCTTTGCAGTTGAAAGAGAAGGCTGAAAAGGCAGGAGAATCTTTCAGTTTGAGTCCGGTCAATGCACCCTCCCAAGATTTGGCGTGGTTCTGTGGAAGGATTTGTGTTGAAGGGGATTCCGGCCTCATAAATGCAACTTCGGTGTTTATTGAGGGAGTGAATGGGCGACGAGTGAAGGTGATTGCAGTAGTGGAAAGTCAAAGATTAACGCATGATTATAGCTGGACCTTTCCAGAAGCGGAGAGTTTGCGGTGTTTCCGGGACAGGTGAAACTGAAAGCAATTTTACAGTCGTTGACCTTATATGAACAGATTGTCGTGATTCACGGAACAAATGCTGATGGAAACTGCATTGTTGCACATTCGATTCACTCGGATGCTTCAGTTCCGCTCATGAAGACTCCCGCCGGTCAGATGGCAATTTTCAACGAAACCAAAGAATTCCTTGGAGGTCAACCTCTGAGCATAGTAGCGGCCTCTGGGCCCTACACCACGAGGTTTCCTTTGCAGTCTTTTGTAAATCCTCCTCACCATGTGCCTGCAGTGCTGACTTGAATTATTCTCCGCTGGACGATTTGCTAGAGTACGTGCGGAAAGAATCTCCAGACGTACTGGTCCTCTGCGGACCTTTCGTCGACTACCAGCATCGATTGCTCGACCCATCCAAGGCCGGGACCCCGGGAGGTTTCAGCAATGGCGATCCTCCAGACACTTTGACGCTTGTCCGTAACGTCATGAGAGAACGAATCCGTCAAGGTTTGAATCAGTCGACGACTTGCATTATTGTTCCTTCGCTCGAAGATTTGCATACAAGACACACTTTTCCCCAGCCTCCATTTGATGAATTCGAGGCAAAATAATCTTACGTGCACTGGTGTGTCCTGACGGCTTTCCAGGTGCTGCATTCTGACCAAGAAAACGCAATGGATGTCTCTCTATGCATGATGGGCAACCCTTGCATGTTCCGTATCAATGAGGTCGTCGTCGGAGTGACGACCACGGACATCGTCAGGCACATCTGTGGATGCGAGTCGTCTATCTCTAACGGAGACAGAATCTCTCGGGTGATCAACCATCTCATTCAGCAGGTCAATCTTTGCATGGTCAGTGAACGATTTTGTGCGCTGACTTTCGCCTTCAGAAATCTTTTTATCCTCTCTTTCCTCCCGCAGAAGGAGCACAGCTCGCTATGAGCAACTATCACCATCTTGAGTTCCAGAACACCCCTGATGTTCTTATCGTCCCTTCACATCTCTGCGCTTACGCCAAAAGAGCTAGCGACGTGCTGTGTGTGAACCCTGGGAGGCTTGTCAAGGGAAACACTGCCGGCACCTTCGCCAAACTTACGATTCATCCCGTCAATCGTCACATCCGCGACATGTCGGAACAGAAGCAAGAAGAAAGTCCTCAGGTGGTCGCCCGTGAGCCCGAAGACATGGAATCTCCAGGACAGGAGCCTGTCGTCCCTCAGCAGCTCAACAAGGACTTCGACTCCGTCATGGAGCCGGCGAAGTCGGACACGAGCAAACCTGTCCCTCTTACGGAAGGAGAGAAGTCTGCTGACCCGGAGCAGCAGAAGGTGACTGATCAAGAAATGGAGGAGGTTGCTGGCACGGTGAAGGGAGCTGGTGAAGAGAAGGCAGCTCCTGAAGAGGAAAAGGCCAAGGGCGAGGAGGACAAAGCTACGGGCGAGGACAAGCAACAGGCTACCGGCGAAGGAGAAGCAGCTCGAGTGAACGAGGAGGAGAAGGCAGCTGAGCGAGAGGATGTGCCAACGGAGACCCCGAGGAAGGGGCAGTGACATCAGATAATCATGCTCAGCTCAAGGACGAGGACTGTCTGCATCGAGTAGCAGAGAGAACTCGAGTAGACATCATTCGCATCTGAAGCTGTAAAAGTTAATCTGCTGGCCCCGTAAAATAATTCTATTCATTCATTCCCTATATTAATGCTTCTCTCTGTCCTCTCTCCCGTTCTCCTCCTCCTCCTCCGAATCATCTCCATACCCAGCGCCTACTCCTGCCCCGTTCCCCACGCCTGCCCCGTTCCCTTCACCTCCTTTGTGTTTGTACGACATCCTCTCCTCCTCCTCGAGGTTGACTCGCATGTTGGGGTTCACCGGAGGCAGTCCTGCTCGCAGTCAGCACAGCCACAGGGGGAGCGGGAAGAGGAGGGTTGATGTACCCGCTGAGCTCACGGCACCCATGGGCTGCACCCGCAGCTGTCGGGCAACGGAGGGGATGCGAGCATCGTAGTTGTTGACGACAGAGTAGATCTGGAGAGGCGGACAGAGACAATCGTAGGACAAGCATAGAGGGGAGGAGGAGGAGAAAAGGAGGGGTAGGACAAGGAGAGGAAGAGGGTGATAGTCAATATCAGGAGCTCGCTAGGAGAATGTCTCACCTCGTAGGCGTTTGAAGGATTTTGAATGAGGGGGATGAGACAGAAGGCGAGGAGCTGAATGCCTCGCTGTATCGCGTACATGACCTTGGCCTGGTTCCAGACAGACAGACTTGACGCAATGCCGACAAATATCGGCAGCTGCAGAAGCATAAGGGAACAACGCGGAGGTGACGGGGGAGAGAATACAAGGATGTAAGGTATGATGATGGTAATGGTGGTGGTGATCATGATGATGATGATGATGAGGAGGAGGAGGACAAAGAGGAGTTTTAGGTTTGGAATATAGGCAATCACACCTGGATGAACCATAACGAGAAGATGAAGGCAAAACGCCGGTAAAAGAGCCGCTTGACGAGTCGCTTCTCGAAAATCTTGACAAACAATGAAGAATTTCAGAATGCAAAAATAAATTGAAGGAAGCAGTTCGGTCGAACGAAGAAAGAGCAGAAGAAAAGTGGACGGAAAGAAGGAGAGGAGGAGGAGGAGGAAGAGGAGGAGGAGGAGGAGGAGGAGGAGGAGGAGGAGGAGGAGGAGGAGGAGGAGGAGTCTGTCCGTTGAGACTCGTACAGGTAGAGGAGGAGGAGGAGGAGGAGGAGCTCACATATGTCCTGCGGATGAGGTTGAGGAAGAGGATGAGAAGGACGAGGTTCATAGCAATGAACATGTATCCTGCCCAGTTGCTGTAAAGATAAGAATTGTCTCCTGGAGCCCTCAGCCTGTCAGCAAGAGCATCAGCTACACAAGAGATTGCTTCTCGACTCGCACTCACATGTCGGCGAAGTAGAGGGCCACGTAGACGAGGATGATGATCATAGTCAAGAACACGTTCTCACTCTTCCCTGTGGAGGAGAAGAAAAGAGGAGAGGAGAGGAAACAAAGGAGAAGAGCCAAAGTGGAGGAGAGGGGGGAAAATGGAGTCAGGAAGATACCAAGATTGCAAGGAGGAGAGGATAGGAGAGGAGAGGAGAGAAAGGAGTGAAGAGAAGAAGAAAAGGAGAGGAGAGGAGATGAAGGAGTGAAGAGCAGATCAAATTGAAAGGAGCGGAGGGGAGGGGAGAAGAGGGGAGAGGAATCATGTTTCTCACTTGACAACTTGGTCGTCGTGATGGGCCACCCACGTGCGATCACTATCAGCACATTTATGAAGATGATGAAACCCATCATCTCCAAGCTCCTTTTGTGACATCCAAGTCAGAAATTTCTCTCTACGTCCCTCCTTTCCCTAGCCTCCACCTCTCACCTCGCAAAAATGCTAAGCGTATCATTTCCTACACCGCTCTTCTGATATCCATCATAGTAGGCAAACTTGTACGAGAGGTCAGCGAAGTTTTGGTCCTGCTCCTCCTCCCCTCCCTCCCTCCTGCTTCTCCTTGTCCATCCTCACCTCCAAGTCACTCGCAAGCCAGTAAGCGAAGAAGGCGAAGAAGAGGAACCAGTGAAGCTCGTGCATGAGCTGCCGCAGCTTGTTATTCTCAAGAAGAGAAACGGAAGAGGAGGGTGAGGGAGAGGAGGAGGAGAACTGTAACTTTCACGGTAGAGACGGGACAGGAGCCCGAGGAAGCGAAGGTGCAGGGTGAGCGAACTGCAAGAGGGAAACACCCAGGAGAGCAAGTAGCATCGTCACTCACTCTCTTTTGCATGAAATGACGGGCAATGCAGACGAAGAGCAGTCCCTCAAGGGTGTAGAGGATGAGGAAACTCAATGTTATCGCCCACAAGCCCTGCCTCTTAACTTCAGCAACTCCGCCTGCTCGCCAGTGCTGTCCCTCCAACCCTCCCTCCCAACCCTCCTTTCCCGTGCAGCTCTATCGCCACGATCTCCTCCTGTCGCATCTCCTCCTTCTCCACCCTTATGTCCTTCCTATTTCCACCCCGTTCCACCAAGCAACCTACTCTACTAAACTTCTACCTGCTCGTCAACCCCGAATTGACAAGAACCTCTACACGAGATCTGCAGGTCGGAGTTGAGAGTCCACCCTTTGTTGTACAGGCTGTGAGAAGAGAAAATCGTCATCTCTTGAAAACCTCCAGCTTCATGGTCGTGAGCCCATCACTCCCATCCCCACTTCCCCACCATCACCAATCTTCAGTCTCACCTGATGTTGACCCCTGCTTCGATGTTGGGAGTGTTCTTGACACAGTGTGAAGAGGATATACAGTGAAAGAGACAACAAACCGGATTGAGAGATCCCTGACAGTTTGCGATCACCACATACCTGAAGACCGACTGTCAGCTTTGAGTGAAAGATGCATTTGTGGCAACACAAGCGCAAGACAGGTATGATACATCCGAGAGAATGCCACATTACAAACTCAACTACACATGTCATCGCCAAGATCCTACCATATGTGAGGAACCCCTGACTTCGAGACTGTGATTTCACTCTGGCTGATCATTCCTGGCTCCAAATTGACAACGAAAGCAGCACGTGCAACCCTGAGAAGGCCGTCACACCCCATGCCACCTTTCCTCTCGACTCTTTCCTGTCTTCACAGGTCAACGTTTCATCGTGATAGACAGCATCCCAGTTTGAAAACGAGTCTGCAACCTGAATGTCGCAATCAATCGAAGCACAAGAAGAATCAAATAAGGTGAAAATAGCGACTCTCACATCCGAATAGAAGAGAAGCTTCGTGTATCCTGCCGTGCTCGCAGTACAATCCGACCAGGATAGTTGCAAATTCTGCGCCCGTGGAAGACAGCACGTGGGGACAGGCAAGGAATGGCAAGACAAGAGGTGTCAGTGTGGTGTTGCCGATGTTGCTGCTGCAGTTATTGTTGTTGTTGATGATAATGTTGCTGACAGCCAAATGTTGGAGGTGGGGGGAGGAAGGGGTGGGGGGGGTGGGGGGGAGGAGGAGGAGGAAGAGGAGGAGAGGAGACGAAGGGACAAAGGCAATGGTAAAAGGAAGGCAATGGTAAAAGGAGAATGCTGACCTGATTGTATTCGGCACAGCTTACGGAGTCAACCCACGGACTTGATACCATACATGTACCATTGGCAAAGTTTTGCATCTTCGCCTGTGGGAACAAGAATCAACAGATGAGCATTGACAAGTGGTAGGAGGAGAAACCTCAGAGAGCACGCTGCAGGATATCTTTTCACTCGACGTCTTGCAAGGAAGAACATTACAATTCAAGTATGCATTGCACGTGGAGCATTGAACAGGGCTCGAAGAAGCCTTATCAACGTTAGAACAAGCACGAACAACTGCAACTGCTCTCTCACAAGTTGGCCTCCTGCTTGAATCGAGTAGATAACTTTCCCTTCTCCAGAAGTATCAAAAATAAACTTGGTAAGGTAAATCCACTGGAATAAACGCAGAACTTCCGTTAAAAAAAAACCAACACTTACACAGTTAGTTAGATGACCTTGTCACTGGAAACAACCACTTCTCGGAACACCTTGGCATGTGTGGTCGTGACATTGAACAAGAGCAGACTCAACAGCCTGCCACCGATCAGCCTACTGCACGGAGAAAGGAGTGAAGATGTTACAGAAAAGTTCTTCTCAGGTACTTGGATGATTCTCCCTTGGAGTTAGTAAGTAAAACATATAATACATGTGTCAACAGCTGCTTAAGGGCTTCCTGCAGCATATCCCGAAAGCTCCACACTGAGAGCAGCAATCTCGTCATCACCCACAAGGGCGTCCTCCTGAGGTCAAACCCATGGACCCTCCTCCTTGCCGCTCCTTCCTTCGCTGATCCTCGACATGGGAAAGGCAGGATTGCATGCGCCCGGTTGTGTGCACTGCCCTCCAACCTACGATGCTCTCTGAAAGTTTGGAACCAATCACGTTGTCTCTGCTCCATCACAGGAGCCCCCTTCTGTGCTTGTCCCGGACGAGCAAGCTTGTGAAGTGGATTTATGTCTTTCTTCAATCCGTTGAGGCCCTAACAATCATCCCAGCTACCTTCCTTCAGGCAGAGCTGCACAACATGCGATTCAGTCACAGGAACGACCATATGATGAATGCACATCAATGCATCAAGTGACAGTGCCAAGTTACGATCGTCTGCCACTCCCTTTCTTGTTGTCTTGGGGTGTACCTAGAATGAAGATTCCCCATTGCACCTTATTCTAGTTCAAGTTGTGTGGAGGTTCTTCAATTATGTCTATCTGGGAAGATAACTCATCTCGTCCCCTCCCCCCTCCCCCCCTCCATCCCCCGAATCCTTCACAATCTGCTAGTAAAATTCATTTCGGTTGACAACCGATCAGCTGTTTTGCCCCTCACTCGTCCTGCTTCCTGCCCTTACAGCATTATTTTCACTTCATCGCGATCTTTTTCTTTCATTTCTGTATCTTGGCACAAATCCTGATCTTTCTCCTGCAATCAATTTCCTTCTCCTCCCTCCCCCTCTCCTCCTCCTCCTCCGCTTTCTGTTTCTGAATTCCAGCATGTTGGAAAACTTAACTTGGCGGTCCACCTTTACCCCTCCTCGACTACCCTACCCCTAGTGGTTGAGTCACCCCGTAGTGACTTTTCCTTCCCATCATGCCTGTACCCCCTTATTTCCCTTGATTTACACCCCTACAATCTGTAGGACTACTACCCTACCACGCGTTAGCAACATACGAGGCCCAATACCCTACCCCTCAATTATGGAAACACCGTTACTCCTACCCCTTGTTTCCACCACTTCTACCCAGTCATGGAGTGAACCCTTTTCAACCCCACCCCCCGTTTGTCGACTTTGTCCTATCCAATTTGAACCCATACGCATTCAATAATGTCGGCCGCTCTTGCCGGCCGGGCCGTCACTGGCATGCCACCGGGAGTGCGGGCCCCGGACCTTACGCCGCCGGGGGGGGGCCGGGGGCCTCGGTCGATCGGACCGACTAAACTCGCCCGAAGCGAGTTGAGTAAAGAATCGTCTCGAGCCGCTGCAGCCATGATGATGCCTGAACCTTGCTCGCCAGGTGAGGCAGAGGGTTGAGGAACAAGCATCTTTTCCTTGCTCTTTTCTTCCCTCCTCCCCCAACTCCATTTGTCTATTCCTCCTTTCACTCTCTTGTCCCTCCACACTCCTTGCATCCGATATCTGATTGTGATACACCCTACTGACTGATGATGGTTTGGTATGACACCAACAGAAGTGAAAAGCATGGCAAAGTCCCAAGCCTTATCCTCTGCCATTGTCACATTGTTTGGAATTGGTATCATTCGTGTAACGCCAATCTTTCTGGAAATGTTCGGAATTGTTAAGTATTAGTGCAATATGTTTCAAGGTTTGGAATAAATCCACCGGTCTTATCGATTTGAACTTGAAGAAGCTGGAGGCGAACAATGAGCGCACTTGGTGCTTTAGAGGCCTACTCTGACAGTGATAGTGATGCCGAAGATGTCAATAGGGACAAAGAGCAATCGAGCAGATGCGAAAACGACAAGTTGAAATCGCAGGCGGAGTCGGAGACTGAAGGATCAGGAGGACAGGGGGATCTGATGTTCAATGCACAAGTGGCAAGCGATGGAAGAATTCGTTCTTTCCCTCATGTTGAAGGCAATTATGCTGGTTTCGTTTTCGTCTCTCTGAAGCAGGTACCAGAACTACAAACACTAGCGATGCAGGTCTTTGACAATGCCAGAAAAAAATTGCCGAGCGAGGTAGTTTTGCACAGGATCACCCTGGATGAGATGCACATCAGCCTCAGCCGCACGCTAGTGGTGAAGAGGCATCAGATACAGCCGCTGGTGAACAGGTTGCGCAAGGCTCTGCACTCAATCCCCTCGTTCCACATGAAGATGTCAGCGGTGGAGCTCCTCAGCAACGAAGAAGGAACCCGCTCCTTCGTTTGCATGACGGTCAGGCCTGTCGAAGACGAGATGCTAAAGATAGGTAATCTGTTCAACATGTTTCTCATTGATCCTGACCGTAGTTCGCTTTCTGTGTCGTTGCAGTGAAAACTACCGACGAAGTCCTGCGAAGCTTCAAGCTACAGCCCTATTACGAAGATATGCACTTCCACGCTTCTGTCGCATGGTTTCTCGGTGGTGTCCCAGAGACTTTGGAGATCGCGCAGGGAGAGCAGGTGTGCTGTGAAGACTTTGCTACAGGCTAGAAGTGAACCTTGATATCAGTTCCCTCGTTTGCCGATCGACATCGCGTGCAACATCTTGGTGCAAAACGTCCAGGTCAAATTGGGGAACAAGAAATTTCAAATCTTGTTAAAGAAGCCTGAAACTTGATATCCTCTTGGAACAAACCGTGAATTTTCCAGACTTCTCTACCAGTTGCCAGCTGTTGACCATTCCAGCGTTACTGTCAACTACTTCATTCAATCCTCATAAGTTACGTTTTAATACTGCGTCCAAGAGCCCTGGTTGGCTTCACCGCCGCCGTTCCAGGAGCCAGTGCCCTCCTTAACATTCTCAACATTCTGGATGACCACCTTCTCCTCGAACATCTCCGGCGTCGACTCCGTATGTACAACCTTGCCCAGGGACTCTTCGATCTCTTCGGTGATCTTGAGGCACTGGTAGGAGACACCAACATCAGATATCTGTGCATGTCACCGCTGAAGGACTACCTCTCTTCCTTTCACCCCCGTCACCTTCTCCTCCACACGCCCATCAGGGTGAATGATGAACTCCAGTTGCTCGATGCCCATCCTGCCGCGTTTTCGGTGAGGAAAACCTTTTTCTACTTGGTTCCCCAGCAACAAGCTCCTACCTCAAGTTGGTTTTGCGGAGTGGAATGCGCTGGCAGCTGCTCCTGGCAACAGCATGGGCTTTGCTGCAAACCAGAAACATTCAGCAAAACTTCAGGTGAACCCAGTCTGGTTGCGATCAAGAGTCTGTGATGGTCGCGAAAGAGCAGAGGGTTGACACGGGTATTGCGTTTCAAGGAAGAAAAATGTAAATACAGAGAATCAGACAGATGGGTGTAGTATTGGTGCAATTCAGAATGATGAACCAAATGGTAATTGCTCACAAAGAGAGCTGGCAGCCTCGATGATAGTCAAGGAGATGGCAGAGGAGGGGAAGCGAGGCGCATGAAGAGATGTCGTTCAGACCTTGGGAGCATGCAGGAGGGGTTCATCATGAACGCCTCTGCAGCCATGATGGTTGCTGCAACAGCCGCCAGCCTCAGCATGGACAGGACACTAGGATGTGGACCCACCCGAAAAGGTTACCATATCGGGGGGTACGGGTGTACTTTGGCAGGAATTCCGTGTGATAACATGGGGTAGTGTTCCTTGATATCAAGGGTAGGGGTACAATTGAATCTGTAAAAGATGAAGGGGTAGGTGGTTGGATTGAAGGGTGGGTGGATGATTGTAGATGAGGGGTGGGGTTCTGGGCATCCGCTGGTAGAGGTAGGTACGGGTGTGTATCTGTTTGCCATACTTTCGTGGGGGTAGGGTGTCTCTAAATACAAGGGGGTCAGTGGTGGGCTTGAGTGGGGTACCCAGATCATATTTTTACGCCATGGCCTCGGCCAAGGAAAAGTAAGAAAAACCGATATGCTGTCCCTTTGCGCGCCTGCTCCTGTGCCATCCTCCTGCTCCTGTCCTTCTCGTCTCATAGCCCCTCCATGATCGATACTGCTCCTCCTCCTTCACATACAGCCCCTCCGCTGTCCACCGCTTGTTCACACTGCAGCTCGTGCTGCTCCTTCCTTTGCTGCACTCTTGCAGCCCTTCCTTCTTGTTCTTTTCTCGGTTTCCATGCAGCACTATTCTGACGATATGTATGGATACCTCGTCCTCCCATCCTCTGTTTGCTTTCTGCTTTCGATTCCATGACCACCTTTTCCTACATAGGCTCCTGGCCAAGCTCCTGGCCATCAAGTCTGGCAACAGAAATAAGTCCGAGAGTGTGCGATCGACACCATGGAAGAAAGTTGGACCGAAAGGAGGAGGCAAAATCCAGCACAAGTTTTCGGTTGAGCATCAAGATCATTGCGAAACTCCCGGGGAGGCCTACGACGATATAGTTCCGGTGTTGCTCGCCATCGCATCGAACATCGGCAAGAGGGCGGACGAGCTGATGATATACGATCCATATTATTGCAATGGACTAGTGGCACAGAATCTACGAGACAGAGGCTTCCAGCATGTTTATAACAAGAATGAAGATTTTTATGAGGCGGTGAAACAAGGCACAACGCCGCCATTCGACGTTCTGGTTACAAACCCTCCATACAGTAACGACCACATTGAGCGCCTTTTCAGTTTCTGCTCGAGCTGTGAGAAGCCATGGATGGTGCTTGTCCCAAACTACGTCTACACCAAAGACTACTATGAGAAGATGCTGAAGAGTGGAGTTCGACCTTTCTACGTGATCCCGCCCAACCGATATGAGTAAGAATCGACTTCTCCCCTCAAGTACCTTCATGATTGACTGCTATTCAGGTACATCTCGCCGGCTGGAGCTCGAGGGTCCAGGGAGAAGAAGACCTCTCCTTTTGTGTCATTCTGGTTCATAGACATGGGGAAGCTTAACCCCCTTGCGATCCGAGCTTTCCGTAATTGGATTCTGCAACATCTCGAGCTCGAGCGGCGACCGCAGCTTGTGCAGAAGCTTCGTGATCTTCCTCAGAAAATGCGAGCAATGTTCGATCCTGAAAGGAGGCGGCTCAGGAAGAAACAGAGACAAGCGATTCGTCGGAGGCTTGGTCGACAACTTGAGGACATGAGTTCGAACACAGGATGAGTAGATCATGAGCATGGGTGAAATTCCTTGATCAGAACAAAGTGAGGGACCATGAATCAAAGAACGCTGAGAGGTACTGGAGAAAGCAACGTGCCTGCGAGATTCAGGTGAGAAAATTCTTTTCAAGCATGTGTGAACTATCGCACCTACTTTCTTCCAGTACCCCCCTTTCTCCCCCCCGCCTTGTTTTTCGAACATCTCTATCCTCCTTTTTGTCTCCTCTCCCTCTCTTCACTTCCCTTTCCCAGTTCTGTTCTGCTGGTCGGGCTCTTCCCACTGCCCCTCTGTGTCAGACAGGCTGGCAGATGAAATGTTGGTGGGTGAGGTGGGCCAGGCATCTGAGGTTGAGGCCTCTAGGATTGCCACCGGCTTTAAGTTTTTGCCGACTACGGGGCCCTTAGCTTGCCAGCTGATGTCTTGCTGGGCCTTCCATGATGGAATGTCCCGGCCGGAGTACAGCAGACATTCAAGCCTGATATGCTCGAAAACGATGCTCACGGTTCTGTGATGTAGGATGGGGGTTCGCGCGTACTGGTAGTCATCTGGCTGTAGCCCTGAGGCAAGGGTTGTCATGGGTTCGAAAAATCAGTACAGTGTAGGGCTGACAAGGTTCGAATGAATGACAAGAGGAGAATAATATCACTTGATCACGCGTTGAATTACAAAATTATGAGAAGCGCAATTCGGAATTACCGATCTCTCCTGTTGAGCATTCCCAGCTCTACCTGTTTTGCCATCTTGGAGGCTGATCCTCCTGCCAACAACTTCTCAACCTCCTCAGGCTCCGGCAGCTTCGCTCCTTTCTTCATGCTCTCCTCGCATGCTACCAGGTACTGCTGCTGGACGCCGATGATGCTGCCTGGCCTCACAATACGGAGCCAGGCGATGCAGTCCCTGGCGGTCCACTGGTACTTGCGCATCATCCACAGGGCGATGAGAGTTCCCGTCCTGCCCAACCCTGCCTTGCAGTGCACAGCCACCACTCCCTTTTCTGAGGTGCAGAGGGACAAGAAGCGGTCAACGAGCTTGGCAGGCGGAGTCGTGCAGTCCTCGAATTCCATGTCGTAATGGCGAATCCCATTCTTCTTGAATTCTTCCGCATCATACGTCGAGGCCTCGTTAAGCCTCACCACAGCAGAGACTTTGAGCGTATGAAAGATCTGGCTGTAAGCTTCAGGACGAAGCATCCGAGCATCCTGGCTGTCGGGCCCACGAAAGGCGATGAATTTCGGGCACGGTTGATGCAGGTCGTACTGAGCTGGATTGTCCAGGAAGAGGTAGCGATTCACGTCGAAGGATTCGTAGTCGAAGAGACCAGCAGTCATCGCAGCCTTCAGACCTCGTAGGCAATCGAGCAGAGACAGATGAAAGGTCGGCGGCTGGTAGGTAGCGTCTCGGAACGGAACGAAGAGCCTTTTCCCCATCGAAGCAAACGCCAAAGCCGCTTCCTCTGGGGTCCACTGTTCGACTACAATCAAATAGGTTCCAAGCAAAAAGGCAGCGTTGGTTCGTAAAGCAACATCTCTTTCTGCGTAATAAACAAGTTGTCGATTCGCAAGTCGAGGATCCTGAAGTTTCTCTTGCATGTACTTGCAGAACTCATACACAGCCGCAAGGTTCACAGGTCCAAAATCGTCACAGTAAGGAACGTATGACTCGTGAAAGGTGCTCGAAAAGAAAAAGAGTTTTCGATTCTTGACAATCTCCACCTTCGTCTGGCCCTGATCCTTGTGGATGGTGAAGGAGAGTCGGTTGGGTAACAGAGGGTGGATCACACCATACTCTATCTCTTCCATGGTTTCGGGAGCAGGCTTGGATCTTGCAGCAATATGCGCTGGGGGCTCAGGTTCTGGTTCTCCAGGTTTTGCACTTTCAAGCCGGTGAATATTCGCTCTTCGTTTCTCTGCGCACTTAGCAAGCACCCTTAGAGCCTCACGATTCCCAGCCAAATCAGAATTCAAGGAATTTAGGAAATCTTCAACGGTAAGCTCCCAACACCCAGCATCGATTTGTGCGACAACATCGCAAGCACGTAGATGGGTGGAGTCTGTCTCAGAGCTTTCTTTGATTCTTTTCCTGCACGTTGCGAGGAAACTCATCTCACCAAAGAAGTCTCCACTTTCCAAGGACTGGGCGACTTTCCCCTCCACGACTGCATTCACCTTTCCATAGTCAATGAAATACATGGTGGTTCCTAGGCTTCCTTTTTTCACAATACATTCACCCGCCTTGAATTTGACAAGATTCATGGCTTGAAAACAATGGAACCTGCTGCGCTCAGACAAGTTGTCAAACAAGTCGCAACTTGCTTTGCTCTTAAGGTATTTATGCAGGAAGGGATTATCAGCGGGGTTGACTGAAGCCGGCACCTTCGAAGGCGTGGAACTCCCTTTCTTGTGTAGATCCATGTCACAAGCGTGCCTCCCGCTGTGCCCAGGTTGGTTGAATTCTGGTCTGAATCTCGTGGGAGATTCACTTGAAGTTCTTGGACCTTTTGTATTGGAGGGTTCTGGCGAAGTTGCGGGTAATCTGACAACACCCAATTCTGAGCTTGCTGATCTGTGGATGAGCAAATCGTCCCTGCTACTTCTTTGGACAGGCTCATTCTCGGCAGATTGTGCTGTGCAAGATTTGGCCCTTTCACTTCTTCGCGATGCAACTTGAGAAAGAATCCTGAAATATGAGGATGAGTTGAACAAGGAGAAGCGAAGAAAGAAAGCCTCACCCGAGAATCGCTCTCAAACCTGCTGGGTCTTCTTGAATGACGACCATGAAATCCTTGACATTGAGCTCGAGGCATCGACAGTCCTCTGTGGCTTGAATCGAGGCAACTCTGTAGATGCCGCATCCAACACACTTTTCCATCTGACGAGTATCTGTCCGGACACCACTCCTTTCGAGGAAATTGGTAACCGTTGCAATGAAGCAAATCTCGCCGAAATAATCTCCACTCGCAAGCGATTGCAGAACTTTACCGTTCTTCACAGCAATAGCGTGGCCTACGTCGATGAAGTACTGAAGAATTGAAATAGTGAGTATCAAGGTGATCAGACAACAGCCTTACCATCGAGGTCCCTATCGCCCCTTCTTCAATAATCACTTCACCGGCATTGAAAGCCCGGGCCTTCATACGAGCAACGCACTGGTTCCGTGTCTTGGGAGACATCGAATCCAAGATCTCAGATGTCGCTTTGCTCAACTGGGAGTTGCTCATGCCAGGATATTCGCTCGGAGAATCTGGCAAACTATTCAACCGCTTCCTTGCCTTCATCATTCCGTCGGTGTCATGTGCAAGCGCTTTCCTTCGCTCCTCTACTTCTTCTTTGCTAATCGTACCCTTCGAGCTTTTGACTGAAGAAATCATGTTCCTCAGGGCTTCAGGAAGGCCAGATTTCGTGACAGGCATGTTTCCACTCCAGCCTTTCGACGCTCCTACCACGACCTTTCTCCTAAATTATTTGGTTCGCCTGAAAACGAAGGGAGCAATGTCAGGGATGGCTAAATGAAACCACCGAAATTATGGAGGATCAGGATTGGCACGAATCAAGATCAAATGGGACCCCTCATCACTCTGACAATCAGGAGATGTGGATCAAGGTGAACATAGAAAACAAACCATCACGCAAGCATTACAAGAATGAGATAGTTTTTTTTTGAAACAATCAACAATGCATTGTGCAGGGGGGAGATTAAAACACACACGTACAGTCCTCTCCTGCTTACGAGCAAGCTCATGGTTTGAAGTGGAGAGAAAGCGTCGGCCATGACATGGGGAAGGGACAAGAGCGACGGGCAAGAGAGTTTGTACTCTCACACACTCACTTGTTGATCTTCTGTCGCTTTCAAATCCTCCTCGGCTTCTGCCTGCTCTACTCCGCCATGCCACCTCTCTCGGGCATGTCTTACAACTACCCCTTCACTATCCACCCCCACCCACTACAATCTTTCCGACAAACACTACCTACCCCAATTGTTCCCACCCTACCCTGGTAGGATCACCCCTGTGGCAGAGTCCTCGACATAGGGGTACCCCCTTTGACAGCAACTCCGCCAGTAGTAATTCGAGGGATTGTACCCCTACCCTGCCAGCTACTGGCACTAGTACCCCACCTAATTTACATTACCCTGGTTTTACCTCCTTGGTTCATGTTGCACCCCCTTACATCGTTACCCTACCCCCTCGAATCGCGCCACCCCTTTATTAAAAAATCACTTCGGACTATTTTATTATTGATGACTATAAGTCTTGCTATAACCTTGGTTACACCTTCCTAGGACGCTGTAAGGCTCTAAAAACTATGGACCCTCTGCATGTGGATACAGACCACCCTAGTTACCACAAGAGTAATAAAAAATTTAAGAGGAATTCCCCGCCTTCCACCTTTGTACCCTTGGACCCCATCGTATGTATTTACACCGGTACATTTAACTAAAAGAACCCCGGTAATTATCCTTAAACGTTCAGTCAACAAAATTATGTACCCCTCCCCTCCAACCAGAAGCACTGTGGATACCCCACCCACCCCCTGGTTGCTTTCCTCTGGTTCTTCAGTACCCACATTTCAAGGAGGTGGTGGGGTCCGTGCATCATCCACGTAAAAGAAGTTTTTATGAACAAAATACATCTAAAAACATTTCTACAGGAATTTAACGTAAAACTTTTGTATTGAATAAACATTTTAATTTGAGTACATTTTATATTACTTGGATATTATCCTTCATGTAAAAATCTCTTCCAAAAACTTATTTTTCATTTTGTCCGGAAGCAAAAAGCTTCATTTCGACTGTGTTGCAATATTACTTCTATGTTTCCGCGTGACCAAAACAGACGAGTCACTGGCAAGTGCCGCAAACCGGGCGGCGTTGGCCGCTCGGCCCCGGCCCTCACGAGTCACGCCCGGCGCCGGTCGGAGCATCGGACTCCCCGCCTCTCGGCCCGGAGTCACCCGAGTCACAGTCGGCGTCCCGCGGCGCGCGCCGGTACCGTACGCCGTGCGGCCGGCCCTGTCCGATCGAGGCCGACTGAACTTCCGAGTTCCACGGTAGTTCGGAAGTCGGAGGGGGGCGCGGCCCGGGTGTACGGTAGGCGCGGCGTTCTGAGACTGCCAATGCTACAGCGTTGCCATGATGATTTTAATATACCGTGTCAAGAAGAGAAGCGGCGACCCGGCCCTCCACTCCTTGTCCCTTGATTCCAGTCAGGCTTCCTCCTCGGGGCCCCTGTCGTACTGGCGGGGGTCCGAGTCACGCCCTTCGGCTTTCTCAGGTTGTTATAGGGAACGTCCTGCAGAAGTGAAAGGTGAGGACTGAGGTGGAGGAGAAAAACATCAGCTTACGCCGAAGGGAGACTTGGACTTTGAGCCTTGATCCTCCTTGCGGTCGCCCTTGTAGATCCTTTTGAGAGTCCCTTCCTTCTCACCACAGTCAGCCACTGGGACAAGCACGAGCACATGGCGGCGGGCACTACAGCACCTGATCGTCGGACGTCACATGAACGAAGTCGGCCGGGATGTCCTTGAGGAAGCGAGAGGGCTCGAGAGGGTCGTTGTTGTGGAACATGCCCTTCCACATGGGCCAAGTGATGTAGAGGATCTCCTTGGCCCGGGTGATGGCAACGTAGGCGAGCCTCCTCTCCTCCTCGATCTCGTCTTTGGAGGCGAGGGACCGAGAGTGAGGGAGGCAGCCGTCGTTCATGCCGACGAGGAACACGACCTCGAACTCCAGCCCCTTGCTGGAGTGAATCGTCATGAGCTTCATCCGCGGGTCCTTCTTCACGTCGACGTCCAGCTTGATCTCTTCTTGGAACTCTTCCTCGTCCCCCGCCACCAGCGCAACGTCCTCCAGGAACGCGTGTAGCCCCTCCAGCCCGACCCTCTCCGTCCTCTGAGAGGCTTTCTTCAATTCTTGGATGTTTGCCCACCGGTCGTCGTACTTCTCGTCTTTCTGCAGGTACACGTCGTACTCTATGACGTCGATCAGCGTCTCTATGACCTCCTCCGGCGTGCACAGCTTTGCGGCGTCGCACAGAGTCTTCAACACTTGCCAGAATTGGAGGAGGCTTTTCTTCTGCCTGGCAGTGAACAGCTCCTCGTCAGGCGCGCCGCTCCTCTCGCTGCTGTCCTCTCCGTCCTCCTTCCCTCGGGAGGACTCGATCAAATCCAGTCTCTGTATTGCATGGAAAGTGGAAATCCCATTCTTAGCCGCATACTCCGCCACCTTCTCGATCGTCTTCGTGCCGATCCCTCTCGGTGGAACGTTGATGATCCTTGCGAAGGATGCGGAATCGTTGGGGTTCGCGATCACTCGCAGGTACGCCAGTATGTCCTTAATCTCCTTCCTCTCGTAGAACCTCATGGCTCCGAGGATCGTGTATGGAATCCCATTCCGCACGAACACTTCCTCCAGCACACGGCTCTGCTGATTCGTCCGGTACATCACAGCGATCTCCTGGAATCCTCCTGGCACCACTCCGCTCTTTACCAAGCTCTTTGCTTCTTTGGCGACGTAGACAGCTTCGTCGGTATCATCGACGGATTCATGCAGAAAGATCTTGGAGCCGGCACGTGTGGAGGAGGTCATGTTCTTAGCTATCCTGTCCTTGTTCTTCTCGATGATAGCCTGAGCGGAGGTGACGATGGTGTTGGTGCTCCTGTAATTGTGCTCCAAGATGATTTGAGTTGCATTGAAATCCCTACGGAAGCGATTCACATTGGAGAAGTCAGCACCCCGCCATCCGTAGATGCTTTGATCTGTGTCCCCGACCACAAAGACCGAGCTGCTCTGCGGAGACGAGGCGAGAAGTCGGATGAGCTCGTACTGCGGAAGGTTGGTGTCCTGCCACTCGTCGACGAGGATGTGCCGCCAGGTCGACCTGACTCTCTCCAGCACTTGACCGTCGGACTTGAGCAGGCGAACAGCTTGCAACAGGATGTCGTCGAAATCCAGCGCGCTGCTCCTAGCAAGCTCCTCCTGATAGAGCGCGTAGACCTGCTCGACCTTGAGGAAGAATTGACGATTGGTGCGAGTCAGAGACTTTGATTTCATCACTTCGTGCGGGAACAGGCCCTGCGATTTGAGGTTTGAGATCGCGAACCTGATCGTGTTGGGATCCAGTTTGGTGACATCTATGGCGAGGTCAATCATGGCCTGTTTGACCAGCTCTTTCTGTTGGTTCGAGTCGAAAATCAGGAAGTTTGGATCCAACCTGGGCAATTCCAAGTCAGCAGGAATCGTCTACTTTCAGGTCCCATCAGAGGCATCTCACCCGATCGCATCCCCGAAGATCCTCAGCAGCCTGATGCAGACATAGTGGAACGTCCCGACAGTTATGGCGAGCATGGAGTCGTGCTGTATGTCCAGAAGGCTCTTGATCCTCTGCTTCATCTCTTTTGCAGCCTTGTTGGTGAAGGTCACCGCCACTATCGAGTCCTGCGTTGCTCCCTTGGAGATCAAGTACCCGATCCTGCATCACAGACGTGCTGGTCAGCAGGGAGGGATCAGCGAGCGAGCAAGAGCTTCAACAAGATTCGGAGGAGCAGATCGCTATGGTGATGAGGAAGGAAGATAGCAAGGCACGATAAAGGACACTGGGGGTTTCGCTGTTGGACTATCGGCATACCTGCTCGTGAGGACTCTCGTCTTGCCTGAACCAGGGCCAGCGAGGACGATGATAGGAGCGATGGGAGCCGTAACAGCCTGCTTCTGAGCTTCGTTCAGGCCTGCCAGCAGCGGCGACTGAGGCTCGTCCTGTCCTGCTCTCTTTACTCTGATCTTCTCTCGCAGCATCGCCTCGATCTGCTTCTCCTCGTTCTTGTCATGGCAGGCGAGGGAGGAGGTGAAAGTCCTTGCTCTTGCAGCTCCTGGCCACGTGGACGGAGCTGGGAGCAAAGATGCGCTCCTCCGGAACCAACTCCTCACCATCGCCTTGTTGGAGGGTCGGAACAAGGGCCTTGTTGGGACGAAGCCATGGCCGAGAGCGATGAAGGCCATGAAGAACACAGCTGCTATTCCTCTTGATGTCGCCCCTTTCATTGCCCAGGATAATCTCTGCCTTTCTCGTCACTCCCTTGCATCCCTGCAAGATATGTCAAAATCTCTGCTGTACGCCGCTCGTCGTTCCTCCTCCTCCTCCTCCTCCTCCTCCTCCTCCTCCTCCTCCTCCTCCTCCCTCCTCCTCCTTGTCCCGCACTTCCTCCTCCCCTTCTCCATATTCACTTGCCACCCATCCACCCCCCCGCCCTCCCTCCCCTTCACATCCCAGCCCGCTCCCCCTTCCCGTCCCCCCCTCTGACTTCCGTCCCTCAAAAAAAACCATAACGGGGCAGGGGATTTATCGTTTTTTCTTGAGGATCCCAGCTGCAGTCGGGGAGAGGAGGGGAAGCGGCGGAGGGAGGGAAGAGGGTCAAGAGGGAACAGAGGAGGATGAAGTTTGTTTCGCCTCAGTCGAGAGGCTCCTCCCCCGCGCTCCTCCTGCTCCTGCTCATCTGGGGACCGAGAGCAAGTTCGGAGAAGGGAGTGGGGCAGACGTGGATAGGGGACTCGTTCCTGGAGATAGAGATAGAGAGGGTCCCCCGAGAGTTTCGGCATGGAGAGGTCATGAATGTTGCCGTCACTATGGTGGGCGATGGCCGATCCCTCGCTATGGGCGCTTCACCATCCTTCATCGTGTTTATCGACCACAGCCCCATCAAGGACGAGGACGGCGCTACGACTATCCACAAGTTCCCACCCCTCAACCAGTACAACGAGTCAGGGTATACCTTGCAGCTCCTGCTCACTCAGCTGGCGGAGGGCTGGCACTGGATCTCTGTGGGGGTGTTGGACCTCGATCAAACCTCGCACAGGGTGGTGTACGAGATAGGGCTGGACTTCACTGTAGTCGGAGCCTTCTCTTCCATGGAGCAGGATGCGCTCAAGACTTCTGTCTCCAAGTGCATCGCCCCCAGCTCTACCAGCCAGGGTTGTCGAGACTATGTTCAGCTGCGACTGTCTCCCCTCTCCCCCTTCCTCACCCGGACTGAGCTTGCTATGCTCAAGAACACGGCAGAGTCTTACTTCGGCCACGTCATCGACGAAGGCCTGCTAGAGATGGTCAGCCCCTGACTTCATACGCGCTTCCTTCCTTCTTACCTATCCCTAGTTCCCGTGGGATTACGAGAAGAGCGCCTTCGAATCATGTCGCTTATCCGCCCTTTCAGGCAACAACTTGGCTGACGGCTGCTTCCAGGTGCTGTCGTTGGAAGCTCAGGGCACCTGCTGGGCTCAGGATTCGGACGAGACATCGATGTCCACGACCTCGTCATCAGGTTCAACGACGCGCCAGCTGGAGGAGAGTACGAGAGCGACGTCGGTAGCCGGACCACCCATCGCGTCCTCCACTCCTCCGGAAAGATTTTGGAGTTCCTGCATGCAAACCTGGAGGAGCTCACTCGGAATAACGAGACCCTCCTGTTCCGTGGGGACTGGAAGCCAGACATTGACAAGTACTTCCAGCTGATCCACCCGATCGTCGCTGAGGATGTTTGCAACGAGAGCAAGTGCGGTCGGATAAGGATCTTCTCCACTTACTTCAACCTCCTCGTGTGGCGATGGATCGGAGCCAGGGGGGCAGACTGCGTACCCTCGAGCGGCATGATCGGCATCATGTGGGCCCTGCAGGTCGATGCACTTCCATGATCCTCCTATCCTCACATCGCAGCGTTCCTAGTCTTGTCTGCACGTGGACACCTATGGCTTCGGACGGCACCCCTCCGTCAGGCAAGGTCCTCGAACGAGGTAAAGGAGGCATACAAATACTGACTGAGCTGAGCATGGGAGAACGTGCAGGTACAAGTACTACGGAGAGGTGTACGACGTTGGAGACGCAGGTCACAACTGGAACCTCGAGGAGGTATGCCGACGGTATCAGATCTCGCTCACCGTCAGCTGACCAGTCACCACAGGAACTTCACGACCGTCTGCAAGCAGCAGGCCTACTTGTTCGGAACTTCGGATGACACTTTTCACATTGTACAGACTACAAAATATACGGCCAGAGCGAGAAATCAGCAGAGCATGAATAGAACAACTTTTTTTCGAGGAAAGAAAAATAATAGGGAAAAAATGAAAAACAAAAGAATAAGACTCGAGCCCCCCAACCACCAGCTAGTCGCTCAACAGATCTCCACCTTTCGGGCTGATTCCTTGCTTCAATCTCTGCATAATCTGCCACGTGTTCTCTAAACTCTTCCCTGCAGCACATGTCAGGTCCATGCCTTGCACCGCCAGGAACAACAGCTCCACAACAACAACTCACGGTCAGCGTAAAGCTTCGCATTTGCCCTCGTCATCCGTTCCTTGATGTCTGTGCTGGTCATGACCCACTCCAGCTCCTCCCTAGTCGACATCTTCTCCAGCGCTTGCCAGGTGACGAAGGAGAAGCAGCGCAAGAGCTTCATCTCCCCATCGATATCGTCTCCCCACTGCGGCCAGAGAGCATCCCAAGGCTTCAGACGGTTCACCATGTTCAGCGTCATGCTCTCCAGCGACTGAACTGCATGGCCGCCTGCGGTCCCGCTCGTCCTCTTCGGGGCTTTCGGCACATCCTTGAGGGTGGTCGCAGCTAGCTCCATTGCAAGCGCGTAAACCTCGGGGCCGAGCTCCAGCAACGCCTCCGTGTCGCACGTCCCGTCGATATCACAGAGCTGGAGGTCCAGGGTCAAGGACGAGATCGTCGACATCAGCTTCCTCCTCCTGTTGTGCTCCACTGCACTGTCATCGGCAACATTTCGAAGGAACTGCAAGAGAGCGCAACAAGTCAGAGCAACGATCCTACAACGCAGGCATAGCACATATAGCCATCCCCTTTCTCTCCCCTTCGCCCTCTCCCCCCCTCCCCCCCTCCCTTGGTTCCTCACCTCGAGAGTGTGCATGTACGAGGAATCGGGAACCTCGTCCTGAACGAGGGTCCAGCGATCAGCCACCAAGAGCGGCTTGTCTCTGACTGTCCTAACCCTCGGGATCTTCGCCCTGGCCACCCCAAGGAGGCGGACCGTTTGAATCCCCCCCTCTTCATCTGGCACAATCTCCTCCACGTATGCCAGAGTTGCCACTCCTTTCACGTAGGAGTTCTCCCCACTGCCTCCGTAGTAAGCAACAAGAGGCTTTCCTCCTAGCCGCTGATCCACAGCTGCAAACGCTGTTGCAGTGCGGATCGCGGCGACCTGACCGGGGCTCAGCGACGGGAGGACGACGAAGGCCCCAGGTAGGAGAGGCTTCCCTCCAACCGGACCTGTGAGAACTGGCAGTGCTGGACGTTCAGGCTGCTGTGCGTCAAGGGAACTCGCCATGGCAGTCCACCATCCGCGCTGGCTTCGGGGAGAAAGGAAAGTTGCAGAGGGAGCGGACCAGTGGACGGGGATGCCCGTGTCCCGGGAGGAGAACCTGTGGGTAGAGAGGGAGGACGAGGGTGAGAGGGAGGGGGTCAGGGATCCTAGATAAGCAGCAGAGGCAGGGGAGGGGAGGAAGGTCGAGGCCGGTGCCGCGCTCACTAAGAGCACCATAGCCGCCACTAGCATGTCTTTACAGGAACCAGAGACCGTTACCAAACTCTATCTTAACCGTTACGCACCAGGGTTGCGGACTGGATGAGGGCTCTACCTCAGGTGGGTATGTTGGGGAGGAGGGCCAAATTGTGTTCTATTTCCGCAGAAGCTCATGGCGTGGGGCGACCACGGAGAGGAGGCAATGCTGCTTCCCGGGGGAAGTAGAGCTGAGGGCTTCGACCCAAGCATCATGCAGAACCAGGGAGATTCAAGGTGAGAGGAGGGGAAGAGGCGAGGTAGCATGTCCTGTGAATGAGACTCTTTGCGAATCCTGAAACAAGCGTGTGGGACTCGAATCTGCCTTGCCCTTTGCGAGCTACCCATCTACTTCCGCGTCTTGGTTTCTGTCTCGATGGCAAAAGCAATTTCTGTTTTATGACTTGATATGCGAATTTGTTGTTGGAATGCTTCTTTGCTGATGTATTGACTGATTTATCGCTAGGAAACGAAGGACGGCCGTTTTCCTTCTCTCTGTCATTGCCACCTTGGCTTGCCTTGGAGCTTTGTCAGCCCAGATGCACAATGGAGAGGTTGCTATGGACGAAGATAATGTGCTGGACAAACTCACGAAGGATTCCAACCTGCCATCGTGGTTGCGCACTGGACCCGTCAAGCTTGTACCCCTCGACCAATTGGTAAAGCAACAGATGGTTGTCAAGGACCTGTCGGAGGGGAAGATCAAAGATGCTGATTCTAGTGATGATGATGATGATAATGATGATGATAATTCGGATAGCTTTTCCAGCAGCCCTCACGACATGGCAATGAAGAATGCTTTGCACATGCAAGCGTCGAGGAGGAGGGAGGCAAAGGATCTGAATGTTGCCGGAGCGGCTCACTCTTCACAGCACGTTCACATGGCGCACGAGCACCACAAGGTTGCAACAGAGGCAAAGAATGCACAGGAAGCGTCTTCCGTGAAGAAGGAGATCTCCCAGGCATCTTCCTTGGCTGAGGGGGTTGCTGCAGCCGAGAAGACGGGCCTTCAGAGCCTTCATATCGCGAAGGCGGATGACAAACAAGCATCTTCTCATATGAGTTTGGATGCTCTGGTGGCAGAAAAGAAGAAGGAGCTTGCTGAAGTGGAGAGCACTGAAGTTAAAGAGATTGACATCGTCAAGAAGGCCGAGCTGCACAAACTAGCTGCGATCAAGAAGACTGATTTGGGGAAAGAGCGGGATCTTCAAAAGCAGATCAAGGATCTCGAAGCAAGGTCTGCTTTGGAGCAGGAAGAGAAGAAAATACAAGACCAGATCTCTCACGTAAAGCAGGAGGAGGAGCAAAAACTCACTGCTCTTCACAAGAATCTGGCGAAGCTGGAGGGAACGGAAATTCATGAGCACAAGTCGATTTCAAAACCAGTTGTGAAAGTGGTTAAAGAAACGAAATCCAAGGAGGAGCCTTCTGCTTCAACGGAAACTGCATCTCGTGAATCCAAGAAGGCAGCCAAGCCTGCTAAGCCGACGCACCAAAGCAGCAAGAAAGAAGCCAAGCCTGCTTGCACAGAGACAGATTGTGACGTTGATGGCGAGGACAAGAAATGGCTGGTCAAGGGAGGAAGTCTCAACAAATATTCTCGTGACGCAGTCGAGGGGTCGGGAAAGGCAAAACGCGTGGCCCTTGAACACATGCAGAAGTTGAAGGAGCAGATCGAAGACGATTACAAGCACGTGACAGACTTTGCGATTGCACAGGAGAATGCACTTTCTCCTCCACCCAGTCAAAACTAGAAACATGTTAAGAGGAGAGGGAAATGTTTGTATTTATGAGAGTTTAGAATGAATTGTGGTGTGTTGAACATGTCATGGTTGCTGCACTGACTCTTTTTCAATCTTCCTCCTCAGTAAGACCATCCTCCTCGTCAGTAAGACCATGCTTCGTTAGGAACTTTTCTATCTTTTCCATCCAGCCAACCATCCCTTGGATAATCGAACAATTCTTAGAACAGTCATGGCTGAAAGAAGGCAAAACTCACATCCAGTTGTACGATCCTTTGGAAACTTGCTTGACGACTTTCTTGGCCTTTTGACGATTGAGTTCCTGGATTCAATCTTAATCATCTGCCATACCAGCAAATCACTGTGTCATAACGAGATTGATTACATGCAAAAGTTTAAGTTTCTCGCGCTTCAACTTCTCTATCTGATCTCCAGTGTCACATAACAATCTTCTGGGCATAAATGTTTCGTTACCGTTTCCGAGATCGCTTGATGCGCTTTGAAACGCTTGCTTCCCCGCTGCATTCATGTCGATTCGTCAGTAGAAGCTCGATCAAGGCTGCAGCTTGTATGGGCAACCTCTGGCAACTCCTTCCCGCCATAGTCGATCTCGTGATCAAGGTTCTCATACCCATTCACGATGTTCCGAAGAAATCCGAACCCCGCTGAGCAACCATCCTATCGTCAGACAAGGGCAAACGCAAGGAGGAAGCAAACCCAAGGAGGCAAACGCAAGGAGGAAGCAAACGCAAGGAGGAAGCAAACACCACAAGGAGGAAGCAAATACAAGGAGGCATTGTCCGTGTGACCTACAGTTGCTCGTCGACTCGAGCTTCTTCTGTATGTGCGCTCTTTGCCGAGTTGTTTGCTTGCCCACTTGCCAGGGCGAGAACCCCAGTCCCCTCGCCGCTTTCTCCACAGCAATCCTACCCCTGCTCTTCTTTTCAGGGGCACTGAATGTGTTCCTGATGCTCTTCGATAGGGATTGCACAACACAGCCCACCTGTCGTCGGAGGTTAATGCAGGAGCGCAGCATGATTTTACTCTTACAGATGAACCTCCTCCACATGTCACCGCTTGTACTCTTCTCGGTTTTTCCCGCACGTAGGGAACAATTCCAGCGTATCCTATCCTTGATGCAGACTGCAAGAGGGCATGCTGTCCGACATTCCTGTGCGCTCCCACATAAAGCAACAGGCAAACGGCAAGAGAGAAGGAGATCGCAAGAACATCCCGCAAGTTGGGAGGCGATATTTTCAGCATGGTGAGAGAGAGGGAAAAGGGAGCTGAAGTTGCCAGTGCTGTTCCTGATGTCACCCTGTTCCTATCTTGGCTTCATGTCGCTTCGCAGCATTCCTTGAGATATGAATCAGAAGTTGTCATACTTCGAGGGCCATTCAAATCCGCTGTCCTCACCATTTATCTCAAGTAACTCTGAGGGCGACTTGAAGATACTAAATAAGAAGATGTATATTATTTTAGTTTTACAATACTTTTTTGAAAGTTTGAAACTTTATAGTTTTGAAACGTTGATGTCTTCAAGACGTTTCAAAGTTTTAAAAGTCTCATCTTCGAAGCTTGTGGGGTTGTCTGTCCTCATGTAGGTGATCAGGCCTGACTCGTACAGCCTCTGCGCCGTCCTCATGCACTCCTTGCTGCTAAGCGACAACTTTCTGTTGGCCTCCTGCTGCAGAGTAGAGGTGATGAAAGGAGGAGGAGGCTTGCGCCGCTGTGCCCGCTTTTCGACTTTCTTCACCTTCCAGCTAGCTCCCTGCTGCTTCAGTCCTTCCATGAGGCTGTTCGCGGACTCCTTGTCAAGGTGGATCAATTTTCCTCTCCCTGAGCTCTCGTGGAGCTGCCCTTTCGCGTCGAAGTCCCTTCCTGTTGCTACTTTCCCCTTCCCTTCCACCTCAACTACCATGGCGCTGAAGTGCCTGGCATCGCTGCCTTCTACCGCTGAGAGGTTTGCTCGCAAGTCGAACTTCGTAAGCAGCAGGAACAAACGATAGTCTCTCCAGCTCTCGTCGCACTATGATTGCCATCCCCACACTCTGTACTCGCCCAGCAGAAAGCCTGCGACAAGTCAGTGGCAAGCGCTCACAGTGCTTCTCTTCACCCGCGAGCTATCTTCTTCCACAGCAGCGGCGACATGGTGAACCCGGCAAGACGATCCAGAATTCGCCGCGTCTCCTGTGCATGGACAAGGTTGAGATCGATGGATCGCAACGACTGGAACGAGCGAGTGATGGCATCCTTGGTGATCTCGTGGAAGACAGCTCGCTTCACCGGCACCTACAACAAGCTAAGCAGCGACAAGAGACGTGAGTGAGAAACTTTAGGCTTCAGCAGCTCGAGCAGATGCCAACTGATTGCTTCCCAGGCTTCTCTGTCTTCATCGGTCGCAAGGATGACTTCCTTTGCTTTGCGCTGGATCCCCTCCAGCTTTTTGATCACTGACTCTTTGCCAGGAAGAGTGACGTAGAGGGGCTCGAAGTGATTGTCAGGATCCACACCAACCACCTTCCCGAAGCGAGCTTTCAATTCAGGAGGAACAGACTTGGCACTCTGGGGGAGATCGCGAACATGACCCATGCACGACTCAACGACGTAGAGGGAGTCGAGGAAACTTTGAATGATCTTGGCTTTTGAAGGAGACTCAACGATAACCAAGATCTGGTCTCGTGCTGCATCGTCACTACCTGCACCGGATGAGCAGAATCTGCCGTAGCCCGCTCGGAAGGCTGGTCGAGAGAGTGGTCGAAATGTATTCAACTTCGTGGATTGGGGGAATGGGCGAGACGAAACGTGCTTGTTGAGAGAGGAACGGAATGTAACACCGCCTGATCAACATCATCGTCAACATTAAAAAAAGAGTGCGAAGAGGTGCACACCGGACTTCTTGACTTGCTTCGGACGCCATGTATTTTTGCTCCAGGGGTGTTTCTTCTGAAATTTGACGGAATCTACTGGGCAGAAAGATTGAAATGCTTGAAAAGTTGCGGAATAAATGTTGGCTTCAAATTATTAAGGGTGAAGCCTCTTATATTAGCTAAACGACACAAAACATAAAATTTCAAAATTCTAAATTTTCCGTCGAAATTATGGATCATTGAAGACCCACACGCCAATATTTCCTTGTGTCTGACTCGTACTTCATCCTTTCTATGAAGAACAGGTTGAAGTATAACCAGACCCATGTGTGATTCAAGGCCGTTTCAGAAAATCTGGTCGTGCTGGTAGAGACATGTAGCACAATAGAATATTCATAGCAGCATTGACATCACGAGACTTGATACGGTTTTGAACACAATTGGTGGATCTGCACCATTTCAAACCCCGCACCACTGACACTTCGTCAGCAAGTATACCATTCTTGTTGATTTGTTTGCGTCTCAAATCATACAATTCTTGATGACATTGATTGCAACATTTTGTCGTTCTGTATTCATCAACTACCGTCACCTCGAAGAAGTTCTGACATCGCCTTTTGATCCATTTTACAGGCACTGACTTCTCTCCACGCCCAGTACAACCGAATGATGCATCACCGTATGCAATTATTGGATTTTGATCTGTCCCATTACCTTTCATCTTCTTGAAGAACGTATCAATCGCCTTGTGTTTGTGGATGTAGTTATCCATCTTCAGGCGTGCGAACTTGTTTTGACAATTGTGTTCGAACAGGATCTCGCTTAGTCTCACCACGGTGTCGATGTATCTTTCAAAGTGATCCAACCGAGACGTTTTTGCTGACACTCTTGCAATATCGTTTGATTCCTCTGTTATGCCTTGTCTCCATTTTTCTAACTTGGCGTTATTCCGAGTAATATGAGACTCATGATAGTACTGCCTTCGAGTATATCGATACTGCTTTGGTTTTTCTTGACCAGGTATTTGCTCGACACCGCATATCAGTACATTGCGACCAGGATCGATTGCAATAACTCGTCTTGAGGACACATCACAATCTCTTGTTTTGCTTTTCTTTGTAGTAGTATCATCACGGTCTGTCTCATTGTGTATTCTCTTCTTGAACGTCACACAGAGTGCGACTCCGTCAGTCTGTATGCTATCAACTGTCCCTTTCTTTCTCAAATTTGATTGTAGCTTCAATACCGACAAGAATCGCTTATGTTTTTGTTGTGTGAACTTTTTCATGCATTTGCTTTTCCCACCCTTTGAATATTGCAACAGACCAGATTGATCCATAATGTAGAATAAACCCCAAATGTCTACGCGAATAAATTGTTTGCGTATCTGAAAAATCGGAGCGATCGTGTATCGATCAGATATATCATGAATCTCCAAAAACCTCAGAACCGAAAAATGGTACTTGACAAGATTTGGCATGTGTAATTGCATCCATTTTTGCTGCTCAGGGTTTTTCTTGATTTTGTCACGGGCCCATGACAAGTTATAATGATTGTCCCATCCAATGATCTCTTTTTGTTCCCTTATGAAATCAATGACATCCTGTCTTTCGAGAACACGAGTTTTTGGTGGAAAGCTCCATCCGTTTACTGCATTCCGTATATCCTGTATCTCCTTTTCTGAAGAAATCCCATTGAGCTTTCCCCATTCCTTTATGTATCTAGTCTGTTTTTGTCCCATCGTATAGAATATGTAATTTTGGAAATTTGTTGCATATTGATCAGCAGAATAGTACAGTACTCGAATATCCCCTTCTTTCCTGCGTTGTATTGGTAGATACTCGTTCCCTTTTTCTTGCCAAAACTCGTCTAAAATATCAAACTGAATTGCATTACCTCTGCGTTTTTCACCCATCAGAAAACAGGTCCGAAAGAAAACTTTCTCTCCACCATTGGTCTTGACCGTTTCTTCTTGCATCCCTTCTTCTTTTTCTTTGTCTGTTACTTTTCTAGTACGATTGTATATCTGATCAAACAGCCGTGTAATGTACGTATCATCACCTTGCATTGAATCCTTCTCAAAACACCATAACAATAGATGATTGAAGATGATGCTACCTCGATGGCTTATTTTGCTTATGTGTTTCACCCAATCATCAATCACACCGATCATTGTGTGTTGTTTGAGATGTTTTTTCAAACACATCTTGACAGTCGTCTGTGAATCAGAACAAGACTTTCTTTGTTTTCCTCTTTTCCTTTTCCCCATATTTGATCAGGGTGAACGCGGGAGCTTCGGAAGGCGGGAATGAGGGAGGGAGGGAGGGAGGGCGGGAAGAAGGGAGTGATGGAAGGCGGGAGGGAGGATGGGAGGGAGGGAGAGAAGGCGGGAGGGCGGGGAAATCTTTACAGAGCCACAAACCTGGTACCCACCCCTACTCAAGTTCGACAGATAAACAAACGGGTAGTTAGACTTCGGATGAAGGCGGGAACTTCGGAAGGCGGGAAATATTCGAAGTTTGTTGAGCCACAAACCTGGTACCCACCCCTACTTCTACTTTGATAGATAAACAGACGGGTGTTTAGACTTCGGAAGAATTGATTTGTACAGGTGGATTTGCAGGGATGTTCTTTTTTTAATCACAACATACTATATTCTCGTTGCTCCTTTGTTGTTTTACCGTTCGGGGTTTGCACCACACCGCGATTTCGACGTTTTTTTTGAGATTCTTGAATTTTTGGGTCACCATTGGTCATAGTGTGTCACCCCTCTTATATGTGACTGAACAATCTACCCTACCCCTCCTGTATCGCAATTTTGCTCTCGGAGAGGTGGGGTACATTGTTCACCCCACCCTTGGCATTTATTACCACCCCGTGACCGATCGTGTACCTTGGATACCCACCCCTTTTGGATCAAGACTGATCACATTAGCAGTATGAATTTCAATTTTTATATGATAGTCTTTAAGTAATTTGACATTACATCCCACGATCCCTTCATTATCTCCACCCCTACCCCTCTTTCAGAATGCACTTAACTCGGCCACCCCTCTCGTTTGAAGGCGTTGATGACCCCGACCCACAGCCCCCAATTAAGGGCTCGAGCGCCATGCTGGTTCGGCTATGCGGCCTCACGCTTATGGCTCTGCTCCTGGCAGTCATGCAGAGCTCTTCAGCGTTTCTCGTCCATCCTTCCACTTTGATCTCTTCTTCCCACACTTCTATACGCTTCTCTTCATTCAAAAATATGCACATTCACCGACCAGGTGTGTACGACCGCAAGTCTGTCCGAGGAGCCAGAATGGTTGAAGAGAGCGCTGATGGAGAAGCTGGGAGTCCCAAGGAAGGGAAAAGTGCTCTCGTGTTGACTTGGTTCTATGCAGCTCCAAAGGAGCTTGAATTGGTGAAGCGGATCTACAAGCGGAAGGGATATACCAACGTGGTGATCCAAGAGAGCCTGGTCAAAGAGATAGCTACCCCGCGAGGATGGTATCGTACGTATCAGCGCTTCCTCGGAGAGACCAACGAAGCAAAGGACTTGAGAGAGAAGCTAAGCCAGAACTTTGATATTGTCCACTGCATGTCTGGTGGTTTTCTGAACCTCGGCCTTGTGATCATGGGCATGGAAGCAGCGGGGGCTCCTTTCTCCTTCAAGTGCTTGGTTCTGGACAGCACGCCGATCATGCCTCAGCCCAAGGCCTTCGTCCGCTTTGCTCGTGCGTACATGCAAGATCATGGGCTGGAGCTCGTCAACAAAGTTCTTCCTGAACCTGTTCATACGGCTTTCCAGACGACAAGGTGGAGCTTGGGAGGCGCTTACGTGCGAGCCAAGCACAAGTGGCGCACTGACAAGAAGCTGCGCACCATCGGAAAGTTGCCTGAGGATACGGTCGAGGACTTTGAAGAGTGGACAAGGTGGGCCAGCCATACAGCGATGCTGAACAGGTATGACAACATGACGTCAGTTCATATCGCCACGGTGTTCAATACTCCGTCCACCGGTTTGAAGGAGTGCATCTTCATGTACAACCCCCATGATCCCTATCTCAACCCCGAGGATGTGGAGAGATGCATCCAAGACTGCAAGGGGTTCGGGATCCGGACCACAATTAAGCACACTGACAACAAGCATATCGAGACTCTCTTCAGAAAGCCGAATGTGATGTTTGATACTGTTGATGAGGCGCTCCAGAGATCGGCTGCAGTAACTTTGTGAGGGTTCTAAGAGCTATATTGGAACGTGTGTAAATACATTCTCTCTTTCATGATCTTCTGGTGAACATGCGTGAAAAGAGTGTACCAAACTCGTATGTAGAATACACTAACTTACAGACTTTGAAAGGAGCTCAACGCTCTGGGATTGTCCATCATTTCTCTTTGCGCTTCTTCCTGCATTCTCGACATCGAAATGGCAGGATGAGATTTCTTACCAAGAAGAACTCTTGCTCTCCCACTGTCAAAACAAAATTTTGGTGGCACTGCTTGCAACGGATAGTTTGATCCTGCAGGGTCTTTGAAGTCTCATCCGATATTATGAAACAAACAAACGAATCCTGAGGGGTCCCTTGCCTCTTCTGAATCTGCGCAGCGAATTAAACGTCAAGAAATTCGTACAGAGAGGGTCGAAAAAAAGGGATGCAAGTCCCTGTGTGCAATCATACCTGGCTGTTAGACCCAAAAAGATAGGCCTTGTAGCAGTAGAGGTTGCGTGTTGATTTCAAGCATCCTGCTTTTCCACTCTGCAAACATCGTAAGACGATTCTATCTCACTAACAAGGCTCCCATCATGCCTTCAAGAGCTGCATGAGCTTATCCTGGTGGCTGTTGATGCGATCCATCGGCGTTACTTCGACTACAGAGACTTTGCACTTCGAAGGCCTGACGTGAGAGATAATCAGGATAGGGCGGAATAGGGAAACATGGTACTTCACGCACCTGTTCTTGATCAGCTTCTTGCAGTGCTCAGCATCCGCAATCTCAAAGCAAACTCTCTGTTGAGTGGACGATTCAGATCCGTAGAGGAGACAATACCTTACCCTGGCCATGACTTGATCAAATCGGATGCTGGTCCACTTTTCAACTGGGCCTTGTAATTTCCTGCCTGAAACTGGTGATGACGTTCCTATCATCATGATCAATGTCACATTTGTTCAAATTTTCCTCTTTCCCAACCTGGATCTGGATGACTCCTTCCCAAGTGACCGGCTCAAACAACTCACTCTTGCTTCTCTTTAGAGTCTCATGGTTGGGCTTGAGGTCAGAGGCCCTCTCGTGTATACGAGCTTCTAGGTTTTCAAATGCGCCTTTTTTCGCCGCATCCCTCGAAGCTTCATTTGAACTTTTCGCCTCAAAGCTCAATCCCAGCTTGAATATCTTTAACGTCACGAAAGCCTGCCATTCTTCCATGTTCGTGCTGTTGATCACGATGTCGCATGTATAATCTCGTTCAGGCAAGTACCCTTTCTCCTTCAAGTCGATCCGTGTCTGCAAACTGAGAGAGTTCGTGTTAGGGACATCTCCCTCCCTCCTTCTGTTGATCTCGACAACTGTGTCTTGGCGGTCTGACTGGCTTGCTTGCAACTCACCCTCCTCCATCTCTTGGCTGCTCTCCTCTACACCACCTTCTAGGTCATCGTCTGCCTTAGACCCTAGCACGGAGCTCACGAGCTGACAGTCGACCGCCTCCTTGAACTTCTCGAGCTCGATGAACAGTTCAGTCAGTTTCCACAAGTTTTGGATCAGCATGGAGGTCTGATCCACAGAGAGGTGCTGAAACTTGAGAAGCTTCATCACGTCCCGAGTCTTGTCAATGCTGAGGTCCTTGTCATAATCGCACAGCATGCTCTGTATCTCCTTGAACTGATCCTCCAGCAAACCATCTATGTGCCTTTCCGTCTCATTGCAGAGACCCTCTAACTGAGTATCTCGATCCGAAGATTCGGCTGCTCCTTGATACTCAGTCGTTTGTTCTGTGGAATGTTGCTCCTTGTTATTGGCGTTCTCAGCTGTCTTATCACTGATCTCCGAATTCTTCAAGGGTGTTGTCTCAGGCAGTCTTGTCCTGACTTCATTTTCAAAGTTTGTCGATGATACTGAGGCTGTGAATACAATGTCCTTTGGTTTCTGCTCGTTTTCAAGATTTTCGTGCTGCCTTGATGCCCGCTCGTCTTTAGTTGTGGCATCCGTCGAGGATGATAAAATTTCATGAGTTAGTTTTGGTTTCTTCACTTCCTGTGAAGCAACTTCCTGCAAGTCTGGGACTACGACATCAGGTGACATTTCGAGCTTCACGCCAGTCTCTGCTTTCCTTTTCTTCGATTCCACTCCGGGGTTGGACTTCTTCACATCTTTCACCTTCCCTTCTCCCTTGGCTGCTTTGTCCTGGTGTTGACTCGGCAAGGAATTGGATTCGGATCTCCTGGCCTCTGACTGCTCACCGTCTTTCTTAGATCGCTTTTCATGTCTCGGTCTCTTTGGTCTGTTGAAAACAATGTCGACATCAGGTATGCTATCGAAGACATTGTTCATCAAGGGAATGTGCCTTTCACCCGTCGACCCTGCACCCGAGCCCGATCCTCCTGCTGTTGTCGCTGTTGCTCCTGAAGACGACGAGGAAGATGCTTTCCCGCGCCCACCTCCCCCTCCTCCCTGCCCCGCCTGCTTCGCCATGAAGAAAACCACCAAGAATCCACACCTGAGATGGGTGTATCATATTTGGGGGTAGGGGTACTTTGAATTTACATAGTACCCCTGCTTGCGATCGTGATAATAGGGGTGAAAATTGAACTTAGGTGGGAAGGGGTAGTGGGGTGATCAAGACTGTGGTGGGGGTCCAACCAGGGGTTTTCAACACGACGGTATGAGGGCCTCCGGTATCCGCCCACCCCTCCCCCGTGAGTACTTTACAGGTCAAACTTCGTGAAGATCGGGTGGAGGGAGGGGGTGGGGTCCTCATCCGCACAAACATGGCGCCGGTGGGTGCGAAAGAGATCATGCTGGCCGTCGCCATGGCTGCGACAATGTCGCTTGCTCTTGCTTCCCCACTTGAATCTCCCACTACCGGCCCATCCCATGCCATCTCCCAACCTCTCGTCTCCTCTCACGCCTCCTCGTCGCCTCGTATGCCTCTTGCCTTTGGTATGTCCGGCATGTCCCCATTGCTGCGAAAGGCTGGCAGTTCTATGCCCTCGGTTCGCCTACTTCGAGCTGCTCCTGTCGTCAGCAGGAGCTCGTTGACGATGGTCAGCGGGAGTGGAGGAGCTGTGCTGGAGAAGAAGCCAGAAGTCATCGTCGCTCCACAGGGTACTCCTGAGCAGACCCCCGGCAAGCCTTACCACGTCTTGTTGTTCAATGATGTGAGTTCTTTCTTGCTCTTATGTTTCGTTCACCATTGCTGTTGTGTGTCGATGTGATGGATACTGACGGTCTGATGATGCAGCCCGTCAACACCAAGGAGTATGTCTGTCAAGTGCTGTGCGAAGTGTTCGGGCATTCTAAGTCGAAGGCTTACAACATCATGCAGACAGCTCATTCGACTGGATTTGCTGTCTGCAACACAACAGACAAAGAGGAGGCAGATTTGCAGTGCGCAAAGTTAGGAGAGAAGCAGCTGATGTCTCGTGTTGTAGAGGCAGACTGACAACTTGATCCTAAGATGCCAGAGTGTGGTGATGTACAACAAAGTCATCTCAAAACTTCTTGAGCTTCGGTTAATCAGTTCATGCAGACTACATTCTCCAGCTCGCACATTTCCTCGAACATGGACCACCACCTAGGCAAGGAATTAAGAGGGAGAACAATCGACGAGTCGATACCCACAAGTCGTACAAGTACATGTTGCTCTGACCGCCGTACCAGGAGACATGTCGCATGCAGTCGTGGTCTCTTGAGCACATCCAGGGCTGATGGGAGGAGGGGGAGATCAGAGGCTGTAAGAACAAGAAGGACGCGCTGTACCTTGACTCCGAGGAAGTGAACGACTTTCACAGTGTCCATGTACCTCTGCAAGGAGTAGGTTGAGAGAAGCGGAACACATGGAAGGACGCACGAACCTCGACGTAGATCTGAAATCTTGTTGGCGACATAACATTGTGCTTCGCGAAGTTGTAGGTATAGTGCAAGACGTGGTACCTGTAACCATCACTTGTCATGAGGAGGGCGGGGAGCTTGCTATCCCTGACCTGTCAAGGTAGTAATGATTGACCAGCGTCTGTTCGCTTTCCTCACTGCTGACTTCATCGATGAGAGTAGCCATCGCATGGAAAGTGTCGTTGTGAGGTCTGATGAACATAAACCCTGTACCAAGACAATGAGCATTCAAAGGATAGAAGAAAGCTTTACCTGTGTTGAGATAACAGGGATGAAATGCATCGGGAACAGCGGCGAAGTTTGCTTTCAAGGCAAACAGGTGGTCCAGTGGCTGTGATGAAGTGATTGCCAAAATTGAGACAAGATCCCCAACAGAACTCAATTCATCGCACCTGAAGGACTATCATATCGCAATCCAAGAACACAAGTCGCTCAAATGGAAGCTGCCACAGCCTCAACTTGGTGTAGTTGTCATTCCATCGCTCCTGCCAACATCCCTTGTTGATAACAACAACGTTTGCTCATTTTTCTGTTTCAAATCACCTCACTCATGTCCTGGATGTTCTGTTTTTTCATTCTCCCCACTGTGATCAAAATCATCCCTGCTTTCTGTGGGTTTGGTGTCAGAACTCCTCAACAAAAGTACTGTTGACAATGATTACCTCTAATGAATTCAATGTGTGTGGCGAGATGCCGTCTTTTGTTACCATCCCAACAAAATCAATCTTGCTCCCTGTCCGGCGAATGCTATACAAGAGAGTCAAGGCTCCTGGAAATCATTCAGTGGTCGTTTGCCCTCGATTCTGCTGATAGCTCATTGCGCCAAATATGCATACCTGACAAGTACGAATCCGAAGAGATCATGGTAACAAAAGCACATCGACCCATTAGGCCATTCTGTGGCCTGCCAGAGCAGAGCTCATCGATTCCTTTCTTGTCTCCCCCTTCCACCTGTTGTCCATCTCAGGTCCGAGAGACGGGAAGCATTCGTTACCAGTGGATCCCCTCTCGCAACTTCAGGTATGTGATGATGACGCTCCCTGGAGGAATGAAGATAGTGTCCATTGTAAGGCGAGGGCTTGGGGTTGATCGGACCTTCAGCGAACCTGTTTTCAAATCTCACTGGACCATCCATGGTCGCTCAAGTACTCTCACACTGTATACATCTGCCGGACCTCAACAGTGAAGGGACTCCCCTGAACGTGTTCTGATCGGCTCCCGTCCTTGCCGTACTTGATCTCCACCTGAGATCTTCGTCAGCGTGCACTTCTAGATACAAGGTGGAATGTTCAGTTCACCTTCACGGTTCCTGCATACTCTGAGGTCCACGAGCACACGTACCTACCCTCCTCATCCCGAATCATCCTGTGGTCTAGAGGAGCGGGTATCACAACAACCTGGCAAAACTCGTCATACACGCTCGTCCCTTGTCCTTTTCGCCTCACCGTCAGTTCCAACGGTCTCTTGCACTTTTCCGGGTGGATCAGCAACCCCCGCCTGTTGCGTGGGAAGATGGTGAACTCATTGCTGATGCCAGCAGAAGCTCGATCCAATCCTGAACGTGCCGATCAGGGGCGAACGAGAGGGTCGGGAGACAGCAGACACCAGAGACTGTCGTCTTGGACAGGTCCATGGCGCAAGGATCCTCCTCCCTCGTGCTCTGCTGCCTGACCCCATCGCCCCTTCCTCTCTTCGGATCGTCTGCAGGTTTGAGCGGATCTTCTCCTCCATGCGAGATCAGCTCAAACTTGGAGCTTGACTCTATCCCCACCATGTTCTCATCCAGGTCGTACAGCCTCAAGGTGATAGCATGGACCCCCGCCTCTATCTCCCTCAGGTTCCCAACCTCGAAGTACGCCTGCAAGGATGAAGCAGCATCACTCGAACAGCACGGAGGAGCGCACTGGGGTCTATCTGACGCACCTCGGACTCCTCCATCACGGCGATCATCTCGTCATCCAGGAAGATCTTGCCGTGACCTTCGGCTGGGATGCTGAAGTCGTGTACTCTGACATGCAGAGCGAACCCCTTGGGATCGGACTTGTCGATGCGGGCCCCATCCTTCGGTGAGAGGATCTCGATCTTCCCACTCATCGCTGGGGTCCAGCAGCAAAGGACGATGAGGCATGCTGTTCCTAACCACCTCATACTGTGACAAATGTGCGAATCAAGTCCACATTCCAGCCATTCGCTCTTTCCTATTCCTGTTCCTGTTCCTTTTGAGGACGGCTTTATCGGCTATGTTGTCCGCGACTTTCATCACTCTTGCTCCTCCTCCTCCTCCTCCTCTTTGTCTCTTCCTCCCGAGCGATCTCCGACCGTTCCTGGCATGTCGGGGATTCTACGTTTCAGATCTGTATCGTGCAGTTGACGCCGAGCCTTGGCACTGAGCGGCCGGGCCGCCCGGCGGCCGGGCCCGGCTCTGTCCGTCTGAGTCGCTGGCCCTCCCGGAGGGCGTCGGTGGCTTGACGAAGTATGAGTTTTTTAGACTTGTACCATGTTGCTTTGGCAGGGTAGGCGACTGTATGCTAGGATGTCATAGTGATGACTCGGAACTTCCGTTACTGTTAATGACTGTGAATATCTATCCAGCCTGAGGCCGGGCACTGTCGAGTGGACCCTGCCAGACCCTGTCCGAACTAGCCACTGGCCTCAAGTTCACGGTTCACCGAGTCTACGGTAGTACGGTACTACCGGGCCCCGGGGTCGCCACTGATTGAGGCTCCAAGTCCGATCCCGGACAGTGGACGGTCGCAAGTCACGATGAATCAAGAGGAACAACTCCCCTAGCTTGTAATGTTTCTTGTCAAACTTTGAACGATTCTACTGTATCAAGAGAAAGGATCGTACTCCTCGACATAGCGTACGCCCTTGCCGGGCCCGCTGGCTGCGTTGGGCTGGTGCCTTGAACGGTGGTGTTCCAGCAACCTGTCAAGTCCTGCGAGACGTCAACGAGATCCTCCCATCAGATGCAGGCGAGGAGAAACCTGACTTCCTGCTGCTTGATGGTTGGTAGTCGGGGTCTGACGCAACAGAGAGGCATCAGTGAAGGTAGGGAGCAAGCAAGGGACGAATCGTACTCCTGAGCTCCCACAGGGACTCGAGCCTTGCGTCTTCTGCTTCTATCTCCCTGCGATGGCGTCAAGGAGAAGGGAGAGAGATTCTTCCAGGCATGATGACCTTGCTTTTCTCAGAGTTTCCGCTCGCTCCCTCTCCCCCCTCTCGATCTCTTCATCAGTGGGAGGGAATTTCTTGATGTGCCTTTTCGGGAGGCAGTCAAACCTGAAGGCTCCTCTTCGGCAAACAAGAGTTCTACCTCAACCAGAGTCTCCACTCAGGTATCACCTCGTGGAATTCGACGTCCTCCTGCACTTGCATGTCAGCCCTTGGTCATTCAAAACAACCTGAGCAACACAGCACCAGTGGTTTCGCATATCGAATCTCTCGCCGAGGGTTAAACTTCCCATGGGGGTTCCATATCTCCCAGTACGTGTTGCCGTCCCTGTCCTGCGCACAAAATTTGAGCTGAGTACGGGACGAGCATTGGGCCTGAGCAAAGAAATGGTGTGTCTAGGATCACCTTGCCCACCATCTTCTTGCCCATCATTCTATCAAACATACCAACGAAACCCGTCCTAGTGCATCTCCTCTGGATCTTCATGTCGTTGATCCACAGAGATCGGATCGACTTCAGTTGTGTTGCGATGCTGTACGCCGACCGAACGGGCAAATTGTTCATGGCCGGCACTCCGCCTGTCACCGCCAAGATCAAGTCAGAAAAGTCCATGGTGGCGACATTGCCAGCAGCAAAGGACGCACCTGACACGCTTCTCCTCTCAGTCCCCTTGCTCTCTCGCTCTCCTCTCCTCTCTCCTCTTCCTCCTCTGCTCCTGTCGCTGTTCAGCAACCCCTGCAAACCATGGAAGGAGTATGCATTTGAGAGTAGTTGCTGATTGGAGAAAATAAGCCAATTTGAGTTGAGTTGGCCCTCTCTGGGTTAAATTAAACAATATAATGTTAAATTTAATCACTTTATTGTAAATTAGAGAACTCTTCAGCTAAATTAAAACCTTTCAAGATAAAACAACAAACTTTTCACCTGAAAGCACACCGGCCGTTGGACATGGCAGCAAGGGAGAAAAGCGCCTCGCTGATGGCGGCTGCGATGCAGGTGAAGACACAACTATGAGATGAGAGAAGCGAGATGAAAGCAAGTAGAACACATATGTAGTTGAAACAGAAGATGTGTACCTCCAGTAGCATGGAAAAGGGAATATTTCGCCAAGATTTCCTCTTGGGTATGATGTCGACACCGTGCAAGAGCGATCCGGGATGTAAGAGTGTAAGGATGAAGGATTGAGGAAGGGCGTCTCACAGATCAGCTTGTACTTGCCATGAGCGTTCACTGAGAGCCTGCTGCTGCAGGATCACTTTATGAGAAGCTTGAAAGTAGACATCAGCGCGTCAGGGAGGATTCGGACTAGGAAGCCCAAAGTCAAGAAGCAGGAGGAGTTGTGCTCGCTCATGGACGACAAGCAAGACAAAGCAGACAAGGAAGACCTGTCTCTTGCACAGAAGCTGGGCCTTGTCCCTGCTCCGCCCTCCAAGTTGACCAGGGAAGAATGGATGTCGGTAGCTGAGAGATCCAGGCAAGGAGCCGGAGTCTTACTGTCGGGTCGCGAGCTGAAGCTTTTGTTGCGCAGAGGCCGTCAGGACAGCTGCAATGATTGTGCGATCTGCAGAGAGTCTTTCCGTGCGGACGCTCAGGTGTACCAGGCTCGTGGAGGTTTTTGAATGCTGAACCAGAGTCAGGTTATCCTGTCCTGTAGCCACGTATTCCATCAAGATTGTCTCGCATCCTTCGAGCGGTGAGCACGCAGATGCTGCTGTTGTCGTAGGCAGCTCCTGTCTGACTGGAGCTCAGGTTCGCAGGGGCGAAGTCCTGCCCGCTGTGCAGGATGAAGAACTACGAGAAGCGCTTGTTTGAAGACGGGAGGAGGTGGGAATGAGTCAGGACACTTGGCTCAGCTCCTCTTGACCTGTCCACCAGGAACTGGGAGAAGGTCTGTGCCGTCAAGCTGCAAGCAGTGTGGAGAGGGCATGCGGGAAGGAAGATCTTCAACCATCTTGTTGAAACTGTGAGCACCTTGATTGTTGTAGTTGTTGCGCCGCCGCCGCCGCCGCTACTGCGGTTATAAGTGACGCTGGCGAGATAGGTTGTGCCAACGGATCCCGAGAAGAGGAGGCAGTTCTACTACAAGAGGATGGAGAAGCTTTCAGCCAGGCTCTTCAGCGCACTCGATGCCGAGCGTGAGAGTCAGAGCTGGCAGCTGTCGGTGCTGACAGCATGGCAGGGGATCAAGACCTTGACGACCTGTTCAGAGAGTCTGAGCTAGCCCTACAGTTCAGTCGAGGCGTCTTCGGACATTCAGCCGGAGCTGGTCGAACGCCTCTACCACTTGCTTCACCTCCCTGTCCTCCCCCCTGTTGTCCTCCCCCCGTCCACCTGTCCTCCCATTTCTGATTCCCCTCTTTGCTTCTACCATTTTGCAGTCTCCTTTCCTCAGTCAAATCGCTTCCTCTCCTCTTCCTCCTCTCCTTCTCTTCCTCCCCTCCCTCCTTTGTCACTGTCTACTCTGCTTGCGCTGCCTTCTCACAAGCATGTTTGCTTCACAGGATGCGGAGGAGTTGGAGAACGGCGACGAGGAGAGGAGGTCGACTGGGAAATGGTGGAGGCGAGAGCTCTCCAGAGAGACGAGCAGGACTGTGCGATCTGCCTCTGCGACCTGGGGGGGCCGTCGAAGAAGAAAGTCTTGACTTCTTGCTCGCACCTCTTCCATGCCAACTGCCTCGAGTCGTTCGAGCGGTTCTCGTCGGCCATGGCGGAGGTCGACAGCCTCTGCCCCTGCTGCAGGTCCAAGTACGAGAAAAGATTTTACTGACACCAAGAAATTTACATCCCATTCACATGACAGCATCTCAATTGCCCTCCCCCCCTGCTCTCCCCTTGCCCTCGTCTTAGCTTGACGCCGCCCCCATCTCCGCCCATATCCTCTTCTTCCCCGTTAGCAGCGAGTTCGCCTGCGGCCCGGCCATGATGTAGCTGAAGACAAGGTCAGCGGCGCTCCCAGCAGCCTGCCCAGCATGAGGGACCTGTTGGTTCCGTAGGCAGTCGACCGGAACTTCTGCTTGAGGACGCCTTCCAGGAGCATGTGAACGAGGATGCGCTCGTTGTGGATCCTCTTGAAGTTAGGAGGACACCTGACACTTTGCCCTTGGGAGAGTAGAAGATTCAGCAGGGAGCAGCGAGGAGATGAGATGAGAGCAAGGAGAGGCAGCAGAGCAGGGAGCAGCGAGGAGAGGAGAGGAGATCAGCGGGTACCTGGAGAGGTCTTGGTCCCTGCCCGCCAAACCTCCACGATCTTGTTGAGCGTCATGGATTTCTTCTCCTGGGAGATGATTGACAGCACGGTCTTGGCATGCTCTGTGATGTCAGTTGCCTGCTGACTCCCCTGACCCTGCCGGGAGCAGCAGTCGCACTCTTCGGCTCCAGAAGGGCATCGCTCAAGGCCCGCGGCCTGATCACCGAAGTGGGAGAGGATGATCTGCCTCCTGCAGGAGCTTGCTTCACAGTACCTTACGATCTCGTAGATGCCTGCGGGTTCGGATCAGGCAGGGGGGGTAGAAGCAGCATGGAGACCTTTCAGGCCGTTCCTGTCGTGGAATGACATGGTGGAAAGCCTCGTCAGGTCCCCGGGGCGGTAGTAGAGGATACAGACAGCCCTGTCACCGTCCCTCCCTCCCCTCCCGCTCTCCTGGTAGTAGGCGGCCAGGGACTTGGACATGGAATGATGGATGACGAAACGGACTGGCAGGCAGTCAGCGATCGCTTCAGTCCTGTCCTTCCTCCTCACCGTCGGGCTTGTTGATCCCCATCCCGAACGCGATGGTCGCTACCATGATGTGTACGATCCCCTTGGTCCACTGCTGGTGCACCCTGGTCCTGTACTCGTCGCTGAGATCCGCATGGTAGGGCAGCGCCCGCAGGCCGTTCTCTGCCAGGAACTTAGCCACGTCCTCTGCATCCCGACGAGAAAGGCAGTAGACGATGCCGCTCTTCCCAGAGAAGTTCTGCTTGATAACTGACAGTATCATTGTCAAGACGTCCTTGGACGCGTACGGCTTCTCCTCGACCCTGTAGACAAGATTCGGACGATTCACGCTGCCCCTGAAGACGACGCTCCTTTCTATCCCAAGCATCTTGGAGACGTCCTCCTGCACCTTGTCTGTCGCTGTCGCTGTCAACGCCATGATGGGCACGCGAGGGAACTGCCTCCTGAGGATCCCAAGCTTGAGGTAGTCGGGGCGGAAGTCATGGCCCCACTGGGAGCAGCAGTGAGCCTCGTCGATCACAAAGGAGGAGATCCTCTGCATGTCGTGCGCCTGCTCGAGCTTGGACAGAAACAGCCTGCTCTTGGAGATCCGCTCGGGCGTGACGTAGAGGAGCTTCAGTTTACATGATCCCTTGGTCATCGCACCCAGCACCTCCCTCATCTCCTCCTTGCTCGTTGCCGAGCTCAGCATCATGCACTCGACCCCCAGCGCTCGAAGCTGCTCCACTTGGTCCTGCATGAGAGACAGGAGCGGGGAGATCACCACCATGATGCCTGGGATGATGATGGCAGGGAGCTGGTAGCAGAGGCTCTTCCCTCCCCCCGTCGGGAGCAGCACGAACACATCCTTCTTGGCGAGGAACGCGTTGATGATCTCGAGCTGGAGAGGACGGAAGGAAGAGAGGTTGAAGATGTCTTTCAAAACCTGGCAACGTTCCCATCACATGCTGAACATCTTCGAGTTGGCCAACTCCAACTCACCTGGTTGACCTGGAGGGTCCATGGGAACTGCCTCCTCCACTCTTGGAGCGACGGGACCGCCGCGTTTCCGAACGTCCGGTCGGAGAACGATTCTACACAGCCTCTCACCTTGCATGCCCAACCAACACCCGCCTTACCCTCTGGCTCCTCGTCCACGTTGGAACTTCTCGCCCTCCGCTCGGCAAGAGGCGATGGCTGCGACGACATCCCGGAATTTCTGAGCTGTTCTAGCGCCCGCAGTTCCTCAGCGGCTCTCAGCCGCTTCACCTGAGGCTCCGACGTTTCATACGGCACCCCACTTGCGCAGACCAGGCTCGCAGCGCCCTCGTTAGGGGCAGTTGACATGGCAGCAGCCCTTGCCCTAGCAGGCGCCCTGGGTGAAGCTGATGTCTCGCCCGCAGCCCTGAAGTCTTCACATCAGGCGCGCGCACATCGTAAGTATCACAACATTTCCGTCATCTTCAACCACGAGGAGTTTGTGCCCTTCAGGCCAATCGCTTCCTCCGGCTCTCCGACTAGGTTGTGGCTCAATGGCACCTCGAACGGCTCGCCAGCCATCTCCTTGTAAGTCTTCAGCAGCGAGTCCTCCAGAGTCCGTTGAGCCTAAAGAGATCTCCATCACACGCTGCATCCCTCCTCCTCCTCCTCCTCCTCCTCCTCCTCCTCCTCCTCCTCCTCCTCCTCCTCCTCACCTTCAAGCTCGCCTCTAGCCACATCCTCTGCTGCACCACCGACAGTATCTGACTGCGCATCCCCTCCAGCGCCTTCGCCATCGCGTTCGATGCGGGAGGATCTTGACAGGCTCTCCTGTCGCCGCCCTCCGCAACTTCTGGCTCCTTCCTCGCCCCGTTCCTCGGCTTCCCTGGTTTCTTCGGAGAAGCTTTCAGCTCCAGCAACCTTGCAGGAGCTCAGGGAGTAGGGTGAGATGCAAGGCACAAGCAGTACCTCTCGATGATCCCATCCTTGTCTGCTAGCTCCTCTTGTCCTTAACGACCACGTGTAAGGGGAACATGGCGATCAGCTGCACTAGCTACCTAGAGTTGTGTTTGATCTCAGCCTCAGGATAGCGACCAGGGTCTTTATGCTCAGTCGCTTCAGTCGGGATCGCGGAAGGGAGGAGTTGGCGAGCTTCAGCAAGGGATCGTCGGGCTGCTCGCTCCTGTCCCGCCTCACGCATGCTCCTGCTCCCTCCCCTCCGCTCGCTTGCTGCATGGCCGACGGCTGTGGCATGTTCCCGTCCGCACATCCTCCTCGGATCCTCAATGGAACCGAACAGGCGGGAGAGCAGGTCATGGTTGGGCAGGAGCACAGCATCCTAACATCGAGACTGAGGAGGAGGAGGAGGAGGAGAAGGAGGGACATGCGCTAGTCCTGCGCATGCTCACCCTACCGCACTCGTACCATTGCGCCCCAAAACCGCAGGCCCTTCTTCCCTGCCCGCCCCGTTTCCCCCCGATTCCACTCCTTGCAAAATATCCCCTTCCCTTCCCTTCCATCCCCTCCCCCATCCGCCCCAGCATCCGCCCCCAATCTTCGCCTGCGCCCGCTGCCCCACTCCTCCTCCCGCCCTTCCCTGCAGGAAAAGCTCGAGGGGTACCGCCTCTTCTCTTGCAGCAGGGCAGCATGCAGGGGTTGTGGGCCGATGAGGCGGATGGCATGGAGGAGGAGGATGACATGGACGAGTTTCTCGACTCCTGTGATGACTCTGGGGAGGAGGAGGAGGAGGGAGGTGGGGAAGTCCTGCCATCGTTGTTGCAATGGGCTCAGAGCAACCAAGAGCATCACCTACTGGAGCGCAACGAGGGAGCGGCAGGAGCACAGGGGGGAAGCAGTGAAGGCAGGGAGAGGCTGAGGAAAGAGACGCTGGAGAAGAACAGAGCGCTGCATGGCACCATCCTCGACATGCTGAAAGACATCGAAAAGATGAAGGAGAGGAACCGAGACAAGTGGAAGGACATGCAGGCTCAGCGAGAGGACCTCATGAGGATCATCGACGGCAGGAAGGTAGAGAAGTTCAGGAGGGGTCGGTGGCGAGAGGGCCGGCATGAGTTGGCGGCGAGGAAGGATGACAGCGAGTCCTTCTTTGGGATCAACCTTCTAGATCGTCACCCTGACAAAGCCATCACCCCGGTTGAACACAGCGTCGCAGGGTGGCGACTGTCTGAACGAAGAGTGCTGGTCAATGAGGTTGCGAACTGCTGCACGAAGATGCTGTTCTTGCAAGGACAGGGGGACCAGCTGCTATCAGCGAGGAAGCATGAAGTTCTCTTGTCTGAACCGTGCAGGAAAGTGCTCCAAGATCCCAAGTTGTGGGAAGAGGTAGGGAAGATCATGTGGAGGAAGCTCAAACGGGGGAGTGAGGAAAGTTTTGTACAATTTACGAATGTCGATGATCCGAAGATAACAAGGAAGGAGTGGAGCAAGGAGCAGGAGAAGCTCCTTGTTTCCTCAGTAAAATCTGGGCTGTCATGGGCCGAGATAGGACGAAAGATGGAGGAGAAGCTTCAAGTCTATCGACCTCCTGTCGATCTCTTCACCTACTATCAACGGGTGCACAATGGGAACCTCGTGAGGACGGGAAACTGGACGAAAGAAGAAGACGAAGTTCTCGTGATGGTATTGGACTTTGGCTCCCCCCATTGTGACTTGCCTTGAGGCTTCCCGCAGGCCATGAAAACCATTGCGGAGAATGATTGGGTAGGAGTTGCAAGATACATCCAGGTGACTAGGGAGGAAGGTAGTCTTTCCTCGTTCACCTCCAACCCGATGAGCAGGAGCGAGGATGCAACAGGAACGAACAGCAGTGCCTGCAGCGGTGGAAGCGGATCAACCCCGACCTGAAGAAAGGTCCCTGGTCCCCAGGTTGCATCGGATCCGACGAGCGCCGCCTGCTCCTGACTTACAAGCAGAGGAAGACGAAGTTCTGCAGCAAGCAGTTAAGTCTCTTGCGCCCTGGGCGTCCTCCAGGGACGAGGACGGGGAACTTCGCGACCCTCGAGAGCTCTCCAAGAGCATGCCGTGGATCGAAATCGCCAAGTTGGTTCCAGGGAGGTGAAGTCGAGAGGAGGATCCCAGGTGGAGGGCTGATGGAGATCGGTGAGAGCAGGAGGGCTGACCAGGTCAGGGATCACTGGATCCAGAAGCATCCTTATCGTCGTCAGGTCTGTCTGTCTGCCCCTCCTATCTCATCGGTTCATTCCCGTGACAGCAAGCTCGCCCGTGGAAGGCAGAGGAGCATGCAATGGTGTGTTGACTGTACCATGTGTGCCTCGGACGGCATGGTGACTTGAGTCTGATCAGCTCGAAGACTTGGTCAAGGAGTATGGAGTTGGAAGGTCTGTCCTTCATGCTCTGCTTGTCTCGCTGGCTGATACCTGTTCTCAGATGGGCACAGATAGCCACTGTAGTGATTGTCAAGGGGGGCAGGTCTAGTTTCTGATGTTGGAATCGTTTTGCAGTCTTTTCCGGGCAGGACTCCGCGGCAGTGCAGATTACATTGGGAGGTGAGGGAGGATATGAACAATATGCCGTGTTTATGACCTTCATTGCCAGCGAACTCATAAAGACGAAGTGCACGAGGACAGGGTTGAAAAGATTATCAAAGGTTGTTGAAAGATCTTTGTCTGTCGATCAGTTTGGGCTCATGCTTCCTCCTTCAATAGAGAGAATTCTTCCAAAGGCAGGAGCCTGTCTTGGTAGCCGCTATCACAATCGTCCTCAAAGGTACAGCAGAGCTATCGGGGCTGTTTGCTTTGTGTTGAATCAATGGAGTTGACTTCTGCTTCACGCCAGTTTGATTAAGGTTGAAGATCTCGAAATCCCTGAGGTCTTTGCACCTGTTGATGACGAGTCCTTTTGTCTGATCTTGTTGTAGGAACAACTTGAAGAGATGAAACAAGAGATTCGCAATGGTCTGCAAGCCAAACAGCCCAACAAGCGGTCGAACATCTTTGCCAACAGTTTGGAATGTTTTGACACTCAAAGTTCTCAGGAAGACAAAGAAGGAGCAGGCTGAGAGTTCTTCTTTGCGAGATCAGATTCAACCATAAATGCCAATTCCCCGACCCAGATATGGTCGCTTCCGAAGTTCCCGCATTGGAGTGAAGATTTGACTTTTGGTAGAAGACACAATCGTATGTAAGTAGACAGGGACATTCGAATTCCTCCCTGGTCGTGTATTATTCTAGTTGTGTATTGAATGAATGGTTCATCCCTGTGCTGACCAGAACTGTTATATTCTTCATCCACAGAGAGATTCCCACCATGTCTCATCGCCTTTATTAGTACTCGCCAAGTTGTCAGGGCCATCAAGAGACTCGCTTCAGGACCGTTGAGAGATGCTGCGTCATCGGATGTCCTGACGCCTCCATGCTGGTCAAGATGACCAACTGGTCATTCGCAGCATCATACTTGAGCGACCTGTGAATTGCCTTGACCTTCTCAGCATTCGCCACCACAGTGCTCTCCAGCAGCAAAGTTTTGCCGTCGTCCTTCACGCTTCCCTTCTGTACTTCAGCAATCCCGGTGGACTGGGCGATGTTCGCTTCGATCTGGCCATCGTCTCCTGTCACCCTGTAGAACCCGCACTCCGCGTGCATTTTCTTGGTCCCGTCCCGACTGATCGTTTTCTGATCGTAAGCGATGACGGGCTTGGCAGAGTTGGGAGCGCTGAATGTCAACATCTCGGTGTAGAGGAAGTGGAGGGGGTCTTTATCTTTCGATCCAGGATACCCTCCCTCCCCATCCCCTTTCCATGACCCAAGGATCCACTTGAGCGGAGTCAGCTTAGGATTCAATGAGTTGTCGGCCATAGTGGAGAATCTCGAAGACCTCTGATAGCAACGTAGAATGCTGCAGACCTGTCGGGGCAGAGCTGTCAGGAGTTGAGTATCAAAAGTTTTCGTTATCGAGTCCAAGATCACGGTGAAGACGTTGAAGAGACGATCTCAATCAAAACAGAGTCGTGTGAGGAAACACTACAATTCTGCATGCCGCAGGAAGGGGAGGGAGACAAGTGGATTATGCAGGTTCAAATGCAGTCGAAACAGGGAAACGAAAAAGGTTGCATGTCATAAAGTAGAACAAGAAGGACGCGGCAGGAGCGGAAACTAGGGGAATTGGGGAATAGAGGGAAGGCTATGGGATCAAGAGCAGCGATAGCAGGCTGGAGGCAAGAGGAGAGAGCAGAAGGAAGAATAGGAGGATGATAAGGGGGAAGGAGGAGGAGGATGGTGATAAGGGGGAAGGAGGAGGAGGAGGAGGAGGATGTGAGGGGGGTGCGGGCACGCGATGCTTCGAGGTCCTGAGCATGCTGACGGTCAGCATTGCGGGCGTAAGGGGAAGTTCTGCAGAAGGAACAAATCTTCAATCAGTAGTTAGTCACGGTTTACTCAAAGTCACAGTCACTGGAGTCCTAGGCCCCCGGGCCCATGATTGTCAGGCGCCGGGTCTGGAGCCACCCGGATGACTTTTGCACGCCGAAACTTCACCGGGCCGGTTACCAAACTTGTGACTCTGGGGTGGCGGTACTGCTTTTACTCAAAGTTAATTCAAGTATGTAGGGTCATCTTGACTTTTCGTATTACGGGAATTGTCTGTTCAATAATTTAAATATTTGAATGGAGTTTGATATAAGTTTCAAAATCTTTCTTGGGGAGCGGGAGGGGTCACTGTATCGTGCGGAAATGCCGGGAATCGGTGGGGTCACAGGGGGGAAGGGGTCATCATAACGGGTGCTATTTTGCGGAAATGTAGGGGTGGTAAACCTCGGACTCGGGACGATGAGTAGCAAATTTCTTTTTCGGCCGGGTACATGTCGGAGATTTCATGGGGTAGGGGTCGGTACCGTGTTGGTGCTGAGCTGGCCTCTTCTGGTCAGGTACAGGGGTATCTTTCGCTGAAAGTAAAACAAGATCGGTAGGGGTCAGAAGGGGTGGGGGTGGGGGTGGGGGTGGGGTGGGGTGGGGTGACCCAAAGGTGCGGCCTTGCCTCTTGTCAATCCATGCGGGAGTGAGAGGAATAGTGCGGAAGTAAGTAGACGAACAGGAAGGAAGTGAAGAGAGAGGGAGGAGGAGAAAGACTGTACGAAGAATCGGGGAGGAGAGAGACAGAAGTTTCTTCGTCGTAGCAACTTAAAGTGCTGGTCCTGTATTGTCCATCTAAAGAGAACTACAACAGTTCAAGGTATGTGGAATTGTCTTTGGCCGAAGTTCCACAGTCGCAAGGCGAAGTCAGGCAAGGACGACTCATCCATCCATGAGAGCGGAAAGGACAAAGACGCTGCCTTGTTGGTTTTACCAGATTCCATGGGAGGTACGCGATTTATGCTCCCCGACAAGATTTGGGATCCAATCGTCACTCCAGACACGAAAGACAACGAGCAAGTAGTTCATTCTTACTGGACATCTGAGAACTGTCAACATGATGCTCATCTATTACAAATACAAGATACATCGTTAACTTCGGATGGTGACACAGAAACGTGTTCGAAACAATCAAGCGATTCGAGCGACAGATCCCGGATGGTTTCAATCAGACCGCATGTCGCATCTCTTCATTCTCCAGCGTGTCAACCAGAACCTACCATCTCTGATCTCGAGCCAACAACTCGACCTATCGTTACCTGCAATGACGAGTCGGATGACCGGGGCGAGGGTCCTCCGGTGAGGATGGAGCAGACTGCGAAGGATATGTGGCCAGGTCAAGCCTGGAATGATCCTACCTTTGTCGAGCGAAGCATATTCAGCCTACAAGAAGATGTTCATCATGCAGAGAAACCTCACAACCGTGATCTCCCGCGAGAAAAGCAATCAGAGATCGGATGGTCCGAACCTGACATAAACTTCCACGATCTTAATGAGCGAGAGCTCATTGCAAGCTTGTTTCTGGCTGAAGAATGCGTTTCACATGTAACGCACAAGAAGGAATACTGCGAGAGCAAGAGGAATGATACTGCGAACATCGATCTTGTCGATTTGGATGAACACTCGATTTATGACGAGATGTCATGGCCGATCGCAGACGGGAGGGACCTGAGTCATGTTCAGTTGGAAGACGGTCTGACCGAAACATGCGAGCTCCTTTCGGATTCCGACATCGACGATCTTGATGTGCATCTCCACAAGATGATTGATGAGCATCTTTGTGACTCATGGCGGGCCCGAGGGGATGGAACTGCTTACCCGCTGTCAACAGCAGTATACGTGTGACAATAGTTTCTAATCTAGAAGCTTGTAAAACAACAAGAATATCTCTGTCGATTTGTCTGACATATCTGGAGTGCTGTGGAAAGAATCTTATTGATCCTCTCCCACGCATCTCCTTTCGACTCTGCTATACCCTCACTCTTTGAATCATTGATGTCTAGATTTCATTGCATCAAGAATTTACAATTCGAACGTTGTTAAAGTCTGTGCCACATACCTTGTCGAAGAAATCATGGACACTCTGTTTTGTCGTATACAACCCACAATTATTCCCCTCATTGTCTCGCTCGAAGAAGAACTCTCGTCCACAGATCTCCTCTAAGTACTCCAACACCTCAAGGTGCCCGCCGGAACTCGCAACATGCGCACAAGTCAGCCCCCGCTGGCTTTTCCTCTTTATGAATTCCAGTCCGCACGTCTCATATAGATACCTCACCAGTACCAAATATCCCCTTGAGCAAGCAGTCACTGCACAGGTCTCATCTTCATTATTGACGTTCAGGAGTGCCTCTTGACCAAAGGTATCCTTGAAGTACTTGATCACATCTAGATGGCCATAATAGCATGCAAGGTTTGTACAAGCCATCCCTTCAAAGTCCTTCCTGAGCAGGAGCTCTTGTCCACATGTGTCGTTCAAGTACCTCAGAACCTCCACCTGCCCCGTTTTACTTGCCTCGTGCGCACATGTCTGCTTCTGCTTATCCTCCACTAGTAGGAGCCCTTCCTCGCACACGCCCTGCAGGTGCTGTAGCATCTCTAGTTTGCCCCCTGAGCTCGCGAAGTGGGCGCAGGTCCTGCCGAGCTTATCGCTTATCATGCAATTAGCTCCTGCCTCGACCAGGTCCTTGACGCATCCTTGCATGCCCAGCATGGCCCCTAGGTGCAATGCTGTCCGTCCATCAGCCAACCGGGCGTTCATGTCGCATCCTGCGGCCCTGAGCAGAGGTATCAACTCTCTCTGCCCTCGGAGGACCGCCAGGACTATGGGAGGCTCGCCCTTGCTTTCTCCACTGGTGATCGAGGTGCCGTGCATCTCACACAAGCGCTTGCTAAGCTCCAGTCGCTCCTCCTCTTTCAAGGCTTTGCTGCTCAGTCTGTTGTGCAAGTCCGCCATCGTCATCCAGTACACAGACTTGATTTTCTCTGAGATGAGGGGTGCACACTGGCAGTCCCCCGTGGTATCTTCGATCCAGTACCTCATCTTATTCATTGCCATCTCCTTTGTCATCATGGCCTCCTCTATCGCCTCCTTGTAGTTGTTCTCCTCGTTGTACCATTCAGCCGTCTGGGCCATCCATTTCTTGAGGATCTTTCTACATTCAGAGGTGATTGACTTCTTGAGGCTCTTGTAAGTCATGTACATGAAATCATATGGCGCGCTCTTCAAGCGCTCGTTGATCCTTGGCTTCCACTCCCTCAGATCTCTTTCGACCTCTTTGGCTATGTTCGCCATCAGCGCTGTGTAAAGTTGCTTTCGCTTCCCGACAAAGTCTTCGATCTTCATGCTGGTCATGTTCGAGTTGATCTTCAGCTCCAGCACCGTCACTCGCCTCCCCTGCACCTCTGTGTAGCGCGGCTGCTTGATCACCTCCAGGTATGACAGCGGAGGATACAAGATCTCCTTCTCTCCGGGATACTGAGACAGGAACTCCAAGCTTGCGCCACGGTCAATGGCCCCACAGTTGATCTCGAAGATGATAGGATCCCCATCCCCAGCATACTGGATAGCCGTCATGATGTCTGTGGTCGTGCTCAAGAGCCCATACTCGACCCCTCCCGATACTCCATACTCGTCCTCTTTCAGGAAGTTCTCGGGCAACCTGAGCCCCTTCAACCCTCTGAGCACTCGCCGATTTTCTGTCAGGGGTGTGAACCGAGACAACTTGACGAGCCCGCTGACAATGCAGTGAATGGTAGTGGCGAACTTGTTGTTTGAGCTGCTCGGATTCCGAAGAACAGCGTTGTACTTGTAGTACATGGGGCCTGTGGAAAGAGTGAGAACTTCAGTGCCTCGTCAGACTCCGTGCCTGTCACCTGTGTAGAGCTGCAAGGCAAGAATTTCCTCCCTGAGCAGCTGAGCCTTGACAGCCAGGGGATGGCGAAGGAGCTCTTCAACGTCTCGGATCTCCCTCGGGCCCTGTGACAGTTTTCTTCTCACCTCAGGGTCGGTCAAAGCCTTCCACTCGTCCAGGGTCGTGGTCTGGATCTTGTAGTTGCCCGTGGTGAACTGGTACCTGGCATCTTTCCCTCCGCAGTGGTCGTCCTCGAGGCCCTTGTACAGGTTCACATGCGGCAGACCGATGCGATCGATCAGTCCGCCATGGAACTCCTCGAGCTTCCCGTAGACAGCCTCACTGCTGTGACCCGAAGGAGCTGACTCGTTGAGGGAGAACTTGCTGTTGCAAGGCAGCTCAACAAACTCTCCTCCCTTCCCGCGGGGAGCCGAAACCTTCTCCAGGCTTTCCGCAAGCTTCGCTGCCAACATCCCATGGCACAGCTCCGCACGAGTACTTGCCGTCATGCCTTGCAGCCCAGCAAGAGGATCTTCAGCTCCTCCTCCTGGGATGCACTCTGCTATGACCCGCAGGATCCCAAGGTCTGACAGGCTGATCATCTTCTGTGCGACCTCCCACTGTCTCGCAACCCTGACCTCGTACTCCTCGTACGACTCCTTTCCATCCACTGCGAGCACCTTGTCAATGCCAAGGGCGATCTGCAGCTCGTTCTCAAGCTCCTTGCTCCGCTGGCAGTCCCCCGAGCACTCGTAGAGCTCCTTGAGCACAGAACTGAACCTGGCTTGAAGCTTCCATGGCAGATCGTTCTGCTGCTCCCTGACGGAGGAAGAAGGAGCAGCAGGGGCTTCTGGTCGCCGTATGCTAGACAGACTCCGGATCCTCTCCCGGAGATCCTCGTTCTTGGCTGTCAGGCTGATGAGATCCCGTTCCAAGCTCTTCATGCTGAGCCGGGCTTCCTGTTCGGACGTGCCGATCATGCTTGTGGAATTCTGTTGGCGAAGAGACGATAGCTAGCGGGCGACTACCTCTTCCGCCTCATGTCTCCTGCTCGTTTCTCCTTCCTCTCGCTTCCTCTTCCTCCTGCCTCTCCCCTCTCCCTCCCCGCTCCCTCCCTGCTCCCTCAGCCCCGCTCTTCCGTTGCAGAGTTTTTTTACTCCAGCCCTACTTTGTTCCGATTCTTTCTGACAAGACTAGTCAACAAAAAAAAACGCAAGTTCGAAAATTTCATGTGAGCGCGTTCTTGTGCTGAAGAGATCCTTTTCTTCCTCCTCGTCCTCGTCCTCGTCCTCGTCCTCGTCCTCGTCCTCGTCCTCGTCCTCGACCTCGTCCTCGTCCTCGACCTCGTCCTCGACCTCGTCCTCGTCCTCGTCCTCGTCCTCGTCCTCGTCCTCGTCCTCGTCCTCGTCCTCGTCCTCGTCTTCCCTCCTCCACTCTGACTTTTTCTCCCTTTGCGCCTGCTCTTCTCACATCTCACTTCTCTTTGCTCATATCCTTCAGCAGCTGCTCCGACATGATTTCGGTGCCATGGGACTCTCCCGAGGAAGACAAGCGCGCCAAGTACGACAGGCTGTCCAGCCTGCTGGGCAGGTGGTCGGGCAGGAGCAACCTGCGGCTAAACAACATGGCGCTGAGGGATGAGGGGGTTGTCATGGTGACCCATCGGTTTCAAGAGCTTCGCCCCCTCCACCACCTGCAGAGGTTGGAGCTAAGAAGCAACGAGATCCGCGACCGGGGAATGGGAACGCTCTGCGACTGGATCAGCACGAGCAGGAGCCCGCTGAAGCACCTCAACCTCTGGAACAACGAGATCGGGCCCGACGGGGCCGGTCGGCTCGCCCGCATCCTCAACGCGTCGAAGCTGGAGATCGTCAACCTGGGGAAGAACAAGGTGAGCGGGAGGGGCTGCTGACCTCCGCTGACGTCATCCCGGGCAGATCAAGGACGAGGGTGCGACGCAGCTCGGGTTGGCGTTGGAGAGGAACCAGCGGCTGCTGAGCCTCAACGTCAGTGACAACGAGATGACGGACGTGGGGGGCAGGAGCTTCACCTCCGCGCTCTTGAACAACCCCTTCGTGAGAGAGATCGACGTGGCGCAAAACAACGTGTCCGCCAGGACCGCCAGGCACCTACGAGAAATTCTTGCACTGAGGAACAACGGCAATCCAAACGCCTCCCAGAGGTCGACAGAGTGGGTCGTACAGGAAGTGCCGGGAGCGAGTTTGAGCAGTGACATCCCTCTGCCAATCTTGTGAGGAATTTGCTCTTCAAGGATGTCATTTTTGTGATTGTCTTGTATCAGCCCAGATCCAGAGTTGGAAGACTCGTTGGACTCGTTGGAGGAGGTGAGAGGAGATTGTTTTCCCGTCTCCAACATGATCGGGTTGTGACGTGAATGCTGTAAAATGCAGAGGTCGAGCCCGCACCTGATGTTGCAAGGAAATACGGACATCAGCAGTCTGTCGAACACGCAGGAACAAGACAGATCGAACTCTAGTCAGGAGGAGGATGATACTCTGAATGACCTGCAGAACATCTCAAGCATCCCTCACTCGGAAAATTCTATGGATGGCAACTCTAGCGATCAGAGAGTACAGGATGCCACAACAAATGTCAGTGACAGTGGAAAACAAGAAGCAAACGAAAACATCACACAACAATCTGAACAAGACATGAAAAATTCTCCTATCCGATTTCCCTCCTCTCTGCCACCCTCTTCTCCACCACCCTCTTCCTCTCCTCCTCCTTCCACTTCTCCTCCCCCTTCCACTTCTCCTCCTCCACCCACTTCTCCTCCTCCACCTACTCCTCCTCCTCTACCCTCTCCTCCTCCTCGCTCTTCACGCCCCTCATCTCCACCTTGTAAGGAGATTCTGGCACCAGAATCCAGCAAAGGCAAGAAGGGTAAGACAAGTCATCAGAAGCATAAAGAGGCGGAAGCAGATAAAGGTTCTTTTCGCCAATCTGAGTCAGGTCTGAGACACTATGACTTGTCGTACTTGTGACATAGCTGAGATGATCTGCTGCAATGGCAGAGAAAGAGTACAAGATCATCCCGCGAGCATCCTACCTCCTCTCGTTTGATGACAACTATCGAAAATCATTGATCGACAAGCACAACAAACAACGATCGAGCAAGAATGTTGTTCTTGCATGGCTTTTTATTCTTACCTTGATTGTTTCACGTAGCATGCCAACGTTTCAAAGCCTACATCCAAGTCCACAAGATCGTCAAAGTCTTCAGCGTCTGCTGATCCTCCACCAGCGGATCCTGCTCCAGCCCTGCACAAGCCGGAAGTAAAGAAGCAGAAAACCCTCAAACTGTCAATTCCCGTATGCCTTCAGGCTGACATTTAGTCTCACTGAGTTTGTTTCGCAGTCATCGGACAACTACTGCGGGAATGTAGATCAGAACCAGATCATGGGTATCGGCGCAAGAATGGAGAAGAGAGTAGTGTTGAGATGTTGCCGACATCTTGCTGTCGTGATGTCTACACTATCTGCAGGACCATCCTCTTCCTGGCTTCTTCGTCAGCCACATCTATCACGGCACTGCAATCTCGTTCTTTTGCTAGAAGGTGAAGTTGTCCGACAGGTTGCGGACTGCAGAAGAGTGGGCGGGTTGAGGTGAGGGAAAAGAACAGTCGTTTGTGTCCTGACTTGTCGACTAAAAGATCGGAGACATGTTGATTGGTAGTCTTGAGTTGATGGTGGTCGGACAAAAGTCACGCAAGAGCTTTCTTAGCCATCAACAACGTCGACGTCGACCCCTCAGGCACCGACGACGTTCAAGTTGACACATCTTCTCCTCCTCTCTCTCCATCTTCATCTTCGTTCTTCCAACATCTTCATGTTTTCCTCATCTCAGTCTTCATCTCCTTGATGTCAATCTTTCTTTGTCCTCCTCACGTTCCTCCTTCCAGGACTTGCTGAATGGACCAGCTGGCTCTCCCGTCTCTCTTCGATTCGCCCGACGGGATCTGTCGTGCGGTAGAGCTTGTCGGGCATCGAAGCTTGTCGCTCACTAAAGACTCAGCGGCTGAGAGCATGAGCTTTTACAGCTTGACGACCCTGCGGGGAGTGAGTTTGTCCCTGGTCGCAGCGACTTGATGGTTTGACATGCTGGATCAGACGAAAGAATGGTTTGAAGACTGGGAAACCAGAGTTTCACAAACTGTATCACTGAGTAAGAAGGCTCCTGATGATGACGATGATGATGATGATGATGACGACGACGACGATGATGATGACGATGATGTTGTTGTTGTTGATGATGATGATGATGACGATCAATCAAAGGCGAGGAGCTGCAACATCTCAGAGAACAAGTCAAACAGCTGGAGGTCAATGGTCGTTCTTGTCTGAGAGCTTCTAAATTTCCTCTCCATCAGAAAAACAAGAAAGTCTCATCTCCTCCGCCGAAAGAATCTCCAAAAGCTTCTGCCTTACCGCCTCTTCCGAAAGTGAGAGGATCGCTAGTCCTTGACCTCTCCTCTTCCTTCGTCATCATCTTCCTCCTTAAACTCCCACCTCTTCCAACACCATCTCCTCCTCTTTCTCCACCTCAACATCTACCTCCTCTTCCTCCCTCCCTCCCTCACCACCACCACCACCACCACCACGTTCTTCTCCTCCTTCGCCTCCTCACCGTGATGACCATCATGCTGATGACAATGTAGACTGACTTCTTGGCAGATCAACTACGACGCAAGCGATCAAGGTCCTTCACTCCCGCTTGTCCCCCTTTTCATTCATGACCCTTGTCAACTCCATCAGGATGGATCTCCAACGCAACAGGGGAGCTGCTGAAAGCCGTCATCTTCGTGCTCGGGGAGGTGGAGGGGATAGAAACCCTTTCCTTCCTCAAGGAGGAGGAGATCGAGAATCAGACGGGGGAGGAGTGGCTGACGAAGTTGTCCAGCCACCTCAAGTCATGCGGAGAGGTGGAGCAAGGAAGGAGAGACGGGCTGAGGGGCTGACGGGATGGCGGCAGAATTGGATCAAGAAAATGGCCAAGGCAGAGGAGCAGGTGGGAAAGAGGAGATCACGAAGGAGAGAGGAGGGAGAGGGGACTGAAGAAGGATAATGAGGGGAGAAAGAGGAAGGGCAGGGGGAGGAGGAGAAGGTGGAGGAGGAATAGGAGAAGAGGGGCAGGGGGGCGCGAGAGGAGGACGCAGCTTGGTGAGAGAGTAGTTGGGTCTCAAATAGGATGGGCATGCAGGATGTGGAAGCGCGTGAGGCGGAGAAGGGACGCCTGCTCAGGTGTTGTTTGATTTCTCGGATCCTCGAGCGTGAAAGGGATGGAGCAGAGATGTCGAGGAGCTCGCGAGGGAACTTGCAGCCTTGTCGGAGGAGCAATGGATTATGTCACATCATATGCTCGAAGACTATATCTTCTTGTACTCAGACAACTTGTACCGTCCTGTTCCTGAGCGCTGCCTCTGTCATCAGGGAGAGTAGGATCGACGAGCTGAAAACCAAGAAGAAGGTCCAGGCGTCAACCCGTCCCTCCTCCTCACCTGCCACCAGGAGCTCCAGGAGGAGAATTCGCAGCTCGATCAGACCATCCAGGACCTTCACGCGCTGGTGGAGGAGGGAGCGGCGGAGAGGAGGAGATACGAACAGGAGCGGCCCACTCTCCCCTCCCCTCCTCCCCTCTGACTTGACACAGCAGGCCCTTCAAGACTCGCTGGAGCGATCGAGAGAGCAGCAGCGGCAGATTGAGCTCCTGACCAAGGTTCCTTGCTTCCTTGTGCAGATAGGGGGCATTGATCTCCAACGCCACCAGGAGCTCAGCGAGATAAACTTGTCTCGGAGCCAGGGATATCTCACCCTCAAGTCTGTGGTCGTTGCCGCCAAGGTCTCCAGATGCTGCCCTCCTTCTGCCTCCTCTAGCTCCCTCTTCCTCCTCCTCTCTTGTGCTCCCTCCTGTCCTCCGAGCTGATAACCGCACTCTGCAGGACGCTCTCAACACTTCATGGGAGGAGAAGAAGGCCGGGGACCCGCCCGCCTGAAGGCCTGGAGGATCAGCAAGGCCTCAGCAGATGGACAAGTCTGTTTGAACTTCGTCCTCCCTCCCCTCATTCTTCATCCTGCTGCTGCACCCTGCCCTTGAATTTCTCGTAGCTCTTCTGCAACGACGTCTCCGCCTCTTTGATCCTGCTCTGCAGCTGTTTGCTGTTGAACCTCCCGTCACGCGCACACCGGGAAGGAGGAGAGGAGAGTGTTTCACCTCTGCGACTTGATCAGGCTCAGCCTCTTCTTCACGGTTGTGACCGATGACTCGTGTTCCTGTGGGGGGTGTCAGTCATGATGGGTGTCCGGTCTATAGTTGTCGCCTGAAGGAAGAGAAGGGGGCCGACGCTCTTGTAGATGTTCCTCCCATCCGGCACAAGCTTCAGCTCCTGCTTGTTGTCAGACAGAGGTTGGCAGAACACTGCGGAACTCCTTCTCACCGACAAGACCAGTGAATTCTCGTTCTCCTGAGCCAGGAGCTTGGCAAGGTTACCTCGCATCTTCTCCAGTGCTAGCAGGAAACGTGACTGACAGCATGTCACATCAACCAAGCTCGAAACCTCTCTGCTCTCGCTGCAGATCTTCGACGATTTTCTGAGAAATCTCTTCCTCCTTTTCAGCCTCTCCAGTTTCCCGCTTATCCGCCTCTTGCATGTACTCCATCATCCGCTGCTGCCTCAACTGAGACAGCTTGGCTTCTGTAGAGTCGTCCAACTCGTCGGAATCCGCTCCTCCGCGCAGAGACAAGGAAAGGACGATGTTGTCAGGCGCTCGATACCAGCACACAGAAGGAGAGGACGGTGGAGAGGAGCGGGATGAAGCAGAGAATGGAGAGGAACAAGAGCAGGAGGAGGAGCGGAGGTCTGCCTGTATCGCTCCTTCTCCCACCATCACCAGACATGAGAGCAGCATAACGACCACTCTCCTCATGTCGCTCATCCCCTTCCCCACCATGGCGGTCTTCGCCATGACAGGCTGCATGACAGGAAGATGTTCGCAAAATATCTGGTCTGCCGGAATTGGTGGTTAACTTGGATAAAGCGCTTCCCTCCAGACATGGCAGCCGCAATGTCGCCGACGATCTGAGAGCCAACGGTAAGAGAGGAGGAGAGAGGAGGAGAGAGGAAGGGGAGACGAGCAGAGGTTGGAAGGAGAGAGCTGAGAAGGAGGAGGGGGTTAGAGGGAGACGGGGGGAGGGAGGATCCTTGTGTGGTTGGAAAAAGATGGTTGCAACGCTTGCGGGATAAGAGCAGAGGAAGGGGAGGATGGAGGAAGTGAGGGACTGTAGTGATAGACTATCCTCCTCTTCCTCATACCTAACTGCAGGAGATCGACCAGCTGTTTTGGAGATGTCGCAACCAGGAGATGGTAGCATGGATATAAGTACTTCCAATCCTGCCGCCCTTCATTCTTCCTGACAGTCCCTAAGGTTCCATGTCTCAGCCTCAACAGAAAGGATTCATGAGCAAGATCTTCAGCCCGACTCTTGTTCTCGGAGAGCAGGTTGTGACTCGTTCCATGGTGAGGGTAAGGTGCGGAACTGAGACGTTTTACGTCCTCAGGTTGTTCAGCAAGAAGTTCATGATGTATCGAGCAGTCAAAAGTCTGCCACGGGCCATGAAGGTTTGTTGAGATGCTCAGACGTAAAGGCTGCTGGATCTCTGACGAATACTTCGCAGTGTTCTGTGTCAGATACTCCCCCGATGGACAGGTGGGATATGCCAGCTATAGGATTGAATCCGTTGACCACCAGTTTCAGTTCATCGCTGCTTCCCGTGGGAACGGCGAGATTGACATTTACTCGACAGTGAATGGCAACAAGGTGAAGATTGAATAACAGCAATTGTCCATTTATCCGAACGATTTTTGAAAGGTATACCTCCTTCCCGGTCAACAAGGATTTGACGGAGCTCCTACCTGTTGCGTTCGCTTCCGTCCAAACACAGTGATATCGAAGATTTTCCCTTGAAAGGTCTCGAGACTGACGGAGTTTTATGTCAGAACTCTTCTAAGACCAAGAACGTCCTTCTTTCAGTGAACGCAAACGGGCTAGTCAAGTCAGTGTCTATCGCTTGCTCTACTTGCCTCTGACGCACCACCTTCACGTCCTCTCCTTCCTCTTCCTGAGACTGCGTTCAATCCAGGCACTGGCACATGACATCAATGAAATGTTTGCACACCATCAACGAGGATCCTAATCAGGTTCAACTTCCACTCTTGTCCCGCAGCCGAACGTGAACATCTTGCAGTGTTATGCCCTCGACTACCGAGCTGATGGGCTCAAGTTCGCCACAGCCGGGCAAGACCACCAGGTGACGACATCGCTCAGTATGCTGTAAGACTCTGACTTCCTTCTTCTCGCAGGTCCGCATCTATGACGAGGCGACCAAGACGTTACAGTCGACATTGACTGGCGGTTATGGGCGAACTCGTGCTGGCCATTCGAATCGGGTCTTCTCGCTCAAGTTCAGGTACAAGAGCTGCAGGGAGTTGAAAGTTTTGACCCCCTGAGCAGCACGGATGATGAGAACCTGCTGCTGAGTGCTGGATGGGACAACACAATACAGGTCAGCACCTGGCCCCCTTTCGATCTGAGAGCATTCCAGTCTCTCATTCCGATCATGGTTTGCTCCTTTTTCTGATCTTTGCTCATCGCGCATTGAGCAGGTGTGGGACATCCGGATGGATGTACCATGCAGGAGTGTGTTCGGCACGCACATCACAGGTCGCCACCCTCCATGAAGCGGCTCGGACGTGACGACCGCAACAGGCGACTCCATCGATCTCTACGACAACTATATCGTCAGCGGATCTTGGCGCCCTGAGAATCAGCTCCAGGTGCACTTGCAACGGCCCGAACGTGCCCCTATCCTACTGATGCTAATCTCAATCAGTTGTGGGACCTTCGGACTTGCACTCTGCTAAAGAACTACAACTGGACCAACGCCTCTCATCCTTGTTTGCTGTAAGCCCGTCCTCCTCGATCCGCGACCGTCGTCTAACTGCAGAATCTCCAGCTATGGCACGCAATTCAGCAAGGACGTCGGGGCTACTTACATCATCGCTGGTGGCAGTGGGGCCAATGAGGCTCGGTGAGAGGGAGGGTGAAGGGCGAGGAGGAGGAGAGGTTGAAGGGGTTGTTGGGAAAGAGGGGGAGGAAGTGCTGATCTGGTCGCAGCCTCTACAAAAGAGAAAGTGGGGAGCAAGTGGGTGTTGTGCTCGGCATGAAACAGGTAACCATCTTCTTCCTTTTGCGTTACACGCCTCGTCCCCCTCAAGTCAAATGTTGACTGCTTTCTTCTCATCTCGCTCTCTGCTCCTGCCCGTCCCTTCTTCTCCTCCGTTGCAACTTTCACCTGACCTGCTTGCTCAGGGCGTGTACAGCGTTGACTTCCATCCCTCCAAGAGTCAGGTAGAGGCTGCTGGGAAACGTGGTGGACGTGAGAGGTTGAGCAGGTGGCCATCGCGTCGGGTGACGGGACCGTCCGTCTCATCGACTATCAGCGCGAGTGACATAACGAAGGAGAAGGATGACGGTCGATCAAGTCGATCAGAACAAGACATGAGAGTCTTGGTTCTCTTGTTAGACGTTTACGCTAGCTTTTTGTTCCTCCTTCACGTAGATCGAATTCTCCCGAACATGTCGGTGGCTACACAAGTAGATGAGAGAGCTGTCATGCCCTTTGAAAACAATCCTTTCAGGACGAGATTCTCCTTCGCCTCCGTTGCCTTGTCGTTGAGTTTCCACAGAGCTATGTCTGCGTCTCCTCCCTCCACTATCCTTCCTTTCCCTTCCCAGCGAGTTTTCAGCTGCACCTCAAAGGGGGACGTTTACCTCGAGGGAGCTTGAGCGTGGCCGAGGGGTTGTACGTCACCAGTGGGAGAATTTCAGCGAGGTTGTGACCTCGGGCGAGCATTTCTGACATGAGAATAAGAGAAGGGAGAGGGAAATGTAGAAGGGGAGGAAAGAGAGATGGGTTGTGGAGGGAGGAGGGAGGAGGAAGGAGAAGCGCTTGCCCTGACCTCTCAGGAAGTTAACCAGGCGCGTCGGTTTGGCGTAGGAGTAGCCAATGAGCTGCTTGTTGCTGTCGAACTTGGGGAGAGATCCAAAGGCCTGAGACCTTCAGTTCAGCATCGACAGGAGGTAAGAGATTGTTCAGACGTCACTGCTAACACAGACTCTCTCCAAAGGCAACCCGGCGTTGATGTACGCCTCGACAACATCCGCTGCCTTGGAGTTTGCTGTCACGTCCACAATTCCCCCATCTCTCAGCCACATGGCAGACGCTCGCGCCAGTTCCTGACTCACGTTACAACGCTCTCCACCCAACCACCCACCCACCCACCCTCCCTCCCTCCCTCCCTCCCTCCCTCCCTCCCTCCCTCCTCCACTTTCTGCCTCCCTGCCTCCCTAGATTCCCAGCGCTCACTGGAGTTCGTCCAACGTGCGTGGGAACAACCTGGGTCTTGGGTAAACCGGTGATGTTGACCTGGGCAAGGGTTGTGATGTCCACAGACGCTCGTTGTCTCAGCTCTCACGATGTCCCACAGCATGTCTAACTTCTCTACATTGCTCCCGATGTGCAAGTACACGATCCCGGACTTCCCTCCCAGCATCCCCCCGACCTGAGTCATCCCATCAGAACATGCACAGGTGGACCAAACCCGGCGGTCCCCTCACCTTGGCATCCGCCGCCAAGTTCACCATGTGCGATAGGGTGGGTTGACTCCCTCTGAAGTCGGATATCGCAACCTCCACTGAGCGATCAGATGCGATGCCTGGTTGAGAGGGCAGAGCAGATACCTTCACTCCGACTACCGTCTCCAGCAGCGCTATGTCCTTCATGACCGAGCCAAGCAAGTTTGGACTCTCCGGAAGAGTCCTGCCGACCGGTCAGCGAGATCAAGAGACGTGGAGGTGCTCCTACTTGTAGGCTCCAGTGTACATGAAGGCAGAGATCGGGAGCAAGTTCAGCCCTGCCACCGTCATCGACAACGACTCCAGCGATCTCGAGATCGAGTCGGTCCCGAGGAGCCCGACGACCGTGGTCAGTCCTCCTTGGATGAACTCGGAGAGCCTCGGCTGGGGCACACGAGACGCTGGTCCTGCCTCTCCTCCTCCTCCTGTCAGGTGGACGTGCATGTCCACTAGCCCTGGAGTCGCGATCAGACCAGAAGCATCGACGACTCGCAAGAGGCCTTTCCGCTCTAACTCCGCGGGATCGAACCCTCCTCCTTCAAACATTCTAAGGACTTTCCCTCCTCCTACCAAGATGTCCATCCTCCCTCTCGGCGTCGGATCAAACACATTGGCCCCAGATATCAGAAGCAAAGTCCCGATGTCTGAAGCGTTCATGCATGGAGGAAGATCCTGAAGGGCAGGAGGAGACTTCAAGAGGGGAGCTGTGTGCTTCATCAAGAACTCAGGATGCTGATTCACCCCTGCCATGGCTCTCCTCCCCTGCAAGTCGCTCCTCTCACTCTGCTGTCGCAGGATCACCACCCCGAACAGAAATGTGGTGAGCATAGAGACTGCTGTCATGCCTCCTAGCAAGATGAAGGCAAGGCCATCCTGCCTCCATCTCACAGGTATGGGTCTCATCGTCCCCTTGCCTTCCTCCTCGTCTCCTGCTTCCTCGGCCTCCCAGCGCTCCCGCCGCGTCAGTCTGAGCATCCCGGCACCAACATTTTCCCCGACAACCTCACGCTCTGAGGTTAGCCCGCATTCTTGGTTGATTGACTACTCTTGGAGTGACTACCCCTACCTCCTTATTCATGTCACTAAGCTGCATGAAATGGGGGGTTACTGGACTGCGTCCGTTAAAACAGAGCCCTTTCTCCATGACATGGGCGGTATGAGAAGAGCGCGAGAGACAGACGTGAGGGTCTCAGTGAAGATCAGAGACGATGAAGATGGCGAGGAGGAAGAGGAGGAAGAGGAGAAGGAGGAGAAGGAGGAGAAGGAGGAGAAGGAGGAGGGATCGCGCGGGGACGAGTTTGTGAAGTGTCTTCCGTTTGAGAACAGCATACAGCTCAAGCATGCAGTCCACGAGAGGACGATCATGCAGTTCAGCAACGTGTACGCAGCAGACTCTTCACAGGTGAACTCCTTTGTTGCTTCTCATGTCCAGCAACTGAAGTGACCGACTGGCTTCTTGCAGGCCCTCGTGTTTCAGGGAGTGTGCAGTCACCTAGTCAGCGAGGCGCTAGAGGGCAGAAGTTCGTGCGTCGTTGTCGCAGGCTCCCAGCATGCGGGCAAGACTTTCGCTCTTGTTGGGACCGTCGACGACGTTGTTGACATGGGCCTCATCGAGAGATTCATCACCAAAGTTGTTGACAGCAGTCAGGTGGCCAAGAGTGTAGTCAGAGTGAGGTTGCAGGCCATGCTGGCTGACCACATGGAGAGTCGCGACCTCTTCGACCGGCGATCACTGATCGACTCATCTCTCAGCTCTAAGGAGTTTTCCACTGTCTTGTCACGCAGAGCAGCCGAAAGCTTGAAGGATGTGAGGGCCCTGTTGAAGAAGGTTGCTGCTTCCTTGAGGGAGAGCACATCCCACGATCTGATCCTCCACCTCACGTTCGAGAAGACAACGGGCTCTTCCTCGAGAGAAATCCTCTCCAGCGTGACGTTTGTGGAGCTTCAGATCCGTGAGGACGCTTCCCGGGCCGCTCTCTGTAACTTTGACATGGTCTCACGAGTGATCGGTATGATGAAGGCAAGGAGAAAGTTCAGGGACGCGGAGGAGGCGCTGGAGCACATTCTTGGGGACGATGAGGACGATGCCCGGCCCTTGGGTTACTCTTCATCCTTCTTCAAGTACTTCTGTCACAGCATGCAGCATGTCTCATCTGTTTCTGCGCTCGTCCTTCTCTCGTCCTCGTCTCGACATTCACGTTCTGCCCTGTGCTCTCTGGATTTTGCCAGGGTGTGCATGGGCAGCAAACCAGCGAAAGGAGACGGAAGGAGAAGCAAGTTCAGGGAGAGAACTCAGGTGGGCATGTCAAGTAAAGATGTCAGCACCAACAATGAGGAGGAAGCATACAGTCATTCTGTTCGACACAGCAGTCCCTCCATGAGGAGTTCGAGAGGGAGGTTGAAGAGCTCAGATCTTGATGGCGGGACGAAGGTGTCAAGGCAGGAGGCGGGTGAGAGTATGAGGGAGGAGCATGAGATGCTGAAGGCAAAGTTCGGAGAGGCGATCGAGATGATTGAGAAGCTGAAGAGTGAGAAGGTCTTCCTAGAAGCAAAGTGCGAGGCGCTGATCAACAGGGTATCGAGAGAGCAAAGTGCGCTGATATCCGAACGAAATTCCCTCCGGGTGGAAGTGTTCTCCTTCAAGGAAGAGCTGAAAGGACTTTCCCGCAGCCTCATGGACAAGAACTCAAGGGAGAAGGTTTGCTCAGAGTGCCTGATGATGAGGAGCAAGGTGGAGGACGGGGAAGCCAAGATTTTCCAACTTGAACATGAGCTGAAGGAGATGGAGAAGAAGACGGTATTTGACAGACTGCACGCAAAGAGTTCAAAGCCTTCTTCTCCTCAGCGCTGCGAGACTTGCCTCAACATGACAAGGCACGTCCGGAAGCTTTCCAAGGAGAAAGTGGAGCTGTCAAACGCAATCTCGTCCCTGAGAGCTGAGAAGGAATCGGTTGAGCGGAGGCTGGTGGACGTGGAGAGATTGAGCTCGGAGAGGGACAAAGAAGTTTCGCAGGTCGTCGGGAGGAAAGATGCAGACATTGCCGAGTTGCTGAACGCCAAGAAGAGAATGGAAGAGACGAGGGTGGAGATGGAGATGGAGATGGAAAAACTGACGTCGAGTTTGGAGAGTGAAAGGCGTAAGTGCGAACAGCTGGAACAGGAGGCTGAGAAGCTGAAGAACAGGTCTGCAAAGTTGGAGAGGAAGTTGGAAGAGGAAAAGGAGAATCTGGAAAACACTCAGAAGATGTTGGAAGAGGCGGAGCAGGCAATCAGGTCGATGGAGCTGGAACTGAAGCAGACTGAAAAGAAATTTTCTGCATCGGCGAGGGATCTGTCTCACAAAGAGGTGTCAATTGAGAAGATGAGCGTGCAGATGGAGATGATGGAGGAGGAGTTGAAGGAACTGAAGTCGAGGCACGACAAGGTTTGCTCGGCAAGGAAGGTGGAGCAGAAAGAAGCGCGGAGGTTGGAATCGGAGTTGAGGGAGAAGGAGAAGATGGTTGAAGAAAGAGAGAACAGGATTCAAGAGCTCACGACTGAGCTGAAGGATGCAAAGACAGAATCCAAGAGCGCTAGAGCAAACGAACAGAACTTGAGAGGCTGCCTGAAGTCGTCGGAGGAGTCCGTCGCCGATCTCAAATGCCAGCATGAAGAGCTGCTGAACAGACATGAGGAGCTGGAAGATGACTTAAAGGATCAGCAGGTTGAGATGTCTTGAAGGGGTTTCGATGTGCTGATAGTGAACAGGACGAGAACAAGAGATTGAAGTCGAGCTTGAAGGTGAGGGATGAAATGAGATGTCTGAACTTGTTTATGCTTCACACCTGGCAGGAATGTCGTGTAGAGAAGGAGAAAGTTCAAGAGGAGTTAAAGAAGATGGTCGCCGACCTCGAAAGAAGCAAACAAGCAGAAGCGAAGCTCCGTGACAAGGTCGAAAATTTGAAGGAGAAGGTGAAGAAGGTGAGAGCGATGAACACTTTTGTCGTTCTCTTTCATGATCAAATGAATCGTTCTGGAAAAGGTCGATTCCACTACGGTTTCATCTCAGGCAAACTCAAAAATTTCTGAACAAAGGGAAAGATTACAAGAGTCTGAACGACAAGTTGGACTCTTGAAACAGGTTCTTTGCATCTCCTCTTGATTCTTATCCTTATTGTCTCTGTCAGGAAATGAAAGAAGTCGAAAAATTTCTGAACAACGAGATTCACAAACGCGATGAAATAATCTCATCTCTTGAGCAACACAACAGAAGGCTGTCAAAGCGTGAAAGCGAACTCGTGAGTCAAAACATTCTTTGCTTGCCTGTTGAAATTCTGACCTCGTCCCTCTCCCTCCCTTCCACCACCATTGTCGTCTCTTCTTTCTTCTCTTACCCCTCCCATCTTCTCCATCCACCGTCCTCTCCATCCTCTCCATGCTGGCCCTTATCATTCATCTCCTTCTCCCTGATTCCCCCTCTCTCCTCCTCATCTTCCTCCTCCTGCGCCTTCAGATTTCCTCCAACGAGTCGAGGACAAGACGCGCCGAAGAGCTCGCAAGAAAAGCAGCAGAGGACAGGCGGATGATCGAAGAGCTGCAGCGGGAGAACCAGGTCTCCTCTGTCCTTCTACTCTGTCCTCCCCTCCTCTTCCTCCTCCTCCTCCTCCTCCTCCTCCTCCTCCTCCTCCTCCTCCTCTTCCTCCTCTTCCTCCTCCTCTTCCTCCTCCTTTCTCCATCTCAATCTCGTGTCTTCTCTTCTCGTCAGCCTCCTGCCATCCGCCTCCTCCTTCCTCTCCTCTTCTGACTCTTCTGCAGAGTCTCACTGTAAAGGTCGACACCCTCGCACGCGAGCTCGACGACCTCGTTGGAAGCATCAACGAGCACATGAAGGGGAAGGGACAGAAAGTCAAGTCGCTTCCCTCGGATGAGGAGGACGAGGAGGTTCGCCGGGTTTCACCGGACGCTCAGACGAGTTTCCTGCCCTCCGGATGCTCAACCCCTGAGAGAGGACAGTGGGGTTTCGAGCGGCCATGAGAACAGCAAGAAGATGTCAAGGGAAGGAAGAAGGAGGAAGAGGAGCAGTGATCTAAGCAGGCAGAGTTGAAGAGGGAGCAGGAGGGGCGCGCTTGGCTCTGTTCTTCACCCTGGTGTTGATTTCATGTACATCATAATGAGATCGATCACGAGAGGGAAGAGGAGGAGAGAGTCTCTAGCCTCCTCGTCTTGAGAAGCTCCAGCAGAAAGTCTCTCAACTGCTCCTCCGCGCGTGAAATCTCTTCCTCCACAGGAGCCACGGCCACATCCGCATCCCCTTCGACGTAGAGGCACCAGTGCTTGTGCCCCTGTTCATCTTCCTCCTCCTTCTCCACCCTCCATCCTCCCGCAAGGGGGTCCAGCCTTGGCGCTATAGCCTGCCGTCCTCCCACTGTCCTGAGCTGCCATGCACGTCGGGAAGAGTACCTGGCCAGCACCTCCTCCAGCCCCTCCTGGTCGCCTCCCGGCAGCGGAGTAGGAAGAGCGACTAGCGTCTGCAGTGTGCGGTGAAGGAACATGGGCTGGTCCTCAAGGAAGTGCATCATTGTGTTGCCGCAGAACCTGCCGCTGGGGTCGAGGAGCCCCACCGCGTCAGCAGCTCGAGCGACGCGGCCAAGCGGCAGGCGCGCGAGCTTGAAGGCGAGACGCCATGAATCTTTGTCCCCGTACATCCTGCGGTAGAAGTGCATGAAATGCGAGTTGATGTACAGGACTACCTGCAGGGCTCTCCATGCTCGCCTCTTGCTCACAGCAAACTGCCCTGCCTCCAACTCCCTCTCCCCATCCTCCATCCGCAGCCCGTAGGCCGCCAGGAAATCTCTGCTGATCCAGTGAGGGTCGCGGCTCCAGTCCTGCCAGAAGACGTTCCCATGAGCAGAGTAGAGGGCGGAGGAGAAGAGTTCCAGCGGATTGCGAAGGGGAACAACGTCGGAGTCCAGCCAGATCACCTCTTCGAAGCTGGAGAAGACGACGGCAAAGGCCTTGATCTGGAACCCGCGGAGGGGGAGGGAGGAGGAGACGTTGGGGAGGTGATAGATGTTATAGCACACCACTCCCATCCCCTCAAGGAGCTCCACGACCTCGGCAGACATCTCGCTCTCGTCAGCATAGAAGAGTTCCACAGGAAGCGAGCACCCGATCCTCCTCAGCATCCTCAGCGTCACATACGCGTTTGCCACCTGAACTCTCCCCCCTGCTGCCATCACCACTCCTCTCCCCTCGAACACCTCCGGATACTCGCTCTCCTCCGTCAGGATCGCGCCGATCGCCGCGACATGCTCAGCCTCGCCGGCTGGTGCGGCCGCCACGAGCTCCTCCCACTTCTTGCTCTCCTCTGAACATGTGTCGCCCTTTGAACAAGTCGCCACCGGTTGCTCCCCCGCATCCTGCTGCTGCTGCTTCACCTGGACTTCCTCACCCGGCATAGACGACGGATCCCCAAACCCGCCTTCAGGCTCTATCCTCACGTCTGCAGTTTGGTGCCTGACTATCAGGTTGGGGTTGCCGTAGAGCAGGCGGTCTTGATAGTTCGGATCGAAGTTGGGATTGATCCGGGAAGGCGAGTCCTCCTCGTCGTACCGAGCAGCGAGCAAATCTTTGACCCTCTTATGCCTGTCATACTGATGCACGACAGCGTACAACTCTCCCTTGCTGTTCCTGACCTGCCGCACTGATTCACTCGGCATCCTCGCAGAAGTGAACCACACATCTCACCTCACCGAAATCATCGACACTGATAGAAACAACATCTCCCATCGTACACAGGGGCCCGTCCTCGTTGTAGTAAGTGGTCAAATTCATCATCTGCGAGAACCTCCCAGTCCACAGCAGCGCTTGCTGTACGGCCTGATCAGCACACCATCCTCCGGAGATGACACTGCCATTTTCATCCCTCGTGACTGTTGCTGTCCTTTGTTGCTCATCTGCCAACAAGAAAGAGGAGCAATCAGGCACAGCCGGGTGCAAGCACTTGTTTCAACACCTTCCATCAGTTTGGCGTACCAGTATACAGCGAGGGAAGTCCCGTACATGTTGCCGGAGCAGCAACGAAGTCTGTGAGACACTCTCTGTAACATGTTCTCTGCCCTGTAGACCGAGCAGTTCTCCGTCATCCATCCCCTGTTTGTGGGAGAGGTCCCTATCAGCAGGTGGTTCGACTCCAAGAAAAAAGCCCCGCCCCCATGGCTGTCGATCCGAGCAAAGGGGTCGTCTTGAAACATGACATCTCTTACGTCGGTATGCAGCACATGCTCATACTGCCCGATCCGCTTCTCCAAGAACTGCCTGTAGAGTTTGAAGCGATGGACTCCCACAGGGCCGTGCGTCCTGTTCAATTCCGGGAAATCGTACATGATGACTGTGGCGCCGAATCGATCAGCCAGTCGCTGCGTGTGCTCTTGATGTCTTCCTGAGAATAGGACAACCTCTGCAGTACATCCGGATGCTCGGAGGGAGGCGAGAAAGATCCTGAGCTCCTCAGCTCTGATGTTGTACTCGGCTCCTATGATTAGATTCCTGCACGTCACCAGTGTGAGGGTTGCCAGGACGAGCAAGAAGCATCCTAGTCTGTAGTTCATCCTCCTCATCATGGCTGCTCACTCTGTGCAGTCCCAGCGGCATCGTCCTCACTCGGGCAGGTCATGGCTTCCTTTGTACCCCCCCTGCCATCGACCGGCCGGCCTGCAGCATGTGGGTGCCAGTGACACTGCAGCCGTCACCAGCGGCGGGGCCCGGTGCCCGGCGGGGCCCGGTGCCCGGCGGGGGCCCGGCCTCGGCCCGGACCGTCCGACGGCCGGGCTGCTCCCGGAGTCCGAGCCGCCTCGGAGTGTCGGACGGTCCGACACCGGATCGCGACTTAAGTTGGCCCGAGTCCGCCGGACTCCGTCCCGGATACAAATATGATCTGCGGCGGGCCTGAGCCTCCGACGGGGAGCTTCGAGTAGAGAGGCCACGGGCTCAGTCGGAGCCTCGGAGCCTCGGTTCAACGGTTAGTTGCCATCCCCATCTAATCGGTGCGTAATGAGCCAGTAAAGTCTCAAATAAATGCTCCCGCTCGAGATTTGTCAGCTCTGACTGGATTATCACGTCGCTTCGCCGTCCTGCCTTGAAATTGCAGCGATTGGGTGGGGGTGCGATCTATCCTTGGTTGTATCAGTCCTCCACACTTGCCGCCCAGTTTTCAGATACCCATCTACATCTTGGATTCAAAGTGGATTCCCTGCTGCAACTGTTATATTGTCCTTCATTTCCTTTTGTTTCCAACAACCCCATCATGACTTGCGCCAAGCAGCAGATCTCAGATAGTTCGCTGCACAGAACAGAACAAGATTCAGCCACTTCCCCTTCTGCGAGAGTGAGCCGTTTGCTTGAGTCCTCTCCCATCTTCCCTTCCATCACCTGGCAAGGTGTCGCGATGAAGGACAGCACCTACTTTCAAGCGCTGGAGGCAACTGGAATGCTGGCGAGGAGATCGATCGACGCAAGCGGCAATTTCCTGGTCAACCGGCCACGTGACGAGCTCGCGCAAGACATCATCTGTAATGAATCTTGTAAGCGACAGGCGAGCAGGCCATGAGTGACAAACTTGTGAGAGAGAATAGCTCGCAGCAGAGCTGAACTTGTACTGTAATTAGGATTATCAAGATTTTTCAAACTTGAAGTGTTGAATGAATAGAACTTGAAAATTTGGTTACCTTCGGATTCACTCAGCATGTTCATTCAATTAGATTGCTTGTGGAACAGAAAAAGGAGGATAACGATATGCAGCTTGATGAACATGTTGTCGACAAATTTTTGGTAGCACATCACACAGAATTGAAAGTCGTTTTTATAAAGTCAATGCTGTAAGAACTGAGAGCGCTCAATCCATGATACAAGTCAAGTACGGTAAGACTCAGGTGGTGGGATCGGGCGGTTGTCAAGCACTCAGAGGATGCTCGAGCCTCGGGCCGTACCAAAGCTTTGATGATGGATCGCATGCCAGCCGTGCTCGCCGAGTAAACAAAACTCTCCTCAGTGTAAACGAGACACCCCTCATGCTATACGGTTTTCGAGGCGCCACAAGACGAGCCTCGGTCTTCAAGTCCAAACCGTCGCACTACGGTCTCTTCTCATCAGTGTCTGGATGCTTCAGTGGGCGCCAGTTCAAGTCGACGATGGATCGCATGCCAGCGTCAGCCGTGCCAGTATATACGTGGCAAGTTGCAAGGCGGCAATGTAGTACGTTCGACGAAGAGGAGGAGGCCTTCCTAGGCATCATGGCTTGCTAAGGTCCCAGGCTCTCATGTCTGGATGCTTGGGTTTCACATCCTAATCTCTCATGTGCTCCTCGATCATTGAATCACCAGCCCTTGTTTTGACGGTGAGCTTTAAATCAAGATCGCACGGTCCGATCTTGAGCAGAACTTTGAAGGCTCATGGTAGCAGCTAAGATTGACTCAGTGATATGCCATGATGATCATGGTCCGTCTGGGACTCCGGGAGTCAGTTACGCCTTTCTACTATGACTGAGAGCCGGATCATGATAGCACAACTTGGCAACCACACGGCGAGAAGTTCGGAAGCCTAAGTTCGGAAGTCACTTCATGCCGCAGTCACGGTGCCCGCGGCCCGGTCACTGTGATCGGAGGCCCGGGACGCCCCGCCCGGTCACCGGTCCCGCCGGGTGAACTCTACTAGATTTTGTTGAGTGATATTAGCGAGCGCACGACCGGGTCGTAGATCTATGGCTTAGGAGCACAGGGAGCGATGTTGTGAGATGGACAGTAGCAGCGAGTTGAAGCGAACCCTGCATGTTTGAGAACGTACAGATACATTCTTGAAGGAACGGAGCTGGCTAAGACTGACATTAATTTGCCTCGCAGGAGCTTCCATGGATAGTGTACACGAGGAGCAAGAACTGCCGAGCTGCTCTTCAGCGCTCGATGCATTTTGGTTCTGCCTCGCACCGGGTTGTCAGCTCAAGAAACTTTACCGTGATGGAGTTACTGATGATTGCAATGCCCAACAAAGATACCTCGAGTTGTGTTTAAGATTGAGGTGGGAAAAGCTGAATGCAAGAGAAGAAACCCCGAAAGCGAAGGTGGAGTTTTTCGTCATTACCACCTGACTTGCCCCTTACTATTGTGTTCTTTTTCAGCAATTTTTGGAAGAAATGCGCTCCCTTAGCACCAAGTCAACAGAAGGACACGTCTGGAAATTCAAGCCGTTGGTAGTGCCGGATGCAGCTCAAAATGAGGATGTTGGTGGAATATTCAACAACATTGAGGTTGAGAAGCCTGAGGCAAGACAAAAGGCGCAAGGAGGCTCATGGAATTGGTTCGGTTTTCGTGGGGGAAAGTCTGAACAGAGTAGCTCAAAGTAGTTTGTCACATGAACTAAAGTGTATTTGAAAAGATATTTACAAACAATGTCCCTAGGAATTCAAGACGGCCATCACGCAGCCTCTGCTTTGGTTGCGACAAAGAGATTTACGCTCCCAAAATTCATCGCCGTGATCGATTGGAGTTGGAAACCTGCGTCAGAGATCTGCTGTGCAAAGCGCTTGCTATCGAAGGCCATGACGCTCTTCTCTAGATGCTCATACTCTCGTCTTGCTCCACCGCTAAGAAGTGACCCGATGAAAGGCACGCAGTAGCGAACAAACCAGCGCGCAGGAGCGAACGTTGGCTCCCCTAGCTCTAGAATCGCCACCTTTCCGCCATGTTTGAGAACCTTGAAGATCTCCTGCAACACCCTCAACCGGTCTGGGATGTTTCTGATCGCAAACGCCATAGTCACAGCATCAAAATTAGCTTCTTCTGCAAAACTTGGAGGAAATGTCAGATAAAGAACAAATGCGTATGATATATCTGAGGTACCTTGCGGTCAGATTTAATGCGTCGCCGTGTATCAATTTGACCGCCTTGTCACTGAAGCCGGCTTTGTGAACTTTCTTTCGGCCATGACTCAGCATGTTCTGACTTGGATCTAGTCCAATCACGGCTTCTTTCCCGATATTTTTGCTACCTCCCTGCTTTGCCAGCTCCTTTGCTATGGCTAGTGCAACGTCGGCGGTTCCGGTCCCGAGGTCAAGAACTTTGAAGCCTGGAAGAGGTCGTTCAAAACATTTTTCTTCCTTGAGCTCTGGTAAGAGAGCACCAAACAAAGTTGAAAGAGACGTCACAAAGTAACTGCATACCTGGCTTCAGCTCCAAGGAAGACACCATCTTCCGTCTCCAGAGCGAGTGCATTCCCAGGGACAGGGCAGTGTTGATCACATCGTATCGAGGAGCTATGGCATCAAACATCTCCCCTGAGCCCAGGACAGCCTTTCCTGCCTGCTCGCTCGAGTTCTCTCTCACACGTGCAACAAGTAAGGCAGCTGCCAACGCGCAGGCCGCGTACAGGAGCATCACGGAGGCCGGCATGCCGTCACCCTAACAATTCCCCACTACCCCTGACCCCTTTTTGCATTATGGACCCACCCTGGACATCCTCAGAGGAGTTGAGATAAAAACACCGGTATCAAAAGGACTACCACCTACCCGTTATGTGATTGTCCGACAAAATGAGCGCTTGCAGCAGACTTGCAGCAACATTGAAACCGATCCGGCAGTGGACGCTGGAGACGAGCGTACGGAAGAGAGCGAAGGCCTTCAGGAACGACATTACCACACGTGCAGCCACGAACCTTCATCGAGTGACGATAGTTTCCGTGCTGAAACAGTGAAGGGTGACTCGACACTCAGGCCATGCCCGACCTACGAGTCTGGTTTCATGGCGTTCTGCCCACATTTGCGTCTCAGCCAACAGGAATTTCTGATGTAGCACATTGTAGAGATTTGTGCTCTCATCAACCGTGTTTGCCATTGACTATGGTTTGATTCGTAGTTTTGCCTGAGTGTTGTGGCAAAGAAGGCAGTTCGTGAAGCAGAATTTTCCCGTGAATTTGCATTGCACACTTCTGTAGACAGAATCGTTTTCGAAAATCATTTACATGTCGAAGAAATCATGAGTAGACAAACAGGAGTGAGACGGTCTGAGACGAGTGATGGAGATTGATTTAAGTATAATTCGTTGTCTTGAGTTTCAAGCATAGGTACATCACGAAATTATCAAATGAAAACGATACCAGGGACGGTCTGCTTATGAATGGCTCAATAAAAGATTCTTTACTTCTTCATTCTGGTTTACTATAAGCATTTAGCATTAAAGTGTTTGAAGGACATTTCTTAGTCCTTCACACGTCAAGATAGGGAGACCGCGTCACCAAATGTTTCGCGCACAAAAAAATCATCTTGATCCAAACTACAATATTTGACATCCATCAAGAGCTGATGTCGTGCTCACTTGCAATCTTCGACTTTCTTGTTCTCCTTATTCTCATGCATGGTTCCTGATACATGCCTCAGGCTCTCATCAAGGAGGTCCATCAATCGATCGCCCATCCAACCTGAGCTCCAGCTCTCAGGTGCTGTAGGTTCTTGAGCTTTAAAACTATTTGAGAATGCCTCTCTCTTGGTTGTGTAAGGCCATCGCTTTATCCTCAAGCGGCGGCAGGCTACCTTGAGCGAAGAGAGAGAGATACCGATTCGATGAGCAGCTTCAGGCTGCGGGAGATAAAACAGCGATTTGACACTCGCCTCGTCAAGGACGACTGGGTCTGGAGGACAGAAACGGGTGAGCTTTCCGCGAGGTCTAGGGTTCACGATGACTTTGTCGTTGGCCATCGACTGCACGCGAGCGCGGCGACTGTTCCGAGCCTTTTCTCTCTCTGAGGGGGTTGCAAGCCAAACCACATCGATTCGCAGGGGATACAAACGATTCAACAGACCGCGTCGATTCGAGGGACCGTGACTTTCGAACCAGTCGTCAGAACTGAATTATCTATAGGCGCACCCTAGTGGAATTTATCTATACCCTTTTTTGACTAAAGCTTTACTCAAGTTTCCTATTTGAGAATTTTTCTAAGTGTAGCGCGATGGCGGGATGTGACAGGTTGATGCTCGCTTTCTCAAGTATATGGACTAAACAGTCAAGAAATATGCTTGCATATTTGATAATTATGAGTATGTTAATCATTTGGCACCTTATTAGACATTGCTTAAGATCGAAATGTACAGCATTCTTCCTGAGAAGGCATGTATCATAAGTGATGAAGGGAAGTCGTAGAGAGACAAATGCATGGATAGAGTGCGCAAGTGAGTGAGGGAAGAAGGGACGGATGAAGGGACTGGGAAAGCGAGATGGCAGGGAGAGATAGAGAGTGGGTGGCTGGAACGGAGGTCATGAAATCAAGCATATTGCAACTTGGTTATATCAAACTGAATGTACTTGCAGGGAGTGGCCGACGGTGCCTGCCTCAATGCGATTGGGATCAGCCTTGTAGATTGGGATCAGCCTTCCTGTGGCCCTCGAACTTGTTTCAAACACGTGACAATGTGATTCACTCTTATTACATTCATCAGTTAACTTAGGTCTCGGATCTCACAGCCTTCCTGCGTTTCAGGCTGATGGCCATCGAACTTGTTTCCAAAGTTCAAACACGTGACAATGTGATTCACTCTTATCACATTCATTAACTTAGGTCTCGGATCTCACAGCCTTCCGGCGTTTCTTGTTGCCTCTCAGCACACGTACTACTGTCATCCAACACAGCTGCGAAAATCTTGACATGTCACCATTCGTCTCTGTCTTAGTCACCTTCTCATATTCCTCGAAAAGATAATTTTCGCATTGATCAAACATGAAACCTGCCTCAATGCGATTGGGATCAGCCTTGTAGATGTCAAGAGCTTCAGCCTCTTCCTTGATGCGTTTCGACAGATATTTCATATCAGAATGCCTCTTTCCGTCATATTTGGTGGGAAAGTCAATCCCTCTAAGGCGCTTGAAAGGACCTTTTCGAGTTTCCGCATGTCCGAAGTGATACAACATGTAGGCGCATCTCGTGGTCATCTGTGCCCAAGGGAATGTACCTTTCTGCGGCTTCCTGGTCGCATTCCGTGAACGACGTGCATTACTTACATCCTGTCCCTGTGATGAACCCAATCCATCGTTCTCCTCATCACGATTTACCAGCCTGCGCACCCCACGGTCCTCGGTTCTGGTAATGATGGTATCCAGTTTGTCACTTACACTGACCCACATGTCATACACACTGTGACTTCGGCCCGGCACCCTCTCTCCTTGCTGAACGCTAGTGGTAGAACCGCCGGTCACTGATGTGACGGTGCCATCGCCGTCACCCCCGACGTCGTGACAACGCTGGCATGGCATTCTTGACTGTTCTTCCTGTTTCCGAATCATGCCTTTCATTTCAGCCATTTCGCCTTTGATTTCTCCCACTTCGCTTTTGATTTCTCCCATTTCTTTCAACAGGCATGTATGCGATGTTATCCCCGTCGCAACTCTTCCGTGCGCCTCAGTTGTAACGAATTTCTTCAACGTATCTATGAATCCCTCGTGAATAAACAATTCCGTTTGAAACAGAGGATGGTTCATGGGCATTGTATCACGAAGAAATTTTTCGTGGTAGATGACAGACGCCAGAGATTGTTCAACAAGCCTCCTAAGCCGTGCATTTCCCTGAATGCATGGATATAATTGGTCCATGATCTCATTAATCTCTCGCCGTGTTTCACTGGTCTCACACCAGAACATAGGCGGTAGAGCCGCGAATTCAGGTTTGTCTGTGGGTAACCCACAACATGTTCTTCCTACCTAGTGGGGGTTCAATTGAAGTCAAATATTGGCCGCAGTATTTTCAACTTACTTGCTGGTCTCCAGCGGCCTCGTATCTGAGATACGTGTCATGTATCGTACCCATTTTCCAACCAGCTCGCAGAGAAATCGCACTTATGCTTGGTCCGCTGGTAGTTCCTGACGAAGTATATGTCGCTGATCCTTTTCTGATACTATGTGTGCCTGTATGGAGCATCAAATCAAGTTGTGAATGACTACGGTGTAATGAGCCCTATTCACCTAAGTCTCCGACGTGCAAACCGTTATTCTCAAGAGCTTAACAGGTACATCGTAAAGATGCACGATGTACATTAACGATGATCGGTACGAACTACATGTCGAGAAGGCAAGATCTGGTTTTTCTCTCAACAGAAATGAGATCCAGTGCATGAAATGCTCTGCTTTGAATCTTACGAAGTCGATGGGAATAATATCCTTCTGGGACAGAATATGTTCTAAGTAATGGGCTGTCGGTAAGCCATTGGGTGTTTTTCGGCCCTCTGCCGCCTCCAAGTCTTGCAGAAAGGCTGGGGTAATCAGACCATATGTTCGCTGGTTTGCAAAGAACCATTCAAGAAACCTAGTCATGTGCTGACGATACATTGTACGTGTGCTGTCAGCCAGATTGTTGTTCAAAATATCTTCAGTGTCTCGACGTAATTGTTCTATTTCTGAGATCGACAGTTGCAGCATTTCTAGCGTGGGACGCCGACGCCGCGGCTGTGACAGTGCTGACCGCTGAGACAGTCCGGGAGACGAGTCACTGGCTACCGAGACTGCGATTGCCGGGACTGCAACTCGGACTTCCTGGCTTGCCATAGCGGCAGCGGCACTGCGCGCAGCATTGGTGATGATGGAACACTGCGATTGTCCACACCTTCCTGTCTGCTCAAAGTCCTCCGTGCTACCCACACAGATTGCATGGAAAGCACGTTTACACTGACTACACTCTTCTAGAGGACACACTCCAAGGTGCTCAGGAAGTACCTTGCATCCCTCAGCAAATAAGCACAATGATTGCGCAGGCCCCCGATCCATTGTTGCGGCCCCACCTTGGTACCGAAGAGCTTACCGGAAATAGCCAGGATGATTAGAGATTTATCCTGAGGCGGAGAGGTAGCTGTACTGTTAATAAGGAATAAGTAATACTTGATTCCACCTTTTGAATCCTTCATATCAGATAGGCCTAGCAGCATACGATTTTGGTCATATCTGTATACCATACTACAAATGAGTTTTCCACCCTGCGTGAAGTCTGTACCTACCCCAATGATTACGTTGGAATTTACAATCTCATCGCCCTCCATCACAAGCATCATCGTCCTCATACCCCTCATCATCACCCTCACATTCCGTTTCATCACCCTCATGAAATTCCAGCATCGAGTAAAAAACCTAGTAGTATTATTCCAACAGGGTTCAGGAAATTGACCCTGACACTGTCGCAAACGGCGAGAAGAGAAAAGACAGCGAGAACCAAACCTAATCCTGCCAACTGCTGTCCCCCAAACTTAACTGATACCTTCACTTAACTGCGCGCAGGACAAGTCCCCCCCGCGGCCAGGGCCAGCGATGTCGCTGTGGCCGCCGCCGAAGGAATGAGACGCATACCGGGATGCACTTTACTCGATGCACCCGCGATCAGTGATGGCAGCGTATCAATCTTTACTCAAAGCTCAATCAGTGCTGGCGATGGCTGATGGGAAGAAAGGCCTTTGGCGGGAACAGTTAGTTGGCCCAGTGGGCTTCGGATCGGGCAGCATGGGGTCACATGCCTGGCCGCTACAGCCCGCCGAACTTCAATTTTGGCCAAGCCTCGGTAAAAGGCGAGTCCGCCTCGGAGTTTATGAGACCTCATGACGAGGTCTTCGATTCCCACCACATGACCTCGTCATGAGGTCTTCGATTCCCATCCAACGCTCTCTGTGAAGTTGATATAGCTGCTCCCTTGACCTTGACAGGTCCTCCCAGTGTCTCCTCTAGAGTCATGCTTGGAGGTCACTGTGGTCTCGTGCCGCAGTGCAGTGCGGAGTCCTCTGCTTTTGATCACTGAGACCCCTTGTTCTCCCATGTCCATGACTTCAGGGGTGATACTTCAAGAAACTTGAAAGTTCCTTTACTAACAGTGTGACTCAAAGTTAAGCCGGGAGTTCAAGATTAGTACGAGGACCGCGCGGCCCGACAATCACTACTCGCCGGGAGACTCGCCTTCTACCGTACTCAGTTTCCTCGTACTGATCTTTAACTTAACTTTGAGTAAAGGGAAGAAACCTGCCTCAGAGGACCTTGTGCTCTCCAAAGAGACCGAAACGCATGGCCAGGAAAGGGAACACGGAGAGGAAGCATAAGGGAGGGGAGAGAGGGGGGAAGATGGGGGAACGGCAGAAGAGATCAGGAAAGGCAAGCAGGCAGATAGGAGGGAGACAGATCAAGAAAAAGTAGGATGAAGAAGCATGGAATACATAGACATTCTACCCAGATCCATGAATGTGTTAGGACAGTCTCAATAGGATTCCTACTAATTTATGACAAGGCCTTGACAAGGATGGGGTCGGGGCAGAGCAGGAAGTCTCGTATGCAGCAGGTAGATGGATCTCTTGTTGTCCTGAAGGATCTGAACGGCACGACGGCAAGGCGTCAGCAACCGCTGGTGATGGTGGAGGTGCGAGCCGAGCACATGACGAGCAGGTTCAACATTGGAGGAGGACGAGATGAGAGGATGTGATGGGTGAAGATGCAGGAGGGAGCCGCCGCTGGTCAGGATGCCGGGGAGGAAGCAAGGAGGCAGGATACAGGGATGTAATGCCTTAGTTCACACTCGAAGATGATGCGCTCTGAACAACATGGGCCATCGCAACAGGTCTTTGCCGGGGGAGGATGTCACAGCGACAAGAGATGTGAGTGTGTTTGTCATGCTGTACACGTGGGATATGATGGTTTCGGGTGCACGATTGTTATGTTGCTCTCTTTACTCGCTTTTCTTGTTGTTTGTGGCCCGCTGTGAAATTCCAAAGGATTCCTATCATGGTTTGCGATGCGTGTGGGTATGATGTGTGTGTACACGTTGTTGGATATGTGTTGACATGTTTGCTATGGATGAGTAGGAGCAGTACATCATTGCAAAAACTGAGTTTTCATCGGATCAGGTGCGCGGGGAAGAGAACGAAGCTGCCATCCCTAGTGGAACATCGGCAGCAGGAGCAGGAGCAGCGGAGGAGGGGGGAGAAGAACTCGAGGAACTTGATGAAGGAACAACAGCATCCTTAGACGGAGAAAGGGAGAGAGGAGGAACAAGAGGAGGAACCTTGGCACAGGCTGAGGGCGCTGGGAATGGGGTACCAGAAGAGGGAGGAGGGGGAGGGGGAGATGGAGGGGGAGAGGGAGGGGGAGAGGGTGTACATTCAGAAGGAATTAAAGTCGGTGCTGGGGTTGTTGTTGATGGTGGAAAGGAAACAGAAGACGCGAGCAGATCTGAAGCCACGTCATTTGAGGTTGAAGACATGAGGCATGATGGTTCAAAGAGTAAAGATTCAGAGCATGTAAGCTTTTTGATGAGAGATGTGAATTTCCTGCTATGAATCTGTGAAGATTGTGCTCGTGTTTGAATCTTGTCGACTCATTCGTTTGTTAATCACCTCCGCTTCTCAATCAAATTCATTGCCCGCACTTTTTGTTTGTTTTATTCCGATGATCGAGATGTGCCGTTGTTTCTGCAAAGTTTGAACAAGAAATGACAGGGTCGGGAGAGGAGGTTGTCCAACGAGGTTGATCCATCTTCTCATCCTATCATGAAATGACTTGAATGCAACAGGGAGCAAACCTCAACGAAGAGAGTGAATCTTTCACTACAACCCGGAAAAAAGTAAGTATTTCAAGCAATCTGCTTCAGCTGACATTGAAAGAATCAAAACGCAATGATATTCTATGGTAATGAATCATGTTTTAGTCCGTTGGATCCAAGTCCATGCTTTCCATAGAGGTTGAGTTCAAGGTGAATGATTGCAGTCAACTCGTTTCGTTTCTGTTGAGCCGTGTCTTCCCACAGAACATCATATACGAGCTGCAAGCTTGCAATGAACAGCTCGCGTCAATCAACGCATCGTTGAGCACGCAGATCGATCAACTAGCTCCTTCTCCTTCCAACGACGCAGACCTCTCTCACATGTCCAACGACAAGGTCGAAGATTCTGAAGTTCAAGACTCACAAAACGCATCTGAGAACAGAGACAAAGTTTTACACCCTCAAAACGTGTTGAGATGTCTAGATGTCAAAGAACTGTGGTGGAGTCCAGCTGAGATCTCAAAGTTGGTGGAGAGTATTCAGTGGACATTGCGGAAGGTGATGAATGTAGATGGATTTGCATGTTTGTGACTCGCTTGTGAAAGTGTTGTGCAATGTTTGATCTGCAAGACTCTGACGATTGTTGCAGGGAGATCAACACTTCTCTGAGATTGTAGAGAGGTATAACAAGAATTTCATTGTCATAATGTCTGCATCCTCAACGAGAGAACCTTTCTTCTTTGTTTTGAACTTCACAATTGTGATCATCTCTACACTCAACATCGCTGAATGTGTATCGTCATCAGATATCTCGATCGCAAGTCTGACACCATTGGCATGGAGGAGTTCTTCAAGGTTGCGAAAGCTCAGCAATCATTATCATGACATGTTCTGCAGTGTTTGAATGATCCTCCTCTCCTGCTTGATGTCAATCTTTACAAAATCCGCCTCCTCTGGTGCATGTTGGTCGGTACAAGTGAGGTGAAGGACGAAGAGAGTGCAAAGGACTGACATAGAAGATATTTGCAGCATCTGGAGAGGAGAGGACAAGACAAGATGAGGAAGATGTGTGGGAGGTGTTTGCAAAACAGAAGTTGTTGGTTGAATCTTTGTCGAAATGTGTGTTTCCGAATGAGAAAGAAAGGTTTGTGAGGTGTGAATGGAAGGAAAAGTCATCTGATACTTCCCCAGCGTTCAAGATGTGATCCGCATCTTGCAGAAGAGAGTAACAAGTCTAGACATCTCATTATTGAGAGGTTTTGCAATCACGACGTTGACGCTACAACACTCTGACATGTCTTGCTCAGTCTTTCAGGAGGTTGACGAGCACGGCAATATGTCAGAGGAAATGTTTGCTAGGGCCCTTGGCGTTGGAGGGGCAGGCCGTATCGACTTGGGGAGGAGGAGGATAAAAATCTTGTGGTCGTTTGTGGACAAGAATCAAGTTGGTTTAGTCGACTCAAGGTATTTCTCTTGTCCATGTTGCCCTGGGTGTATTGATGTAGCCTATGGAATTAATCTCATTATTAATCTTCACTTGCTCACCAGTGTTTTCCTTCATCCTTTGAACTGTCACGATCTTGTTTCTAACAGTATGTTTTGATACATCCTTCTCCTGCTTACTCGTAGTCTCATCACATCTGCCATCAAATTCGCTTCATTGCATGCTCTCACTGTTTGTTAACATTGCAATTTCTTTCTCCTCTCTGTTTCTGTTCCCATGACATCCTATGAAGAGAGACGGCGCTGCTTCTTGAAAACACGAGAGATGCCACAAGACGATTGGAAATCCCCAACACCCGTCAGTGCCTTCCACCTCCTCCTCCCTTCTCCTCTCCTCTCCTGCCCTTCCCTGACAAACTCCCTCTCCTCTCCTCTCCTCTCCTCTCCTCTCCTCTCCTCTCCTCTTCTCTCCTCTCCGCTCCTCTCCTCCCCTACCCTACCCTCTCTTCTCCTCTCTTCCCCTCTCCTCTCTCTCGTTCTCATCTTCTTCCCCAGCACTCTCAGTCGAAGAACTTCAGTGGAAGGTTGCGGGCCTCGAAAGAATGCTGGAAGCCGAGAAGAACGAGCTCTCCTCGTACAGGTCTCCTGCCTCCTGCCACCTGCTCCTGCTCCTGCTCCTGCTCCTGCCTCCTGCTCCTGCTCCTGCTCCTGCTCCTGCTCTTGCTCCTGCTCCTGCTCCTGCTCTTGCTCCTGCTCCTGCTCTTGCTCCTGCTCCTGCTCCTGCTCCTGCTCCTGCTCCTGCTCCTGCTCCTGCTCCTGCTCCTGCTCCTGCTCCTGCTCCTGCTCCTGCTCCTGCTCCTGCTCCTGCTCCTGCTCCTGCTCCTGCTCCTGCTCCTGCTCCTGCTCCTGCTCCTGCTCCTGCTCCTGCTCCTGCTCCTGCTCCTGCTCCTGCTCCTGCTCCTGCTCCTGCTCCTGCTCCTGCTCCTGCTCCTGCTCCTGCTCCTGCTCTTGCTCCTGCTCCTGCTCCTGCTCCTTG